TATATTTAACCACAATTTTTTTTTCAAAATATTTGACTTAAGAAGGATTTAGAAAAATTTAAGCAGCGATAAAATGAATTTTATATTGGTTGTTTCTCAACTGATAAACAGCTTTTTCAATAAAAAATGAGTGCAATTTTTTAAATCAAATTATATTTTCTTCCTTAATCTTTTTTTCTTATCAGAGTATTTCGATTTTTCTTAAGTCTCCTTAATTCTTACTCACATTCTTGTAAATTTAAATCAACAAGAGAATCCTTTTCGTGATATAAAATTCTAATGGGATTACTCTTAAATAGTTTAGATAGCTAACAGCTGAAGTTGCTTTGCGGAATTCTTATTTTCATCTTTTACACATATAGCTCTTTTTTTTTAATTTTTAGATCATTGAAAGATTAATATAATATACAGTTGCGATTTATATTATGATAATTTTTTGAGTTCATTTTCTATTTTGTTTCAATATTTTTTAGACTAAACCAAATAATCTTTTCTTATTCTTTTCATAAAAAATCTTGATCTCACAGTTGATCTTTTTTTTTTGATCTATAATTAAAAATTTCGACTACTTTTCATAAATCATGTTCTTTATTTTAATCTGACTTGGAATTCTTAAAGAATACCATTACTTAATATTTCTTTATTTAACTAGACTTCTATGAGATTCAAATTTTAAGAATTATTTTTATAATAACTCTCTGGATTAAGGATTATAATCTTTATAACCATTGATGTATACTGTAATAACTTTCAAAGCGAATAATCAATGTTTAATATTACTTTATGAACTATCAATAAAATAACTGTAAATATTGTAGAAGAAAAATTAATCTTGATGTATATCAAAATAATTAAGAAAATTCAGGTTTTGATAAAAATTTGGTTAAGATATAATATTTTATTAGGATTATTTGATTGTTTATTCCTTTGATCGTTTTGTTCTAAAAAAACTTTAAATTGTAGTTCACTTACCCCAAATAAGTTTGATTCCGTTAACAATTTCATTCTCGTTAAAATCATTTGATTCTTTTTATTTGTGACTCCTCAACTACTTTATTAGATTATTTTATAGCACAATTCATCAAAGCTTGTTAATAAGAAATAAATATTTAAATAAGTTAAACAGTATATTTTTACCTCCAAATTTTCCATAGCTAAAACTGATTGAGCAGATTTAGAAACTACTTTAAGAATATGTTAAGAAAAATTAAACTTACGATGAAAGTAAATTCTAAGACTAATACATTGTAATTTAAAGAAAAAAAATTAGAACTCGTTAATGAATATATCAGTTGAAATAAAGGATTTTTTATTATTTAAAGATTTAAAGAAAATCTTAAAATTGAGTTTATGAAAAATTTAATATAATAAATAATAAATAATTTATAATTGACCAAATTTTATATTAATGAGGGGTGATTCAAATATTTTCCTACAATTTAAATTATTGTATTTAAATTCAAAATATGAATTTATCCTTCAAAAAATAATCAATATTACAGTTACATGTCATAAATTTCAATATAGATAAAATTTTTAATTTAGACCTTTAGCATTCGCGTTTATTTACGATGTTATATTTATAAACCTTCAGTAAACATATAGTTACATAGGCAATATCATTCGAAGATGTAAATTATTTTTTTGGCGGAGTAGAAGCAATGCACTCTGCATTAGTACTAAAAGATTACTCAATTCTTGATCTTCCCTCTTCATCAGTGACTAGTGAATACTTATTGAATTTTGCATTAGGAAAATGTTTCAGGATAGAAAAAGATATTGTAAAAATTCCCTTGAAAAATTACTAGAATAAAAAAATGTGCTTTACATTTAAATAAAGAGAGTGTAATTTTCAAGAAATTTAATAATTCAGAAAAGGACTTGGAATTACTAAAGATGATTATAGTATTTTTCTTAAAAATAATTAGACTGTTAAATTCTTTGGATTCTCTTCTTGGTCGCAAAAAATAAATCAAATTTTTTAATGAACTCACTAAAAGTAGAAGAAAGGAGACACAGAAGCTCATAGCAAAATCTAAAAAACATTAAACTATAATTATAGAAAAAAAAATGAGTAAGATAAAATTGAACAAAAAATAAAAGAGCATTAAAATCTTTATAGAATCTAAATTAACCTCAAACTTTATAGCACCAAGAAATTCCAATATCCAGAAAATAGAAATAATGATTATAGTATTCTAAAGAAAAAACATATGTAAAGTATCGATCATTTAATATCATTGAAGACTAGAAAAATGCTGATTATAGGTTGAAAATAAAAAGATAGTATAAATCTCTAGTAACCTAAAATATTTTGGCAAACATTGGAATTTTGGAGCTATAGGGCAAGAAAGCTTCATTGCATATCAAGTAGCTTAAGTTAATGTAGATTCTAATCTGTATGCACAACATCTATTAGACTTAATGTAGGCATTTAGAGAATACTAATTTCGTTATCATAATTGATAATAGTCCAGTGCATAAAAAGAAAATCATTCTTGGGAGTCATATAATAACTATTTCTACCGCCATACTGACAATAGCCTAATCAAATAGAAAAATTATAGAATAGTTATAAAAATTATACGAATAAATTTAACAGCATTAATTCGCTGATTTTCAATATATAATTCATCGATTTTTTAATAGTCTTAACAAAAAAAACATTAATAATTATGTACTATCTTAGGTCCCATATTTTGAGATGGCTTTTGAATAAAATTGAATTTTTGATAATTTACACTTAATAAAAGGATAAATTTAAATTAAAGAACTCGCATATTCAATCATTTGATAGAAGAATCAATTAGGAAAAATACTAAAAATCTCATTGTTGATAATAACTCAATGATAATATTAAATTATTCAATATGAATTAATTATGAAAAAATATAGCTATGTCAAAATAAGTAAATTGTTTTTATATTAAAAAAATAAATTTATCAATATGATTTAAATTAATTAAAAATATAGTAATAGAAAACTCTGAGAAGTCTAACTAAATTATATAGCTAATCTCACAAGCAAATATAATTAATACTACTTCATTATATTTTGCTGTTGAGATCGGCTATGCTCTTCATTTGCTCATTATTTATCATCTGTGAGACATAAAGCATCATACCTGTCAAGGGTTCTTTATTTATGGAAGGACAAAAAATTAATTGATATAATATTAATTCATCCAAATCTCTCTGAACCTTAGAAATAATATCATATGTATATTTATGCAGAAGCTATCATATTTAAAAACAATTGATTTTAATCAAGCTTAACTACTTGAAATGTTAAAATTTATTTTCAAATATGAAGCTTGAGCCATTTAATCTTAAGTATTTTTTAATTTGATCTAGCATCTAGAATATTTAAGTATTAGATCTTATATTACAAAACTTTACATTTTTTTTACAGTAATATTAGAGTGATTATAAACCGACTAAACATTTAATTAGATGGACATGCTCTTTAAAAATATTAGTAAATGAATAATATGTGCAAAATAATTTGAGATTTGAATTTTTGGACTATAAGAATAAATCATTTATTAAAGACAATTATAAAATTCATACTTAAATCCTCTAATGCTATAATTAATTAGCTTATAGGAATCAATTGTTTAAGAGCACATGAATAAGATTTTTAACACATTAATAATTCAAAATTTTATTTTGAAGTTGTTCAGAATATAATATCCCAAAGGTTTACAACATTCATATTTTTTAAATTCACTCAAAACTATTATAAAGTTTTGGTTATTGATAAACTTTTTAATCTCCACATTTGATTTTACATTCTCAAAAAGTAATCTATTGTAATTTCTGGACTTTGTTTGTTTTTCATATAAATTCCCTTTAAAAGATTTTTTTTGTAATCTAAAGAGTCAATTTCTTTATTGGCTTCTTGAATAGAGATTTACATGGTTTTGTATTTTAATATTCCATATTTTGTGTTTTAATTCTTATTTTTGAATGAGAAATTGATTTTAGAGATTAATTTCTAATTTTTTATTATGTTTATTAAATTTGATATAGTATCTCATAAACTATTAATATGAAATGCAAAACATTTCTTAAACTAAACCCCAATAAATTATAACTGAGATTACTTAGGAAGGATTTTAAAATTCTTCTACTTCATTGAATGAGGCATTCAAGATTTTAGAAATTATTGTAAATTAATATGAAGTATCCAGCATAAAAGATAATCAAGTGATAAAAAAATATAAAGAAAAACAATTAAGTACTCCATATTAGAAAATTAGTCAAAAAAAAAATGATGAAAGCGTTAAAATTAGTGTAAAGAAACTTTGGATATTAAGAAAGTAAAAAAATATACAAAACCATTTAATTTATTTTGAGTTGTTTATAGTATTTATAATTAAGTGTAAAATTAGTAATAACAGAAATATTTAGTTAATTTACTTGGTATGGATTGAAAAAAAATGAATTTTCTATTTATTTGCTTAAATTGTTTCAATACAATAATCATCTAAGAAGAAAAATCTATTGAAGCATAAATGAATGATGATTTATTGTCTAAAGAGCATTTGATTTATTATTTTTAAACTTTAATTCAACTTGAATATTTTGATCAAGCATCCATAAGTTATAATGCGCAAATAAATTGAAAAAAACAATATAATTATTTTGAAAAATGCATATAACACCTTTATCTACTGAATTTCTTGATGAAAATTTACTAATTAAAATTCAAATAAAAAAAATAAGATAGAGAACAGGCTCAAGGCATGTATACGTTTTGTAAATAATTTATACTTATATTATACTGAAACTCTTAATAAAGATTAGCTTTTGATGATGTTTTTATTGTTCTAATTTGAAATTGACAAAAAAAAATATACCACTACTTCAGTGTTAGGATATCTTGAATAATACAATCTAGTTATCTTACAATAAAATTATTAAATCAAGTTAAACAACTTTGATTAGATTTGGTTTAGTAAGTGATCTTTTTAGTTTTGGAGAGATTCCATGTTGAAAAGATTGAACTAATATTGGTAGAAATTAATAAATTAGTGATCTGTAATCACTTTTAACCTAAGTGAAAACTGATTTTGTATCAAAACTTGAAAAGCATGAACACCAGAAAGAAATTTAATTAAAACTTCAACTTTTCAAGTAACAAATTCATTAAAAAAAACAATTTCTTTTGTGAAAAATAAAATAACATAGATAGTAAAAAGTAAGTCATTTACCTAATTGAAGCGGTGAAATAATAGTATATCCATTTCCAGATTTATTGAAAATGCTCATATCATTGTTGAAAAAGGAAAAAGAATTGTGCAAGTCATAAAATATAGTAAACCCAAGTTTGGATCACTAAATAATAAAGAGAAGCAAATCTTAACTATATGATTAAAATAAATCATAATTTATGGGGCAACTTAGAAATATTTGGGACTACTCATAAATATTATCGAAAACTCATAATTATTAAAGTAATAATCTTTATTTTTAGTTTAATAGTAGCATCAATTCTTTTAAGCTAGATTCAAAAGTAATATTAACAATATTTATATTTTTAGCCTCCAATTACATTACAACACTCCTCATTTCCAAAAAAGCAATATTTCAAGCTAAAGGAGCTTTAATTCTGAAAGGAGATTTTATAAATCAATTCGGTATAGATTTAAAGACATTGTTTAAATAAAAAGGAAGTTGCTTTTTAGAAGACTTATAGAAAAAGTGATTTTGATCATCATCAAACAACAATTATTATTACAATCAATATATATTATTTTGTTTATTCTGTCTTAATTAGTTTCACTCTTCTTCTTCACTTATAAAACTAGGTAAGTTTTTATATTTCAAAATTTTTCTACATTTCAGTAATATATAAACCACATTTATTTTAATATTATTTTAATAAATGGTAAATTTAGTGTAAGGAATATTTATGGAGATTACATTAAAAGGTTATCAATTAATATAAAATGATACTACTTTAAATAAATAATCTAAACTCACAACATTAAATTGATTGAAGAGATTTAAATATAGATTTATATAATTTAATAAAGAGAACTTAATTAACACAGATATTATATTATAGATTTACTTAATTTATTATTATTTACAAAAGGGATTAGTCTTTACAACATAATTCATAATTTTGTAATGTTAGTTCATAAATAATAAAAGATATTTTTTATAACAAAAGATAAGAAAAAAAGATACATCAAGAATATATTTAAAAAATAAAGTTAATACTAGAAATAATTTATACAATAATAGTACAGTTAAAACAATTAGATTAGATGATTTTTTAAAAGTACTCTACACTAAATAATGGACCAATCACCTTTTGATTATTATTATCAATTGATATTAAAAAGTATTAGATAGTATAAAAGACTGAAAAGATACATTTATCGTGAAAAATTATCATATCACCTAAAAGGATTAAGATTTAAGGAGATCCTTATTATTTTTTCCTTAACAACGAACTAATCCGACTAGATCGGACTTGCCTAGACAGAAACAGCTGAGTCTTGAGAAGCAAGGGCATCGGTCAGTGCAATTCTCTGTTCAATCAGTTCTTATTAAAATCTGACCCTCATATTTTAATACGATAAAAAAATTTTATGAAGACATGAAATAATTGCTAGATGTGTTTATCTATCTAATTTTTTTGAAGTCTATATAAAACTTATTCTGCCTCAATCCTTATAGCACAAGATTTTATGAGCTGCAAATTCTAGAAAAAATGAAATTTTTCCCGAAAATAAGAAAAAATTCTTTCTTTTGAAACTACTGATAGCTATAATTGAATTTCTAAACAAACAACCAAATCAAAAGGTCTATTTTATAAAATTGATTCTATCCACTTACATTTTGTCTTAACCTTATAACTTGTCATATGTGGTACAAAATTTAATTTAAGAATTGTAATTTTATCGATGTATTCAAAATAATACATGATTGAAGAATCGAATATGCCAATTTTAATTTCTCATGACTAGGAAATAAAGTAAATTGATAGTTTTTGTTTTAATATATATCTACAACATCTTAATTCATATCTTTAAAAATTCTTAATGGAAGAATATTTAATGGAAGCTAAATGGAACATATCAATCAAAGGACATTATTAAAAATCTCAACCAAACTGTCTTTAAAATAAGATTTTAACAATTTGCTGCTTTTAAAGATATAGTATATTTTTTTTAATAAGTATGGGTTATTACTTTCAAAATGTTAATCTTTAATATGTTTTTATTTTTCTTAATTAAATTCAGCAAGACCTTTCTGTGTTAAAGGAGTTTTAAATGCAAATAGTTGCTCAAATATTTTTATTCTTCAACAATTAAAACTACATCACCTTTAAGTTAAAATACTTTTCTGCATAGGTCAATATGCTTATTTTTATTTACTAGATAATTGTAATATACTATCTATCGTTTACATCATCTCAATCTCTATAAATATAAAATTTTGAATAACAATAACTTTAAATTACAATTAGTCTATTCAACTTCTCATGCATCCATTTAACATTAATCGATAAAATGAATTCAATATTTCAAATATTTCAAATAAAAAAAGGTTTTTATAATCTTACCCTTAACTTTAATGGACGACACTATCTATCAACTGGCTTTAAGAACAGGAAAACAATAAAGCAATAGCTATTTTTTGGAAGTTAAGCTTTTTAAGCATTTAATCTCACATAGATAATAGGAGAAATACTTTTACCCATCTTATGATATTTTCTATTTTATTTGAAATCCTCTCCTTGTAAATTAAAATATTAATATATTTTAGATTAATGGTAAAATATTTGATGTTTATTTAAATACTCTCATTAGCTAAATGCTTTTTTCTAAATAATATAAATGTTTATAATCTTCTTAAAAAGCTATATGTTCCCTTAATTTTATATTATGTTTTCAATTAATTTTTGAATAAATTAATTTCATTCGCTATTACTTTACTAATCCTTTGTATAAAATATAATTGGAAAATTATTCTCCACGCAAGATGAAGATAGTGAAATTTTATTAGATTTATAAACAAATCCTAAAGTGAAAGTAATTAAATAAGAACATTTCTAAATTTATTTGCTTAAGTTTCAAGTCTTCTAGTTAGAATACTTTAGATTGAAAAGAATTATTATCTAATTATATGATTTATTCAAAGTTTTCTAATCGATTTAATTAAAAATCTTATATCTTAACAAAATTAGGGTTCTGGAGGCTTGATATTATCATATCTACTACCAAAGACAGTTTCTGGTTAATCCAAATCTAAAGAATATTAGTATCAATTTACTCACTTTTTAGATTGCCCTTGCCTTCAGAAGCTTTAATTGCTTAACTAAAAAGAAATACAAAGTACAAAGCTCATCCCCAACCCTTGTAAAAGAAAAATAATCTTTTTTTTCTTCATACAAACAGGTTTATTCAAAATGTAAGAAATATAAGTGAGCTTGATAAAAAATTGAGAACTACTTATTAATAAAATGAAAAAATTTGAAAAAAAACCATGAGTTTTAAATCATCATCACACATACTATAAAAAAAACTTAAAAAGATAAAATTTAGAATACTAACTCTAATAATAAATCAAATAATAGTTCATTATGTTTAAAAAATCTTGAAATTTTTCAATTATCATAATTAATATTTTTTTTTTTCAAATTTTCTTAAAGTTTTCATATCTTTTTTCCAATTCCATCCATATACCAACTTTTTTACAATTTTAATATACTCCTTCATAAATGACTTACGAATATCTATCCAAATTATCGCCGAATTCAATCCCAACTCCATATACAATGTTATTTTTTAACGAATATCATTAATTTAAAAAAAGTATATTCATTTTTGGCTTATCAACCATGTATATCTAAATTAATTTTAATCAAATAAAATATCTCTTACATATGAACTCTAATATAAAAAATTATTAGAAACTATTAGAAGATACAAAATCCAAAATCTTTAATTATTATTTGTTTATTTTTTCTATAAATATTTAAGAATTTAAGATGAAGTAATTAGACATTTTTGAAAGTAAAAAAATTTTCAGTCACTTATTTTATAACTATATATTATAATTTTTAATTGTGAATTATAATTTATTAAATTACATTAAACTAAATACAGACTGATGTTGATATTGGTTTTAATATTTTAAAATTTTCGTAACAATATATGTCCAATTATCTCTAATATTATTGCTGTTTTAATGGAAATTTATAATATTTCAAAATCAATATTTATTGTAAATTATGAAAATTATCTACTAGTTTTCTACACTGACAACTTTTATTTATGTATTTCTTAGTCTTCCAAAACTATAATGTTGCCCTTATAGTGATTATGAAGATGCCTTATTGCCCATAGAGTCTCCAATTCTTAATTCATTTGTCAATATATATATGGGAATTTCATTTGAGTTTGGGTTTTGGAGTTTATGTGTTCCTCAATAACAATTTAAAAATGTCCCCTATGTTGATTAAGAATTTGATTAAAACTAATTAGAAGATGGATAATTCTTATTTTTAGTTAAAGGCTATAATGGTGTTTCAGTGATAGGATTTATTTCGATGAGCTTAGAACCTGATCTAGTTATTTATAACATAATGATCAATGAAGACAACAATCAAAAATTAGATTTTAAATATCACCCCATTATTTATGAGGGGAAATGGATTTTAAATGTTTTTACATATGACTTTTATAATAGTCAAATTTCTTATGAGATGACAGATTAAGTTAAGTAAAGTAAAGATGTAAAATAATTTCCAATTTATACTTAAATTTTCTTAGGAGGAAGAGGAAAAGTAATATTATATTGTAAATTTGAATAGATTGCAAAATTAAACCTAAATAATTATAAAGGGAGATTGTCCAAGATCTTGCTTAGAAATGAAGAATTTTAGATTGGATCCTTATTCAAATATATGGAGGATAATTGTTAAGTACCGCTTCCATTACAAGAAGAGTAAAAAATTTATTTGGTCAAAGGATTATAAATATTCAATGGTGATACATCTCTCCAATATACCATTAATTAATTTGGAACTAGATACTGTTTATCTGGATGGGTAAAATATGATGCATCAAGAGTAATTGAGAAATCAGTCTTTCCTTTGATAAGGATAAGTCTTTTTAAAAATTATTTTGAAAAAACATATTTTGGTGATGAAATATTTGTGCTAAGAGTAATTCTAAACAGAATTGAACCTAAAACAAGTGGTATTGAAATTGCTAAAGATTTCCATATGATACCTATAATGGGATTGATTAGAGGTCCAACAATTAATGCATTTTAAATAGGATTTTTTAATGATGAAAATCATCTTTATTTTGAAGGATTACAATAATGGCATTATTTACATTATGAATAAGGTTTAACAAAAGAATTTAGAACTATCTCCTATATACAATTTTACAACGAGTTAAATTAATAAATAATAATTGAAAATTTAGCATCAATATGCAACTCACCTTTTTATCTCTATTTGGGATCAGACGAGTTTGTAATAGATTTGCTCCAAGCATCACTTTATGATTTTAAATTTGAATATAATTATGAGGATGATAAGTAATTTCTATTTAATGGTATAATTAAATAATCAAAATTAGTTTGTCATTACTCTTGTAAGACTTGTGATGGACCTCTTGAAAATAATTGTATAAGTTGTTAAGATAATTCTAACAGACATTATTTAAATGAACAAAAAAAATGCAAATGCAATCATGGATTTATAGATGTTCCAGACGAGAAAGTGTGTAAATCATTTGAATTTGAATATTCTTCCGTTTAGTAAAAAGAGGGAGCACCTTTTAGTAATACTTTATGTGAATTTGGATACTTTCTCTATCCAACCAGAAATAATTTTTTTGAATGTAAAAAATGGTAATAAATTTCATTATTATGAGTCCTTAATCCAATTCTTATGAAATTCTATGTGTTGATTGTATTTATTACCCATTAACTTGGTATTTAAAACCAATATGCAAATATGATTTAATATCATTAAAATAGACTGATTAAGGTGCATTTGACTATATTAAAAGAGATTAATTAAATTATGATTTTTATCTTATTGATAAAGATAAGTTTATAGAGATTCATCCAGGTTTCTTGGATTTTTGTGATATAGAATTAGACTCTGATTGCTTTACATCAAAATATTAACATTTAGATGAATATGCAAAAGTAAAATGTAAACCAAATTACTATTAAAAAAATTAAGATTGTATTTTTACAGATATCAATTGTTTACAAGCATCAAAAGATGGAAGATGTTTATAAACTAAAACTGGAATGTATTAATATAATTCTAATTACTATTAATGTCCTTTTACTTGTTTCACTTGCGAGTATAATGTTGAATCAAATAGTTTATAATGTTAATCTTGTTTGAATGGTTACAATTTAAATAATGGAGAATGTGTTCGTTGTGGAAATTTTTGTGCTTTTTGCAAAAATTAATATGATTCAAATATAGGTACAAATTATCTAAGATGCTACAAATGTTTAGATGATTCAAAGTACTTTTTATCATTCGATGGAATAAATTGCTTTGAAAATCCAATCAAAAATTGTCATTATGCTTTTTAGGCTTTGTAAACTGATTTATAAATTAATACTCTTGATCTCAATTTTAAACCAAGAAATGATTGGCATAATATTATTACCACATGTGGAAGGTGTCATTTTAATTGTGTTCTGATATTGGAAACTAATACTTGTTTATTTTAACCTGATGATTAATGCTTCTTCTCATATTCAGAACGTTTTAGTAATTCTACTTTTCTAAATGATAATTTAATTAATGAGCTAATTGTGATTTTTGAAAAAGAAATTGATAAATAGATCATATCTATTGCATTTAATCCTAATATATTTGGTATCTATGCTACATCACAACAATATTGTTTGATTCATTCAACATATAATGAATCACCAAGATACAAAATCGTTCAATTCAATTAATAATGTTAAGGATATATAGAGAATTGTGAAAGTTGTTTAAGAGAAAAGGTAACAAATACAAGAGTAGTCCATATTTGTCTGACTTGTAAAAAGGGATATTTTGCTGACAGAATATCAGGTAAATGCTTCTAATGCCCATCAGAATTACATTGTTAACTTTGTTCTTAACAGTAAAAAATAATGAAAGATCATTGGAAAAATTAAATAAGAGCTTTTTATTAATTTTTTATTAATTCGAAAGATGATCATCCATTTAAACTAAATGCCTAAAGTGAAAACATAGATGATTATGAAATTATATGTACTTCTTGTTCTAAAGGATATGAATTAGTAAATGAAATATGTATCAAAGCTTGTCCTGATTCATGTTTAGAATGCTAATATTTAAATGGTCATAATTAATGTATAAAATGTTATCTTGAATTCTAAGGAAGAAGGCAAAGTTTATCAGAAAATTAATGTATTGAATGTCCGTAAAATTGTGCTTTGTGTAGAATTAGGTCATAAGAAGAAATTCAATTAATTAATCCTTTTTTTAATAATGATAAATACATAACAGCTTCATACCAATGTTTAAAAGGTTTTGATGATTAAAACTATTTTTTTGATTAAGAATTAGGAAGCTTTATAAATTGTATTAATCTTAATAATTGTGAAAAATAACTAATAATTCCAATTAATTTATTTTGTTCTTAAGAAGATTTCATAAAAGCCTTAAATGCTTATGGGACAGATTATGAAAAACAACAATTTAATAAACGTAACATTCTCTTGGAGGATTTAATTTCTGGATACAGTTTTAAAGAAGTAATAATAATTTAAATTAATATTTTAGTTTGAAAATGATGATTTTTATTCCTAATCTAATTCTAATTTGATAAAGACTATTATTCTTTAAATTACTAGTATCAAACCTTAAAAATGTAAAATAAAAGGAAATGCCACAATTTAATAATTATTTAGTTAGAACATTTTTTCCACTATGTAAATAATATCAGTTATTTTTCTAGAAATGTTGAATTATAAATTAATTTCAATCAAAATACTATCATTGAATTTGAAAGAACTATAACATTTTAGAATTTTAACAAAATTACAATTTTAGGAGGTATATTCTAACCTTAATAAAATAATAATATAAAATAACTGATATTTAAGAACATATTACCTTAAGTGATTGTTTTAGATAATTTTATATATTAGCAAACTTAATAGAAAATAGATTAATCTTAAATAATTTTTTAAAATGTTATTAAGTTAATTTTAAGTAATTTTAAAATAATTGACCTAATCTAAAACAATATTGATAAGTTCATTTAAATTACAAATACCTTTTTTACTAAAGTGATTAAAATTCAAAATTTTTAGATTTTAAACTCTACTTTAGACAATCAAATCACTCTATTTTTTAATTTTAATAAATAAGATATCATCGAACTGTAAGATTTATATGTAAATGCTTTATTTAATAATTCAACTTTTATATAAAGTGGAATGTCTATGAAAAATGGAAATCTTATATGTAAAAATATAAATTTCAAAGTAAATTTACTCAATTGTTTAACCTTCATTAACTGGCTTTATTTGAATGATATAAGAGTAATTGGAATTTCATTTGAAAATTCTGAAATCAATAACTCAACTCTTATCATTCTTAATAATAATAATAATTTAAGTGGTTTAACCATTAATAATAGCTCATTTAAATATTTTAGTTATGGAATTTAAAATTCTAATTAAATCTTTGAAGAGAATTTAAATATAGAATTTACAAATATTTATTTATTACATAATGAATATCATTAAAATACAAAATTTATGTATTTTCACAAATACAATAATGGGTATTCATCGATTAAAATCAATAATTTAATGATATCTAATAATTATGCTACATCCGTTTAATCTGATTTTAATTTGAAAACCTAAAACCTAGCTTTAATTTTAATTTAATTAGATGGTGTTTATATAACAAACTTAAATATCTTAAGAAGTTATGGATTGAAAGATATTAGCATATAAAATGCAAAAGTATTAAGAATAGTGTCTAGTATAATTACTTAAAGTGATGAACATAAATTCCTTGGTCTTCATTAATATCTTGATTGCCAATTATAACAAGTCTAAGGTGAATACTATTTATAATCGCTCTTTATAACATCTGTGATTGATTTTGAGGTGGTTGATATGCAAATAAGAAATGTTTAATCTTATAATTCTCCAGTTATATACTATAAATCATCTGATAGTATAACACAATAATAACTAGAAAAAATTCGTTTTATTAATTTTATTGTGGAATCAAATTTATTACTTCTAACAAATTAATAATTTTAAACTGGAATCATTTTTATGGAGTCAATTCAATAGACTACTGTTGAAGTTTAAAATGTTACATTTATAAATAATATTTTACATGAATATGTTTAAAACAATCTTTAAATATCCGCATTATTATTAAACTTCAATTGTATTTTAGGCTTAGTTACTATAACCAACTCCCATTTTTCTAAAAATACCCTTTACAATAGCACAGATAATATCATATTCATAAAAAGTCAATAATTAGTAATATTAAACAGTACTTTTTATTAAAATAGTTAGTTTAATTATCAAAATATCCAACCTTTTTTATTATGGGGGTTTGCTGAATATGAATAATTATCTTATTAATAAATAAACAGTATTTTCTAAGTAAAATCTAATGCAGGAGTTGGTTCATTTTTAGTGGAAAGTTTAGAAATAAAGTTTTGCAATTTTGAGTAATCAGTAGGTTTTTAAGGAGGAGCAATATATATTGAAGCTTAAAGAAATAGTATAATTTCAATTTCCCAGTCTTAGTTCAAGAATATTTCTACTTCATTTTCCAAAGATTTAGGATATGGTGGATCTATATATTTAGATGGAACTTAAGCAGAAACTCTCGAGTTATCAATCTCTTAATTGATTATTAATAATATTAATGCTAAGGAAGCTGGAGGATTCATTTACATTTAATCAGATTCTCCTATTATTTCAATTTCAATATATCAATTGGATATTAAAAATATCTATTCTAAACTTGGATCTTTCATATATGTTGTACTTTCTAATGTGGCTTCAAAATAGCAAATAATGAAATTAGATTAAATTTTTATTCAAAATACTTTAGAGGGATTTAAGAATTATTTAAATTAATATACTCAATTATCAAACTAAGATTAATTAGCTTTAATTAATAATAGAGCCTTATTTTATTTTGATTAAGTTATTAATGTAATCATTTAAAATGTAGAAATAGATTATTTACTAATGGAATCTGCAATTATTATGAGAAATGCTTAAATATTTTCTATTTAAAATTTAAAAGTTTCAAATAGTCTAATAAATAATTGTCTACTCCGATTATATCCAAATTTATGTAAATATTAATATTGATTTATTTTTAGATGAATCTAATAAAATTTAAATAAATAATCTAGAAGTTTAGAATATCTCAATTGTTTTATAATTAGAGAATTATAAATGTGAATAATCAACTATAATAGAATAAAAAATATACTTTTAATGCATTTCTAATGATTAAAAAAAGACCGCACCACTCATTTTGCAATAAAAGTCTAAAAATTAGTAGAATTCTTATGGAGATTGTATTATATCTTAAATTTAAGAATAATATCAATAAGAAAATAATTTAGTTTTTGATATTCAAAATTCTGGATTGTTCTTATTCTTAGATCTTACAGATTAAACTTAACTTAAATTAAACAACCTTATTTTCTCATAAATAAATTGCAAATTTTGTTCAAATGGGTTGCTATATTATTCTTTTATGAGGGTTGAGGATAATTTATTAAAATAATAGATTTCTAGTCTTAAAATTACTAATTCTCAATGTGGATTATCTGGTTGTTTTTCAATCAGAAAAGTAAATAATACTAATAGTAGACTGTTAACATAAACAGAAGTGAATATCTAATAAATGAATTTAGAAGTGATTATAGACAATTATATTTGCCAATATAATATTGCTTCTAATGGAACCTGTTTATTTATAGAGAATGTTAAAGTTTTGATACATAATTCTATTTTTTAATATAATAAAGCATCTGAAACTGGAGGTGCCATATTTGTAAAAAATAAAAAAGATATCCTGATTACAAGTAGTGTGATATCTCATAATTCAGCCTTTATAGGAGGAGGAATATATTTAATTGATTAATAAGATATGGATTATTTTAATCTAAATACAATTGTGAATAATAACTAAGCTTAGTTTTTTGGATAGAATATAATTTCTGTTCCTCAAAAGTTGACTATTACTTTATAAAATGAAAATTCTAAATTAAGCACGAAATCAATCATAATATCTTAAGATCTATTGATATAATAGGTTATTATTTAATAGAATAATTCTGCCTAACAATAGTATCTTTACTTACCTAGTGGTTAATAGATTTCTCAATATGAATTTTTCTCTAAAGTTAATCGTACTTATACTGCTTTTAATTCAAAATTCCGTGTAATTGCATTAGGCAAGGATAATAGTATAATTAAAAATCTGATAAATTCATATTGCAATATTGATAGTAGAAAAATAAATACATCAAATTATGATGATGAATAAATTCCTTTTAGTAACAAATTTACAAATTTTGATAGTGTCTATTTTAATGAATAAACATAAGATTATAATTTAGATGATATGATTTTATATTTCGATAATGAATTACCCTCTGAAATTGTATTATAATTGTAATTCAATTGCAATTCTGTTGTTGTTCCTATTTATAATTAATAATATCCTTATAATCTATTAAGCACACATTCAAATTATAAATTAAGACTCAATATCAAAACATTACCTTGTTAATATGGAGAAATTAAAAATTATACTGATTATTCTTGTATACCATGTGATAGTAATTAAGGACTGTATTCATTAACTCTTAATTCTTAAAAATGTGAACTCAAAGATGAAATTTCAACAATAAGTGTGAAATCAGCACTATTAAATTTAAAGTTTGGGTATTGGAGACCTTATTTTTAAAGTAATGTAATAAGTTATTGTTTAAATCTACCATAAAATTGTTTAGGTGGTTGGTAAGAGGGTGATGAATCATGTTTTTTAGGACATATTGGAGCCTTATGTGAATAATGTGATTTATATGATATAAGAGGAGATGGATAATATTCTATAAGTTAAAAGTACTCTTGTGGACCATGTACAAAGAATGATTAAAATATACTAATTATTGTATTAGTTAGTATTTGGTATTTTTATATTCTGAAAATAGGACTTTGATTTCGATTTTTATTTCAGTACAAAGTACAATTAAAGCCACCTAAGAATTTGTTCGAAATTTTTCCTTTTAAAAAATGGGATTAGCAGTTAACTAGAATACAAATTAATCAGCAATTCTAATTAAAATGCTCACTAATTACTTATAAATTATCGCATCAATTGTTACATTTTAACTCAAATTACCTGTTGGAATTGAAAGTACTTTTAATGCAATGGGTTCTCCAATTTAAGCAATGACTTATTCTCTAGATTGCTTTTTATCATATGCTTTTTAACTAGAAATTTAATATGCTAGAATGATTTGGTAAATAATTATGCCATCTCTTTATATCTCTGTTTTTCTTCAAGGTTACTTATTTCTAATTCTTGCATAACGTACTTCTTTTAATATATGTGTTATTACCACTACTTTTATTTATATGTACATTTATTTACAACCAAGTGTTATTGGAGGGCTAGTTCAATTAATCTCATACAGAGAGATTTCAGGATATAAATGGATTTAATCAAATATTTCATAAAGATATGATACATCTTAACATGAACAATGGATGCTTAAACTTTGTTTTCCCATGCTTTTTGTATTTGCAATTTTTGTCCCCATTTACTTTTTCTTTGGACTTTATAGTAATATTAAGAAACTGGATCAAAAGAAAGTTAGACTTTAATGGGGTTATTTATATAATGAATATACTAAATCCGCTTATTTTTGGGAGGTAATTAAAATAGCCCAAAAAGAGTTAATGATCATATCCTTAACATATTATGAAGATAGAATAATAATAAAAGCAACTATTATTTTACTTATTACTGGAGTATATTAAGTATTAAATTAAAAGTATAAGCCTTACAAATAAAATACTTTGAATTAATTAGATTATTATTCCACCAATGTTTGTCTTGCATCAATTGTTTTAGCCATTGGTATCTATATTTCATAATAATCAAATTCCAGTGAAATCTAAATTCCTTATTAAATCATAATAATAGTGCTGAACCTTCATATCATTTATTTATTAATATCAAAAATTTTAGTGGAATTCTATAAAGAAAAAACCAATGATTATTAGGATAAAATTGAAAAATTAAGATTTGTTATAAGAAAACTTTTCCCATTTTTCAATAAAATAGCATTTTTAAGAAGAATATTAGCTGATCGAGGTGAGTAAAGAATTCGAGTTAGAAAATAATATCTAAAATTAAGAAGCTATTTAATCCCATTAGCTAAAGAAATAATTCTATTAAAAAAATAATAATCTTAAGTTTCTATTGAGAGAAATTTGGATTCAAGTCCTAACACTCATCATTTGAGTGTAAGAAGTCCAAGCTTAGTTCGAGAAGGACAATAATTGATCAGAAATCCTTATTTGGCATGTTCTTTGAATTTCTCAAAAAATATTACAAATTCTTATGCATTTGATAAAATGTAATTAATTTGATTTAATAAAAATTATAGAAAAAATCAATAAATTAATCAATTACAGTAGACCTTTGATACTCACCATTATCCTATTGTAGGATAAAAAGATCAAATTAAAGACATTCAAGATGAGTGATTTCTATAAGATTAAAGTTAATTTGCATTATTAATAACATCATTTTATATCTTGCAATTTTTCATTTTAACATATCAATTTTAGCATAGATATTATCTTTTTGTTTTATATGTGATTGTTAATTAATAATAAAAGTAGAGGAATTTTTAATTTGACTATAAATATATTAATAATAAGGAGTTCTAATTTAAATAAATTTCCTCATTCATCAGAACTAAATATATCTAATCCAAATGATAATTTATCAAATGAAGATAGTTAAGGATATGGAAACTTATTAATTTATATTTAATTTTTTATAATTTCTACATTAAAATGATTTAAAATTAAATTTTTATCCTCCCAACTATTTCACATAAATATATTGTTTTTTATGAGTAAAAAGCCTTAAAATAGATGAACATTATTAAATTAAGTATTTACACAATAATATATTTTACTTATACTATATTTATAGAGATTAAAGTTTAATAAAATAAAAACTTCAAAATTAGTATTTCTAAATTTTATAGGAATAGGATTCATATAATTTTATAAACACTAATTCTATTCCAAAGTCTTTAAATAAATAATTTTCAATAAAGAGTTTATAAGGTTCCTTTTGATGAAAATTATTAATTTTACAGAATGACTATAAAGAACCAATTTTTTAATCTTATTTATAATTGAATAATTAAAATGATTTTGTTTGATAAAGGACCAGATTATATTTAATCTTAATTTCAATTATTATTATTAAATTATGGAAACTCTTAATATTTTGAAAGGAAAACTTAAATTGCATATTCTGATAAAAATTGTTGCCTTGTTTTGTATGCCTAGCTTTATTACGATGTGTTTAATCTTTCTTCCAATAACATTCCCTATTTCTATTTTGTTATGTTGGAATTATAAATTTGAAGTATTGTGATTCACATTGTAGATCAAATAACAATTAAAAAAGTAATATTAATCTGCATAGAACTTTTTGTACAATGTCCTCAATTAATCACTTTTATTTGCATTTTAGTACATGCTTAATGAAGTAATAGATATGATATTCTTTATAGCCACTCTTTTAATTAATACGAATAATCAAGGAATCTGGATTGTTTAAACTCCCTATTGGTAGAATGAAGAGACTCATAGAGGATAATTTAAATTTTCTATTGAATTACAGATTGATATAGATTTTAATTAAATTTATGTCTCCATTTTTTGAATCTATCATAAAAATCATAAAAACTAACAAAATATTGGTAATTTATTTGATTAAAATTTTAGAAAGTTTTATATTAAATTAATGCAAACTATCTTATTCCCTTTTATATCTGGATTAAAATTGATAGTTTTATCAAAAATGTAGATGAAAAATTAGTAACAATTCCAATCTATGATCAGATAGTTCTCATGTTTTAGTACTAAATATGATATGATAAGAAATTCCATCCTGAATGAGCCATAAACAACAACATAGAATACAATTTCAATAATAAATAAATTTGCAATAACTCAATTTTGGAAAAATAAGACTTTTAAAGATCAAATAATTTTAGAACTTGAATGTGGCAATGCTGGTGGTTTATCTTTTATTGCGGAAACATATGGTCCTTAAATATGTATAGGAATTGATTCATCAGAAAATCAGATATAAAACAATATAAAACTTTTTAATTAATAGACTAATTTAAAATTTAAGAATATAACTCCAAATGAGCTAAGATCAATTGAATCAAATAAGGTCGATATAATTATTGGTATTGAACTCAATAAAAAACTAGCCTTTAGAAATATAAATATGAAAAGGTTGTAATTAAAAGATATTTAGTTATTTGGAATCATCAATGAATTTATTGAAGGAAGAAGGGTATTTAATTATCTCCGATTTTGACACTATATAAAATCTTTCATAATTAGAGGATTATCTTATTAATATTGATGGATTAAAATTGATTGAAAAATAGAATTTAACAATTGGATTGGCTTTAGCTATGTAATTATAAATAGCTTATATAAAATAGCATTAAGAAATTTAAGGGAATTGGAGTAAGCAATATTATTAATACTTAGTTTCTAAATTAATAAATAAGAAATTAAGACCTCATGAATAAAGATTATAACAAATAAAAGATAGACAAAAATTATATATGGTATATGTATTAAGAAAGAGTAATTTTTGATTTTATGAACAAAAATAATATTAAAAAAGAAGATATATTTTATTATCCTCATTTATCAAGTGCATTATTTTTTGATCATTTTTTATCTCTCTTATTCTAAAACATTTAGTAATATATCTGACATCTCTGTATTCAAATTGAATAATTTTGCAAAGTTTTTGACTACATCTTAAGGATCTTAATCTTCATAAAGAGCTAATCTTCCTTGTTTTCCCGGACAAATATTTACATCCATTATAACAATTGGTTTTTTTTTTAATTTTGGTCTATTTACCATTTATGGTGGATTAAATGGAGAATTTCTTAGTTTTTCTAATTATTCTCCAGTAGAAATACTAAATATAAGGTAAATTAATACTGATTTAATTTTTCTTTTTATTCTCTTGCTTTATTATTAGCCTTTCTCATTCTATCTACCATTTTATCATAATCTTTAGGAGTGCTTGCAGTTGTTGTTGATATAGGTATACCATCATTTATTAAAGGTGTAAATGTGCATTAATTCAATTCAATTAATTCTTTTTATTCTTAAGTTTTTCTTATAGTTTCTTCTTAATACATTTTTTTTTAATGAATAGATTCTTAAGTATATAATCTACTTACAACATCAATAGTAGAATTTTATGAATAATTTTAATTAATTTTAGGTTAGAATGTACATTCTTTCATTTTTTCTTCTTATTTTTATAGTTATTATTTTTAAATTTCCCTATCAAATACTTCTTTCTTTTTTAATAGAACATCAATACAACTTTAACTTTGAGTACTTAATTATTTATCCATATATTTTTATCTGTTTTGATAAGCTAAAATTTAAGATTTCTAATTTATTGATGGAGAATATTTATCTTTTACATCTTCAATTTCTTTTTTTTTATCTGGATAACTAGAAAAAATTTAATTTTATGTTAAAGCTCTAAATTGAATAACTAATCTTTTTGCTTGATCAAATTTTTAAGTGTAATTAGTGACTTCGTAGTTTAAAAAGTCTAATACTAATTATGCTGTTTCTTCAACTGTCAATTTGACTGGATCCATCAAGATTCTAAATACACATAATACCATTTATGTTTCAACTTATTCATGTTCACCATCTTGTGATACTAGATTCCACAACATCTCATGCATCAACATCTAAATATATATATATTTATAAATACCTCTTGTTTACCTCTTAAATTAAGAGGTTAATCGCTATTTATTACTATATTTTAAATATAAATTTACATTCACAATTGCTATCAAAGATTATTTCTTAAAATATTTTTAAATCAGTGAATGCTGCTCCAATTTATGCAAAATCAAGTCTTTCACTTTAGAATCTAAATAATGTATCTGAAATTCTTTATTGTAATTAATTGGCAATAATTGCATAAGAATTTTATGTAATCTTCTTCTTGTTTGATAATGCCTTGATCTCTGCATTAATCTATGCATTATAAATATCTGTAAACCTAATCTTATAAAAGTTGATAACGTTGTTCCTATCTATAGAAACGATTGTAAAATTTGGTGTTCTTAATTATACAAATTAATACTTATAATTGTTCTTTCGTTATGGTTGGACTTTGAGACCTCGGTATTATGGTAACTAAATCTGAACGATTTGCTGGTGAAACAGAACGAGATGTTTTTTCTCTAGTTTGAAATAACATTTATAATTAATAACAGAACTTAATCATGTATAGCAAATTAAGTAATAAGTACAAAGTATTAATTACTTATTTTAATCATTTATATTTTATGGATCACATAAATAAAGACAACCTTCATGATTTAAACAAAAAGTTAACAGAAGAAAATTAAAGACTATCACTTCTTGTATATGGTTTATAACGACAATTACAAAATGCTGCAGTTCAGATCAATTATGTGCAATAAATTGAAGAAAAATTAGAGTTGTTGCAATTTGAGATAATCCAATTAAAAAAAGATAATTAATTATTACAAGAATAAACATTCATATATAATGAGTAATAAATGCAAAAGGATTAACTCTAATTGTAACTTGATAATATGAAATCTGAATATGAGTAGAAGTTACAATTTCTAATTAAAGAAAATAAGAGATTAGGAAGACTTAATAAAGAGATATAAACTAAATAAACTTGCTCACTTGAAACATAAGCATAAAAATTGGTTGAATTAGGCAATGATCTAAAAAATAAACTGGAAACTTTCAATTAATAATCAAATAATCTCAATTAAACTATGATAGGTCCCAAAGGTTTGACTAAAAAGATTTATGACAATTTGATCTAACAATTGTAAACTACAGATGAAAAGTCATTCTAAATTACCCAGTATAAAATTATTATTATTCATTTTAGTGCTAAAAGATTACCAATAATATAAGTAAAGGAAGTAAAATAATAACCATACAGTTAAAAAAGCTTGGTTAGCATACCTATCATTTCGAGTATAACGAGTATAAAATGATTACATATTACTTATTAAATTTGATCAATAGTATAATTATCATTATTTAATTTGTATTTGATTAATAAATTAAATGTCTGTTGCACCTTCCTAATTTGAAAAATGCTATAAACATCCATCAAATGATATAGTCCTTTTTTGTATGTCTTTGGAATGCAGACAGGTTTTAAATATATTCTATAACAATTAAATAGCCCTTATGTAAAGATTGTTGTAAATTACATGTGCAATAACACAATTAAAATGGTACATAAGCTCAATTAGATACAGTTGATAATGTAAGATAGTAATTATTGAATAATGTGCATGAAATGAAAACAAAATTTGAAGAGTACATATATATATTCTAATTTTAAAAGAGAGAGAACAATTTTACATCATTTTAATGTAAGTGAATCTCCAGAATTATTGAAATAAATACAAAATAAATTACAAAGAATTAAATAAACATTAATGACAGCAGTCAATGAATATTGTATTTAATTAGAAGAATAAGTTAAATAAAAAATTCATTTACAAAAAGTAAGTTCAAGAATTATAATTTTTAGTAATCTCATCCTGGAGAAAGAAAAGATCTTCATCATAAACTTAATTAGATTATTATTAATTTAGATCAATAAGAAAAGATGTTACTCTAACCTAAATATATAAGAGGATGTTTGATGGTAATGAGTGATGAATAAAATCATGATTTTGAATAGTTAACATTAGAAGTTGATGATGCTCTTAAAATATATTTATCTAATGCCTTTGATGTTTATGTTCATGATGACAAGTTATAAAAAATAATCTAAACATTTACAGAATATGTTGATATTTATTAGGTAAATTTGACGGAAGAATTAGAACATTTATCTAAAAAGATTAGAGACAATAGTTAATTAGTCCCTCAAATACCTAAGAAAAATATATAAAATCAAAAAATAGCATAATAACCTATACCAATTAAAGAGACAAAATAATATCATTCCATTTATGATGAGAAATTCAGTTCAAATAATTTTGCTAGTTAGTCTCAATTCAAAAGAAGTTATGGAGATAAAAAGTAGGATTAATATTATTAAAAAATATATTAATGATTTCTATAATTTTTGTTCTTAGATTTAGTAGAGTATTGTTTATCAGGTTGATTTTCATATGAAAAATAATATTCTATTTTCTTGTTAGAAATAGCTAATAAAATTCATAAAATTTTATGAAAACAATAGTGAAATGATTAATATATTTAAATCTGACTTTGAAAGACATCTATATTCAAGTTCAATACTAAATAATACAGTTTAGTTAAATGTGACAGATCTGAAATTCCTAATGAAAGGATTCCAAGAATAACAAACTCCAATTTCAATAAGAACGATATTTAAGAAGTTTATTAATGCACTTCCATAAAAGGCTTCATATAGAGTAAAATTAAAGATTTTAGCAGCATGTCATGTATTATTAGATGATATGATGCATGGTGCCATATTTGCAGAGTATGTCAATGATTGGGATGGGTTTATAGATAATAATAATTAAAATGAAGATAAATTTGTAGATTTCTATTTTCAAGTATTGCAAAGATTTGCTAATAGCATTTCTTTGATTAAGATGGTGAAAAGTTAAAAATCATACACAATCAAATGTATTAAATTCTCATCTAAACTAGAATTTGAAGAATTTTAAAATATGTATTATAAAGCGATAAACTTATTAAATTTTGTATTTTGCCAAACTCCACTATTTAAAGATATTTTAGCATCTAACAAAGAAGAGATTATTTATGAATTATTATTACTTTTATGGAATGATGTCATTGCATTATATCTCTTTCTAGAAAAGTAATTAAAAATTTTATTTTAGATTAATTAAAGAGTTTGAGTTGGAATATTCATCCCTCTCAACTTCAGTTTTCTTTTAAATTTACTAATTACTTCCAGACATATAAAAGATTTAGAATTCTATTAAAGAATTTTATTAATTACATTATTACCATAAAGTTGAAAAACATATTAAGGAACCATATTGGAAAGAAATAAATGAAAAAAAATTGGAAGAAATTCATAAATATAATTAAATTGTTAAAATTTCTACAACTAGACACAAATTATAATAGTAAGTAAGAAGAAAGCATTAAACATTTACACCATAAAATAACTGTTAATAATAATATTTTTCAAATACAACATTAGGTTATCTAAAGAGGCTCTCAACTTCTGAAGATCCATTTGAAATAAGTGTGCAAGATAACTTTGGATATCAATTCACTTAATAGTGACATTTTATATTTATTAATGATATATGATTAATATATTATTCATTTTTGTCCAAAGAAATGAATATGAATTTTTGATTATTTATAATATTTATTCTGTAAATCTGTTTTCCTAATCCATTCCTCAAAATCTAATTTATCAATAAATTTTTCTGAGGTACACATAGGGTTATGCTCAGATATCAGTTCACTAAAGCTTTCTATTATTTGTTATTTTTCAGGACTAACAATGAACTATTTCCACTTTTCCAAATCAAAGGAGAAAATATTTGTTGCAGTAATAATGAAATATTAAATTTCCCAACTGATTTCATAAATTTTTTATTTAAGTTTTTTACTCTGAGTGTTAATTAATAAATCTTCGAGAAATGATTTAAATTAATTGAATTCATCTGAGATTGTGAAAAATTTTTTTTCTGATAATTCTTCAGGTGATGAAGTTTCTGGTTAATTGTATTTTGGTTATTGTTCAATGTTCGATTATGTGGTTATTTATGTAGCTTCACAAAACTTTGCACTGCATCCGCAAGATTGACCCATTAATTAAAATAATACTATGAATTAAATTATGTTATAAAAATAATTTGATCTTCATTTAAGAATATAATTGTATATATTAATTGAACAATAAATAAGTATGTTTCCTTCTTTTCAAAAAGAATTTATATTACAAAAGTCTATTTATTAAAATGAATCTTAATTGAATCTATCACTTTCATTTTTCTATTATATTCCTCTTTTATTTTCATTATTTATTGATTTACTATAAATGTTTTTAGAATAAGAGTCAATAAACTAGTTAAAAATATCAACATAAATAAATTGTTAAGATTGATAACAAAATAATATTTTAATAGATTTTATTGAAATTAAATTAAATTATTTATTATATTCAGACCTTTCTTAAGGCATAAATTAGATATAGTGTTTTTCTTTCACTTAACTCCTAAAAAATACGAGAACTTTAAACACCACTAAACTTATTAAAGAAGCTTCTAAAAACTATAATAATAATATAAATTGAATTTACTTATTCCACAATGTCTATTCATCCATTATTATTTTCTCTTCTCATCTAATTTTAAGGCTTAAAGGACATTAATAGTTATGTCTTCTTTTGTTTCCAATTTCTATCAATATAATGATTTCTTATACCAATCCTGTTGATTATAAGTCTTATTCAAATTATTTTAATTCTTCGATAGCTCTGAAATCTGTAATAATAAATAAGCCTCCTGTGTTTAGTAATTTTGTAACTTCTTACACAAACTTCTAAAAATTGCCATAACAATGTGATGATTCAACATTGATGATCAAATCAAATGTTTATATATTTAAATTAGTTAAATTTTCAGCATCACCTTGTAAATAATTCAATTTTTAATTTTCTCTATAAGTGGTCTTACAAAAATCAACTTAATTCTAAGAATAATCAACACCAACACAATATTCTGGTTTTAATGATTAATGAATATAATATAATCCTCCTCCTCTTCCACTTCCAACTTCTAATACTCTTTTTCCTTGAAGATCCTTTAATTTCAAACAATTTGTTGCCACCATATGATATAATTAGATACAAAACCTTTCTTCTTCTTATTATTCATCCAAATTGTTGAGAATACGTCCATTTTCATTCAATAATGCATATCCATAATTCATAGCTCTCCATTTATTTAATGGGAAATATGCACACATAAAATCATAAATAAATCCCCATAATAATTTTCTAGGTTTCTCACTCTAATAAAACAAATAGTCATATATTTTATGATAAACTTTTGTAAAAGTGTGCCTGATCTAATAATATTAATTTTACTTACAGGAGTATATTTAACAATTATAAATATCCCTATTGTAATAGGAAAGAATGTAATTGCAATAACAAGTAAAAAAAAACTAGCAATAATTGCAATTCCAGCGAATAAAAAGAATAGGATTAAACTTTTGTTTTGTGGTGAAAGCAAATTCATATTATGATTATATTAATATTTACTTATTAAATTAAATCTAAAAAGAATAATTTATGTTAAATTTACAATATAAATATTTATAATATATAAATGTCTCAATTATAGAATTCTGTTTTTGGAGTTGTTGTTGACATTTATCGAGCAACTAAACTTGTGTTCATTTTAGACTAATATAAAAATATAAATTACTGTAGTTTCTAATTTTTATAATAATTAAGCTTCTTATTTTCTTAGTTCTTCAATAATACTTAATTTATTTTCAGCTTCAATCATATGTTAAGATTTCGAGTGATAATGATCCTATTAATGTTTAAGATATCTTTATTTATGAAAATTGTTAATGCTTTATTAAGCTAACTGTTCTTGAGTAATAATCTATTATTTTTGCTCATATTTTTATTGTTTAAGGTTGTCGAGATTCTATCTAATAAGCTATTCATTTTTTTGAGATTGCTCCTTTATATTCTTGACTTCTTATTATTTCATCTAAAGGAAGTTTTATTAGATATAAATTTTCTCTTATGATTATTGTCTTTTCAGATTGCGTGTTCGAGATACCAAATTCTATATCTACATATTTACTTATTCTTTATGCATTTATTTCTATATTTATGTAATTCATATACAAATTCTCTAAATTATTCATGATCTTCACGAATTCGTGTTAGTTGTTCATTCTTCTACTATTATATTTAAGCTTTCTTCTCTCTAAAAACGAATATAATATCTTAATGATACCTTATTTCATTTTCTAACTTTAGTAGTTAGACTCTTCTTTTTGCCTTTTCTAATTAACGAGAAGCATCAAAAAATTCCTTTTTAGGACTCTACTAAAAATTTTCTAGCTTAGGAGCTGATGAAGAAAAATAATATGAAGGACTGCCCAAATTAGTTCTGCTCATTTAATATAATAATTATTTAATAATCATAGTGATTGTATCTCTTCGAAATACCTTAGTATTGGATTCATAATCCACTAAAAAATCTTAATAAATTAATACTCTTTATGGTTTCAATCCTGTGAACCATTCAACATGAGCTCCTTTATTTGTTAAGCCAACAATGATATTAGGGTTTTACTTGATTTGATCATAAGGTACTAGAAATTGAGGAACGATGGGATCATCTTTGGCATGCATAATGAGAACAGGAACTTTGACATCTTTGATGTAGTTTCCGCATCCAATTGATGAGTATAACTATTCAGGAGAATCAAAATCAAATAATCTTCTGGTAATTAATTCATCAAATTCATAAGTATTTTTGGCCTGTAATGCTTCTTATATTTGTATTCCCTTAGTTTTTTCATTTTCTGTTAATGAATTTTAATGTTATTTGAGGAGCATTTTGAAATTACAAGTGATTGACCAATCATAAATTTTGTTCCTAAATTTCATGATGTTATGCGAACAATCCAAAAGATCATATGGATTGGCAACTGAGAATATTCTGTTGACTTTACATTTATATCCCTCCTCTCCTGCATATTTCAATAAAAGACTACCTCCAATTGAAAAACCTAATCCAAATATTTATTGACCCTTCTATTTATTTTCTTATAAATAATTGATCACTTCTCTAAGATCATTAGTACATCCATGAAAATGATATTTACTTGTTAATAATTCACAATTAGACACTCCTCTTTGATTAAAACATACTACTTGATACCCAGCATCAGCTAGAGTCTGAGCAGCATGTTTTATATAATTAGTTTCAGAACCACCTGTTAACCCATGAGTAATTAAAATAAGTGGTTTATTTGTAACAACATGCTTATTCTTCCAATCTAGTGCTAATTATCCTCCATCTGATAATTTAAACAGTTATCTTTCAAATTCTGTGTCAAGCTTTTTTTCCCAACGAGTAGCATATGCTAGTTACATCAATCGGTGAGAAATATAGAAAGTAGGCCTATACTTGATCTTCAATAAACTTATCGTTTACATCTGCAAAAATGTTAAGAACGTGCTTCTCAATAGCTTCTGGATGGTGAATAAATTCCATGGAAGTATTCCAGAAGCATTCATAACAATAATAAGCAGAAGCAGCCACAGTTACAGCACCTGCCAAAGAAACTGTTCTAAGTCTTGTCAAATACTTCTAATAGACAAGCTTTGGTTTAAGTTATAATGATGTAGTGGATCTTAGGATTGTTACAAACATAATTTTAATAATTGTCATTTCTCAAAAATTATTCAACTTATATGATGCGTCACATTATAAATTAAACTATTTTTGATATTTAATCAATCCATGACTTCTACATTTGTAATTATATGCACTTATTATTTAAATTCTCTGTTATCATTATAAAAATTCAAATTTATACTAATTATAGAATCAATATTTTATAATTCATTAAATTATTGTATTTCCAAAATTTTTATATTTTGTTAAGCACTATTTAATTTATTAGTCATAATGGTTAGGCCCTGGAAAATTATTCTTCTTCTAAGGAGGTATTTTCATTCCAATTGAGAATAATGGTCCTCCTAATCCTTCTGTATCCTTATATTGACCAGGACCAGGGACTTCATTTAAATATGGCTTTTCCCTAAAAACTGAAATTGATTTTCCTTTCTTTTTGTATTTCTCAATTTCGAAGACAGTAGGTATTGTATAAGATGCTGGAGATGGACGTAGTACTTATTAAGGTTTGAAACGTTTGTCAGTTCCAAAAGGTTTTCTTTTATTCTCCTTTTTTGGTGGTAATGGTATTTCATTGAATCGTTCTTCCATTATAAATACGATAATTAAAATAATAACTAAATGAAATAAAAAAGAATATTTACTTTAAGGGATATTAAAATATATAAAATACTCTAAGACTTAAATATATTTATCTAATTTCTCAGAAGTTAAGCAACTATTTATTAACAATTATAAAATCTGATAAATTTAAAATGTAACACATTCTAGTGTAAATAAATATCTAAAATAAAAGTATTGTTGAATGGATTCCCTTAAAATAAGAAGAAATATTATTAATAAATTAATAAATAAATATTATTTATATCAATGAAAAACCATTAAAAAGGGTATTTAGAACTCAACTAGATTTGGCTTAGTAGATAGTATATATTCTAAATAAATAAAGAGAGTATGATGCTCATAAGAAAAGACTACAACAAAACTATAAGTTGAGTCCTCCAAAAGATTAAAGAATCTATGAATAAGTCAAAAAAACTTAGTTTATTAATAATAGAAAACGAGAATTGATGAAATGGTAAACAATTTAAGAATAAAATACATAAATACTTGCGAGATTGGCTAAAATAAGCAATCGTTCACCAACTGTATTACAAAAATTATATTGGAAAGCCTCCAAGTTAATGTGGTACACCTAGAGGTAGAAGATCACTAAAGGAATAAAAATTGCGTATTGAAAGTGAAAATAAAAGATTGTTAAATAAAATAAATGGAATGTAAGGTTTAATTAAATTTTAGATAATCTAATCTAAAGTAAGAAAATTTTTAAGATTCTTATTTGAAGCATAAAAAGATATAATAAAATATGTAAAAATTTTATTTTGATTAAAATTTACACAAAATTAAATTAAGGGTTGATGCATACTTAGATAATTTTAATACATAGAAATTAAATGAAAGATCTAAAAGTTTACATATTAATCCAAGAACCAGCAAATTAAACTGAAATAGATATATTTATAAATACTTATGATTTAAATTAACCCAAAATATCAAATTTATTTATAGTTCACTTTTTCCTTTATTCTATCACTTAAAACATAACTTATTGTATATTTGCTTTTGTTGAAAAGTGATTATTATTATTCATATTACTTTAAATTATTATACCTAATAAAATATAAGAGATTAAATTACTTTTTAATTATAATATCTGGATTGAAAAAAGGATAATATTAACTAAAATTTTGTGCTTTCTCAAATTCTTCATCTTCTTAAAGACAAAAGAAATTATTTTAATTTATTATATTTGTTAATCCAATAAAGATATTTTCATCATATTTAAAGTTCTAAGTTTGTGAGCTTTTCCTTCTTTGTTGCTTTTGATATTATTCAATAAGATTTTTATCACCTTCATCCAAATGTAGATTTGATCTATATGATACCTTAAAATTTTCTAATTTTTTAGACATATCTGTCTAAGTAGTATAACTATATGATTTTTTATTCTATCTTGTAGTTTTTAACTCTTACACATTTGAATTTTTTGGACTATTTTTTTAATTTAATTACTATAAATTATTTTATCCCAAAATACACATATCTATTAATTTATCTTAATTATCTACTGTATTAAATTTATTATGTTATATTTATTAAATATTTTAATTATTAATTGATTATTAACTTTAATCTTCATATTCAAGTTCTTTAATTATACTTTTCATTTAAAATGGATTTTATTAAGCATAAATAGGTTAATCTTTTCTAAGCATGTTTGTATCAATTTCAAGACATGAATCTTTAAGATCATCTAATTCACTATTAAGTAATAAGGTATTACTAGGTCTTGCCCTATTAATAACAGGTAAGTAACCACCTTATTGAGATTAATTTTATTAAATATATGTAGATGACAAATAATTCTAATTATTAGTTAGATCTCTTAATATATCTGAATCAGCATTAAAATTATTTTCTTGAAATTCTTCTCCTGCCATACCAATTTAAAATTAATAATCTCTACTGTTTTAAGTTCTTTTATCATTTCTTTTATCTACTTTTCAATTATAAATAGTACATAATTTTCTAATTTGATTATGATTATAAGAAAATTGACTTAAGATCTTTTCTTTATTTGGATTATAATGTAATTTGTCACAAGATATAAGTAAATGATTTGGTGCATTACAACAATAGCATTTTAATCCAATTTAATCGTATTGATTCCCAAATATTATTTAGTCTTTAAGAAATGATGCTATTTCCTAGATTAATAGATAAAGATATACAAAATCTGATCTATTATTTTTTATGACATTTAAAAAATCATTTCTAGTGATTTTATATACTTCAACTGGTCCTTAACATATAACACTACTTGTTCTAGGTAAACCAGTAAAGAATGACACTTCTCCAAAAGTTTAAAATTTGTTTAACTATTTAATTCCAGTTTATGCATTATTAATACCAATGTAACAAATTTTAACACATCCTTTTTTAATCAAATATAATGAATCATCATCTCTATAATTTTATTTCAATATAATTTCATTTGATTAGAAATTTTAAAATGACATTTTTTCAATTAGTCTTTCTTAAATATCCTATGAAAATTTGGAGAAAATGGTTATTTTCTGAAAATATTTAGCATTAATAGTTTTTTCAATTTTTTTATAAATTTCACTATTAACATATTTGATTGATTTTGTATCAATAGCTGAACCTTATTAAAGTATATCATTTTTCATTTCATATTTATAATTACTCAATGCCTTCTTTTTTAATTAAGTATCTATTTTATGATGATTAAGAAAAGCCTTAAAATCAAAGTAATGTTTTTTAAGTAAATACTGATCAATATTCTAATAAAAAAAGAATAGAATTTCTAAAAATACACCTATCCTATTACAAGTTTAAACTATTTGCACAAAAATTGCAAATTATAACTCAAAACTAGTTTCATGAGATAATGATCCATAAATAGTCAAGTATTCATCTAAATATGAATGTAGATAGGTTAAATAAGTTATAAATTAAACACTAATTGATTCATGTATTATATTTGAATGATTAATTGATATTTGAATAAGAGTGAAAAGATGACAATAACAGATTGCAATACTAAACCTATATGCTAACAATACTACAAGTTATTATGATAAAGGGTTGTGTAATTTAACTTTCTGAATTGTTAATATATTCAAAACTATAATACCTATAATTGTTATGTACAAATCAGTCAAGCAAAATTGCAGTATGAATATGAAAGATAAATAGACAAAAATATCTTTAATTAGATATCTTTTTATGTAATTAAATTAAATTTATTTAAGATTAGTAATTTCTATGTCGTTTTAATAGTAGCTAGTGTATAGATTAAGGAGATTATTTAAAACATTAAGGATTAATAAAGAAAACAAGAGTAATATAATTTCTGAACTATTGGGATATATCAAAATTAATGGGGAGAATAAAAGAGTTGTAATATAAGTTATTTACATGATCTTTTTCCATATATCTCTAAATCTGCTATAACGAGGAATAGGAATTTTAATTGAATTCTTAAAGGAATTAAATTTTGTACTCTCCTTAAAATTTTCAGTTACATTATCATATGATTATCCTGTCTAGAGTAATTGATTTACACAATAACATTCAGCATATTGATTGGAGCTTATTTTTAATTTATCTATAAATTTTATTATCAACTATTCCATTCTTGTATTTTTCATCTTTTGTTTATTAGTTGGTGATGTAATTCTTCTTCTTTCCTAAATGAAATAATATTATACAAATAATTTTATTGCATTTTAGGTGTTTAATTATTTGCTTCTATTTGAACAAGACTCAATAATATGTGGATCTCTATTATCTATATCAAAACCATTCATATCATAACTTGTTGAGTCTTTTGGTTGTAAAGGATATTGCATAAAAAACTCATTATGAGGCATCTATTAAATATATTTAGAATTCAGTTTATGAGAACAATGAGAATAATTCCTTGAAGTATTAGAGCTTGGTAGGTTTACAAACTCTTTGTTCTGAGTATGATTCATATAAATTATTATAAAATTTATGTAATTGTCAATCTTTAACAAGTTTATATCGATAGGTTAATTAATACTATAGGAATTAAACATGATTAAAAATATATTTAAAATATTAAGAATTCTAAACAATTACATTTAAACAAACATACTTATTATCATATTAAATTGTTAACCATTTATAATATAATCTAGACATAAGGATAAAATACAATATTAATGGACGAATATAAAATATACACTGATAATTTTGACTAAATATAAACAAAACTATAACAGTTTTCATTACTTTTATCATTTTCAATATGAATTTCAAAGGTATAAAATAAAAGATACAATAGAATCATCAATACAATCTACATAATCTTAAAAATCAATCACAATATTATTATAAAATTCATTTCATTACGTATAAAAACAATTATAATTTATTAAAAAAAGATGGCTTATACAACAGCAAGATTATTTTCAACGTAATCATTTGAAATAAGTTTAGGGTTGTGACTTAAACATTTTTTAGAGATATTTAAGTTATTGGATAAGAAAACATTCCAAAAGTAATTCTTCATTATAAATTATTTAGGATGGACCACTATTGTTGTTTGGAAATCACAATAATCAATTTATTGATCCATTAGTATTAATATTTATAAAAGAAAGCTCATTATTTCAAATATTCCAAGGAAAGTTCATTTCATTGCAGCTGCAAAAGTTATTCAATTATGTTTATACAATAGAGCATGAAAAGGCCTATTATAGGTCACTTAGGAAAAGCCTTAGGGGGAATCCCAGTTGAGAGACCATAGGATCTAGCAAAACGTGGTTTTGGAACCATCTAAAGGATTGATGGAAATATGGTATATGGTTTAAGAACAGAATTTAAATCATAATGCAAAGTCAATGATATTTTAGTAGCAGTAATTAAATTATCTTAATATAAATAGAATGAATAGGAATTTCAAATAGTAGAAATAATCAATGATACTTAATTGAAAATTAATAATAATGGATAAATAGATTCTCCCATTAGAAATCTTCAATATAAAATATAACCTAAGATTGATTAATCTAATATGTTTGAATAAGTTTGGATTGAATTATCAAAAGGAGCTTGTATTGGAATATTTCCAGAAGGAGGAAGTCATGATTAAACAAGATTATTACCACTTAAACCTGGAATTTGTATTATGGCATTAGGAGCAAGTTAAAAATTTAACACTAAAGTTAAACTCTAACCAGTTGGTTTAAATTATTTCAAAGGACATAAGTTTAGATCAAAAGTAATCATAGAATTTGGAGTACCTTATGAAGTAAGTTAAGAATTAATAGATTTATATGCAAAAAATAAAAGAGAAGCAATTAGCAATTTACTTTATGAAATTGAAAGTGTATTAGATCTATATTTATAATTTATAGTAATTGAAAACTGTAACAATATAAGCTCCTACATATTCAGATTTATCAGCTGTAATGATTGTTAGATCTCTCTATTTACCTGATAAAGCAAGATTATCAGCTTAAGACAATTTAGAATTAGTAAAAAGGTAATTAATTATTTAAATAAATAAGATTCTCTTCTGCCTTTTATAAATTAGAAAATCATCCAGAAGTAAAAGAAGTAGTTAGTTAAGTGAAAATGTATAATTACAAATTGAAGGCACTTGGTGTATATGATTATTAAGTAATGAGAATGGAGAAAAATACATTTAAAGATATTTATAAGATAGCTTTTAATTTATTTATGGCATTGTTAAGTTTATCATTTGCATTACCTGGATATATAATGACTATTCCTATATCTCTTTTATTAAATACTTATACAGAGAGGGAAAGATAGAAGGCATTAGCTAATTCTAAGGTGAAATTGAGTGGTAAGGATGTAATAGCTTCTTACAAAATATTGGCTTCAATAATGATTGTACCAGCAGCAATTGCTATTTATACAATTTTATTTCATTATGCTTTGAAGAAATGGAATTTTATAAGTAAAGAGAAATAATTAAAATTGACTTTGATATTTTTCTTACTTTGGCCTTTATACATTACTGCAATGATAAGATCAAATGATGGTTTGATTAGACATTCAAGAAAGGTAAAAAGCCAAATTTTATTTTATTTGTATTAAAGTAAATATAGAAAACTTAAAAAATCGAGAGAATAACTTTAAGATAGAGTATTATATTATAAAATTAATTAAGATTCGTAAGATGGTTGATATGTTGGGAGAAAATGTAGTGGCTGATTTCAAAAAGAAAAGAGTGTTTTCTTTTGATGCTAAGAAGGATAATTTAGATATTGATAATGTATTTTGTTCATTAGAAGAGCTTGGAATCTGAAAATCAATATATATATAATAATAATATGATTAATATTTTATTAACATTTACAATCTTAGTTTTTGTACAAAGCTAAATTAAGTTAGAAAATCCAATTAAAGATTTGAAGATAATAGAAGTGGAGAAAAGAGATGAATAATAATTAATTGAAATGATTCCAGAATAAACAAAAAGAGTTGTACAATATAATGATTCTAAAACAACTATTGGTATGAAAGTAACCTCAAGTAATGAAACATTATTGAAATGTCTTTCTTATGATAAAAATATTCTCTTTGAACCTTACATGGTTAATGAAATCAAATTATTATTCCCATCTATAAATTCATATTATACTGATGAGTCATTGAAAATAAATAGAACAGCAAATGTAAATGATCCTGATTTTATTATGAAAAATCCTGTTTTAGTAGGATTGGCCAATACAACATCATAAGGTTTTATTGTTTTAACTAGCAATCATTTATTATATTTATTTTAACTTAGTTTTTCATAACTTTCTAATAAGTTTTCAATAAAATCAAATTAAACCTTTAATTTTAGTGATTTAAGATAAACTTAATATGAACCTGTTTCACCATAACTTATTTGGTTTGATTAGAAATCATGTGTTCTTATAATATTTCCATAATAAATTATAATTGGAAAATTAATTGATGGTCAATTTTTATTTAAAAATAGCAATATTTCTATATCTAATGAAGAAGAATATATTGGAATTGCCAAACTTCATAAAGGTTATCTATTTGTTGCTAGAGGTAGATTAGGAATTGATATTTATTCAATTAATGAATAAGGATAATTAATTTAAATTTAAAATCTTTATAATCAATTATCAAATGATATTCATAATATGTATATCTAAGATTTTGATTTTGGTGGATTTGATAATAATTATATCTTTATTCTTGATAAATATTAAGGATTCATGATTTATTAAATTGATAATCAATTATTCACTCTTACTAAATGGTTAGATTCTATATTAGAAATTAAAGGAGCAAAATTAATTAAAACATATATTAATATTATTATGATAATGGTTGAACATAATTCATATAATCATATATTAGAATATTGCATTTATTCATAAGATAAAAAGTTATTTTATATAAAAACACATTATTTAGATGGAAAATATTTTGATATTGATATTGAAGATTAATTTGCCATAATAAGAGGCTATGATGGACATAAAATAATTTATCATTCAATTCATGAAGGATTTCAAGTAAATTACAATTCACCAATAACAGATGAATCTTGGGAAGATGGAACAGAACTATAAGAAGATATTGATTAATATGCAATCATTCCATAAATGTAATCCTTTTATTTGACTAAACATTTAAATTAAGTATATAATTTAATAAATTGTAGAGCTTTTTAGTAGCAATATCATTTAGAACTCTTATGTTTATGAGATTTATTAGGGTTGAACCATATGTAGAATGTAAATTAACTAATTTAGCAACTAAAAATAGTCAAATAACAGTCAATGCTGTATTAAATTCAACTTGGTGCAAAGAAAAATTTTAATAACAAATAGTTTATAATTAATCATTTTATTCTGATTTAATAATGTGTAAAAAAGAATTAGATTTTTCTATTAAAGTTATTAATACTTTAGAAGAGGAATAAACTAATTACTATTACATAATTATAATACTAATAGCATCATTAATTTTATTATGCTTTTTATTGATTGCTTTAAGAATATTCTTTGCCAAATATAGATAGGAATAATCAAGTCTTGAAAGTGTAATTGATTAATTAGGAAAAAGAGGATATACGGCAGAAAAATCATAAGATTAGATTTCAGGTTTTTGATTTATGATATATTTCAATTCAATAATCAATTACTATAAGTTTTTAATAAATATTGATAAATTTCTAAATATCATTTTTAATACTATTGAACTTAATCTTTTAAATTCTTAATCTAACTCTTAAGAGTTAATATCATTTCATCTTTAGATTTGGCATTTGAACTTTCTTTAAGTTTATCAAATTCTCTTTCATATAATAAATCTCTTTATATAGAATCAAATTATGTATTCTCCTTTTTATCATAATTTTTTTGTTTTTATGATTAAATTTAAGATAAAATGAGTTCATCTTTATCATAATCCTTTTCGATATAACCATTAACAAATTCTTCTGCTTCTTATAATTCATTAACAGGTACTTAATTAACTTATGGTTTAATTTAATTTAAATTAATCACCTTTGGTTTTCTAATTGGTAAATCACTAGTTGATAATTTATATGGATTGGCAATATTACTTTATAGTATTTATTCATCTCTTAGATCATCTTCATACAAAACTTGTTTTACATTAGGCATTTAGAATTGAGGAGCTGGTTATTTTTATTTTTTGTCTTTATTTACTTTTGAATCCTCAACTGTCTATTCAAATTGATTAAGCAAATCTGAAAGTATTGTTGAATGTTTTTATGCCATTATTGCAGTCTTTTCTTCAATCTAATTACCTTAAATCTTATGAATGAAACATAATAAAACTTCTAATTAATCTTATTTTGTTGATAAATTTAAACTTTCTATAGAACATAATAATTATGAAATCTAATCTATATAAGTTAATAAACTAGATATTTATTCATCTAAATCTGAAAAGTATCTATAAATATAATCTCCAATAATATTATGTTCCATTACTTTCTATACTCTTTCTACAGTATCAATCTTAATTTAATCATTTATTAAGAATCTTATATTGTTTAATAATTCTTTTATAAGATCAAAATTAGTTTTATCTTTATTAGACAGTATATTAAAAGCATTAGTGATTAATTCAAATGGTAAAAGTCTATCACCATCTATTTAGGCTGATTTATCTTTATTTTATGAAATATTATAAATTTCTTTAGTTTTCTAAATAAATTTCATAATTTATTCTACATCAGATCTTCTATATTTTTATTCATATAAAAAATGAGCAATATCAACTAATTTAAAATAATTTCCTTTTATTTATGTAGAAAATTTCTTAATAAAATTACCAACAGTTTATAAATATATTGAATTCAAAGCCTATTAATCTTTATATTTATTAATTAAATCTGGATAACCTACAGGTGTATAATTCTCATTAGAAAGAAGAGTGCCTAAATATCTACAGATAACTCTTTTTTCATAAAAGGCACTCTCCTTTTATAAGAAGAGTTCTTAAAGTGATTCTCTACACATTGCTGCAATTTGATCAGTCTCTTAATTTTTTACATATATTCTTGTATCTTCTTATTCAGCAATATTTCTAAATGCTAATTCTTCAAATCTTTATAACATTTTCACTTCCTGAATTTTAGTTTACAATAACATAGTTTTAATATTTTTATAGCTATTCTAAATATGAAATATTAACTTACAAAATAATTTCTTAGATAAATACAAAGACTAATATTTCTTTATTTTGCAGAGTTTTCACTAATCAAATTTCTGATTTTAGTTTTTTCTTTATAAAACTTTTTAAAGTTAAATATAAAAGCTTTCATAGAAATCATAGGAATTGTCTTTGATTACTATTATTATTAATTCTTATCTATATGATTTGAATTAAGATTTTTTTCATTTATAGTATTTGTTTTACTGCTTTTTGTTTCCTTTGGATTATTTTTTTTGGAAACAACTTCAACTTTACTTTGTTTGTTTTGATTATAAAAGATTTCAAGTTCATCATCGTTATTCATTTTAATTTTATATTTATATATATATATATATATATTAATAATAAATTAATTAGTCATTCTTAAAATAATAAAAATTTGAAATCTTCAAATTCTTATTCCTTTTATTGATTATTACTAAGTGCTCTTTTAATATAGAATTTCTTCTTTTGATGTAATAAATTTATTTATTATTCAATTGTGTTTCTACATAAAAATCTGACTACTTTAACTTGATTTTATTATCCAATTCTATCAGCTCTACCTATAGCTTAATCTTCAATTGCAGGCTAAATAATATTATATATTAATTTTACATTCCACCATGGATCTACTAAAAAAACATTACTAGCCATAGTTAAATTTAATCCTGTTGATGTTGCTCTTAAAGATAATATAAGTGCTGTAACATCTTATTATTCTTTAAAATTTTTAATTATTTTTTCTCTTTTATCCACTGTCATTTAACCAGTAATACGATAAGCAATAATTCCATTTTCTTTAAATAGATTTTCTAATAATCCAATCATTTCAATCCATTAAGTAAAAATAAGAACCTTTTCCTTTTTTTATTTAATCACTTTAGTTTCTTTAATAACAGCTTCTAATTTTGAACTAAGTCCAAATTATAAACTTTGTAATTCTTCAAATACATTTTCATTCTCTACAACAACTTCAATTAAATCTTATATTGTTAATTTAGTACGACAAGATGGACAATTTTTAAGTTTAATTACTGTTTCACTAAAACATCTAATATATATAATTATTATATTACTCTTTACAATAGATATGTCCACATGATGATAAACTAAAAACACTAATTTAACTTTTAGTGCATATTAAACATTCTGTAATACTTCCATTTTTTATGTTTTCTATCAAATTTTATTTATACTCTTCTGTTATTTTATTTCCATTATGAGTTTTTTCCAAAAAAAATTTATCTATTTTCTCTAAAACCATTTCTAAAGGTGTTTATTATAAATTAATATCTTTAAGAGCCAATTATGGATGATTACATGCTACTCTTAGTTTATTAATTATCTAAAAAATATGAACATAACTTTGATTTGCAGTATTCTTCACATAATTTTTGAATAGATTTTATGAACCAGATAACAACTTTTTATAAAGCATTTTCTCTTTCTAATCCAATTCAACCCAATGGATAGTCTCAACTACTTACTATAAACCTTCAAATTATTATGAATTCTTTGTTCTTCTTAATATTATGGGTTATAGTATTTAAGCTAAAATTCTTTATTAATCATCTTCATTTTCTTCTTTATTTACGTATGTATTCCACCAAAAACTAAATAATAAATATTATATTTTACTATTCTGAAAATGTTTCTACTTATAAAAATTAAAGTAGACTGAATAAATCATCATGTTTATTCTACATAGGTGTTCCTGTTAAACACCATCTAAATTGACTTTATAAAGATATAGCACTTCTAGTTTGAAGTGTAGATCTAGTTTTTATATTATGAGCTTCATCCAAAATAACTCTATAATAATTTTATTTAAACAAATTATTTTCTTTTTTTGCTTTTTCTAATTATTTCTTAGTTAATTTTTTCTTCTTTTATTAATTTTTAACTTCTTCTTTCTATTCCTCTGATATTTTTGTATTGCTAATAGAATATGAAATTGATTCATCAGACATAGAATCACTAGAAAAAGACTAATCTTCTTCCTAAAAATTTTATTATTTAATTTTTTATGATTATTTTTATGATTATTTTTATTATTATTATTATTATTATTTTTATTATTTTGATTATTTTTATTTTTATTCTTCTTATTCTTATTATTCTTATTCTTATTTTTATTCTGATTATTCTGATTCAATTTCATTTATTTATGTCCATATTGAATAATCAGATGCTAAAATAGCATAAGTTGTTAAAATTATATCATAATCTTTTAATTTGATTTTCTAACTTCGAGATTATTATTTATAATATACTAATACTTAAAGACTTCTAGGTTTAGAATGAGTTTAAATTTCTTTTTCCCATTATAATAATACAGATTTTGGAACTACTATTAATGTTTATTAACCCTTTTTATGAGTTTCCAATATCAATGCCAATGCCATAATTGTCTTACCTAATCCCATTTCATCTGCTAATATTCCACCTTTAGTTTCTTAAACTGGTATAAATTCTTTAGAAATCTTTCCTGTAAATGTATTTACATAAAGTGTATCACCATTTAAGAGTCTGATTTATTACCATAAAGGTGATAATTTTTATTTTTAATCTTTATTTGATTCACTTATATGACCTTCTCTCAAAAGCATCCAATATAAAGCCTATTTTTAATGTTATTTTAATTATGATAACATTTACTTAGGTGTATTGTATTCTTACAATTAAGTATTGATAACAAATATATTATTTAAGTCTTATTATAAAATATCTTCATTGTATTTTTTTTATTGAAGTTTTGTTTCTTCAAAATAAGATTCTTGTTATTAATTTAATAAATTTAAATGATTTTTTTATGTTTTATCTACTTGTACAACATAATCAACATAAAAATAATCTAAAATTTGATTTTTAGAATCTTCATAAATCCTTATTTTTTCATCACTCAATAATTCTATTCCATTATCTTCATTTAAATTATTAGTAAAATTTTCTCTTTCATCAATAAAGTTTTAATGTTATTATTAATATAATTCATCATTTAAATAATTATTTTTTAATGGAACTGTTGATAAAAATATTGTTTTGAGAACATAATCTGAATATGTTGGTTATTATTATTTAACAACTGAACTCATTGATCTTCTAATGAAACTTAGAATTGCTTCATAAAATGCTACTGCAACACGTTAAAATTAAATATGAAAAAGAGGATGAATCTTTTCAATTTTAGGTTTATATGGTTAATTATTTGATATATATTTAAAACCTCCTTATTTTTATAATGCCAATTTTTTAATCAAATCTTAAGGAAACAATTTATTATAAAAATGTTTATTATTAATATAAGTATTAAAGTAATTCTGATTCTCAATAATTGGTCTATGATAAGACTTCATTAATTAATTAATAGGTTATGATTTGTATCTCTCATGAAAATAACAATATTATGTAAAAAATATTTTAAATTACTTATCTGATTTAACAAGTGCTGGAGTTTCTACTTAAATGTTCATAAAGTCAAACATAAGTAATAAAGAAAGTCTAGCAAATCTTTAATATTCCATCTTAATTTCTTCTTAATGAAATAATTATTATTATTAGTATTTTTCATATTTTGGCATACCTTTTTTTAATCCATTTTTTCTATTATACCTTAAAATTTTCAGTTCATAATTGTCATTTATTGCCTATTCTGTAAAGAATACTTGAATTTCTGTTAATGTTATAGTTTTATTTTCAACAACAAAGTCAACAAAATTTACTCTTAATTTAACATAGCCAGCATTGATTAAGAAATACCATAATTCATCAAAAACATGTTCAATATACCCATATTTATTATAAACTTTATAAATTTCTTCATCTCCTTTTTTTACTTTGCATAAAACAGTTCTATTTTCTTGTAGAGTTCCTCCTCCTATTACAAATAATCTTTTTTGATGAAATTTTAAATCCTTAATTTTTTATAATGGAATAGATAGAATGTTTATCTTATATTTTTATTTTGGATTATTTCGTTTTGCAAATCCTTCATCTGTTTAAAATTTACATAAAAATTTCCCTATGTAATTAGATGGTTATAATTAGTCCTCTTCTTGTTTTGAATAATTATATATCATAAATAAAATAATGAAATTTATTAACAATTTATATTATAATATATGATTTAATAACATAATTTCGTTTTAATAGAATTATTTATTGAACTAATTTTCATTACATTTTTATAGCTTTAAAATATTTTTATTGAATTATTTTATGATAAAAATTTAATATATATTAATTATTATAAATTAATTTATTAAAGAATTCATATTTTTGAGTTATGAGCACATTAAAAGCACAACGTATACATTGTTAATTATTCTAGCTCGATTATACTCTAGTAGAGAATCCATTTTAACACTTAAGGCTCATTTATCTGGTAAATAAGCTAAAATTCCTAAAAATCCTACAATGGAAGATTATATTACATATATAAAAAAATTATCTAATAGACTCAAATAAGGTCCTTTAGATTTTTGGATTCCTAATGTTTTTAGACGTTTAATTTAAGTGATTAGATTAATGAGTTCAGAAGATGGATTCTTTCCAATTAAAGATAAAGAAAAGAATTTTAAAGAATTAGGACTTACAATATTAAGAAAATCAATTAGATCTAAAACAACAGTTGAAACAGGTTCTGAAACAGGCTCAAATGCTATTTAATAGGATGTAATATTACCTTCAATTGAATAAGTTTTGGAAGAATTAGAAGCTCATTCAGATGATATTAATACATTTGTAATTTCATATTATTATTATATTAATAGGCATCAACACATTTTTTTACAAATGAAGTGCTTTTAGTTTATGAATATTCAACAACTGTGTTAAATTTCTTATTATCAGCAAAAAAGACAAGAAACTTTGAAATCATAGTTTTAGAGAGTGAAACTGAAAACTTAGGAAAACAATTTGCTACTGACTTAGGAAAACATAATTTGAATGTTACTTTAACACCCTTTACTAATGCATATGCTATTATGTAAAGAGTAAATAAAACCCTTTTGGGAGTAGATGCTATTCTGAAAAATGGAGGTTTATTAATGCATCCAGGAACATATGCAATTTGTGTTTTAGCTAAATAATTTGCTGTCCCAGTTATTGTTCTATCTGGAGCACATAAATTGACTCCAAAATATGCCTTTGATTAAACTACATTCAATCAACTTGTATCACCATTAAAAATTAATCCAAATTCTACTATTGATCATATGAGCATTGGAGTATAATTTCTTATTTAATTATTAGATTACATTCGATTATGTTCCACCTGAATATATAAGTTTATATATCACTAATTAAGGTTAATATACACCATAAAGTATTTATTAATTGTTTAGTGATTTTTATAATGTTAAAGATGAGGACATTTGAATATTTGAATATTATATAATGTTAAAGTAGAATAAGTAAAATAATAATATTTGATATATTATGAAATTCAAAACCCAGAGCGATTAGAATGTTTTTTAGAATTAAGAATTGCTTTTGCTGGACAAATCTAAAGGGATTTATCACCGAAATCCAATTTAGTTATAGTTGAAAATTATCCATCGAATGTTGGCACACTTTAAATTTAAGTGTTAGTTTTTGTTGGTCTAGTTTTTTTTGCTTTAAATGGTCTAAATGCTCTAGAAGATGTAGTGGATCCAAAAAATGGTAATCCTGGATTTATTGGATTACTTAACTTTCTTATTATTCTAATTACCCAAAACTGCTATGAGCACCAAATATAAGGTTTTTTTCTCTATTAATTGGTGTCCCACTATAATTTCTTTTATATTCACTTGATCCTATAAATTAGAGATCTTTCATAACTGTTGGATGATTTTAAGGAATAATATTCACCTTCTCATCTAATAATATATATATTTATTCACTTTCAGGCATTTTAGTATGAGTCAATTAATAAGTAGAGCCTGCATGAAATGGTTATACAAATCTAGGTTGTTCTGGTTTATATGAAGTTTATGGTCTCTATTTTGGATCTTTGAAATCAAGCTAAAATAACTGTTTTTTATTACTCTTTGAGTTGTTTCAAATTTCATAGTATAATCATCTTTATAAGTTGGTAATTATGAAATTGATTTAATTCTTGATGGCTATTTTTCAACAAAGTCTTATTGATACTATGACTTCAATGGAATTCCTTATTATTCTTTTAATCTTTCTAATCCACACTTACATCCACCACATATGCATAATCCACAAACACATTGATCTATAATTTTTGAATACATTAAACCTATAACATGATTAAAATATGTAGCATTTTTCTCTAACAATTTATTGATTTGTTATTGATCATTCTATGTAAATTTACCAGACATTAACTTTGAATTACTAACATTGTAATACCTCATTTTATGACATTGTATAAGCAGTCTAAGGTCTAAGTCTATTGCTTATATTAAAGTTCATTTAATATTATTATTATATAAAAAATACTGTTTTGGATATGATATATAATAAATAATAGATTTTAATTTTACAACACTTACCTAATATCTTAAATTTCTTATCTTACTTTGCCATTGAATTCTCATTTTATGGAATTTTCAATAGTTTATTTATTTGATTTTACCTCTAATTAAAATATTTCAAATAATTCTTGTCAAAAATATATAAGGAGTCTTTATATGTTTCATTAATCTTAAAATATATTACGAAGAAAATCTTTATAAAATTGATTATGATTCAAAAAGGCTATAAATTTGAGATATCCATCATTTTAATTGTTTTTTGGATAATAAAACAATATTGTTTAACTTATTCAAATAATTTGATAAGTGTTGAGAAATTTTATTTTAATATATATGAGATCATATGTAAGTTGATTCAAATGCATATTGATTATAAAGGAGTTTACTAAAATGAATCTTTCTTCTTTATTATACTTCTTTTTTTAATATTCTTTTTTAAATTACTTTCATTTAGTAATACAAATTTATAAGCACTTTAATGATGCCATTAAATTTGTATAAAGAGAAGCTTAATTTTGGAGAATGATTTTATAAATAAAATGTTTCTTAAAGCAAAATTTATAAATACAAATTTGGAAAGTAGAATTAGAGTTTCATTTAATTTCATCTGAATCAATATATTATAATTTTAATAGAATATTTCTGAAGTGAATATAAAAATATGGAATAATATTGAAATTCATTTTTTTGAATTTAATATTGATGATTATGTTGTGTTTGAATAAGTTATTAGTTTAATTCAATTTTAATTTGTTATTATGTTTTCATTTGAGAAAATAAACTTAAATAGCTTTAATATGAAAAGGAAATGTATAGATAACTTTTATTTATAATTGTTTGTCCTAACGGCAATAATTGTTGTATAAATAATATTTAATAATTATATTTGAAGTAAACAAATAAATCAAATGATTAATTAACCTAATATCATAATAACAATTGTGTTCATCTTATCCAACTCTATATATATTAGATGTTATATTTATACAGTCATCTGATTCTTCAAATTCTTCTAAATTGAGTTTTTCTAAGACTAATCCATAATAATCTGATCTAGTATTAGTATTAGCACTTTCAAATTTAGATGAGAATTTTGAAGTTTTTTTTTAATTTGGTGTGCAAATAATTTTTTCGGCTTCATCAAGAACATAGTTTTCACAATTTACACATTTACAACCAGAACCACAACTTTTACCAGAATTGAAGCACTCACAATATTTTTTCAAACACATTGACTTTTAACATGTACAACCCTATGATTAATGTAATATATTACATCTTTAAATCTTCTAGATCTAAATCTTTTTCGGTTTCTATTTTGATCAAGTTCTTCAATAACATTCAATACCAATTTGTTTGAAGTCTTATTTTGGCAATTTTAACATCTGCCTATTCAAATAGAAAATTTGATAATTACAAAAAGATGAACATAATCTTCCTTTGGCTAGACACTCACAATACATTTTTCTACATCCAGATCTACTACAATTGCAAGGATCATCAGATGGTAGAAGGATGGAACCTTTCTTTTTTGAAGGTTCTGGAGAGATTAATATATTGTCAGGAATAGTGTGTTACAACTTAATTAACTAACTCATGTCTAAAGAAGAGTCTTTATGTTCATCCATTTCTGGACTTGATGAAGATTGTTGTTCTAACAATTATCTTGCAAATTAGATGAACTAGTTGTTTTATTACAACTACATTAAATTAATTAAAAAACACTTTTTGTATTCTAAATAAAAATACCACAAAAAATTAATATAAATAAATGTTATCTTCTTTGAAGTAAATACTAGCAAAATAAAAGGATATTCTAGTGGTGATTCCTGCTTTTTGTTCTTATTATCTACTTACTCAACATTTGATTTCATTTGAACTTTCTGAAGGTTAATCTATGCATCCAACTGTAAAAGATGGTGAATTAGTTATTGTTTAAAGAGCACTTTATAAGATTTAAAAAGGAGACATTATAATAGCCAAATCTCCTGTTAGACCTGATTACACAATTTGCAAAAGAATAGTTCATTTAGAAGATGAAATTGATCCAAATGGTAATAAAGTACCAAAAAATCATGTTTGGATTGAAGGAGATAATGGAAAAGTCTCTTTTGATTCTAAATTTCATGGTCCTATTCCAATCAATTTGATATAAGGAAGAGTTATTTATTGAAAAGGTGTTTGAATGTGAGTGTATACTTTATCAGTCAGTATTATTAAATTAATTTACTAATGTAATAAACCTCATCGTATAAAGGTAAGAGTTGAGTTAGATTTTTCAAGTTATTCTTGCTGGAGATAGCAAAGTTGGAAAGACAAGTTTCTTTATTAGAGCCACCAAGAATATTACCCCTTAATAACCTCAATCTACTATTGGAGTTGAATATGCCTCTAAATAGATTGTTTATAAAGGGTAATTAGTGACATTGAAAATATGGGATACAGGTATGATAATATTGATTTAGCTGGATCAGAAAAATATAAGTCTGTGACATCAAAGTATTATTCCAACTATTTAGTCATTTTCGTTAATCTTAAGGAGCCTTAGTATTTTTTGATTTAAGCGATCTTTATACCTATGAAAATATATAAAATTGGTTAAAAGGTACATAATTATGAAAAAATAACAAAAAAGATATACAAAATTATGCTGATGATTCCGTAGCTATAATAATTGTTGGTAATAAATTGGATCTTGTGAATGAAGTTTAGAATCTTCGTTGTATTTCTTAAGAAAAAGTGTAATAGATGTGTAAAGACTAAAATTTACAATATGCAGAAATATCAACTAAGACTGGAGAAGGAATAAATGAATTAATTGAATTACTAGTTAAGACTTTGTAGACAAGAAAAATTTAGAATGTACAATAATAAGAAAGACAAAGATAAAATTGTTGTCATTGAGAATTCTTGAATATATTTGTATATGTGATATACATTTATAAGTGATGATACTTCTTATATATATACAATTAAGTAGTAAAAAAGAAATGAAGTCGTTTTTTAATTAATATAATAAATGAGAATAGCAATTTTATTGGTATTGATTGCAATATCATCTACAACAGAAACACATCTCACAGCTATAAAGCAATTAAGAGAAGTAATAAATGTTAAGTATATTTCAGAAAACAAGAATCACTCCTTTTAGCGATTATTTTTATGGGATGCTTGAATTACATTAATCAAGTAAATTAGGTGAAGTAGTCACTATTGTATAATCAATGTTAGACAAACTCATTGCTGCATCTGGGGCTAATGAAGCTGAACATTCTTCTGTAATACTATTTCTAATTAATTTAGTAACAAGCCAATTATGAATAATAAATTTCTAAATTAGAAAATACCTTAGAAACAACTGAAAGTGAACTTAGTTCAGTTAATTAATAAATAAATGATTTAACTTCTGATCTATCTTCACTTACTCAATCTTTGAGTTTCTAAGGCTAATAACTATTATTGTTATCTAATTAAATTACATAATTAAGTGATAATCATTAAGAAGAAGTAAGAGCATCAGAAGAGAAATTCAATAATAACTCTAGATATTTGGCAGCAGTTTAAGAAGTATTAAGATTTTTAAGTGATACTCTTTTGGGAAATACTAGTTTAATTGAAAGAGAAAGAGCAATTGAAGCAGCTAAACAATCTTTGGGAGATAAACATCCAATTTCTATAATGATTTAAATGACATCATAATATGATGATAATACAATTAGAAGAGTTATTACTAAATTAGAAGGAATAGCATAAAATGTATAAGAAAGATTAGATGCTATTAATACTTCTTCAAATAATTCAGAACAATAATATGAAACATTAAGAAGCCAATTTGAAACCACTTACAGTAATTTAGATAAGGATAAACAATTCAATTAAAGATAAGCAACTGCTAAAGACAATGACCTAGTAAAATTAATTGGAAATTATATAATAGGCATCAGCCAAGAGAAGATAATAAGAATTACAAGAACTAATCTCAACATCTAAAGAATTACTTGATTAAACAAGAATTGCTTAAGACAATGAAAATACAAGTTACACAAGCAAAAGATCACATATTTCAGAAGAAATTAGCATTGTATAAAGTGCTTTGGATCTATTATCACAATTACCAGCTTAATGATATCAATGAGAATATTCAAATAAAATAAAATTTTATTATATTTTTATTATGTTTATTGTGTACCCACAACCTTAAGTTTATATAGTCTAACAAACAGTACCCATTTATTAGAGCTTACCTTTTATAAGAGTAAGACTTACTTTTAGAATTAGCCACCAACATCAGTTTAACCTCAAATTAGATCTTAAATACCAGCTCAAGTTCTTAGTCCAGATAAATCAAGAGTAACAGATGATATGATTGAGACAATTAACAAAAAAATTGAAATGATTGATAGTAGAATATGCTAGATTTAGAAGTCATTACCACCAAAATAGAATCAAAACGGAAATCAAACTAAGAAATAGCATACTAATACTTCTCAAGATGAATTTAATAGTCCAATTACACCAAAAAGAACTGGAAATTTTAAAAGTTATTTCTTAAATAAATATGACAATTCTTAAGAGAGAATTCGAATTAGTAAAAAGATTTTAGAAGAACATGAAAGAAATACTAAAGCCAGCAAAAATACTCAATCCTCAAATAAAAGAGATTAGAGTTTTTAATCATAAACTAATAATAAATAAACTACTTATGACATTAATAAAAAAACAACAATTACCAAAAAGATCATATATATGGGTGAAGAAGCTTTATATGAAGGATAGACAGATGAAAGAGGTAGAAAATAAGGTATGGGAACATTATTTGATAAAGATGGAAAAATAATATACACAGGTTAATGGAAAGATGATGTTTTTTGGGGTAAAGGTAAATTAATGTTCAGAGAGTCTAAATCATAGAAATTGTAATTAAAGAACTTTATGAATTTTTCAAATGTTGTTAGAAATAGGGAAACATATAGTGGTAACTTTGTAAATGGAGAAATTGATGGAATAGGTTAAATGCAATTTATAGATTGTTTTGATTCTTATTTTGTATTTTATGGTACTTTTAGAAAAGGAGTATTTCATGGAAAAGGATGTGTTTTATCAAATTAAGGCAAAGAAAGTTTAGAAGGAGAATGGGTTAATGGTAGACATACTTGATTAATAATTCATATTTTCATTAGAAATATTATTATATATAATATTTTGTCTATTTTAGTATACAAAATTTAGTAAATACATAAAAATATTATTTTTGAAATTCAAAATTTTATTAAATGAAATGTTAATGTAAACTAATTAATTCTAATATATTTTATACTAATAAATTCTTTAATTTATTTATAATTTTTAAACAATTTAAATTTATTTTATTAAAAATGAGTCTTGATCCAGCTGAACCACCTATCCCTGATGATCCAGAAGAGGAAATTATTCCATATGTTGGACCTCCAAAATTATTGCCTGTTGCAATTAAAACTGGAGAGGAGGATTACGAATGTATAGGAGCCATTAAATGTAAGCTTTATCGATTTAAAGATGAAGAATGGAAAGTAAATTTTCATATATATAAAATAAAGTAACGGGGTTAAGGTATCTTAAAATTCTTACAACACAAAGAAACTAAGAAATGTAGAATAATTATGAGACAAGATGCTACCTATTTTATTAGAGCTAATCATTTAGTTTAAGAAACTATAGTTAAGAGTATGTTTCATCAATTTGGATATGAATGGATTGGATAAGATAATAGTGATGGTGAAATAAAGGTAGAATAATTTTGTGTAAAATTGGAAAACGAGGAAGATTTTAATAAATTCTATCAATATTATGAGGAATGTCGTATTTTTAATAAAGATGAAGATTGAATCTAATTATATTTTATTATTCAAACCATTTAAATTATTTAAATTATTATTAAAAGAAAACGTAATTTTTAGAATAATATATAGAAGAAGACTATGATCTAAAGCATTTAAGATAAATAAAAAGTAAAGTATTAATACTTTACGAATAGTTGATAGAATATAGTAAAAGATTGATGATAAATAATCTAAATTAAAACTAAGATTTACAGATATATAAATGATTAATTGGAGATTAATAGAAGATCTTAAATTTTAATAAAACATCATAAGTAAATATCTTATTAAATATTCAAAAATTATAATCAGATTTATATTAGCAAGATTTAGTATTAATTACTTAATTATAGTTTGAGAAAGATTATGTATTTCTGATTCAAATCAATTATATATATAAATATCCTAGATGTTGAGGTGTTATTATTCTTCTATAAATATACATAAGGTTTAAAAATTATTTTTCTGCTAAATGGATTGAGATAGAAGTAGAGAAAAGATTTAGATTGAGTTTGAAAATGCTTAAATATATGTATAGGTTGAAACAGAAGATAAAAAAATAAAAGTGAAAATGAATAAATCATTATTAATAATTACAATTTATTTATTGTTAATGAATTCTCTGATTTTTGGTTCAACTATTGAAATACCTTAATTGATAATTACAGAATTAAACAAATTAAACAAGGAAGTTGTTGTGCATTCAATAGTCACTAAAACAAATAGCAGTGCACAAAATTTATACTCCCAATTAAATCCAAATCAAACTATTCAATTAAATGGGTTAACATTTATGAAAACAGAATAGTTTGTCATTTTTGTTGCATCTATTGAGGAATGTCAAAAACATATCACAACTATATTATTATTCTTATATGTTGTATCCTAATACATGCATTTTGTAGAAAATGAATAAGAATCAATATAAAAATTGTTTGATCAATTACCCATATAATCACTACAAAAATAGGCACCTAAAATAAGTAAATAATATTAAAGTTTATTGAAACACTTTAATTCATCCAAAAAACATTGTAAATTGGGTGGAAAACCAAAACTGATTATCCGATTAAAAATGACAGGCATAATGTTATTGAATTTAATGTTAGATTTTTGTGAATATATGAATTCTAATAGAAAAATTAATGGGAATTTATTTTTAGGAGTGTTTAATAGAGAATGTTATAGATAATATGAAGATGTGAGAAATAAGTATTATCAATAAGTAGTAAAAATTTAATCAGATTAAAGAATTTAAGATATGGGAACATTATTTCATAATTTAATGGATATTTAATAGGATGTTTTGATTAAATTATTAGATAGTGCAGCATGTTAAGAAATGAAATTAACTTTTGTTGAATTTTTATCTTATTGTAAAGATAATTAAAAGTAAATAATGTAAGATAATAATAATGAAAGTGAGAAATATTGCAATGCTTTATTATAATCATATTTAAATCTATTTATTACAGAATGTTAAAATATTGAGGAAGTTATTTAATAAAAAGATATATTTATTAAATAAAAGTGGGCTTCATTTGAGGAAATCTTAGATGGATATTTAAAAGATGCATAAGGACCAAATAAACATATGATCAATGAATAAATTACTAATATTATATTTTAAGAATGTGATAAATGGTTTGAATCACTTAATAGTCATTATATGTTTGAATTAAATAAATCTAAAGTAATTTAGTAATCTTATAATTTAGGCATAATTGATGTAAACTATGGAAAATTATTAAGAATTATAAAATAGATTGGCTGAAGTAGAATCAAAGAAATTTGAATTAGAAGATATGAATTAAGGATTGATGTTTGAATTAGAAAGTTAAAAGAGAGAAACTGAGAAGATTACTAGATTGAAAGAGTTAGCAGAAGAATTATGTTAAAATTAATTTTAAGAGTTGAATCTCAAATTAAATAAATCAAAAGAAAAAAGCAAAAAGTAAAAGGAAACATTAGAGAAGATTTAAGAGGAAAATAGAAGAATTGGTTATGAATTAAATGAAAAAAAGAAAGAATAAATTAATATATTAGTTAAAGTCTAGAATTTAGAGAAGGCATTGGATTAAACTATTTAAAAATAAGAATAAGATAAATTTGAAAAAGAACTAATTTCTTTAATTTAATTATTCAAAGATAGTTTAGAATTAGCTTCAAGAGATAGTGTAACAAGTAATTCAAGAGCTTCAACTGATTAAAGTTCATTTAGAGTGTTAGATAAATTATAATAAAAATATGATAAAGCTAAAGAGAAATGTAGACAATTAGAAGATGAATTATAAAAAACTAAAAATCTTAATGAAATACTATAGAAAAAGAATTAAGATAATGAATTCTAAATTGAATAAATGAAAAATGATTTATAAACTAGATTAACTAAAGAAGAAGGAGATAAATTAATAAAAGAATAAAAATAAAGAGACAATGATTTGTTTTAGGTTTTGACTAGTCACAAATAAACTATAGAGAAAATGAATGAATAGCATTCTCAATTATAAACATCATTTTATGAAAAATCAATACAATTATCCAATTTGGAATTCTAAAGAAGTAACACAATAACAATTTTGAGAGTATTATATTTATTTTGTATTATTTTAGGAAGCATTGAAGTTTTAATTGAAAAAACCGAATACTGTGGTCTCAATATTAAAATCTATGCCACCAGAATAATCATAAGAAATTAAAGATATATTTCATTCTGTTGGTTTGAAATTATGATTTGATCATTATAAAATGAAATCACAATATATTTGAGTAATTTCTTCAAGAGATTTACTGTTATTCTTAGATTTTGATATTTTCTTATTTAGTATTTTTAAAGATTAATGACCAATCAACAGAAATTGATAAATTAAAATGAAGACTTAATTTGATAAAAGTAGAATTGTCAATGTCTACTCTCCTAACATCCCTCCATTTAAATTGACACTAACTTTTAAAACTACTTTTAATGATATTCGAAATCAAATTATTTAAGGCTGGAGTGTCATTCCTAAAAGAATTAGAATCTTTAATTAAAATGCTCATGAATTGATAGAGCAAGATTTACAATTTGTTCTAGATGGAAATAAATTATATATCACTCTCTTCGGTTAGGACTTGGATGCAAGTATCATATTCTAAGAGTACGAGATTGTTTCAGAAATTGGTAAGGGAGGCCAAGGAACTGTCTTATTAGCAAGACATAAGTTCATTGGATCCTATGTTGCAGTCAAAATAACAAGGGATATCGAAGATGAAGACTCAATTATAAAAAGAGAATCCAAAATCTTGAAAGAATTACTTCATCGCAATATTGTTAAAGTTTTTCAAACTCTCTTTTTTTCTAAGGCTAAGGAGTGTATTATAATAATGGAATATTTAGATGGTGGATCCCTATTATAATTAATTCGAAGTAAATGTCACCTTTATTGTTTATAGACAAAGGAACAATTACTGAATAGGAAGCAAAGATCTATATAAAACAAATTGCAGAAGCATTGCTTTTTTGCCATTCAAAAACTTTTGTTCATAGAGATTTAAAATTAGAAAATATCATGTTAGTTAGTTAAGGAAATACATAGGTATAAATAAGTTTTAATTAAGGTTAAATTAATAGATTTTGGATTAGCAGGAGTGGCTGGAACTTAGAGGGAAAATGAAACAATGAATGTTGGGACTCTACCATATATGCCTCCTGAAGTTCTTAATGGTAAACTCAAATTTGTAAGTCCTTGTGTTGATGTATGGGGTGTTGGAGTAATAATGTATAGTTTACTATATGGTAAATTACCTTTTAAAGGAAGAACCAATGAAGAAAAAGTTAATAACATTCTATAATGTAATTTCTAGCATGATTTAAGTGTCTCAGATGATGCTAAGGATCTTATTAATAGAATATTCGTGCCTAAACATAATCAAAGAATATCAATGCAAGAGATATTAGCTCATAGATGGATAGGAGGAAATGGATTATTACAATTTAGAAGATTACTAAAGAAATCAGATAATCCTTTTATAAATAATGTAAAAAAGAAAAATGATTTCGAAATTAGAAAAAAAAGTGTCTATGATGAATAAAAAGTTAGAATTTCACTTCCACTTATCCGTTATAGAGCTAATTCTTAAGAAACCATCATTGATATTTCTAAGTGATGTTAATTATTTGTAATTATCAAAACACATATATAAAAATATAGATATTGTACTTAAATATTGTCATTTCAAAATTATTGTTTTTATTAAACAAAATTTGAATAGAAAAATCAAATTTTTTTAATTTTTTATCAAATAAATTCTAGACTCTACAAAATAAAAATAATATTATTTCAAATGAAAATCATAAAAAAGAGGTTTAGTTAATGGAAGATAAAATGATAAGATTTCATTTAATTTTTTGAATATAGTCTCTTCATAATGGACATGTTTTATCACAATGTTAGAATATTTATGTGACATTTTGAAAAACCATAATTATATTTAAATAATAACATTTAAATTGTTAACATTTTCTTTAAAAGAAATTTTGAATAGATCATATATTGATTCCTAATACTGTTCCATTTCTTATTTTGGTTTCTATGATTTTATTTGTTAAAGATAAAATTATTTTAATTATTTATGAATGAGAGACTATTCCAATTTTTGCATTTGTTTAATTGTTCTTTAGTTTCTCCAAAAATATTTTCACTCTTTTATCAGCATGCTTCTTTTTTTCCAAAGCTATATTTTTACCTTTTTTAACAAATTTGTTAACTAAATATTGTTCTTAATCCTCTTTATATGGTTTTAAACCTTATAATTTCTCTTATTTTCCAATTAACATAAATTACCAGAATTCATATTCTTCTGGCATTTCACTCATATCAAATTTAATAGGGTTTGTATTCTATTTAAATTAATTTATACATCTTATAAAATATTGGTAAGATTTCCCCATTTATAAATTGAATATTGACTGCTGATTTTTTCACTTATGTGAGGACACAATATAAATTATATTTAATTTCTTTAAGGGTGATCTTAAAACAATAATTAGGCTGTTTAAATAGTTCTTATATTTTATTTAAATAATTTAAATACCTTAAGAGAGGTGAAATATAAACCTTATCAAATTCCATCTAATTGATTTCTGGTCTCATCTTTTCACATTATTTTTTGCCTAGATAATGAAGTGGAGGATCCATTAATTCATAACTATATATATTTCTATCCCTAAATTCTGTTGCTCTCTTAAAATAATTATGCCAAGCCAAAGCATGTCTAACTAAATTGATTTTACAACTAAATACCAATGATATATTTGCTATTCTTAATATTATGAGGTGTACAATCCAATTGTATTTATAATTTCTCCCATTCATGATCTTCATCATTCATATGATGTAATTTATCTTCAAAGTCCTTTGCTTCTTATAATTTTTATCCTAATAATTTGTAGCTTTCCCTCTATTCTTCTGGACATCTCTATAAGGATCAACTTTTACATTTGAGATAAGCTTTGGGTATCAAACACAATTTTTTATTACATTAAATTTTTTAATATATCAATAAATATAATAAGTATTATGGAAAATGAGATGTTAATATAGTCTTTAATTAGAATGAAATAAAGTTAATTTTTATTTGTTTAATTTGTTTAATCTAACTAATTATATATATATATTTATATTGATAAATAATATTAATAAAAAATGTCTTTGAATGCATAGTTTCCAAAATAAGTGCCATTTCTTCCTGGACATGTATTTTCAGACCCTTACAAAGAAAATCATCATAAAACCTAATAATTTTCAAATATCAATGGAACTGTGCAAGAAAAAACAAATTTCATTCATGAAGAATTTGATCCAAATTTATTAGACTCAATGAAAATGGGAACACCTCCAAATCTCACTTATGGTAGTAGATAACCACCTGAAAATGATTATATTCCAAGAATTTAACCACCATGGTTGAAATATGATCGAGCTGTTTTACGATTTTATTCATATTTCTAAGAATCAGTAGTTGAAAATCCCAATGAAAACTATAGAATTAGATAAGTTATCATCTATTATTACCTTTCTGATGGAACAATCCATGTTACTGAAGTAAAAATTTAAATAACTGTAGCCTCGAGTATAAAATTCAGGCATTCCTTAAGGACTCTTTATTAAAAGATAGAAAATACCAAAGAAGTTAGGAAAATAAGATTTTTATACTTGGGAGGATCTTTAATTATGCTCGAACATCAATTTCTATGATAGAGTATAATTTCAAAATTTAATTAGGTTTATCGAATTTGTGATTGTGATACATATACAAGAGAGTTTTATGAATATATGGGCAAACCATTATCTTTACCTGAATAATTGCCAAAAGATAATTTTAAAGCTTAAAAAGAAACTAAAGACTTAAAAATCAATCCTCCAGATACTAAAGAATATAAGGAATATTTCGAAGTTAAATTAGGAGGAGGACATCCAAATGGAGGATTAAATAAATATCTCAGTAATGATAGAAAAGTTTTATCTTTTGATATTATTTGGGATGATGCTTCAATTGAAGGCTAATTAAATTATTACACACTCAATTATTATTTAGCAGATGAAACTTGTGAAGTTAAAGAAGTTAGAAAATAAAATTCAGGAAAAGATCCATATCCACTTATGTTGAGAAGATAAAAGATACCAAAATAACCAATTTTAACTCATTATCCAGGGATGACATTAAAAAAAGAAGAATTTTATGGTCCCTTAGATCTTATTTGTGGAAATTAAGTTAGAATTTATGGAAGAGATTGTTTTATTTATGGATGTGATGATTTCACTAAAGAATATTATTTAACTGTTTTAGGAATCTAATAAAAGTAATATTTAAAATTATTATATATATAGACCAGCCACATTGAAGTAAGAGAGAGGAAAGAAGTTTTATCAGCCAGTTCCTCCTTATAATGGATATGGATATGAAGAGGATTCATTAGGTTCAGTTTATTCCTTATAACCAAAACCTCCAAAGAAGGATGTTAGAAAGAATTTTACTTAAGATTAATTCATTTTAAGATTTGAATCAAGATTAATTAGTGAAATAAGAGAAGAGAATTCCAGAAGATTTATTATATCTTTTTATTGTGGAGATGATACTGTTTAAGTGTATTAAACTTCAGAAAGAAATAGTGGAATTTGGGTAATTTAATTATATAATTTAAGGGAGGTAAATTCTAAGAAAGATCTAGATAGAAAAATCCATTAACTAATGATTATTATACTGAGAAGGTATTATTTTATTGAGATTAATTAAGGATTTCTAATTGGGAGCTATTGTGTAATTTAATGTTTATAAATTTTAATTGATGAGAGCTGATGAATTTACAATTAATTATATGAAATAGAAATCTGATGTCTTTAAAGAAGCAGATATTAAACAAATAATTGCAAAGTTAAGGATGTTTGCAGATAATTATCCTAATTTTGATACTTTCTTAATGGATTTAATGAAGTAATTGATATATTAATTAATTATTTTCTTAGAAAATTAGATAAATAATTGAAAGGTTAGATTGAATTTGAAGAACTTGCTGCTGGATTATAAGAATTAGGATTCAATTTAACATTACAAGAGTAATATTATTTGATGAGGGAATTCGATATTAGTGGTGAATGGAAAATGAATATGTAGGCATTTTGGGAAGGAATCGGAGGCAAAAGATCTTGAAAATAAATTTATTAGAAAATAATATAACATTAACTTATGCAAATTAAAAAAAGACATTCAGTAAACCCTGAATTATAACTCAAAAATCTAAATGGCTAGTACAAATCAGTTTGCAAATCATAGCATATGATAGTTACTAAAGATTTATAGCCATCTCCTATTAAATTGATTAGAAAGTAAGGGAGACATACCTAAAGTTTTATTAATACTCATTAATCTCTGCATATTTGTAATAATCCTACTTATTAACTTATTCAATAATGTATTACTGCTGCGGAAATGATTAAAGAGAAACATAAAACTAAAACTACTCTTAAATTTTTTCATATTCGATCTTGTTCTGTACCTTGTCCTAAGATACAGACTATAAATCAATTAGTTGACTCCTTATTGGATGATGCTGATTCCTAAAACATTAAGGAATAAAAGAATTTAGAGTAAATTAATATGCTTATATTAAGAGTAGAAATTTAAACTGTTATGAATTAATTAATTGAAGAAAAAAAATAGAAATAAAAAGCAATATCCTAAGGTGAAAGCCTATTTAAGTAGCAAGATCTTTCAATATAATATTTAGTAATTTATTATAATTATATTGTATAGAAATCTAGAATTGAACAGTATAAATAATTAGTTTGAATGACGAAAGCTTAATACATATATTTTATTAACTTATTTTAATCTTAAGACTTAATCTCCTATATAATTATCTTAAATCATAAGGTTTATAAGTCAAAAAATAATTACACTAAATTAAAGTGATATTTAAGTATTAGTAAAATATCAAGAATATTTAATTTATTAATGATCAAAAGAATATCAAAGTAGATATTGAGAATGCCTTAATTGTATTTGACAACAAGAATGATTGCTCCATTTTCTTAGCATAATCACAATCATTCTCACGATCACAATCATGATCATAATCATGATCATTCTCATCCAGATTTCTAACCATAATAAAAGGCTTAACAATAATTCACATAAGAATAGATTTAATAGAAACATAAAGAAATTGATAATGTAAATTGATATTAATTATTCAAAGATCATAAAGTCTAACTAAGTTGTGTTATTTATGAAGGGAACACCTAATCAACCAATGTGTGGATATTCAAATTATGCTGTTTAGGTTCTATAATTTTACAAAGTGTAAAATTATCATTCTGTTGATATTCTTTCTGATCCTTTAATGAGAGAAGAAATTAAGAAATATTCAAACTGGCCTACATTCCCATAATTAGTATTATTTTAATATTATATAATAAGTATGTAAAATAAGAATTAGTTGGTGGATGTGATATCATGATGGAAATGCACAAAGAAGGTACATTAAAAGAATTATTTAATAAAATATGATTATTAATTATATAATTATATATATTGAATGTTAAAAATAGAGGAATAAAACTATTCAAGACAATTAATAAAATAGGATAAAGAACTCTCATAATTTATAAAATATTTAGAATTACAAAATGAAGTAACTGAAAAAAACAAAGAGAAAGAATTAAGAATGAAACAGAAAGAATCAATCATACTTGGTTAAAGAGAAGAAAAGAAATAAGAGCATGAATTTTAAAGTAAATTAAAGTAATTAGAATTATCAACAATCAAAGAAAAATATAATGAATCATAATTGATGAAAAATAAAGTAAATGAGTAATTATTATTTAGAGTCTTGAACAAAAATTAAATAATTAAGAATAGATACATAATTAAATTTTATAAGCTGCTAAAATAAATAGAGAAGAAAAAGCTAATATAAGAAATCTTCATTTAAGAGATTCTGTAGATTAAGCAATTGCAAAGGCTAATTAAATTTAATAAGATAAGGTAGATCATTTTAATTATTAATAAAAACATAAAGAATAATATTTATCATAATTATAAAATGAAAAGAGTTTCAAATAATAAGAAAAATCAATGAATTTTTAAATTAAACAAGAACTTAATGATTCAAATTATAAAAAAGCTTAAGATATTTTAAATGAAAGAATTTATAAGACTTTAAATAAATTAGACTAAAAGGATTCATTGTCATAATAAATATAAATAGAAAATGAAAGAAAATTAAATACTAAATTATTTTCTTAAAAAGCATTTTTAGAAAAGGGATTAACAAATGCAGATTATGCAAAAGTTAGATTTGAATAGAATTTAAATATGAAAAAATCTATGACAGAATATAAAATGAATAAATTAGATTAAATTATGTAAAGAATTAATAATTTATTTTTTTATTAGAAGGGAGAAGTAATTGATATAATAATAAGAAAGAGAAACAAGAGCTATGGTAGAATAAAAGAAGAACTAATTAAAAGAAGAATTTGATAGAAAAATGAACTTACTTTAAAAATAAAAATATTGAGAACTTTTTAGAATTTACTATATATGCTATATTATTAAAATCGAATTCTCAAAGATATTTTGCACCAAATTTGTATTTTTTGTATTCTTGAATGTAATTTTCAGTCCATTAACTTAAGAAATCATAAGGTTTTTTCTAAGGAAGCTCTTATTATTATGTATTGCTCTAAAGGGATGGTTATTCAACTTCTGCAATTTCACATTCAGTTTATATTGTTGATGAAAGTGGATTTAATGGATTTAATGTTATTGTGTAAATTGCAGTTACTTTTTTTAATTTTCTAATTCTTCTTTCTTTTTTTCCTATTCTACCTTCTTTAATATATGTATTAATTATGGATTTGCAAGTTGATGGTAAAACTTTGAATTCCCTTGCAACCTATGATATTTAAAAAGAATTACTTCAAGTATTAATCTCTTATTTACAAGTACTTCATGTATAATTTATCTTCTATCCTATTTTGAAATTTTGCAATATTATTTATGTTGTTCCATTTAAATATATATTAATAATAATAAAATTATAGATAAAAATGAATGGTATTAATTTCATTCATAATAATTAAAACTATTATTGTTAAAATTATAAGTCTAAGCTATTCTTTAAATTTTTGAATCTAGTAAAAGCAATAAAAATTTACTATAGATTTTGAAGTAAAGATGAAATCATTATTCATAATAATTTTTAAATAAATTTATCTGATACTTAAAAGTAAATTAATTTATTTCCTTTATTTTAGTTATATGAATAACTTTCATTATCATTTTAAATTTAAGAAATTAACTGATGAAAAATTCTTTAAAAAATTTAAGTTTTCACTTTATGGATTTAGATTTTGAATATTGTTAATATGTAATCTGGAAATAAGTAATAAAAATATAAATTTTTAAGAGATGTTGTATATATTAAATAAGAAATGAATAAAATAATTAATATAAAAATATTTTATATAATTATTTATATTTTGAATTGAATAAATAATCCAAGTAATTCCTTGTCAGAAACTTTTTATTACAAATATAATTAAAAGTCTGATTTACAATATTTTTTAATATATACTGATTACTAATTAAAAAATGAACTGTCCTTGTTGTTGTTGTATATAGGATGAGAATGAATTTGTGAGGGTTAAAGATTGCAAATGCATATATTGTTATTCTTGCTTAGTTGAATAAATAAAAGTAAAAAAAGATGAAAAATGTCTTGCATGTCCATAAAATTTAGATTTCATTAAGATATTTCATTAAACTAAATATGAACCATAATTATAAGAAATTTTATGCATTCAATATTTATAGAATTCTTAAGACACTTTACCTTGTCCAAAAGCTGATTGCAAATATTATGGTATTATTCCAGATGATTGTGATGGAAATTATGAATGTGAAAAGTGTCATACTATTTGGCATGAACAAAATATTACATTTTTTAATAAGCAAAAATTATTTACTAAAGCTATGTAATTTATTGTAACAAAACCTTGTCCTCAATGTGGTGTTTTGATTTAAAAGAATGGAGGATGTCCTTAAATGAAATGTTAACATTGTAGATATATATTTTGTTGGGATTGTGATTAAGATATTTTGAAACATACAGAATTTCAATGCAATTTAATAAAATCATTTCATTTACTCATTATTTTCGTTTAATTGCTATCATTACTCTATACTATAGGATTTTTGGATCTATTCTACAATATTATCTGCTTCATATTACACTATTTGTTTATTTGTATAATATCTCCTTTATTTATAATAATACCAACATATTCAATATATTTAGCATTTTATAAAAGATATTTTAAGAAATTTACATTGTTATTACTATCAATAATACCAACTATGTATTTAAAAGAGTATTTGGAATTAGATTTGGATACAATATTAAGTGTGAGTGTTGTTGAAACTATAGTAATGGTATTAATAATAATAAAAACATACAATAAATGATTATATTTTGTATTATAAATAATTATACTATAATTATAATAATGGATAATTGGAGGTAAAATAATTAAAGAAGATTTGTTCTTGATAATGGTTCATATTAAATTAGATATGGAAATGATGTTTAGAAACACAAACAATTGAATCTTGTAGCCCATTTAAAAAAGACTGGGTAAATGATTTATGACTTTGATTCATTATTTGATGAATCTTAAGTAATGACATATTACAAGCCACATGTAAGAGGAGTATTAGTAGATTTTGATAAATAAATAAATATATGGTATTATAATGCTTAATTATAGGGATAAATTTCTGAATCCAAAACTTCTAAAGGATTGTTCAATCACTTATCCATTATAACCTTTTACACCTGATTAAGTAGTAAACAAACTATTTGATGTGATGTTTGAGTATTATAATGTTGATGCATTTTGTCCAATAAATGCCTAGAAAATGTTATATTATAATGTTTTAGCAAAAGAAGGAGTACCTAGAAAATAATTTACATATATAATTGATTCAAGTCATAGTGCCACATATTTAGTACCAATATTTGATGGAGAAATCATGTATAGTGGTTTAAGAAGAATTGATATAGGTGGAAGATTATTAACAAATTAATTGAAAGATAACATTTCCTTTAAATAATTTGATTTAAAAAACTATTTCTTATTAAGCAGTAAAATCAAAGAAATTTTATGTTTTGTATCCTTAAATTATTTTCAAGATATGAAAAAACCTAAAAATCATTTTCGTAAATACTATATTTTGCCAGATTTTGAAATAAGAAGAGAAGGATATGCTGTAGATCTATTAAATGTAGGATTTTTAGATGAGAAATTAATTCTTGATAAAGAAAGAATGACAATACCTGAAATTTTATTTAGACCAACAGAAATTGGTTTAGCTTAAAAAGGACCTACTGAAACATTTTTTGATAGTTTATCAACAATACACAAAGATTTATAAGGATATTTTGCAGAAAATATATATTTAAGTGGAGGAAATAGTTTTTTTAGTTCTTTTTATGATAGATTATATAATGAAATAAGATAAAATTCTTCAATAGATTGGAATGTTAATTTAACACATCTTGATGATATTGATTCTGTATTTTAAGGATCATTGCATTTTAATAGAAGTTCTGAATTTTAGAATGCTTCTTTTACTAAGGCTGAATATTAAGAGAAGGGTTTTGACAATATCAAATAATATATAATATGAAATAATTTTGTATTTATAATATGTTTATGTATTTTATATATAAGAATTATATTATCAAAATTATATTTGGATGATCTGGATAATCACTTTTCATTTTCATTTTTTGAGTTTCCTTATTATTGAGTTATTAATTATTAGTCTTAAGGTTATTATAGATCAGTCTATATATTAGATTGCTATTGATTTGTTACAGGGACTACTGAATAACCAAATTTATTATGATAAGCTGCTATTAATTAATCATTAGTTTTCCCTCTTCCATCAATCAAAAAGAAGTGACAATAGATAAAATATAAATAATCTATTATAGCAAAGAACAAAAAGGCACCAAATATTTTAAGATTCTTTTCCATAAAAGGAAAACAGAAAACCACAATAGCTTAAAATGCCCATCTAAATTCTGTTGCAATGAATGTTCCATCACTATCATTAAGTTATGGTACAATACTCTAAAAATATATTAATTGAATATTCATACCCAAGCAGCTGGACCTAAAGTTGATCCAAATGTCATCACCAAAAGTAATAATAGAATAAATATAGCAAATTCATTTTCTGGTGTTACATCTCTAGATATAATAGCAACTGCTAAATTAAGTGATCCAATAACAAAAGATCCAATCACTATTAAAATATTACAATTAAATACATAATATAAATTTATTTCCCAATTTATTGACCATATATATTGTAAAAAACTGAGCAAAAAATCCTGATAATCCTAAACAGAAAGTATATACAGTTTTCTAAACAACATCATCATCAGCCATATCAGCAAATATTTAAGCACTATAATAAAATACTGCAAAAACTCCACACCATATTTATACTAACATCTAATGGTTTAATTTATTCAATTACCGATACTATTCCTGTCTATAAAGTAATTAATTTCTTTCTTTCTAACACACTCCAAAATGACTTATTATTTTATTTTTATTATTCAGTGGCCATTTTATTGTACCTTTCAAATTATTCATCAACATATTAATCTTTATAAATTGAACATATGACCTAATTTATTAATTTTTAATACATATTTTGCTCGTTCTATATTTCCTCTCTATATTAATTATTCAGGACTGTCATAATTATATACAAATTGCATAATGCATGAGCGAATAATACATATTAATGTTGGGAATAAAAACACTACTCTCCACCAATTAGATGTAGGTCCTGAATAACTAAAAAAATATATTTCAGTTAAATACTCTATATATCCGATTCCCATTAACTATCCAATTGCATATCCAGTATTTATCCCATATCCAACGAACATACTAAACTAACCGAAATATTATGTTGGACAAATTGATTTTATGTAAACGGGCATCAAATAACTAGATATTCCATTGGAAACTCCGAGAAAAAATCTAATCACTACAATTAGATGATAGTCAGCTATAACTGCTAGCGCACTTGTTATTCCTATTAGATCTGCAATGTGAAGACATTATTTATTTGTAAATTTTTATTTTAATAAGTATCCAACAAACACTCCAGCAACATTACCTAATGGAAGTATTCCAGCAAGTAAACTTAGTCTTTCTGTTTTTTCTTCTTCACTTATACCCCTAATTATATAGAAAGAGTTCTTACAGCACTGCAAATAATGTATCAATTGATAATGTTAAGTATGTAACAACATACCCAATATTCAATGATCCCAAGGCAATGTTTAAGCTGATCATTAAAGTTTATGCTTTAGATCGAACCATCTATTCTTGGCTTTATGACATAATTGAGAGCAAATGTAAATTGTTTAATAAATTATTAATTAAGTGATATGCAGATACTTGATTTTTAAATTCAAGAATCTTGTTCTTCCGGTAATTTATTAACTTTAATATATACTATAAATTAATTAGAATTTTTTGATAATTATCAATTTGATATTGAATAATTACAAAGCTCAGCATATGATAATGTCATATATTTAAAGTTCATCCTTTATCTATTCATATCCTAAATGATCAAGGTTCTGTTTAACAAAAATATATTCAAATTTTATGAATTTGAAATCCTTTTAATAAGTAAAAAAACAAAAACAATCATTATTAGAAAGGGTTTGTCAAAATAAATCAATATAAATATATCCATATAAAATAACTAAATTTTCTTTTATTTTGACCATCTTAAATTAAATAAAAATATTCATGTTTAAAATATAATATTAAGACATTGCAACCATAATTCTAATTTATCTATTCTAATTAAATATATTATTTCTTATCATCTTCTTCATATTCTCAATATATGAATAAAATATTCTTATTAACAATCTCATATTTTAATATATAATTTAATTTAAAAATTAGCAATGGAATCAAAATAAAGTAATTAAAAAGACATAAAATGATCTTCAGTAAAGTTAATAAATGAATCTCATATTGTAAATACATAAAATTCATTATAGATTAAATCATTATTATGATGAGATAATAATTGATAATTTTAGAAAATACATATAAGAAGCAAGGATTATAATAACCAAAAAAAAAAACTCATTTTAATTGTCAATCCAAATAGAAATTTTATATTTTCGATTTACATAGAATAGAAAGTTTAAAAAAAGGTTGCATTATTGCAAATTAAAAATTAAATTAAATCTAAAGACAATAAACTTATTCTTAGTAAAAGCAATAAGAGTTAGATAATACTATTTAAAAATATTGGCATATTCATTAGCTATACCATTTATTTAAATAAAAATGAATTTATTGATTAAATTCTTCATGAAATAAATTAAAATCAGAATAGTTATCATTTTTATATAGACTTGACATAGAGGATTAATCTTGTTAATATTAAATTGAATAAAGAAGTTTTAAATACTTAGTAGCTTTAATATGATATCAATAATATTTCTAAGAGAGTATTAATAAATATTGATATATTATTAAAAGAAGAATTAATAAAAAAGATAGGAAATAGATCTGATTTATTTTATATTAGAATAAGTTATTGAATTATAATGTTCTTGTTTAATACTCTACTTTATTTTTATTATCATAATAATTACATCATATGGGAAATAAATCATCTAAAAATAAGAAGGATTGTTTTATGACTATGTAAATTGGAAAGAGATAGCCTATTTAAGTGATTATAAGATTATTTGATCAATAATGTCCAAAAACTTGTTAAAATTTCAGAAAATTATGTTAAACAAAATATGGAGGAACAAATTTTCATAGATGTACTGAAAATTTCATTGCTTAAGGAGGAGATTATGAAAGAGGTGATGGCACTGGAGGTACAAGTATATGGGGAAATTATTTCAAGGATGAAAACTTTATTATTAAACATGATAAAAGAGGAATTGTTTCAATGGCAAATAGAGGTGCTAATACAAATGGATCTTAATTCTTTTTTACTTTAAATGCTTGTCCATAACTTGATGGTAAACATGTTGCATTTGGAGAAATTATCTCTGGTTTTGAAATTTTAGATTAGATTTCTGAAATATCAACTTATGGAGGAGATCCTAAAGAATTAGTACAAATACTAGCATCAGGAATATGCTAATGAATATATTAATAAATTAAGTTGTTATTCAATAATTTGAATATGTGAATTTTATAAAAACAATAATAAATTAAATGCAAGGAAAAGCAAAAAAAGGATAACGGAAAGCAAAAGCAGGTCATTCATTTCGTTAAGAGCTTAGTGAAAAATAAAAGAAGGATATTAAAGAAGCTTTTGACTTATTTGATGTAGATGGATCAGGTTGTTATAATTATTTTTATTATATATAGGTACTATTGATGAAAAGGAATTAAAAGTTGCACTTCGTGCTTTAGGTTTTGAACCAGGAAAAGAAGAAATTTAAAACTTAAAATAAAATCTCAATAATAACAATGATTCTAAAGAAAATAAAAATACAATTGATTTTAATGAGTTTCTTCAAATAATGACAGAGAAAATGGTATATATTTATATTTATTTAATAATTTAGAATGCAAAAGAATCATAAGAAGAAATAGAAAGGGCTTTTCATTTATTTTCTTAAGGTAACGACAATTTCATCACTTTTGAAAACTTAAAAAAAGTAGCTCTTGAATTAGGAGAGACTATGTCAGATGATGAATTAAAGTTGATGATTTAAGAAGCAAATAGTAAAAATCCAAGGTAGAAATATAAATATATATATTTTAGTTAAGGTTATGTGACAAAAGATTAATTTTATGATGTTTTATCCAGAGCAACTAATTAATGAATAATAATTAGAAATTCAATAATCTTATATCATCTACGTTATTAACGATATTATTATTATTGAAAGAATTCCTTTACTTCTTCATTTGGTGGACTGAAATTAGAGAAAGTGTCACTTACGTCGTCATCTTCATTTCTCACATCATCATTCATTTCTTAAACTGGAGAAAACTAGTATTTTTTCTAATCCTATATATATTACTGGATATCAAAGAATGTGTCTGTTTCACCGCTATTCTACTATTGTAGTGAATTATTATTAAATTATTTTACAGTGCCCTCTTATTTATTATGGCTTCCACGATCTTTTTAAATCTCTCTATATTAAAGTTTATCTTAATCAACCAAAGGTTTGATTTTAGATTCCACATTTTATAAATAAACAGGCAATTTCTTAGGTGAAGTATTCTATTTCTATTTATCCATTTAATGATGAATAACTTACCCAGGATATTGTCTATATGATAGACCACCACTAGTTTAAGAGGAATACACTATTTATTAAGGTGAAGGACCTTTATTAATATATCTACCTCTATCTTTTTTTTTGGAATCTCCATACATCAATTTTTTGCTAGAAAATGATTAAATATTACATTTATCTATCATCAAATTAAGATTTGATATCAAATTTGTTATGCATATTGTTAATATAAACTATTTAAGGGGGAGGAGGTGATTCAGTAATTTTAGGTGTTAGATTTCTTTAAGAATGAGATCTTGAATGCATATATTTATGAGGAGTTCTATCATTATATTAAATAGGAGATTTTGATTATGATCTTTAGGTATTATAATTTTGATGTTAATTTTAATAATTTTTTGGTTGAACATCATTATGTTCATATTATTCATATTATTAATATCTATTAGAATCAATCTATTTAGATTATTTTTATTTTTTATGTGTACCTTATATATTTTAATTTTCTCTTTAAGAAATTTAAATTAAATCATTTAAGTCTCTCAATTATTTTTAAATTGTTTTTATTTCATTTTTTATATCACCTTAAGTTTATTCTTTAATATTTTCTGTAATTTATTAATTAATATTAATACTTGATAGTTGTTTTAATTATTAATATAATTCTTTTGTGTTTCTTGTTCCTATTTTATTTGCCAAATCTATTCCCATGTTTATTAAGTATTCAACTACTTAATTTTATTTATCTACACTGAATTGACTTAGAAAGTTCTCTATGAAATATGAATGCCTTAAATGAAATTGCATAATAAATATAAATTTTTAATTTAACAATAAAAATTATTTTTTTACACAAATATTGTCTAATTAACTTTTGGTTTTAAATTTTGATATATTATCAATATTTGTACTACTCTATTACAGCAAATAATGAGTTAATTATTATAATAGATTTTCTGATGAAACAAAATTAACAATTAGAATTAAGTAAAGAGAAAGTCCCTTTATTCAAATTCATTCTTATAGGAGATTAATGTATTAAGAATTTTCACACTTAGCTGTTGGAAAAAGTTGTATTGTAGAACGCTTTCAAAACGAATAGTTTAGCTACAAAACTAAAGCAACAATTGGAGTGGAATTTATTAAAAAATTGGTTTAGGTTGATAAAGGTTTGGTAGAGATCTAATTATGGGATACAGTATTAATATACAATGTTATTATTTTTATTAGGCTGGATAGGAACAATTTCGTAGTATGATCAGAGGATTTTATCGTGGATCGGCAGCTGTAATCATTGTATATAGTGTCAACTAAAAAGAATCGTTTGATTAATTGTCAATCTGGATGAATGAAATAGAATAACATGCACATCCTGAGATTATTAAAGTTTTAGTTGGCAACAAATGTGATTTACCAAGGGAAGTTGAAAAATAAGAGGCTGAGTCATTTATGAATAATAATCAATTTAGTTTATTTTTCGAAACATCTGCAAAAACTGGGGAAAATGTTGAAGAAGTATAAATTATATATACTATTACTATAGGCATTTGTATAAGCAGCTAAATTAGTACTACTAAAGTATCTTAGTAGCGAATCATTTAGATAAGCTACTAGAGTCAATAAAAAGTCAGCTGATCCCATTAATATAATTAAATCATTTAATGAAAATTAATCATATGAAGGATAATCTCCAAGTCAATAGAAAAATTCAAACTCATCTGGATGCTGTTGAAAATTATTTATAAATTATATTTAGTTATTTTAGTACAATTTTTAGAAATCTTATTTCTTAATCATAATAATTCATTGTTTAGGAGAAAATGTAATAATTTTGAAAATAAAATTATATAGTTTTAAGATTATATTTCCTTTTAAACTGAATATTTCGAAAATAATTATTTATATTATCATCAGGGCATATCAGATATATATAATTTATAATAGAATTCCATTAATCTTTGATTTTCTTATTTAAAATAACTATTGGATATTGAATTAATCTCATGGAATAAAAGGATGAATTCTTTGAAGAGTTTATACAAATTTACAATATTAATATACCGATTCCTAAATCAACAGTTACTAAAGAAAATGATATCTAAAAAATTTTATTTTATATTGATCTCACAAATGATAAAACATATTCAATAATTTTTTCTAAACTATCAACTTAAGAATGTATAGACAGACATTGGTAGGGTGGATTTTTAAGCGAATTTCTAATAAATAATGGAGAAAATAAATAATCTATTTTCTGCTATTACTTTAATAAGTTAATTGAATAAGATGAACAAATCAATATATAGTAATTGTTTAGATTTAGAATATTTTTATAGGATTTCATTTCCACTTAACAAAACTATTAGATAAAGTTTGTATTTCATTTTAGATAACAATAACTTATTTAAAATGATTTTGAAGATTATATAAAAAAGTTTGTTTATTTAATTCTTGAAGGATCTTTCGATACGCTATTTGATATCATTTGTGTATATAATAAGTAGGATGTCTAGAAAATCAATTATTGTAAAATTTCATATAAAAAAATACATTTTAAAAAAACCAAATATTGCTATACAATTGACTCTAAATTTATTGACACTTTGGATTCATTTTTGAATTACTTTTAATTTCAAAAGAATGATCCCAATATAATAGGATATATATGTTAAAAGTATGTACAAGATAAGGTAAATGTAGTTTTAAAAGTATTTGAAAAAGAACTTATTTAACTTTAAAAAGACATATCCTTAATGATTGAATTTCCAGTGAATCTGAATAATGAAATAGAAAAAAATTAAAATGTTAAGTAATATTTGGAAAGTTTGAAGACTATTATTGGTGAAATTTATTTAATATTGAAAGATATTCATGAGTTTGATGAAAAGGCAAAACAAATTCATATTGTTTTAAATAAACATAGAAATTAATTGATAGAATATTTGAGTGAGATTTTTAACGAAAATAGCGAATTTAAAAGATACATACAATTAATTGACAAGGATAAATCCCCTGCTGATTTTTTCAAGTAATTACTTCAATTTAAATTTGAATTAGTTGGATCTGATAATGAAATTTTACAAAAATTAAAAAAGTATAATTATAATTAAGATTCTATAAATGCAATTTTGGGCAGGGTTATTATTGATACAAATTTTTGGTTCAAGTAATTCAACTAATATCTTCCATAAAGCTTGGCTTACCTGAAGAGAATAATAATCCCTCAAAATTAGAATATAAATTAAGATAAACCTCATGTTTTTGTATTAGGTATGACAAAAGTTGGAAAAAGTACATTATTGAATATATTAAAAAATCCAGAGAATATTATAGTTAAACAGGATAAGACCTTTTATGTAAAAGAGAAAGATAATAATATTGTGATATCTGATTCAAATAATAGTGAAACATTTGTGTTGTAAAATCTGGAGATTGATAAATTTATATTTGTTGATTCTCCTGGGTTACGAGATACTTCTGTTATAAATAGAGTTATAAATCATTACAATATCTTTAATTACATAAATAAAGTAAGATAAAAGATTTTGTTATTAATGATTGATGGAGAATATCTTATTACAAATAAAAATGATTTAATAGATTCAATAGAAGTAATCAAGTTGATATTAGGAAAATAAAATTATGATAATTGTCTTGAAAATCTTATCCTTCCTGTATTTACTAAAATAAAAAATGATACTACTATGGAGAAAATTATTAATAAATGGTAAAGTGATACAATGAAAGATATTTAAGACCAATGTTAATTAAACATTTTGAACTTAATTAAAAAAGCAATTGATTAAGGAAATTATTTTAAAATTTACATTGCAGAAAACTATGAAATTGAATCTCAGAAAAAATAATTGGATACAGAAATTAATACTTTGAAAGATAAACTTGTTGAATTAGATGAAGAGAATTTAGAAGAAGTCAAAGCACTTAAAGTATAAATCAAACTAAAAAAAGAAGAGTTAAGCAATTTATAAAAAGGGAATTTTTTATAAAAAATAAAATAGATTAAGGATGATCTTTTAAAGAAATGTGAAAAAATATTGGAAGCAAGATAACAAAATGGTTAATCTTTAAATTTTAAATTCAATTTAACTCCTGAATTGAAAGATAGTTTGAAAAAGTTATTACTTCATCGGAAAAAGTTTTATCAACATATCTTGAACATTATATAAAGTGATTTCATTGCTAAGATGCTTTATGATGATACCAAAAGTATAAATGATAAATATGAATAAATAAGGGATATTTATTTCATGTAATTAAATAAACTCTCAGATATACCACAAAATATAATTACTTAGGATATTTAGTAGTATATGGAATAATTGGATACTTTTAATAAGATTATATCTTAATTGGATGATAAAAATTAATACCTTTAACAAGATGATTTTAAATAATTTAAAATTCAAATATAGCTCCTTGAATCTGCTTTTAGATAAGTTGTGCCTAGTTATATCTTAATGAAAAATGATGTATATGATTTATACTAGTAAACAAAATAAAAGGCTATGGTAGCAATACCCCTTGCTTTAGCGGTATCTGCGGTATATTTTCCTATTTTTTTAAAATCTGGAACTAATTATATATTTACTAATCACCTTTTTGTGTCAGAACCCCTTGTTTTAGCGGCAGCCATAAGTTTTCCTATTTTTTTAATATCTGAAACTAATGATATATTTACTAATCACCTTTTTGTGTCAGAAATAGAAAAAGAAAAAATAGAGAAAATAAATTAGCTTTAGATTTAGCAAGAGTTTTGGATAAATTTTGAAAAAAGTAAATGAACCTTAATTTATTTTATATCAAATTAAAATTACATAATCATATTATAATTAATTTTGAATAATTAGAAATTTTCTAAAATATTATTATAAAAGCCTTCTGAAAAAGATGAATTAATATATAAAAGAGTGGTCTTTATATTTTTTAGTATCAATAGATATATTTTTAGGTTATGAATACTCAAGTTATAATTATTAGGATAAATATCACAAACTATTCAATTATATAATTTTTGATCGATTACAAAAAGTATAAAATATATATATATCAAATTAATAGATAGATAGACTTATCAGATATAAATAATTAATTATTTAATTTTATCTAAATAAATTATAGGAGATCAAATACTCATTTTTATCCATTATTTTCATAGTGTTCTAAATCTTTAACAAATTAAAAGTGATTCATATCATCAAAATCTTCATTGCTATCATTTTTGACTGGGTCTATAAAATATCCTTTAGTTTTTCGACTAATTGATTTGAATTCTACTTCTTTATTGAATGTAAATAAAAATTGATCTGGATATGATTGCTCTAGTAATTACTTAGTATCTTCAGATACTTAGACTTTTCCTCTTTCTCCATTAGATTCCATTTTATTAGAAATCATAACATCAGCTCCATAGACATCATATCTTACAATTTCTGTTCCTAAGATTCCTCCAATAACTTTACCCTAAAATATATAATAAAATAATTACTGTATGTATTCCAATCCTCATGTCTAATCCATCAAAACCAATTATTGATTTCACTTATCTAANAGATAAGTTGTGCCTAGTTATATCTTAATGAAAAATGATGTATATGATTTATACTAGTAAACAAAATAAAAGGCTATGGTAGCAATACCCCTTGCTTTAGCGGTATCTGCGGTATATTTTCCTATTTTTTTAAAATCTGGAACTAATTATATATTTACTAATCACCTTTTTGTGTCAGAACCCCTTGTTTTAGCGGCAGCCATAAGTTTTCCTATTTTTTTAATATCTGAAACTAATGATATATTTACTAATCACCTTTTTGTGTCAGAAATAGAAAAAGAAAAAATAGAGAAAATAAATTAGCTTTAGATTTAGCAAGAGTTTTGGATAAATTTTGAAAAAAGTAAATGAACCTTAATTTATTTTATATCAAATTAAAATTACATAATCATATTATAATTAATTTTGAATAATTAGAAATTTTCTAAAATATTATTATAAAAGCCTTCTGAAAAAGATGAATTAATATATAAAAGAGTGGTCTTTATATTTTTTAGTATCAATAGATATATTTTTAGGTTATGAATACTCAAGTTATAATTATTAGGATAAATATCACAAACTATTCAATTATATAATTTTTGATCGATTACAAAAAGTATAAAATATATATATATCAAATTAATAGATAGATAGACTTATCAGATATAAATAATTAATTATTTAATTTTATCTAAATAAATTATAGGAGATCAAATACTCATTTTTATCCATTATTTTCATAGTGTTCTAAATCTTTAACAAATTAAAAGTGATTCATATCATCAAAATCTTCATTGCTATCATTTTTGACTGGGTCTATAAAATATCCTTTAGTTTTTCGACTAATTGATTTGAATTCTACTTCTTTATTGAATGTAAATAAAAATTGATCTGGATATGATTGCTCTAGTAATTACTTAGTTTCTTCAGATACTTAGACTTTTCCTCTTTCTCCATTAGATTCCATTTTATTAGAAATCATAACATCAGCTCCATAGACATCATATCTTACAATTTCTGTTCCTAAGATTCCTCCTATTACTTTACCCTAAAATATATAATAAAATAATTACTGTATGTATTCCAATCCTCATGTCTAATCCATCAAAACCAATTATTGATCTCACTTATCTAATTATTTCAATCATTTTAAATCCTAATTCAATAACATTTTTTGCTTCTTAAGCTGGATTTCTTTATGTAACATCCACAATACCAAATGCAACATAACAATCTCCTATTGTATATAATTTATAAGCATTTTGAGTTAAACATATTTTGTCAAATTCAGTAAACAAATTCCTCAACATATTCACTACCTATTCTGGTTCTACTCTACTTGAATATTCAGTAAAACCAGCTATATCTGCAAATAATAAAGTAGCCTCTTCAAATTAATCTACAAGAACCATTCTTTAATTACTATTGGATAAGAATTATTTTAATATATGTGTAGGTAATAAATACTTAACTAGATTTTAAGTTTATAATTTTTTTAATTCTAATGATCTTTTATTATTGAATGTACCTAAATCTTAAAAAAATAAATGATATTAAACAATAAATGTCATACAACTTTAAAAAATAGTATAATAAGCAATTGCAAAGTCTTTATAATGAATCAAAACAATCAATAATTATGCAATAAAGAGGCAGAGATTAAAATACACCTTATATTTAATTTTAATAATAGAAAGTGAACAAAAGAAACAAATTAACAAAATACCTTCTGCTGCTTATAATTCTACTGATTTTTCAGGCATTAGAATAAATTCTATAAGAATACTAATTAATATGCCAAAGTAAGTTATTAAAAAGTATTAATATTTGTAAAATCTATGCTTTAATTTTTTGTTTTATAATATGGCTAAGATCAGTAATAAGATTGATGCTATAAAACGAATTACAAAAACTGCAACCCAATTCTATTAATCTTATAAATACAAAAGTGTAATTGTTTTTGATATAAATTATATGAAATGTAGAGAAAGCATAAATATTATATTAATACCTTCTTTTTAATCCATAAATTCTTAAGCTAATTCTTTTTAACTATTTTTAAAATCAAGATAAAATTTACTCCTTTCTAATTGTAAATCTTCACTTTTAAATTATTCATCTTCATCAAATTATATTTTCTCTAATTCAATTTCATAATCAGGTGCTTCATCTAATATTTCTATATACAAATCCCTTCTTAATTTTTAAGATAAATCATGTAAAAGGTTTGTTTAATTTTTCTCAAAAAATGATTCATCTTTTAAATTATTAGAATGAATACTCTCTTCAGCTTAATAAACAACAATTGGAGGCAAATTTCTGTTACTTTAATTTTATATATTGTTTTGACTACCAGAGTGCTATAATTATAAGGCACCTGCAATTTTTTATCCATCTTAAGCCTTCATAATTAATGTAGGACCTCTTTAACCTCTTTTTCTTAAAGGTTAAATGTCTTTAGATTACAAAGAATCTTTAAGTAAACTAAAACTAGTTGTATTATTCTCTAAATTTTATTCTTTTTCAATTTTTCCATTTGACTCTCTAGGATATATATCAAATTATTTAATTTATTAAGGAACTTTTAATTATCTTAAATCAGTTTTAGGAGTGACAGGATCTAATTTAGTTAATGTTGGTAAATCTGATTAAGAAGAATCAAATTTTGGAACAAGTCCTTTCTTTTTTCTTACTTTTTTATCAGTATTACGTTTGATGGAGGTTACAATTTACCAAGTAATCAATTCTCCTTTTCCTTTTGCATTTACTTTAAGTTAGTTAAATTAAAGATCTGGCATATTAAGTTCCATATAAGCTTCATTAGATAGAGTGATTTCTCCATCTTAACCAGTAGAACATACTCTACTTGTTGTATTGACAGTATCACCTATTAATGAAAATTACGGTTTATGATGACCTATCACACCAGCAATAACACGACCATAATGAACTCCAATTTTAATTTTAACATTTCCAGATTATCCAAATTTAAATTTTTTGGCATATTCCATCATTTCTAATGATAATTAAACAGCCTATATTATTATATATATATATATTTATACTCTCTTTACTGCACTTTGATTAATGAATTTAGTTCCTTAATCAACAGCTTTTAAACCTCCAGCTGCCATAAATGTTTTACCAACAGTTTCTATTTTTTACATACCATTTGATACACATAAACCATCAAATCCTCTAAATAAACTATCTAATAAATTAACAATATTTTCTTTTTCTACAGCAATCAAATCATCAAATCCACAGATATCACAAAATAAAATTGAAACTTCACCCTAATTTTCCTATATTTCAAATACTCCCTCTATAATTAAAATATAATTATAAAAATACTTGCATTAATTCTATCTCTTATAAATTTAGGTAATAAAATTGATAATACATTAGTCATAGAAGTTGTTTCTTAATTAAGAGTAGCTGCCAATAAAAAATCTTACTTCTCCATCATATGTAATTTATATTGTAAAGATATAAATAATATCAATGTAACTAAAACAATTAAATCACCATTAATAATATTATAGTAATCAGTTCCTAAACTAAACTTTCTTATAAATCCTACAATAGACAAAGTAGCTATAATAAAATTTAATAATGGAATATGTAATCTTGAAAATATAATAATTAATATATAACATTAACTTAATAGGATATTATAAGTTCCTTATTATTCAAAATCTGAAATCATTTTTGTAAGCAATCTAATACTTGCAATAATTAGATTTATTTAAAAAAAATGTTTCAAATAAATTCCTGAACAGATTATTAATTGTATTATTACTTAACTGCTTATACTTAGAATATAAATTATAAAATATGTTTATGATTGAATTTCATGTTCATATGTTAATGAATAAATCATTAAAGCAAATACTTCTAAAAATATTAGAGATAATCCTAATTTAATTCTTTCAAATTTAATCCAAATTAATTTTGATAATCTTTTAAATTTCATTTCTGTATCTTTATTTAAAAATCTCAATGTAAATTTATTAATTCTATCTTAATTAACTTTTAATTCACATATAATATCTTAAATAGATATATCCATTTCATCTTTATTCTTCTTAAATACTTTACCAGCCAATTATGCAAATCTTTTTATAAGATTGTGATATCTCTTTGCTCCATTTTTTTAAGATTTTAATAAATAATTCTATACTTCTTCAAATTAACTCTTATCAATAAGAGATGAACAAAATAATGGTTCAATATATTCAATTATACTACTTAAACAAAATTAAGTAAAACCATAAAATATGAAAGCCAACCATGTAGAAGATACAGTAAACAATTCTAAAAAACTTTCCATATTTTAAAAATAAGCAGATAAAATTGAAGTCATTAACCAACATATTAAATAAGTAGTAATAAAAGTTATCCAAGTATATTTGGTATAATTTGTAGATACTACTAATTTTACAATATCACTTAAGATCAATAATATTAATACCATTTATTTAAAGGTTTCAAATTAAATGTCATCTATAATTTATAATGATTAATAGAATAATGCAGCATCTAACATAGCATTTCCATTTATTTTTAAAATAAATGACAAAACTTTCTTTTTTTTGAAAATTTTGATATTATGTTTGAATTATTCAATATAAGTAATTGAATCCTTATCATATTATCTATCTAATTTTGATTTTAGACTCACTATTTATTAAATGAATAGTAAAATACTCTAATAAACAGTCAACCAAGCCCCAGTAAATATAGTTTAATTCTAACTACAATAGGTTGCATATAAAAAAAATAAAATGTAAATTATAAGTAAGGATCTATAAAAAGAAAAGACTAATAAATCATCATAAACTTCAGCAAAAATTCTACTTTCAAAGAACATTAAACCACTTAAATCTAGATAATCTTTTAGGCAAATATCTGATGTAGGAATAACCCACATTTCATTTTATATAAATTTTCTATTTAAAGGATTATCTAATGATTTATTTGAAGTAACTTTACGATTTAGTTTTAATTTAGTACTTCCTCTTTAATATTATTGAATTTAAATTGGATAATGACAATATTATATTCCTATATTTGATTAACAAAACATATAATTATCATTATATGAATCACCAACAGCTAAAACTCTTTTATTACCTATAAATTAAGTCTATATGATTTAAATTATAGTAGCCTTTTATTTTTAATCCATTTTATAAGCAATTAAAGAGTTGCTAAAATAAAGAAGAAATTAGAAATGACTCAATAAATAACTATCCTATAAAATAGTATTGAAATATTCTCCACTCAATATGATACTATAAGATTTAACTTCTGGATAAGTTGCTTATTTTTCTTCCATAGTTAATGTTCTATGATGTCTATCAAGAGTACTCATTCTCATTGGTTTTGAACCCCAAGATTCTTCTAATTTTAAGGATTATGAAAGAATAGTCAAATGATTTTTCATAACTACTCTAGCATTATCATTATCTAAATATAATAGAGTATCATATTGATTAAGTATTTTAGATTTAAATGCAATTGGTAAGACTCTTGTTAATTCATCTCCACTTAAAAGATATAAACTAAGTTCAGCAGATTTCATTTAATTTATTAACATTTTAGTATCTTTTCTAATTTATTCTTTGACACCAATGACTTGTACAATTTACATATCTTTTGAAATTGATTGAAATGCTTACATACCTTCTTCACCTTAAAATCTTGACATAAAAATACTAGCATCTTTCTCTTTTAAATAAACTTTTGAATAGATGACTGATCTCATTCCACTCATATGTAACTTTAAAAATACTTTATCCCAATATTCTCTACTGGATTTATCTACATCAATATTTACAGGCAATTAATTTGTTTCTTCTCTCATTATAAATATATATTAAAGGCTTTCCATAGGATCATGTTCATTAATTAACATAAATTTCTCTTATAATTTATCTGGATAAAGTAATAATATTCCTAATTGATTATTTCCATTATGATATATTGCCATAACTTAAAATTCCATTACTTCTCCAAAAAAATCTACAATATATACAACTTTCCCATTATATTCATTACAACATAAAAACTTTATATCTAGTAGACCTACAAATCTCAATACTTCTTAATCAAATGAATATGATGATGAATCATGCATAAATTAATCTTCACTTGGAGAATATCTAGATACTATTTCTTAACAAAGTAAAAGAGATAATAAAGATTCCTAATATAATAATTTATTCTATCCATGAATAAGATACTTATAAAATTCATTTTCTCCATGATAAATTATTTCAACTTCCTCTTCTATTGCTTTGTCCAATTAAAATGATCTTTTTGCACTATATTATCTTTTCATATCAGATTAAGAATGTTCTAAAAATTTCTTACTTCTCATTGATCTATTATTATCAAAAGATCTCTGTTCTTCCTTACAAGATTGTTATTTAATTAATAATTCCTCTTCTTAAGATTAACTTAATCCTCCTTAACTTACACTAACCATTTATACAGGTGCTGTTACTATAGGTTTTTTATTAAAAAAAGGTTTTGGTTTTGTATTACACAATTCAGGTGTTACTTTATAATGAGTATCATCAAAATCTTCTATTCTCATATTTTCTATTTCTACATCTACATCATCTAATGGATTTGCTATACTTCTACTTGATGCTAATTCTTATTTATTAAAATCACAGCTAGACATCTTTTTAGAATTCCAATGTTATAATGTTAATTTAAATATTCCTGTATGTCTAACTTTCTTTGATTGTACATCTATATCTTATTCATCTATTTCTTCAATTTAAAAATTTGGATCATTTTTTATTTAATTTTATAAATGATCTTTAAATGTATTCCACTGATTCTTTATCATATTATTATGATTAAATTTATACATAGTGTCTTCAACTATAATAGCATGAATTCTCTATTCTCCATTAGTAATTGTACCTGTCTTATCAAAACATACAAATTCAGTCATTACCATATCTCCTACAGACACAGGATTAAGTTGTAAATAATCTATATTAGTACTCTTATAACCTGTATATTTTGTATATTTTATGTGTGCATTTATAACTTCTATTAAATCTATACAATTATAAAAATATATTGGAGTTGTTTTTAAATATTATAATAGATAAAATATTAGAGTAGGAGTATTGAAATCAGCTTAATTATATGGTAAACAAGCAGCAAATGATGCTAAAAACCAACTAATCATAGAAACTATTAAAGAAATTCCAAGAGTTAAGGCAAAAAACATACTAGACTTTTAAACAAAAAATGATTTCTTTTCAGATTTCTTCATGTTTAAATAACAAAAACAATTATTTCCTGTTTATAATACTATTCCAATTACATATTAACAAGTTCTTATTTGTTCTTCTCTAAAAATAATGTTTTTATTATCAAAATATTCCCCTTTAGGATCCTTTTTTAATTTTATAAATCCATTTATTTATGATTCAGTAATATTATATTAAATTGATCCAGTCAGTAACTTCTTGTAATCAAATCCTTGTATTCTATTTCTCCCATTTTTTAACATAGTTAATTATGTTGGTTATCTTGTTTAATCTAATGTTACTCCTTAAAAATTCTATGTTTGTACTTATAGAATCTCATCTGAAACATCAATTAAAAGCATATCAGCTGGACATACTTCATTACGCTTTAAATATATAACATCTCCTTATTCAACACATCCCCAAAAACAATTTTCATATAATGATATTTTGGGTTTTTTAAATGAAGATTACTGCTGTTATTATTATGTTACAAGGTATTTTGGTTTTTCTTTTCTAAGTTTACGAAAGCGTGTTACTCTTCTATTATTAACTATATCATCTTATGTTCTCTTTATATAATCAAAATATAGTGCTTTTGATATTTATAAGACAAAGTGCATGGTTAGAGGTACTACATAAACAACAAGATCTTCTTCGGTTGCTCCAAAAACTGCATAATGAAGAATCATAACTATGAAATAAATAACAACACCAATTCTCTCAAATTACTTGAAAAATAGGCTCAGGATTGTAAAATTGATCAATGTACTTTTTACTTTGTTGTCACTTTTATTGAGCATGTTAATACATTCCCCTTGTTCCATTTCTAACTGTGATATGTACTCTTATTTACATGGTATTTGTACTTAATCTACTTGGTTGTCACATTTTAGTATTTGCTTTTCAAATATTCAAAAATTATGAGTGAAAGGTATTTCATAATATTTTATTGGTTTATTTAAACTTAAATTGCTTCACTTTTAATGTCAAGAGACAAATTAGTTCAAGATATAAATTGAAATATATTCATAATGACAACTATTTTAGAAATGTTTCAATACAATAATGTTTATATTAATTTATCTACATCTTAAAATGTAAAAATATAAAATAATATTTTTTAAATTTAATATAATAACTAATTTTTCATCAGGCCATGAATGATCGACCATTTGAAGTAGAATTCAAGATCAAAGACGAAAGATCCTTATTAAAGGTATCATTAATTTATTTTTTTTGTAATTCTGGAGAACGAGAAGATATCTTTTTCTCAATAGGAGGATATCTTATTCTATTCTCTTAATAATTAGTATCTTATGTAAAGTACTCTGAGATTTTTTTCTGCACAGTTTAATTCAATCTCTAAATTGATTTATTGACTTGTATATAATTCTGATTAGAATTGACTCTAGATACTATAATATTTTGAATAACTTACAATGTGATATTTTAGATAATAGACTAACTTATTTCATTATTGATCTTGATGAGATTAGATCTTTTTCTTCAGATTTAGATACATATTATTATTATTATTAACTTTTTTTATTTAACATTCCTTTAAGATTTCTACGTTCTTAATTAAGATAATCATTATCTGAAGCTGCTTGATCTGAAGTTTAATAATTATCATCTAATTCTTTCTTACGCATCTAATCTATAGTTTATAATGTTTAAGATATAAGTTTTTCATGTAATAAAGGAGATTTACGCTAAATAATACTAGATTACTAAATAAAAAATTAATGAAATTTAGTTTCATCACTAGTTTTTTAAATCTTCTTTACATTATTTTAAGAAAAGATGGGCTCCTCTTCTTCAACTGGAGGATTAGTTAATCTTTTCAATTAACCCTTATAAGTTGCTTCAATAAACTTATTTGGAGTGTAACTACTACTCAGATGGGTTGAATCACATAATTTATGACTATTATTTGTAATATTTGTATTGATCTTTTATTTAGATTGATTCATAATTTTTACAATATCTCTAAAATATGCAAATTAGTATTCATAATGTTAAAAATAATTGATCTTTAATATTATTTCTGCATAAACTATATGTAATTGTAATATTATATCTGATATAGGTTGATTGATCTCAATTTAATCAAAATTGAAATCCTTAACAAATTTGTATGTTAATATATCATTTTTAACTAATGTCATCCATGCAATTTATATTTGTTCATATCCGTTTTTCATTTACTTAAATCTAGTTAAACATTAAATCAACTATTCATTTTCAATAGATTTATCAACATTATTCATACTTGTTGTCACAATATTAGTACTACTACCTTTTGGACTAGTCTCATTCTTATTTCTATTTATTATGGATATAAAAGATCCATATTTCTATGGTTTTGTATGACCCATATATTTCTTAGGAATAAATAACTTTATATCTGCTTTAGAATGTCCCTTTAAATATTAGGAACATAGATTATCTAGAGATTTAGGTACAATTTTAGATGTTTCACTTAACCATATGAGTCCTATACACATTCTTGAAATCATATCAATAGCTTTCATATGAATAGATAATAAACACATTTGATTTTGTTTAACATAATTACTTAATTGATTATTATCTTGCATTACTTAAGGAACTGCAACATTAACTAAACCATCTTAATTTATCATACTCATATCTTATTGAGATGTATTACAATTATAATCTTTCAATCTACAACTCTCTTCAACTACTTCCTCTAATTACAATTTTTTCAAAGCTTTCTCTTCAATCAAAGAATTATATGTTTATGTTTAAACTTTTAATTATTCTACCATAGATCTATAAAAATCTGTAATTTCTTCACTTAATTTATGTATATTTTGGTTATTATAGAATTCATCCATCATTGTTACTATTTCATGTCTTGTTGATTATCTATCTCTACCTAATTATCTAGATTGACCATTAGAAATAGTTGAAACCTCCTTATCTTATTATAACATTTACACTTCTGTAAAAAATTCAATGTATTCACTAGTTTAAAAACATTCATATAATTTTCTTCTTTTTTCTTACTCCTCTAAATCTAATTACTAAATTTTATCCAATAATTTTTAATTCTCCATTTTCAATTCTATTATTTATTGCTACTATTTTCTTAATTGTTCCTATTCATGCTCTAATTCCTTTTATTAATACTCTTAACGCTTTTATTAGGTTTTTCTAAATTTCTCTGACAATTATTAAAACTCCATCATTCTTTTGTTTGCTTAATGTAATTCTTTTATCACTGAATCATCATTCACTTCAAAATCTTTCACTCTTATATTCATTAATGTTTCCCTTAATTAATTTACCCTTTTTTCAAACAATAATTTTGTTCTCTTAATCAAAGTGTACTTACTCTATAAATTCTTTTGCATTGTTTACATTTACTCTGTCATTACTCTTATGGAATCTAGATCTTATAATACTGGAATCTTTTCCTCTTCCTCAAATTCAAATGTTTCAAATAGCTCTTTTCTTTTAAACAAATTATGAGCAATACAACCATTTAACAGGTCTTGAAACTAACTTCATTTTATTATTCTACTTGAACTGCATTCTTTGTTTCTATTTCTAATTCTTTTAACTCAAATTCCCTTTCATAATTATCATCTTTAATCATCAAAATTAAATTATTATAAATTATCATAACATATTATAACATATTATAACATATCCAACTTATTCTTTACTTTACTTTATACCATCTATAACTATACTTAAATAACATAACAACAAAACTATTAATACTAATTTATTATCTCTTTAATAGGATAATTAGGGATTGTGCCAGTGGTGGCATTTATTAGTCCAAAAAATAATTAAGAAAGTTCAACTCTTTCCAATCCCTTTTTATTTTATTGCTTTATTATTAATTAACTCTAAATAAACAATATATCTTGATTAGATATTAAAAATATACATTTAAATATACAAATAAATTAAATTTTATCTCAAACCTATATAATTATTGATAAATCATGTTCTCCATTTATTATCATTAATCATCTACTCTTTGTATTATCATTTATGTGATCATGTATTATATATCTATTTAATTTGAATAATCTATTCTAAATAAACCTATTTCTATTTCTACATTTTTCAATACTTTTGAAAATTAAAGAACCATTGATAATTCAATACCTTCATACTTTCTCTATTACATCTCTTCTAATAACTATGAATTACTCCATTTCAAGAATTCTTTGGATATTTATTTATAATTTTTCCCTGATCAGAAGAAACCAGAAAATAAATTAATTTTTTTCCTTTTTTCCACCAGGTTTATTTATATCTCATCCTTCAAATATACAAAAAAAATACACTCTACAATAAGTATAAGAAGAAGAGTTTTATAAAATAAGATAGAAGTACAAATAACCTATTTATGATTATGACATAGAATTCTAAGAAAAATAGTATGAGTTTTAGCTATAAAGAGAAATTTTAATGCTTCAACTAATTTTAGTGATGAGATCATTTCAACATTATGATATTTTAAGTTAAGACTAATGAAGTTAAAATGATAATGGAAAATGAATTTAAGTATTACTCAAATCAATTATTTCAGAAAAGGGATTATGCCTGTGGTGGTATTCAATAGCTCTAATAAAGAATAAGAAAATTCAACTCTTTCCAATTCCTTTTTATTATTTCATATTTATTAATGGTATAGTGTAGATAATGTTTTTATCTAATCAATTAAAATCTAATTGTTATTTGTCATTTTAAGTTAGTTTATTTCTTTTTATAATATTTGTTATATAAACCTTTATAATATAATCAACACTATATTTAACAAATACATCAGTAATTAAATGATATGAATTTTGTTTAAAATTTGGTGATCAAACAAAATGCTATTTATTTTTTATTTATTATTTTATTCAAAAGAATGGTGTTTTATACACCAATAAGTAAAAATTAAATTAAAACTATATAAGTTTGCCTCATAATTGATAATTATTTATAAAAATATATGATTGATATAAATGTTTTAAATTGAAAATTCCAATCCAAATCAAGAGTATTTAATACACTCTAATAATCTGAATTTACCCAAAAGAACCAAAAGCAACTTCTGCTTAGTGATCTTTGCAAATTGTGAGCCTTCCTTTAAAATACATTTGAGATCATATTTGAGTTATAATAGCAGTATTGGTTAAAAAAAAGAAATTTATCTTTAATCAACATTATCAAATTAAATTATATGACCTTTTTCTTTCTCAAATAATATTATATATCCCTTTATTATGATGAACATACATTTACAATTATCAAAAACTTAAATAGTGTATTTAATAATTTAATTTTAATTTCAAATTTTTTATGCTTAAATAAAATCATTACTATTGTTGAATGAGGATAATATATAGTTGTAATACATTTAGGTTTTATATGCTTTTTTTATTATCAAATACCACAGGTCATTAAAATACGATAAAAATAGAATATCAGCAATGATGATTTTATTAAGTTCACAATCAAAATTAAAAACACATATAACAAAAATTTAAGAGTTGATAATTGTGTCTAATTTTAAATAATATTAGATAATTTAATATTTATTATAATATTTAACATATTTTAATAAATTCTAAATTTCTAAATTAATTGAAATTTTAAGAAAATATTTTGCATTAAAAGAGATGAACAAATTTAATTGAATATAATATTAATTGATCAGAATCTTTCTCCTCTGATTCTTCTGGCCAATTAGATATCTCTTGACATAATTGTGACTCTTCTTGCATGAATAGCACACAAGTTGGTGTCTTCAAATAATCCAACAAGGTAAGCTTCAGCAGCTTCTTAAAGTGCCAAGACAGCTGAGCTTTAGAATCTGAGTTCCTTTTAGAATTCATGTGCAATTTCTCTGACTAATCTTTAGAATGGGAGTTTTCTGATTAACAATTCAGTTGACTTTTAGTATTTTCTGATTTCTCTAAGGGCAACAGTTCCTGGTCTGAATTTGTGGGGTTTCTTTAAACCTCCAGTAGCTCCAACAGCTGGTGCAGTCTTTCTTGCAGCCTTGGTAGCCAAATGTTTAGTTGGTTTTTTATTACCAGCAGTGCTCTTTCTTGCAGTTTACTTAGTTCTAGCCATTTTATTGATTATTTAATTTAATTTTTGAATTTACATTTAGGGGGTTTTAAGTTTATTAAAATAAGTAATTCTGTATTATGATTGGTTGATTAAGAATATTGGTTCAAAACAGTAAATTTTAATAAAACCAAAGAAATATCATCATAAAATACAAGTAATTAAATCATTCTAACATAGAATCAACCAATGAAAATTAAAGACAATGTAAACATATATCTTATATTATCAGAAACTATCAGTATAATATTAATTATTAGCTGTATTAATATAAAAATATTAAATAGTAATCAAGCATCAAAATAAGATAAAATTAAATATATAATATTAATTTCCAAAGATCCTCATAATGATTATAATATCTTTTAAAAACAAATATTATTTATTATTAGTAATACAAATTGATTCATTTAATTGATGATCCACGAAGATATACTTAAATTATTTGTTAACAAATTAAGATCATATGATAATAATCTATATAAAAAACTTGAAAAAATATTAATAAATCAAATGACATTGCCTATTTATTTTGAAGGTAAAAAAATTAGCAATTCAGTTAAAATAAAATATATTAATAATAATATTTTATTATAAGTATAAGTTTAAATAATATATTATAATGATTAATTCAAAAAAAATAATAATTATCAAGAAAACTTTTCTAAATTATTAAGATCTGGATATTTGGATTTAAAAGTGTTAATCAACTCTGTAATTTATTTTTAACATTCATTATATGTATTAAAGTCTATTTTGGCAATTTTAACAATAGAATCTTACTAAAATTATTAAATATAAAATTATTACTGATTATTTATTTAATTTTAAATTGTCAGCCTTTTTATTTTCTTATTTTGTATCAATGTATTCTCTAACTGCATAACCTACAATAGCTGCTGATAAGAGATTTGGTGTAAAATTAAGCATATGTAAATCATGCAGACACATTTTTAATATATATATACATGTTTCATAGATATTTTATAATGTCTAACTAAAGATAAATTTTGAGATATTACTTATCATTTAGACTGAAACATTTGTAAAATAGATTTTATAAATAATCTAAAGGAGTTGGAAAATAGACATTAAATTATAAGGTCTCCAAAATGGTTTATTCCATATTTTTAACTTTAAGACTATTAAATTTATTATGTCCTACTCTAGTTACAATGTCATTTAATGGAATATGATATATATCTTCAAGTTTAGATGCTATGAACATACAACTGATGCCCATTAGATGCACATCTCCATCATAATAATACATAGAAGTTTTTTTGAGAAAAGCATCTAGTAGACCAACAGCTCGAAAGTATGTCTATGATGTTGTAGTAGTAGGATAATTTCCAAATACTTCAATCATCCAATCAATCATCTTGGCTCTCAACATTTCTTTGATTCCATGTTTTTTAATAGAGAAACTAAAAGAAACTGTATCTTAACATAGGTATTGTTAATGGTCATGATGATAATGCCAATTATAAGTGATATTTCTTCTTAATTAAGGGTTATTTACATCATCTGATAAGGCATCTATAATAAATATAAGATAATAGATATTTACATCTTTATTAGACAGATTCATCATTATGAATTTGGAAAGAACTCATTTAGAGATGATAAATTTAAGATTTCTATAAATTTTCATTTTCTGATAATAAATCCAATAGTTTTCCATCTTCTGGATGTGTTTTATCTTCAAATTACTAATAAAATAAGAAATTTCTTTTACAAAAAATTTGGAAGAATTACTGGTATTTAGACTAGAAATAGAGGATTTGTTAGTAGAGCATGCTCTCTATTAAAGTATGAATGAAAATAATTACCTTGATTACAAAGTTTTTTTATGTTTCATTCAATTTTAATCTGGAACCATTACGACGAGCAAACATTTATTGTTAAATATAGTGAAATATTGTCAAATAATAAATTTTGGTAGTTTTAGTCAATTGTTAGTAAAATATTTTCCTTTTTCACTCTAATATATATATTTATATTATAATAAAATTCAAATTTAAAAGAAATCATTTTACTCTAAAGATTATTTAATCTCTTCAATAGATTTTATACTCTGTTAAAAAGTAGACTATTCATTTAATGCTTTATTTAATATTTCTAAGAATTCTTATTTATCATGTAAATCTTAAAAATAATAGATAATAAATAATTACTTTATTCTAATTATTATTCTTCTCCATCTGTTTCAACCTCTTCCTCTATATCTTACATTAATAAGTTTTAACATGCCATAACAATTTAAATATCTTAATTGATACCAATATCATTAAGAATTCTATTACCTCTAAAAGGTACTTTTTTATTATTGAAATAAATAAAAGCTTCATTAGTGAATTAGATTGTATTTGATCCTAAATCGAACATGGAAAATAGAAAAGTGCGAAATTTCATTATATCCATCCATGGACATATAGGTGTTAAGATGGCTTACAATGTAGTTATATTTCTTGGAAATATTATTACAAAGATAATATTTATAATTTCTTTGCAAATACACAATCCTTCATCTAAATTATCACAAAGAAAATAGTTGTTGATTTGAGGATGATGTTTAGTAACAAATACAATTACGTCGTAATCTAAATCATTCTCTATCAGTATATATACCTGCACCATAATATTGTTTAAAAAATATCCATTCATCAATAGTAACAACATAGAAATCTACCAATGGTTAAGCATCTTATTTTAACCCATAAAGATGCGAATAATTAATTTGCTGATAAGAAGGAATAGTATATTATTCTAATGAGACTGATTTATCCACATATCTCTATACTATACTAAAATTTTGAATTTTATTAAATCTAGTAACATCAACACCTGATGGATTTTATAAAAATCTCTAAAATTGTCTATACCTTATATTGACATTCATTAATACCAGTTTGCTGAAATAGCATATGCATATCCCTCAGAAATTCTATGATTTTTAGACATATATGTATTTAAAAAGTCATCTTCTGTCATCATTACTTTTTATTAATTATTGATTATATATATATAATAATCATCTTATATTTATATAATTTATTATCATTTCTAATGCTCTTTAAAATTGTTCGTAATGCTCTAATTACAATTCCAAAATCAACTCCTAGATTTTATTTCAATCAAATTATAGAGCCAACACAAACACCATAGAATGAAATGTATTCAACAGTATTAGCTACAGAATAATACAAGTATAAATTTAATTATATTTGTGGTTGATATGGACTTGAATAAATGCAACATGGTAAATATAGAGTGGCACTTCAATTTTTTGGAAGATTTAAGAATTTTTTAGAAACTAACAACTTAAAAGATAAGGAATGGGTTGATGTTTCAAGAAGGTACATATATCTTTATAAAAAATTAATAGAATTGTCTATTCAAATCTATAACTAAGAAGATATGAGGATGCAGAAGCATAATTAGAAGAAATAATCAGACAATTTTTAAGACAAAAAGCAAATTATGCTCTTGTGTATTCTGCATATAGTGATCTATTAACTCATTGTTTGAAATACAATTTAAATAAGGCAATACTTTTAGGTAAAGCTTTATTAAGTGAAATGTAAAGAGAGAATGTCCCTTTAGGTTATTAGAAACAATTTTTGTATTTTTTGGGAGTATCAAATTTAATCACTATTAAAAGACTGCATATTTATTAAAAGAAAATTATACTGATGCCAAATTAAGATTAAGAGAGTGTTTGGCTTCAGATCCATCTAATCAATTAAAAGGATGGGCTTATAATAGTTTGGCTGTTGCTTCATGGTGGCATAAATTTCCAAGTCTTAGAGAATTTGTAAGTGATGATGAAGAAGAAACAGGACCTTAACAAAGTGATATTCCAGCTGAAAATATAGATGCTGATTTTGAAAATGTGATACCTCTATTTAAAAAGTCAATTTATTACATAGAACATTCAAATAATTAAATTAAAACAGGATTGGAATGGTTATTGAATGAAGATCTATTACCATAAGATAGAACTAATCTAACAAAAACATAATTTAAGAGTTTACATGTTGGAAAACCATTACTCAATTTAAGTGAATTTGTATTAAATAAAGCACCCTCTAAACGTGCAGAATTATAATTTTGGTTGAAAACTACCATAAACTTTTATGAAGAATAAGATCCAACCAATATGGACAGATCTCTCTTATTTTTGGCTTGGATGTGCAGTACTAATAAATATGTATTATATAATTAAAAAGTTTATAGTTTGATAGAGCAGAAAGCATGTATAGAATAGTTTTACAAATGCTTGAAAATTCAGATTCTTATAATAAAGTATTATGTATGTAATTACTTGGAAGTATGTTGAAGAAGATGCCTAATAGAGGTAGTGAAGGAGAATGTAAATAATCATTAATTATTTAGAATTAATCATTAAGGCTTAGTAGATAGCTGAAGAATTACCCTATTGGTCCAATAGATAAGTACATGTTATTGTACCTGATTTTGAAATCTGATTAATAATTTAACTGATTTATAATTGAAAATTGAAGATCTCCTTGATATTAGTGTTGAAAATTAATTTCATAATGTCAATTACATAATAAATATCAATTTCAATATTGAGATCCTCAATATTAAAATTGAATCAAAGTAATTCTTGGATAGCCAATTTAAGGAATCAATTTATTGAAGAAATTGCATCAGAAATTGGATATTATAAGAAATACTCTATTTTTATAACAATGTGATATTCATCATTCAGTAATTTAACTGAAATTTTATACATTATCATTCTCGTTTATTCAAGCAAATAAAAAATTAAGATCTGAATAATTACAAACACAAAATCTGTGTTCATATAATAAAAGTTATCTTCTACTAAATTATAAAATTGATATTGATAAAGTGCATTATCCTCTACTATTATAATATTAAAGAATAATATTACATAGACTAACAATATTAAGATTAATAGATAAAAATATAATGAATTAGGATTACAAGTATTTATAAAGTGAAAATTTAAATACAAAAGGATTGATAAACATGAAATTTTTAGAAATTATTACATAAAGAATTCATTAGAATCTGAATAATAAGAAACTGTCAACAATAAAAAATCAATATATTATTCTAATCTTTGTCATTCTTCATCTGTATCAAAATCTAGCAATAAATAAAAAGATCTCTCTTATTGTTAATAATAATCCTTTTTGAATGAATAGAATTTAAAAATAAAAATTTAGATTACAATAAGATAGATAATTAAAAGATAATAAATAATAGCAACAACATCAAGTTAAGATGTAAGTCTAAATAAATTAAATAATTTATTTTAATTAGCTAAAAATCAATGAATATAGATTAATATTCTCTAATTTTCAATTAAATAATAATAAATATTATCTCTATATTCTAATATTATACTTTACTTTCATTTAATGATTTTTTTAGTTTTTTCATTCTATTTGGCCATTTATACGGTTTAGTTGTCAGCCTTTTAATTTATTTTATCTAATTATGTATTCTGATTTTTTAGAACTTGATTTGTTAAGAGTTATTAATATTTCATTTAATTTGTTTAATTAATCATCTCATCATAAATTTCATCAACCTATCTTTGGGGTGGTTATTGAATTTGTTATTATTAATTATTTTTTTCTTTTTATTCTAATTTCTCTTATTTAGGTTTAGTGAAGAGAGCCTTAAATTAACCCCATGGAGATTTAATAACATCCAAAATGTAATCAATTTTATGTAGCTTCTATTAATTTTAGTCTAAATTTTGTTCAATTCTATCAATTTTTTCACCTTGATTATGAAGCTAATTTAAATGAATAAATGTATACAGTCAATAGTGAATTTGCAGATTATTGATTTATTTAGTACATATTATTTAAGATATCTTATTGTTGTTATTTGAGTTTAAGTTCTTATTCTTAATTTAAAGCAGCTTGATTCTGTTTTTATATTTGTTATTATTGCATAAAATTTTTAATAGAGATTTTTGTGTGATTAAAATAAATACCATTTATTATTTTGATGTAAAGAGATTTAACTCCATAAGATGTGTTACCCTTAATTGTAGAATATTTGAAATCAATTGGATTAAAGAAATCTGCAAAGTAAATTGATTCTTTATATGAACATGATGAAACTCCAATGATTAACAAGAATTTATAAAAAATAATTAAATATTATGTTGAAGGACATCCGTAATAAGCAATAATATATTGATTAGTAAACTTGCTGCTAAATTTATTAATGAGATTGAAAATGAAGAGTAAGAAGAAGAGGAAACAGAATAATCAAAAGAGGAGGTGAAGAATAATAAATAATCTGGAAAAACATTGTCAGATAAAAGAACATTCACTTAAATGAATAGTATAGAGATATTTAAATTAAAGAAATAGAAATTAATGAGGAAGTTGTAGATTAAAAAGAAAAGAAGAGATTTTTCTAAAAATGTGATGAAACAGTATATGATAAATTACCTGATCATTTGAGAGATAATACTTTTGAGGCTAAAAAGAAATTTGGAGAAGGAGATTAATATGGTGAGTTTGGAAATGAAAAATTAAAGTTTACAAGAGGGGATAATTTCAAGAAAGAGAAAGGAAAATTAAAAAATAGATAATTTTAAGGTATGGGTAGTATTAATTTGAATTCAATAAACTCAATTAAGTTATGAAAATATAAAATATTTAATATTTATTTCATTATGATCTTTAAATAAATAGATTGTTAAAGAATTGTTTTTTTTCTTATAATTCAAATATATGTATAACTATCATTTTTTTATAATTTTATGATGATGATAAGATGATTAAATAGTTAATATAAAAAATAGTTTATTAACGAATGCTAGGAAGTAGAAGAGTTCGTTCACACGAATCATCACTTACTAATTTAGATGCTTATAATCCTAATTCCCCAGTTAGAATTCAATAACATATAAATCATCATCAATTTAAAACTTAAAGATGTTAGATTCAACATCAAATTAACCAAAAAAAGTTTTGTCCATTTTTTCATGACGAAACTGATCGGAGAAGAGATCTTAAATATTATTCTTATAAGTAAATAAAATCTTAAATATTTATTTTCAGATGTTAATTATGCCCGCAAGCTGATAATTGTCCCTAAGGTGATGAATGTCAATTTGCTCATAATAAAGTAGAGCAAGTATATCATCCAAATAGATACAAGACTAAATATTGTACTCACATAAAGGATTGTGATTATGGATTCTATTGTTCATTTGCTCATAATGATTAAGAATTAATAATTCCTGTTAAATTAGATGGTATGGTTCAAGACAAAAATTTCTGGATGTATTAATACAAAACTGTTTGGTGTCCACTTACAATCAAGTAAGATTTTAATCTTAAATAATATTCTTAGTCATGATAGAGCATCATGTGTTTATGCTCATAATGCTTAAGATTTTAGAAGAGATCCAAAGAAATTATAACCAAAAGAATGTCCTCATTGGAATAAAACTAATTAGATATTGAATTATGATAAAGGAGGATGTCCAGATTAAGAAGAATGTTAATATTGTCATGGTTGGAAAGAATTCGAATATCATCCATTAATCTATAAAACTAAACCATGTACTTAAACCAATTGCAATAAGAAGTTAGCTGAATGTGCATTCTATCATTCAGATTAAGAGAAAAGGTACAATTTTCAGTTAAATTTTATAAGGATTCGTAAATAATTAGCAGATAATTAATGGGTAATGGAAGAACCTAATATACATGTTGAAGCTAAAAGATAACCATATAAACCTACATCAAATTATCTAGGTCCTATTATCCCTAATTACATTCCTTAAGATTATATGAGTAAAGAGAAAATGGAAATTGGATAACCATTTTGTTAATAATCTATAACGAATACAAAAACATCTGATTCTAATTCAAGAAGAGGATCTGATTTTTCAGATGGCTCAAAAATGAATAAAAAAAAGCATAATATACAATAACAGTTTTAACCTTAGAAAAAACATCGAACAGCCCCAACTACTCCAGATTAAAAATAATTACATATTATGGGCAATAATTATACTATAAAAGCTTAATAAAATGTTTAAAGTAATTCCCATCTTTCTTATTCAAAAAAACTTTATGAAGAAATACTTAAATTAAATGAAGTAAATTATATATATATATATTAATTTTAGGGAGAGTGTATTTATAAAATCTTATAAGGATTTAAAATATCTGAATAAATGTTGATGTAAATGGGAGATTAATAAATTAAATAACTTAATCTAAGTGAATAATAAATTATTTAACTTACATCAGCCTTAGCAGCAATTAAAATAGAGAAAAAATATGATGAACACTGTGGTGATGAACTTCTTAGTTTGATATCAAACTAAGGCAAATTTTGAAATTTTCAATATGCATAAAATAACATTAAAATAAATTTTCCATTTGCATATAAATTTGATACAATAATTAATAATTTCTTTTGAGAATACTAATTTAATTCATTCACAATTCTCCACACTCTTCAATAATTATTATTTATTTTGGTTTATTTTAAGGACCAACAGGTGTTGTTTCAATTCTTCTAATCACTTACATTGATCCTGCATCAATTACTTTACCAAAGACAACATGTTTGCCATCTAACCAATCGCATTTAGTACAAGTAATAAAAAATTAACAACCATTACTATTTGGACCAGAATTGGCCATTGATAATAATCCAGGTTCATCATGTCTCAATTAAAAATTCTCATCTTCAAATTTATCTCCATATATTGATACACATCCTGTTCCATCCCCCTATACATAAATAGAATAAATACCATCACAAAATCACCTCCTTAAATCATGAAATCCTTGATTACTCTATGAAATTAACAACCTTTGTAACCTGTAGGCTTATCAAATTTCTTATATTCTCCAGTGCATAATTGTCTAAAATTTTCAGCTGTTTTTGGAACTACATCAGCATACAATTCAATTCTAATTCTTCCAACTTTTTAACCTGCAATAGCCACATCAAAAAACACAATTGGGTTTTAAGGATTTCTAATCATATATTAATTAATTATATTTTCAGTTTAAATTCCTTTCTTTCTTATTAATCATATTCAATATACTTGCATTTTATTCTAGATATTTCTTTTTATTTTCAATAATAAATTAATATGGCTTTCATTTCAAATAATGGATTGGAAAACCTAAAAAAATATAAATATGTATCAGGAGGATACTCTTATTTAGATAATAAGATTAATCCATTCTGGATATTTATAAGTGAACTTTATCCTATGGTATATATATTAATCAATCATTTATAGTGGCTTGCTCCAAATTTGATTACATTTATTGGATTTATAACCATGATCTTTGCTTGTTTATTCCAAGTTTTTGCTGACATGACATTGACCCAATAAATACCAACTTGGACATTTTACTTTATGGCATTTGCTATATTTGCATATTAAACTTTAGATGCAACAGATGGTAAATAAGCAAGAAGAACATCTTCATCATCACCATTGGGTTAATTGTTTGATCATGGTTGTGATTCATTTATTATGCAATTTTTCATTATTGGAGCTGCATAGGCAACATAGATGGATAGAGATACATTATTTTATTTATAATTCTTTTGCTAAATTGGTCTTTGGGCAATTAACTAAAAAGAGTATTATACTGGTGTATTACATACTCATTTAGCTAATTTTGGTGTGACAGAATTGGAATTAGTAGCTATTTCAGTTTAATTGGTATCATTATTTATATATATATATCAATTAGTTTTCTGCAATTTTTGGATAGAGTGCTTGGCATAATCCAATATTAGGATTCAATCTATATTAAATAGTTACATCAACTATTTTATTTTCAGCTATAATAGCTGATATTTTTTTGTTTTTCTCAAATATTTTTAAATCTTAAAAGCCTTTAAGAGTATTTAGTGAATGGATTCCTTTATTTTTATTTTGGACATTATGTATAAAATTAATATTATTTAAATTAGAATTTGTTTGGTTTTCATCCCCCATTTATAGTTAGTTTGCTGGACCACTATTAATTAATTTTGGAATCATTTTATCATCAATTGTGTGTAAAACAATTGTTTGTTCTACTACAAAAGTAATTTATGTATTTATCTTAGGATTAAACTCCCTTATTTCATTTTGAAATGCTACCCTTTATTATTATCAGTTTACTAACCTATTTCATTAAGTTTAGTTTAGAAAATTTGAAAATATTATTTTGGATATAGTTCATTTTTACAATTGTCCTAACTCTTTTATTTGTTAAGAATGTAATAAATTAAATAACTACATATCTTGAGATAAGTTGTTTTACAATCAAGAAGAAATAATATTGAATATTTGTAAAAAAATTAAGTATTTGTCATATTATTTTATATAAGAATAAGTTTCTTAAAATATGAATCTGATATAAATAAAATTTAACAATTCAAACGAACTTAAAAATCTTTTATTTCTTTTTGATAGAAAGTTCCTTTTAATCTATCTATCTTTATAAACTATGAAAGTGAAAAAGCTTTTGTTTCTTTGTGATTCAATCTAATTTATTTCAATTACTAAGTCATCTATAGATATGTTAGTTAAACAATCTAAATTCCATATTCAATTTTTTAATAATTAGAAATCAAAATGAGTACTTTGAATATTGAAAAGAATAGATTCATGAAGAAAGCATATGAAAAGAAATCCCAAAGAGAAATATCTACAAGTCCACTTTTAATGATATTGAAGACAGATGAAGAAATTGATGATCTAAATTCACCCATTTCTACCCATTTATAAATACCAATTTTCAGTCCAACTAAGTTCATATTTCCAAACTTGGCATACTAGAAAAAAATTAAATGATGTTATTTCTTAAATATACTTATTTTCATCTCAAAATTTTATCAATAAGCATCCACATTTTAGTTTGATTGTTTATTCAAACCTTTATCAAGACTTTAATAAGTTATAACAATCAAATTCATTGAATTTTGTTCTATTTTTAAGAATTTTCTATTCTTATATAAGAAATCAAATATTTTAATCCTTTTTTATACTCTTACATCAAGTTATTGAGTATAGAGATTGAAGATATTATCCTATAATCAATATTAATAAGAAATATGAGTAAATAAAACAAAATTAAGATAAATCAGTTTAAATAAATAGAAATTAGAACAAATAATTATTTTTAAAAAAAATATTGAAATAATTCTTATTTCCAATATTTAGAAAAAATTATTTAACTGATTTGAAATCAGACTTGGATAGGCTTGAATAGAAATTTAATTCAAAAATACTTTAATTAATCATATTTATTCAATATACAAATACTTTTGAAAGAATAATATTAACATATCCATTTTATATTTTACTTTTATAAATTATATATGATTAATTAAAGTATTTTTGAATAAATTGAAATAAATGTAATCTAATCAGAAATACATCAATTTTATATATTAATTTTTGTATATCCTATACAAAATTTATATATATATTTATAAAATTTAAATTTGAAAATCCCTCTCAAATGATGTAACTTAGAAGTGGAACACTAAAGAAGCCCCCTGCTAGAATATGTATGTCTTCATATCAGGTATTTTATGCTGAAAAAGCTGCCTAAATGAAAAAAGAAGGAAAGATGAAAGGTAAGGAAATTCAGAGCAAGATCAGGGAAATGTGGAAACAAATGGATGAAGAGGAAAAAGATAAATATGAAGATGATTTCGAAAAAATGGAGGCTAAATATAAAGAGGATTTACTTTTGTATTATGGAGGAAGTGCACAAGATTTGAAAAAGTATAAAGCTTTAATGGAAATACCTGAAAAGCCAAAGAAGCCAGTATCAGGTTGTTTAGTTTATATAGCAGAGAATAGAAGGGCATATTCCGAAGAAAAACCTGATTTATCCTTTGGTTAGGTAACAAAGGCATTAGTGGATCAATACAATAAACTTTCAAATAAAGATAGAAAGAAGTATGATGATGAATTTGATAAAAAATTAGAACATTATCATAAATAAATGGAGGATTGGACAAAGTAAATACTTATTTTTATAATATTAGAAAGTATTCAGAAAAAAGAGAATAATTTGATTAATTGATTGAGGAAAAATTTAAAAGATCAGCCACAAGATAAGATTTATAATATTAAGAATTACCACCTTATAAAAGAGGTCCAAGAAAAATGAAAGATGATGAAGAAACTGCATAATAGAAACCAGAAAAGGATGAAAAATAAGATTAAATGAAGAAAGATGACAAAAAGAAAGAAGAAAAAGATAAGTAATTATAATTATAGTATAATAATAGTAAAAAAGGAACCAAAAATGCCAAAGATGAAGGCAAAGGGGAATCCAAGAAAATGAATGAAAAAGATTAAAAAGATAAAAAAGAGATGAATCGCAAAAAATCAGTAGGTAGAAAATATTGATTTGATTTTTTTTCGATTTAGAATAAATTTTGCTTTTACATTTTATATTATCCTCTTATGGATATAAATAATGTTATTATTATATCATATACTCAATTTCTTATTTATAGATTGCACCTCCGACAAACAATTAAGTAAATTTAATTCGTTTTAATTATTTTCCTCCTCTTCTGCGAAACGTGTTAACTAGTTAATCTAAAAGGCATTTAAATTATGTAAGTTTAAGTGATTATTTGCAATAGCTCTATAAGCAATACAGGGCCTAATTTAATATTTCATTGTCTAAATCCCAACTTTCATTATAAATTTACAAAACATGATTGTCTTAAATTTGATTTATATTTTATTTATGAAAAAATGCTATTCTAATTATTCCTATTTATTAAAATAAATATTATATATTATCATGAAAGTATAATATTTAAAAAAATAATAAAACAGAAAGGTTTGAAAATTAAAATGATTTTATTATGATTGTTGATAACTTTAAGTATAAACTAAATTATTTAATATTCAATATAAAATTAATTATTATTTATTCATCAATTACATTGATTAACTCAAATCTATCTTATAAAGGATCTTCTAAGTTTTTATTTTTAAATTGTATACTTAGGGTATGTAATAACTTTTATCTAAAGCTCCAACTATTAATTTAATAATTAATAAATATCTAAATTTAAGTTAAAATTTATTTAGTCTTTCTATATTATGAAACCTTGTTATTTAAAATGAGATTAATAAAAGTCAGATTGTTTTATCTTAATTGATGAATGTGATAAACTTATTTTAACTGATTTTTTGATTCATAACATTTTTATAAAAAAATTAACTATTTAATTACCTTATAAGTATTATTAATTTTATCTTTTGACTTCAATGATTCTAGTAGCCTTGAAATGGTTGTTAAGATGGGTTTATTTAGTCTATTTTTATTTTCTTAATAAGGTCATCCATTGAAAGAGATAGATTCTTAATTCATCTAAGGATTAAAAACCACAATTTAATATAGAATTATTATCTTTAAAAGAGTTACACTAATAATGTAAGAATTAATATGTAAAAATAATTTTAATAATTGTTAAGTCAATTAAATTTTTTATAATTCTAATTTTAAGATCTTTCCTTTAACCATTTTGGTGCTAGAATCTAAAATTATATGAATTATTTTTTAAACCTTAATCAAGACGAAATTATAGAAACAAGAAGGAACAATTTTTTGAAATTCTGCTTAAATTTCATGATTCCAATGTCCACTTGTATTTGATCCCATCCTTTTTAGTAAACCATTAGCACAATCTGAAGCAGATATTGTAAGAAAACTTGGAGGTCTATTTTATGTCATATTGGTTGAGACTTCACCTGGACTTAAAGAGAAAACTTCTAGTTCTGGATATTCAGCATTTATTGTAGTGGTTAAGAATTCTCCAAATGCTTTGGTAGCACTATATACATTAAAATATGGAGTTGGAAACTTTCCTGCTAAAGATGTTACATTAACAATTGCTGATTTATATTAATTTCTTTTCAAAAATCTAGGGATAAATCTTTTACAAAGCATAGTGATTGGAAAACAATTAACTGTTATTGTATTATATATTTCTTCATCAGAAAGCAAGTGAAATTTATTAAGTACATCAACTCCAACATTATTAACTAATATACTGACATCTCTCTCTCCAACTTTATCCATAATTTGATCAAATATATTTTTATTTGTTGATTAAGAAAAGTCAGACACAATAATAAGTGATTCTGTTGTTAATTGTTTTGCTACTGCTTCTAATTTTTATCTGTTACGAGCTACAAGAATTATCTTGAATCCTTTCTATGAAAATTGAATAGCCAATTGCTTTCCTATACCATCTGATGCTCCTGTAATTAAGATCCATGATCCAATTCCATATTTCTATAGATTAGTGTTTGGACGTATCAATTTCCATATAAAAGTTATTACATTCACTAATTTAAGTAATACTAATAGTCCTAAAACATATAGAAATGATTGAAATATAGGATAGTCTTAAATTTATTGTAAAATCATTAATATTATGTTTTATTTGAGGAATAATTTGATTAGTTTTTATCGATTCACAACTTAGCCTAAGATGTACAATTGATATTCAATTTTAGAGCATTCATTTCCTAAGAGCAATTCTTAGGAGAAATAGGTTATCTATTACACAAAATTGAATAATCATTTAATAAACTTAGAGAATATGAAAATAGAATTGAGATTAAATCAGATGCTCTTGCTCTATGTGTAGCTGTTAAAGATTTAGGAGAATATAATTTTACAACTAATGTAAAAGAAAGGAGATTATATCTATAAACACCATTTAATTTATTCTAATATTATTATGATGAACAAGCAGATTAATGGAAAAATGTTAAAGATCAGCACAATATGATTGAAAATTTGACTAGAGAGACAGGCAAGTACTTAAAAGGATACTTGGAATTTTGATGAAATTAATCTAAATTACATTAAATTATTATTTATTCATTTTTTTATTATATTTGTATAATCTCTAAAAATCATATTACATTATTTAAGATTCTATATAATAATGATAATAATAATTATAAATAATGATATCTTATTTTTGTTGTTGTTTTAATAGCATAAAGTTTAATATTATAGATAGAAAACATGATTAATTATCTAAATATTATTTAATATAGTTCTTAATTACTAAATAGTATAAGAGTAAAAAGAAAATCACTATCCTTTAATAATATCTTTAGTTATCTAACTAATATATATTAAATAATAAAATTATTAGAGCAATAATGATTAAATTTCAATAATTTTGTCTTAAATAAGAATCTTGTCTTTTTTTGACAGATTATTAATTAGACTTATATGTTTTTGTTTCACTTTGAAAAATTTATTTGTTTATATTTAATATTTATATTAAATATGTATAATGTAATGATCAGAATCCCCATCTAAATCTTCCAGGTGGATAGAATGGACCAGCTAAGAATCTTCCAGAAGCCATGTATTCCTTAATTTAAGGAAGGTTAGAAAATTCTTGATGATGTTTTTAGAGGTTAGCAAACTTGGCCCATGATTCAGCATTGAAAGCTTTCAATGTTTCTTCTAATTCGAAGAGAGCAAAGTCAATATATGTAAGATTGGCTCCAGCTGCCCAAGTCTTTCCATCAATAAATTTATCTAATCTTTCAATTAACCAAGCGACTTCATTGGCATAAATTTCCTCTTTCTTGGCTGCATATTGATCCTCAGGGAGAGTAATAAGGTGGAAGAAACCTTTTAAGGCATCTTAGATAACACCTCTCACTTAAGCTACAGCTACTTATTCATCTGGTGTGGATCCCAAGAGATCAGCTCTATTAGCCTTATGTGCCAAATAGACATAAAGAGCAGCACTCTCGTAGACATACTTCTCACCATCTTTAATATATGGGAGGTTGACAAGAACGTGGGTATTGAATGGAGCTTAAGCAAGTCCTCCAAACCATTCTTCAGGTTTGAGGTATCTTTTATCTTCATATGGTAATCCCAAGTACTCTAACATATATCTCACTAAAGGAATGATATTAATTCATACATGGTTGAGCCAATCCTCTGATTCCCCAATATCCTAAAACAAGTTGATCTGCCATATTAATTTATTACTAGATGACGAATCAAATTTGGATATAAATTGTGTAATATCAGTCTAGAATTTTCTATATAGAAAAACTATATTATAATTATTTTACACAAAATCATAATTCAGCTTTTGGATCAACAACCTAATTAGCTGCATTATCTACAATCCATTTAACAAATCTTTCTTCTTAGATTTTGTTTGCTCTGATTACGAATTTATTTGGTTAGTTATTTTTATATAATCTAATTTTAACGATTTCAATTGATTCTGCTAAATCGCTAACTTCATTTTAAGATAAATCAATTTTATTAAAAATTAATTATTTATTTTATTGGAGTCTTTCAGCTACCTTCAAGAATTGTTCTTAAACTGCAGTGCTACATAATTAAATTTAATATATTACTGTTCTTCATTTTGAGAATCAAAATATAAGATTACTGAATCATTAACTGATCTTGCATCATCATAAGTATCTCCAATAAGAATTTTGACTAATCCTTATTATTATGGAGCAGCTTAAGATTTAAGATATTTATGAGCTTTTCCTGATTAGAATGCTTCCAAGAATTCACTAACACTTTATCCTTCAACTCTTTTATATCTTTGATCTCCTTTAATAATAAAAACTCCTTTTTAATCTTGAGATCTAACTTGAATTTTTCTTGTGAATTCTTCATCAACATTTTTAATGAAAAGTAATTCATCTTAGAATGACCAAGTTTAGGCAGCATTTTATACTTCTTATTCATCAGAAAAGATAACAACAAAAGGTTTACTTTTTGTTATTCTTTCATCTAATTATTCCTTTTTTTCAGAGTATTCTTGAATTCTTTCATTAGCAACATTTTCAACAAAGGTTTTCATTATTGGGAATGAAAGTTTTCCTTAATAATAATATTGCTTTTGATTTCTAAATCCAACAAAATAGGTTCCTTTTGGAATATTGAGAGCTTCTCTGATTGTTTTACTTGTAGTATGGGCAAAATGTTATTTCATAGTGAATGAGAATTCCTTGTATTTTCTTAATTCTCTATCTTTTTCACTTTATTCTTCTGCAAAATAAATAAATTGAACATTATTTTAAGTAATAGCCTCATTTACTTATTCAAGAGTTTCAAATAATTCACTTTCAGGATTAAGATTGCTGTAAATCCAATTTTTAATACCATCAGCTGTTCTACCACCTTCAAAATCTTTAACAGCTTATTTGACACTAAATTTGATAGTTGGATATCCTTTGACTCCATATTTTTCAGCTAATTTCTTTTAGACTGTGGCATCAATCTTAGCCAAAACAATTCCTTCAGGTCTAAGAGCAGTAGCAGCTTCAGCATATTTAGGTGCAAGTTCTTTGCAATGTCCACACCAAGGAGCATAGAATTCAAACATCAAATAATCGAATTCATTGAAAGCTTAATCAAATGTTTCTTCTGTGAGTACCATAACATCACCATCATATTCATAATCAGCAATTACAGCAAAAGCAAGTAAGGAGAGCAAGAGAAGCGATTTCATAATTTTAATTATTACGTGTATTTAACTAAAAATTCTAGAATTTAAATTAGAAAATTATACGAATTATATTATTATATTTAGAAATTCTTAAATAGATTCATATTGATTATTTTATCTTTTATTTATTAAACATAGATGATGATTAATTTATATAAATATATCAATTTCTATCATCTATATGGTCATTTAATACAATATTAGTTTTTACTTCTAATAATTTTTCAAAAAATTTACTATTGTTAAAATATCCCAAATGAAATCCTTTATTTTAATTTTTAAATGATCATTTTATATACTTATAGATTTGATACCTTTTTAAATATATCTAAGTTGATAAATATACTTCTTTATTAATGAATGTAACCACTTAAGGAAGCGTTTAATTTTAGAACTGATTTTGTAATACTATTCATCTAAATCCCATAAAATTATATTGAGAACATCTTCCAGTACTTGAAATTACTTTTCAAGAGTAGAGTAACTTTTGAACATCTCTATTAGTTCCTTTGAAGATTAATGGAAACTTTTCTATATGAGTTTTTCATATAGCAGAGGACACTTCTATTTGTTCTTGGCCAAATTTACTTAGCATTAAACTGTAGAGAATATATGAGATAATTAATTTAATGAGTTTATCTGATCTGCTTGATGATCATGGTGATAGCGCCAATTCTTAATTTGGCATTAATCCACCCAGTTATAATGAAGAGCAAGTGAGACAATAATTCAGAGGTCCTGCAAAATTGGCAACAAAAGTTGACCCTCTATAAGATGTTGGAGATTATTCAATTAAACCACCATCTAATATAAGTTTACCAAAAGCAACCGATTAGATAAATCCTTCTTAATCTCCTAATTCAGGACCTATTTAATTAACTCCAAAGACTTCTTTAATGGAAGAGAAAATTCTAGGGAGTGCTACAAATAGGGAATAAATAAGGGATTTGGCTTAAAGTAATTACACTAATCTTCCTAAAGAGGGAGTAAATAACTTCCTTAAATTAGTGATTGCTAAAAGTCGTTATCATCATTTTATTGATCTTTTAGTTTAAAGAGCCTATGTTAAAAAGCTTTCTGAATTTAGCATTTATCAAAATACAATGTTAGATGATCTAAGATACATTGATTCAAAATACCATGTTCATAAAAATTTAATAGGAAAGTTTTGTAAGAAATTAAGATTTGTTCCCATTTTAGATTAAAGTAGTTACTTGGTAATAGGTTGGTAATTGTTGTATATACTCACAATAATAATAATTTTCTTTTGGACTCCCTTCAATTTATCATTTGGGATTACATTGAATTAAGTAGTATTTGGGAGTATGATGGTAAAAGAAGTAGAGTTTTACTTTCTCTTTTCTATAATAATAGATGGATTCATAGTCATAAATACATCATATATTAGAAAGGGAATCATTATAAAATCTAGGGGGAAGATATTCATAAATTATCTCAATACATAGGCAATCTATGATTTAGTAATCATATTTTTGATATATTAAAGTGTTCCATAGTTTCAATGTTAATTGCTCAATATTCTAGTATTGATAATGGTTAGGAATATCTAGTTTGGCAATTGATACCATATGCAGTTTATTATTGTAGTCGAATATTCAAATTATAGGGAAGAGTACATAAATTAGAAGAGTAAAAGATAATTTATAAATGATAGGTTTTTCAATTTTTCAGGATGGGTTCAAGATGTTATTGAATTAATAAAACTATTATTTATGGTAATTTATGTTGGTCATTTATTTGCATGTCTTTGGCATAGTGTTGCTTTCTATTAAATAGGATATAATAAAACTTGGTTAGAGATCTATGATATAGTAGATGCAAATATATTCACTAAATATAATTATGCATTCTATTGGGCTGTTTAAACTATGATTACTGTTGGTTATGGTGATTTGACTCCATAAAATGATTATGAAAGATTATGTGCAAATTTAAGTATGTTTTTAGCTTGTGGAGTGTTTGCATTCTCTTTCAATAGTATAGGTCTTATGCTCAGTAATCTAAATTCAAGATAAGTACTTTATAAAAGAAGTACTAATTTACTTAATCAATTTCTAACTAAAAATTAAATTAAAGTTGAACTTTAATCTAGAATTAGAAATTATTATGATTATATTTTTTAAGAAGAATAAGAAATTAATGATGAAGAAGTTTCTTAAATTACAACTAAATTATCTAGTTCTTTATAGGAAGAACTTAATTTTGAGATTAGACTTAATGTTATGAAAACTAATAGAGTTTTAACTAGATTCTCTTAAAAAACATTAAGAGAATTATCTTTGCTTATAGAGGAAGTCAGATTCTCTCCAGAAGATTAAATTATACAATAAGGAACTCAAGATGATTGTTCTCTTTATCTTATTACCAAAGGCACTGTTTCCATTCTTTTTTAAAATGAACCATAAGCCAAAAATAATAGAGTACTGTAATATTTGGAAAAAGGATAAACTTTTGGAGAATATTCTTTTTTTACTGGTCTAAATAGAACTGCTTCAGCAAAAAGTATAGGATTTTCAAGAGCATACAAAATTACAAGATAAAAATTGTTAAATGTACTACAAATAAATGAAATTGATTTAGTAATATTAATTATATTATAATTATTAGGAACGTTTTTGTGAAGTAAGAGATTAAATTTTGTAAAGTGAGAATTATCAACCAGCATAATTATAATGTTATTCATGCAATAAATCTAATCATCTCATAAAGGATTGTCCTATATTACATTTTGTTCCAGACAAAGAGAAAGTAATTAAAAAGGAATATTTTCCTGTTCAATAATAAAGAAATGTAACTTATATTAGATAGAGATGTGATAGGAATTATTATGCAACCTTATTAGAAATGAAAAAGACTCTTGAAATTATTAAAGAATTTTAAACAAATGAACTTTATAATGATAATCAAAATATATAAGAAGAGAATTCAGATGTTTCATATGATGATAATGATGATTATCCATATGAATATTGTAAAATTTCTTATTTATTAATAGCCTCTTAAAATAAAAGCTGTTCTAAAATCTCTAGATAATAATCAAAAAATTGTTCATATTCATAAAATGATAATAATCATTCCAATAATCCTAGAAATTTATAACCTATTTAAGAAAGTGAAGATTCTGACAATAGTGTAAGTCCAATTAAATAGAGAAATTCAGCTGTTAAAAATACTATATAAACTGCTGGTTTTGGTGGATAAGATTCTTTTTAAAATAAAATAAAATTAGATGATCATGATAAGGATATTATCAATATTACTAATTAAGCTTATCCAATTTCTAATAGTAATAAGGAAGATCATAGAATTCATTTAAAAAATGATAGATTACTTAGTCCTATAGATATACCTAGCAGAATCAATAGAAAAAGAATTACTGCCATTTAAAAATAAAATAGGGAAGAATCCTATTAACCATTCTCAACTCAAACTCAACTTGATCTAAATTAAGAGAAAGAAAAGTCTATTAAGAGAAAATCTAAACTTAGAGATACTTAAGGAGATATTGATCTTGTTTCTTCAGTTTAATCAGTCGAATATAAAAGAGATTCAATAGATATAAGAGATGATAAAAAAGAATTAAGAAGAAAAACTACAAAAACAAAAACAAATAGAAGTAGAACAGCTAAGACACGAAAAACTACTAAATTGATGTCAGAAAATCCATCTTAAGAAATATCTATACCAATGTTTGAAAAATAAGTTGTTTCTATGGAATTAGAAGGATTTGAAAAAATGAAAAACTATTAATTTTACTATATTTGGAATAATCCAAAAGTTGTTATATCTAGAGCAATTCGAATTTTAACAAAATATTTAGAACGAAAAAGAAATATAGTACATTCATTTTCTTCCTATACATTTAGTGCTATAGCTATTAATTAAATGATAAAGATCAAGAAAAAACTTAAATTATTGTAATTTAATTTATTAATATTTTTAGAGATGATCCCCTTACTGATGAAAAAAAAGATAAAAAAATACTTAATACTCTTAGTAAAACTGGTAAACCAAGAGTAGGAAGTAAAAAAAGTACATACGGACAGTCAGATGATATATCTTCATTATTTTAAAAGAAACCTCTACAATCTGGATAAACTTAATTATCTCAAAGAATTTCGATGTCTAAACAAATTAGAACTGATTTGTGATATAAGACTATGACAAAAAAGTTCTCATAATCTATTAAATATTAATTTCATTAGTATTTATTCATATTTCATTTAACTCAAAAATCTTCATTAATTATTTTTAACAAATCACTAAATATTTTAAATCCTAACTAATTGATAAATAATCATAATTGAATTCTAAATTAATTATTTATTATACAGATATCCTACCATCATATTTTATTTTCATGAATTTCAAAAAACTTTATCGTATGCTTACAAGTATTTTCTTATTTGGAGAATAAACTAAATTTTTAAAATCTGTAAATGCAACTCTATCTAAGTCATCTATTTCCATCTTAAAAACAAATTAGTCATTTTATTAATTCAGAACATATGATTTAATTACATCTTTTAGACTACAATTGCCTATTATATTTGATTTTACTTTTTTCTATCTAATAACCAAAATATTATCATTAATTAACTAAGATTATTTTAATATTGGCATTTATAATTTATTTTATTCCACCCAAAATTAATTAGAACTTTCATAATGATATATAATAATGTAATATTAAAACTTTATTCTTACAGTAGCTATAATTTTTGTTTCTGATGAATTAAAACATAATTTTTTGATGTTTGAATCATCAATATCAGAATTAATTATATTTTGAACCACTCTCCATCCATTTTATGATGTCCAAAACTCTAAATTTGCTCTCTTTTAAACATTAAAAATACATCCTCCACTTACAATTAGATTTTCATTTTAATTCATTATTAAGCAAGTTATATTTTTCCTTAGTTCATCTATTTTATTATTAATCTGTAATTTTATTAAATATTTATTATTATTTTAAGCAACAATAGAATTTAAATGTATTCCTCCATGTTATCTACAGGTTTTAAAAAAAAGTTGACAATTTTTATAAGGTAACAACGACACCTCTTAATCTTAATTTATTCTTTATTTTGAAATAATCTTCATTTTTCCTGATTTAAATTAAAATATTTAAAGTAAAAATCCAATTTAAGATTATTAAATCATAAATAAAATTGAGAAATCATTATTAAACACTATCTTATCTGTTTTTGTTATAAATTCAAAATTGAATTCTGAAATCTACTAATATTTAAATTATGTTCCTCCCATGTTATTTTAATAAATATAATTAATCAATTATAATTCAATTACTTTCTTAATAATTTACATAAGGATTCATATATACAAATTGTATTCAATTTAAATTATAATTTAAAGAATATAACAAGTAGACGTTTTAAGAGTTAGTTCAAGATAAATAAATAGAAGTTCAATAATGGAGAATTTAAATTGATATTAAATGGAATTGTTAACATATTACACTTTCATATATATTATTTTCCAGAATAAGTTGAATACATAAGAAACATTTAAATATCAATGTAACCATTAAAATTAGAAACAATAAATTAAAATTAGAATTCTAAATTTACTATTTAATCCTTATTTACATTTTTATTTATTATTCAGTCCATCTTTATAGTCTAATTGATATTATAATTGTTAATATTAATAAAAATATAAATTTCAATGAAAAAATTCAAAGAGATTAAAAAAAGTGGAGATGGCACTTTTGGTGTGGTTATGAAGGCAGAAAACACAGAAAGTTTTGAATTAGTAGCAATCAAAAAAATGAAATAAAAATATCATAATTTTGAAGAGTGTACAAATTTGAAGGAGGTCAAAGCTTTAATGAAACTTCAAAATCATCCAAATATTGTAAAACTAAAAGAAAGTAACCTTTATTTTGATATTTAATAGTTTTTCTTGATAATGATACTCTTTGTCTTGTGTTTGAGTTTGTAGAAAAGAGTATATATTAAATATACTCTTAACATAGAGAATAAGTAGAATATAATCTAAACTTAATAATAGGGCAAAACAATTTCAGATGATCAAATCAAATCAATCATCTATTAGGTTGCAAATGGTTTAAGTTATATGCATAAGCATGGGTACTTTCATAGAGATCTTAAACCAGAGAATTTACTTATGACTGAAAATGGAATTGTGAAGATTATTGATTTTGGTTTAGCAAGAGAAATAAGATCACGTCCACCATATACTGATTATGTAGCCACAAGATGGTATAGGGTAAGTAGACCATTGACTTATTTAGGCTCCAGAAATATTATTAAAATAAATCAATTACAATAGTCCAGTTGATATATTTGCTTTGGGCTGTATAATGGCTGAGTTATTTCTTAATAGACCTTTATTTCAGGGTAATACTGAATTAGAATAATTCAACAAGATTTTGTTTACTTTAGGGTATTATTTAAGAAATCTATTTTAAGAACATTTACATAAAGTGACTGGCCAGAAGGTTGTCGTTTAGTATCATAATTAGGTATGGGATTAGCATAATATTAACCACTTCAATTATAGCAGTTAATCCCAAATGCAAGTATTGAAGCTTTGAATTTATTATCTCAAATGATTAAATGGGATCCAAATAAGAGAATTACTGCTTAATAAATTCTGACACATCCTTATTTTTATAATATATAAAAGATTGCTCCTTCATTAGTATTTGAAGATTAAGATAAACTTTGGAATAAAGATCTTAAAGATACAAACATTGATTAAAAATAGAAAACTACTACTTAAAGTTTAAAGGATGATGCATAACTTCAATTTGCAAATTAGTAGAAATTTGAAAAAACTGATAGCAATGATTTGGATGATATACTAGATTTCATAACAACTGAAAATAAACCTATAGTTCCTAAATAAGCAACATAGAGTGCTAAGACTTTGGAATTTAAAGGACTTTAATCATCATCATAGGCTAATCTAAAATTGACTAAGAATTATTTAACTACAATCAATACCGATATGAATTAAAAGAAGGATAATAGTTCTATTTATGATTTTAGCCATTTGTAATCGTATAAACCTAAGATGCCTAATGCCAAACATTGAAAACTTTATCATACTTTAATGTAGTTTAATAGCTCTAATATTAAGATCTAAAATAAAATTAATTTTATATAAAATTTAAAAACAGTCTAAAGTCTAATTCTTTATATTTATTATCATTATAGAATTGATTCTTGGGGTTATCAAAGAAAAAACTAAATCTAAAATATACCTACTTGTTTTCTTAATTATTTATGAAGTTGTAGAGAGTCTCAAATCTCAGAAAACATTATTATTAATATATATAATGGGTAATAATTGTTGTATTACAGCTATTGATGCGACAAAAACTTAAGAAGAAATTGTTTCTTCAAATAAATCAGACAGCATCAGAAAATCATAGGGAGACTCATTGCAAATAGCTAACTTTTAAGAATTGATATAGGATCATAGTTAATTGTATACATACTAAGATGGGGATGTTTTATTATCTTCTCGTCCTAATTCTCCTCGTTAATAACATGTGATTATCTATTTAGAACCAAAAATAGTGGCAGAAGAAGAAATTAAATTTTAGTCAGATGCTATGAAAGGAATTTTAAGTGCAAGAACATATGATCAATTTTCAGAATCCCCTTATAGTTTTGGAAATTGTAAAGAAAAACCTTAAAAAAAAGTCTAATTCAGGGAATGAAAATCCAAATATGATATCTTATTTTAGTTTGTTTTTTTTTTCCTTATTGAATTAGTTTATAATCATATAATGTATGGCTGAATTAATTTTTAATGATATTCTTATCATTCTTAATTATATGACAAAAATTCAATGAAATTTTTTGAAGAGTAAAATATATAATGATGATGTAATGAATTTAATTAAGTTGAATAGACATGTTTTCTACTATATATCATTCTATACAGTTTTTGATATTATTCTTGTTATTTAAGTTAAATTCATTAACTAAGAATATAAATCAAATACTTGATTATTAGATTTCTTAATAAGAATAAATTATAATTTATAACCTCATTATAAGAATTTGAAAACTAATATATAGATAAATAACAAGGATGTTATTCTTAAAATATATTAATAATTTACTTATTAATATATATATATAAGGAAGAAAAAAAATTTAGAAATTTGATTAAATTGGTTTATAATCATCAAAATCAGTTGATTCTTCCTTTGATGTATGAGGAGGCACCTTCCAACTTGGTGGCGAGGATTTATTCGACTTATCTGATGATACCGATTTCGACGGTTCTTTATTCGGTGTCTCTAGCATATTAAGTTCTCCATGCTTCACATTCAGCTTCCTTGGCAACTTTTCCTCTGGTGGCTGAGTCGAGTTCTCTTCCAGCATCATACTTTCTCTTCTTAGCAGCAGCCAATTAGACTTAAGCTTATCCTAATTTGGTTTCGGAGTCAGCCTTTTCAGATTAGAGGGCAGCTCTTTATTCATTGATTTCAACGATTTAAGCTTCGAAGTTAAGTTAAGCTTAGACTTCTTCTTCTTAGTCGTCAATGATGGATTATTCCAATGAAGCTCTCAATTCAGCGATCTTGTCTTAGACGTTTTATAATTTTTCAGCTGAGAATGTTGAGGCCAATTGAACGAGGGCGAGGATGGGGTTGTTTCCACCAACTCTTTCTAATTCAGCAAGGACTGCTTCAGCATCGGCTTCTGGTTGGATAGCGCTCAATTTAGCGGCAATGACGTCGAGGGCTTCAACGACCTTTGGGGTTGTGATTTATCTTTCTTCGAAGGCATCGTGGTCTTCAGCTCTCTTTTATCTGAGTTATTCTTCTTAGTTGGCTAAGATTTATAATTATTATTCCTTGTTGGCAATATCTGTTTCCAAGAGTTCAATATCAGCAGTGTACTTGTTGATATCGATGGTGGCTTCAGTGATTTCGTTGGAAGCGAAGTCAATTCTTCTGTTATATCCATAGATTTCAGCTTCACAGTCAGCTTCTTAAGCGACGTGGACTAATTCAGCATCTTATTATTAGAGGACTAAGTTTTCTCTCAAGTCTTAGAGCATCTTGGCAATATCAGAGAGTGGTGACTTGTTCTTCATTTACAAGGCGATTGTGTCCAAAATTTTCTTTCCCAATGGATGGTCTTCAAGTGCTTCGAGTTAGGCGAAGACGGCAGCATGTGGTTCAGAAGCATGCTTAACGAAGACGGCTTGTGTGAAGATCACTAATCCTAAGATCAATAAAGCTTTCATTAATATTATTAATGTTTTCTCGTCAACCTTATTTGGCTTAAATTACACAAACTATACGTTTTTGAATTTTTTTGGTTTTTTATTAAAAATTATTTTTCCGTCATTCTAACATCATAAGTGAATTTTAATTGCTCATTAATTAATATATCTTCATTTTGTATTATCAATCATCCAATTGATAATTTTAAAGCATTCCTTCTATTTTTAAGACTTTAATACTGATTATATAAATATTACAATCAAGATCTAACTTTTTAGATTTTACTTCTTTGTATTCATAATTGCTTTCATAATATCTAATTCTATTATCAATCTTTAGTTTACATGTGATAAATATTCTAAAATCAATAAAATTGGTAGTTGATTGTTGAAATAATATATAAAATATAAAATGATATAAAATTTGCGACTAAATTCCCAAAATGTATTTCTAAGATGATAATTAATAAACTATTTTAACTTTTTTGAAAAACTAAATCTTAATGATTTGTTAAGATTAAGAAATAATTATATTTACAATAAGCATCTTTAAAATCAATTTTTGTATAACCAATAATGTATAAATAAAATGGAAATATGAATACTTATAACTGATAATGTCTTTTATGTAACATATTGATTGTTAGTTTAGATAAAACAGGAATTTCACCAAAAAGAGAGGGATGATGAAGAAATGTACTTTTTTTTATATCAAGAATTTTCAAATATAAACATATATTATTGTCTTTTTGAGATGACTTTAATTGATATAATAGTTTAAGTTTCTTCTACTTGATAGTAAATTATTTCATTTTTATATCTTGATAAAGTACTGTTACTTAATAATAAATATTTAGAACTCTAAAAATATAAATTTGTATTATTTGAACTTAATCTGAAGATTCAAAGTAATAAAGTATTAGGATACTAAGATTAAATATTTCTTCTTTAGTAATGAAAATATTTTTATTTAAAAAAAAAATGAATTATCTACTCAAGGGTATTACATTATTATTAGGTAAATTAGATATGAGAGAATGGAATATTTTCCACAATTAATTGAGAATTAAAATAAATCATAAATTATTTAGAAAAAATTATAATATATTCAATACATATTTTAACTAAACCTAAGTAAAATTAATTACTAAAATTTAGTAGAATATTTTTTTAAGGGTTAGATGACATAGGAGATTAATTTTTTTGACTTTAATTATATTATTTTTAATTTTATTATAATATCAAAAAAATATAATTTCTATTAATGAATTTCAAAGTTTTGATAAATCTTAGTTTAATACTAATTTATTCAAATTTATAGCTAATTTTTACAAGGACATTCTATAAAATCATAATTAAAACATTTATAATTGATACTATTTAAAATTCTAACTAAATGATTTATATCAATGATATGAGTATTTGGTAATATCTCTTAGTAGAATACAATTTTTGAGTTTTTTCCATATATAAGAGATAAATTCAACAAATTGTAATATAATGTTTAGAAAATATATCATATTTAACAGAATTTAATTAAGCAAATTAAATCATATTATTGAAGATAGTAATAATTAATGTAAATTCAATTTAGAGAATTAAATTAATCATCTCTATTATAGGTTTAACATAAATATTCTCAAAACCAATATTATCTATGTTTACAATAAAAAATTAGTTGAAATTTATATATGACTAATTTTTAAATGATAATATTTATTCATTTTTTAGAAATTATAGGTTATATGAGAAGTTCATAATAATATATTTAATATATATATATTGAAAACTATTAGTTTATTTATAATTATTTGATAAAGATTTCATATCTTTTATAAAACCATCAAGGTTTTTGATTTCTTATATTTAGTCAAGTATGTACAAAGAAAGTTTCTATTGTAAATTTACTTCATGCTTTTTAGAGTTCGTGGTAACTTAATCTTTGTGTGCTCTGAAGGTTATGTTTTGATTATTCTTTATGATTTTGGAATTTATAAAGTAATCTTTGTTATTTCTGGTTTGTTAGGATTTTATAATAAATGACTTTTACAAGATTTAGGAGGCTCAAATATGCGAATTTGGGTATCTTCTATAAGTTTTTCTGTGGTTCTTGCTGAAGCTCTACGGAGAGAAGTGAGTAGTAATTGAGAAGATGATGTGCAAATTAAAGAATCTTATTTAGAGGCAGAGAATTTGCGAAATAATTTTTCTATGAATATTGGTAGTACAATTGTATACTTGTATTTTATGCAGTCAATAATCGATTAGTTTTGAGAGATGGTTGCCTTCTTATTCTAGAGGGTTTAAGAATGAATGGTATATTCATATTTCTATATTGAAAATTAGTCATTCGTCCACATTCCTGACAATCACAACTTTTTCTTCTCATTTTTTGTGGTATTTTATGAAATTGATTTCTTGTATTAAAAACAAAGAATTTAGGCAAACTGAAGCTACGTTGTAATTTAGATTTGGGTGTATTATAAATTGGATGTGAGAGATATCTATGTTGATGCAATATTCTAAATTTTAAGCACAAACTTTATTAATTCATTTTTAATTCAAACTTTACTATAATGTCTTTTGAATCTCTTCATTTTCATAATCATTAATGATTGGTTTTTAGTATTATTACTTTAAGTATTCAGTTCTATCTTTAGAAGATGGTTATTTTATATATTTTTTTATTTCTTATACTAAATGATTATCTGGTATTAAAAAATCGATTTGTAAAAGTATTGTTTAAATAGAGGAGATTATAATTATTAATTGCAGTTATTAAAATTAGAAAATGTAGATGAAGATTAAACAGAAATTAAGGAATTATTATTTATCTAATTTAACATAATCAGATATTTTGTATATTGAATATTAAATTAAATAATTTATTTCTTTTATATTAGAATTGATTTTGATAAACATTTAATGTTAAACAACAAATTAATTTAATATACAATATATATATGTATAATATTTTAATTCTCAATCTCATTCATCATCTTTTTTTGATTGATCTTCATCCTCTGAATCACTATCCTCAACTTTATTTTACATGGGAAATAACATAGATTGAATAAATGGAAGTGATTTATCTAATTCTTAATCTTCTTTATGATATTCAACAGCCTATAATATAATTTATATTTACTCTGCTTATTTAACTTGCTTTTTTAGCTTTAAATTTAATTGGTATTTCAGCATCCAATCCTCTGTAACAATCAGATATGACAAATAAAATAAATTCAAATTCTACTACATCTCCAAAATACATTTTAGGTTAAAATTTGAATTCTGTTGTTTATACTCTATTAGAACCATTCAAAAATGAATAATAAAACACTTCATTTTAAAATGTAATCAATATATGCCATCCTTCCTCTTTTACATAAGTAAATCTATTTGAATGAGCAAAAGGAATGTCTTCTCCTTCTGGAGTATTTAATCTTGTTAAAGTAATTTTAATCTAATTAATTAATATAATAAATACACTAAAAATATCTTCATTACATTATTCTACAATAGATTCATCATCAACTGTTACTTCCTATTTAATATCTAATTATGGAAACATATTAATTTCATTCATAATTTCCTCTTTAAATTCTTCTGGTACCCAATTTGGTAACTAATTTATTATTTAAATTTATTACAATTCTCTAATCAACTTATTTTTGAACTAATTCTTAAAACACTGGCATTTTTCCTTTTTTAATATAATCTTTAGCTTTAGTAGCAAAAAAATCAATTTAATTTATTGGATTATCTGTTTCATACATACCTTATACAATGCATTGAGAGAATTGTAAAATATTATTAATACATCTTGCACCCATAAATTTAGTTTAAAATCTTCCTCTTTGTCTCCATTAGATTACTTTGTATTTCATAGAGAATTCAAATGCTAATCTTACCATTGAATTTACTAATTTTGGAATTATTTTAATAGTAGATCTATATAATGATTTAACACTCTCAGGAATTGGTTTACCAAATAAATGGGCATAAATTAGTATCATTGCAATAGAAATAGTTACTCTTTTTTTCTTTTTTTATTTTTTCGATTATTCAAGTGCTTCAGTTATTTCAAATTTTTAGATTTTTCTTAATTCTGCTTCTTCTTTTAATTCATTAACTAATTTTTCTAAATCAATAGCTTATTATTCAGTTTTCAATCTTAATCTACATAATTCATCACTACAACTAGATAATTCTACTCCTTTCTTTATTAATAAGTTTTCTTCTAATCCTCTTTCAAATTTTTCTTAATTACTAAGCATTATTCCATTTTAATCATATTTTCCTATTGATCTTAATTCATACAAAACAATTATAGGTACAACAACCAAAAGCAATAGAAATATTACTGCTAAGAAAGCAGCTCTATTTTCTTTTTTTAAAAGAAATGATGGCATAGCTATACCAACAGATAAACTTTATTATCCATCTGGATTTCCATATTTCATACATAATGATTTTTTATCTTCATCAGTTAAACATTCATATGCTTTAGTAAGAAGTATAAATTTTTGATTTGCTTATGGATCATCAGGATTTTTATCTGGATGCAATTTTAATGAAATTTTTCTATATGCTTTACGAATTTCTTATTCTGTTGCACTTGGATCTATTTCTAAAATCTCATAAGGATCAAACCCTTTAATTTTTTCTGCATTTGGCAAAGATTAAATAGATGCATTAAGCATTAGCAATAGAGCCACAAGTATTATGATCTAAGATAAGAATCATCTTTTTACCTTAAACACATAACCTGTTGTAAGCCATTTCAATCTCAATTCTTATTTAGCCAATTTTAGGTTTAGTTGATCATTACAACTTTTGGGAACACGTGCTAATTTTCTTTTGTTTTCTCCCAACACGTATGTTGTGAAGAGTGGCTTGATAACGGAGTAAACCAGAGGAAGAATAACTAAAGTAAGAATAGAAATGGCGAAATAGATGAATGCATCATCATCGAAGAGCAGATTCTCTCCATCGCCTTATCTTGTGAATGCTTCCTTAAATCCCATTATTTAATAATTTATCTTAATTTCAACAGCAGGTTCCTTCCTTTTTTGTAGGTTATGGATTCTTCAAACCACCAGTTGGGGTCTTTCCTCCTGGAGTTGGTTTATCCTCTGACTTGCCAATCTTAGCCTTGATATTATTAGCCAATGTCATAAAGGCTTAGTCAACATTAGTGTTTGCTTTGGCTGAAGCCTCTATAAACTTTATGCCCAAACTATCAGCCAACTCTTTACCTTCTTCATAGGTAACCTATCTCTTGCTTTCTAAATCAGCCTTATTTCCAACCAATAATCTAACCACATTCTCAGAAGCATGTTTTTCAACCTCTTTTATTTTTAAATATATAGCTTACCTGCCAACCAATTCTCAATGTCCTTAAAACTTTATTTGTCTGTGATATCATAAGTCAGAATGATTCCATGTGCTCCCTTATAATAAGATGCTGTAATAGTTTTGAATCTTTCTTGACCAGCTGTATCCCAAATTTACATCTTTACAGATTTTCCTTACATATCAAATGTACGAATTTTAAAATCTACACCAATTGTAGGAAGGAAAGACTCACTAAAAATCTAATCGGAAAATCGTAACAATAATGAGCTCTAATGAATTACATATATAATCTTACCTTGCCAACAGCTGAATTACCTATCAGAAGGATCTTAAACAAGTAGTCATAGTCTTATTAGAATGCCATGTGTGATGATTTATTTAATATTTTTATTAAATCAGAATTCATTACACTCAATCAACTTTAAATCCCATAAAAATATACTATACAATTATAATTAATATGATCAAATCTGAATCATAAACCCATTCATTATTAATACTTAACATGTATTCCACAGAAATTATAAGAAAATTAACATTTTAAATTTATATTATTCATACTAGTTATTATTATTCTTATATAATTCATTCACTTCTTCCATATAGATGTAGACTATAATTTGAAAAAACTCAATTTATTACTATTTACACTACTTCAAATAATTTATCTTTTGTATTTCTACATTATCTAAACAAAATATTACAAATTGCTTCAAGAGAACATAAACAAATTAATATCACTCCAAGATGATGATAATAAAAAGAACCTATATTTATAATACATTTTCAAATTAAACATATAATTTTAAGAATCTGCCAGAATGATATTTTTGAATTTAAATAACTAATACATTATAATACTATAATCCTTAAAGAATGTTAAATCAATATAAAAATCAGTACTTAAACCTTTATTTTAAAGGTTTTCTCTTTTATTTGTATTTAAAATAAAGTATATTAGAAAAAAGTGATTTTCTATCCTTTTTGTATTGAAATCCTTTATTTACTCGAAAAAAATTAAAAAAGATTAATGTTAAATTAGATTATCTATTTTTATTGATAAAAAAAGATCTTCAAATTTATCATAACTGTTATTAGATATATTATTATTTTTTATATTAAACTATTTACAAATTAAGTATGAAAATAAAACAAATAGTTCAACCCATAATTTATTTAAGACATAACAAATAATTAACATATTATGTTAAAATTAACTAAATATAAAAATATTATCTATATATTTAAATGTAATAATTCTCTAATAAATTATTACTTTATAATTAAATTAAAATTAAATAAATTACAAAAAGTCTTAAGATAATTCAAAATTTTATAAATAAAGTTCAAGTTTAAAATGTCTTAAAAGTTTATATATTTATCAAATGATCAATTATAACCAAAAAATACTTATCACTGAAAATATTATCTGCAAATAACCAAAAATCCTTAAAAATAATTAAATGATTCTAATTTTGTAATTAAATGTACAATATTTCATAAATTATTCAGATATTTTAATTAAAAGATTTAGAATCCTTTTAGTTTTGGTTTAAAAACCTGGACTGAAAATTAACATTGATTGTAAAGAATATACAATATTTAGTAGACATAAATATGAAATATTTATTTATTTATATTTTCAAAAAATCTTTACTCCAATTAGAGTGCATAAATTTTTTGGTAATGATATGATTATTTTATCATCAACCAAAGTTATCATAATATATTTATAAATAAAATGTTTAAATAATAAGAATCAAAAAAAGAGAGGAGTGCCACATATAGAGATTTGAATTTTTTTCTCAACCTTTCTGTTCTTTCTTATAATATTGATGGTTTGATTGAAATAGGTATCCTGATATTAATTATATCTACTATCAGAGATGTTGTCGTTATTATTATTTTTATTATTATTATTTAAGTTATTCATATTAATATTTTGCTTAATTAATTAATTAATATTCAAACCTTTAAAATTAAAACATAGAATAAATAAAAAATATATAAGTATATTATATATTATAATCTTATTACATACACAAGAGATATAATTCTTAAGAAAAGATTCTCCTGAACACTGGATGATTTTTAGATCAATTCCAAATAATCCTAGGGAAGATACAAAAATTTCAACTAAGAGAATTTTAAGAAAAGTTTCTGGAGTTTAAAAATCCAAATTGAATGGATTCCATAAATTCAATTATTAAATTTATATTTAATTATTAAGTATCATTCACAATTATAGAAGTATTGTAATAATTCATTTCCTATTTACTTAGCCAAATTTGGAGTCTTTTAATTATTAATTAAATAATTACTTGCATCATTTATTGGCAAAGTTGCTCTAATTAATCATCTAAAGGTTGTTTTGCTTTAACTAATGATCGATAAAGCTTCTGTAAATTTTCTATATATTCTAATCCAAGTTCATCTGGCTATTTATTCAATTTCTTAAACCTTGATAAATTTAATCAATTATACCACAATAACTTATCAAATTTATAGATAGCATCTAAAAGAATGGCCACTGTGTCGACAATCCTCTCTTCTATTCCACTAACACATTCTTTTTTCTAATCATCAGTAAGATCTTCCATTTCTGATAACATTTCTTCAATAAAATCTGATAATTTAGTTTCCAATTTTTCATTAATTAATTTTTAAACATTATTAACAACATTTGTCATTCGATGAAACTTTATTTATACCTTCCATTGTTAATTCTTTTGACTACTAAAACTTTATACAGTTGATGAGAAGAAGTTTTCATTTTATTATTTATTATTCTCTATAGACATTTCTGATTGCATAAACAAATGAGAATCAGATTATCTTATATCCTTAGAATCATTATTATTATTAGTAATTTTAAGAGGGGAGAGTGATCTTGGTTATTATTATAATGATTTTTGCTTATTAGTTTATATATGAGTTTCATAAATTAAGATTGCTGCAAATTAAAATTCAGTTACAGATATACTATTTCCAGAGTAGAATTTCTTAAATTCTTAATAGTTCTCAGGGGATCCATATAAAAGTAAGGAGATCTATTGAACTTACTTTTAATTCAATTACAATTGATTACAATCAATCCCTTGTTTTCTTAGTGCTTTAATAATTATATAACTAAAATAGTTTACGATGATAGAATGACAATTTGAGTTCATTTTATATAAGTGCTCTTGTGAACAAGTAAAATTTCAATACTTCTTGTTTATTGGATTTCATAAATTACTAGAATATATTTATATCTTTCCTTTTTAAAGCATTTAATTCAACAGATGCTAAAAAGTTTATTATTAACTATTATAGTTAACACTCTTACTTAATTTTTAGAATGCTTAAATTTATTAAATAGAAATTCATATACATAGTCAACAAACTCTATTTCTTAAACTTTCTAATTCTTGGCAATTTTATTAGAATCTTCAATAAACTTTTTTTAATATATTTCTTCTATCAGTAGATTAAGTTCATTAAAACTTAATTTCAAAGGTCTTGATAATAGATCTTTATTTTATATTTTGTTCATTATTTTAGGGTATGTCTCTTCTAAATCACTAAATTTAGCTCCAACTGAATGATCCATCTTAAAGTGTTATGAACCTTATTTCTATGACTCTTACTTCTTAAATAAATATATTACTAGCAGGTGTGAAAGCTTTGCTATTAGCAATATCACTTAAAGCACTATATTATCTAGTTCGATGTTATTAAGCCACTTAAGATTTCTTTAATGATTAATTCTCCACATTTATCTTATTTTCTTCAAAAAATTTGATGTACTTTTTCTTTGCTTCATCATTAAGATCAGAGAAATTTATCACAATTTGTTTCATCGTTAATAAATTAATGTTATACTTTCTAAAATAAATTAATAAACATCATTATTAATATATAATGTACTCAGAATACTAATATTGTTCGTTTCCAAAATAAAATTACTTACAATATAATCTTACAAAAATATTCCATCTTCTAGATTTAAATGAAGTAATATATAATCAAAATATCAATATTTTATATAACATTTTCATAATTATTCTTTTTTGTACAAATTATTAAATTATTTTAATATTTACATATTAAATGATTATATAGATATATTATAAATGTGAATCAGAAAATTATTCATAAATTAATTTCTGATATTCTCTATATTTCTTTGCAGCCTTTCCTTCTTTAGTTAATATTTACTATATATTTAAATACAATATATTATGCAATGGTATAATTTAATAACTTTAATATTTGAGTTTAGATTTAGTAGAATAATTACTTGTCTAAAGATGTTTCATTACAATCTCAAAAAAGAATTTGAAAAAGGTTTGATCTGAAAGACTTAAAAGATTATTATTTAAATAATCTGTTTTTGTAAAATGTTGATAAATCAAAAAATATTTCCATGTTTTAAAAAAGAAAAACTGTAGTATTTGTTAATTATAGACAAAATGAATAAAATTAAGAATAAAACTTATATACATTAATTATAATAATTTGTATATTTATATTTTGAATAAATAATTAAATAATCAAACAAATATCATATTTATTTTGTAAATTAGAATGAGATGCTTAATAGGAATAATTTTGACTTAAATACATCTTTTTTTGATATTATTATTTAAAAAAATAAAATTTGATAAGTAAATTGATCCTTTGAAAAAAGTAAAGGTTATCTTCTGAGATTGTGATAAAATTTTAGATTAGGATATTATATTTTACACTTTAAAAATGTTTTTTTAAGTTTTTTTAAAAATATGTTCATGATGTTATGAACAGTTTCAATTTTTAATCTCTTATTTTTTCTTAACTGATTTAACGTGCTGTTTTTGTAAAATTATTTAAACGAATGATATAAAAATTGGAGTCAACAAAATTACTAGTTGTCTTCAATGAAGAATCGCATAATATACCCTAGTTCTTATAAAATATAATTTTGTAAGATTTAAAATAATATAGAGATAGATTAAATAAATCCGATGTGAAATTTTATTTATTGATGTGAGATATAGCATAAATAATAATAAAATATGGGATGCGTTTCCTCAGATGAGAAATAGGCTTTAGCATTTGATGATTTTTAATATTTGAAAACAGGAACTTTATCTATTGAGCTCACTTAATTGATATTTGTTGTGAACAATTTGTTAAAAGAAGTTCACTAATTATACAAATAAATTAATAGTAATAGGATCATTCTTTTTCGTATTACAAAGGTTAAATACTATTCTAAATTAGGTTTCCCTGACTGCAAATTAAACTCTAATTGATGCATTTGGTTTTTGGACAAGATTTGTATCAATATGTAATTTAGGGTAAGGAAAACTAAATGGAGTTTTCTATAAACTTGATGAAGATGGTAATTGTTATTAAAATCTTAAATTAGGCAGAAATCTAAGTTACAATTTGGGTCTGAATGGTGATTTAAAGTTGTAATGGTTTGGAGAAGTTTTAAATGACTATTTTAAGGCAATTATCGATATTACTGCTTGCATTCCTATGATTCTAGAATAACTTAAATTTCTTCAAGATAAAATCAACCATCTTGGATCTAATTTAAAAGAGAAGAATCAAGTCTTTAAATACAATATGCTGCTATTAAAATTTAACTTGAACTTTACTAAAATTGCTAATATCAGAGTTGTTAAATATAATGAAGAGATTGAAATTTTTAAGAGGAACTACTTATAAATTTCTGAAACAGCAGATGAATAAGGTTTAAAACTTTATTAGAAATTTGGGGCAAAATAATTGAACGACAGATAAAAATATCGGATGCAAATAAAAATAAACCTAATTATGGAATAATGTTTTCATGGTTAAATGAGATCTGAGATAGAATAAGATATTTAAAATAAATAGAAAGAAAAAAGAAAAACTCTTAAGCCATCTTGGACTTTTGGAGATGACATTGGAATAGGAGTTAAAAAGTTCCCATATCGTGTTAGATGGACAGGATGTAATTGTGTGGATCACTCATTTTTTATAATTTCTAATTATCTGGAAAATCATAGTAAACATCTTTTACTGCTCAGAAAATTATCAGTTATTTTAAGATATCTCACTTAATCATTTAAGACAGATGAAGACACTATATCTAGAGCATGGTTTATTTTTTGTACACATCTCACATCTAAAGAGAGAATTATAATTTAATCTAATTCTTCAATTTTAAATGGATTAAAGAAATTCAAACTAAAAAATTCAGAAGCTGAAAAATGTAGACAATATTTTATTTAATATATTGAATTATTAGACCAAGATTTCTTGTCTCAATTATAAGATGAATGGTAAAATTATATTGAAGGATAAAGTAAAGTATTATCTTTATGGTCAAACAATTAAATTTTCTAAACAAATGAATTTAAAGCATTATTAGTCAGTGATAAATATTATGCCCTTACGAGTATGTCAAAAAATGTATATGCTTTATAATCTTATTATCCATTAGCAACCTAGATTTATAATTAAGGTATTATATATATGAAATATCATTAGTGTATTAAAGAAAAATAAAAAAGGGATAAATATTTCTAAGTGAATTATAATAGATTTATGATGCTTCTGCATATTATCCTCTTCCTTTTAATAATTTATATACAAAAAATAAAAGTGAAGATGATGAAGCAAAAGTAAAAACAAAAGAGATAAAATTCAAATATGCATTCACCAAATTTGAATAGAAATAATGAAGAATATAAATTTTTTTCTTTTTTGCTTTTAATTTAAACAATTCCTTTTTTTATAACAATTAATTAATTAATATTAAATTAAATAAAATCATCATTTTAATATAAAAGAATTTATAAATTGATATTTGAAATTATAAATTATATTAATTGAATAAAAGGCCAATAATTATTTCATATTAAATAAGATTTAATAATATACTAATACAAAAATCAATCATCTTGATCTTTGTTTAATTGTTATATGCTTTTAAAGTATTAAACAAAATTTATTAAAGAAAATTTCTACTCTTCTTTTTTAATCTATTTCATTTGAGATCTGAGTGTTTATTTCTTACCTCCTATTGTATTACCCAATACATTCGTTATCTGACTAGATAAATGTGGTAACTCTACTCTAGGATCATAAGGTGGTTCATCACCATCAGTAAAAGAATCCTCTAATTTCTATTTCAATGACTTAAAATCATTTATCATACATTTATCAACTCCTTTGATATCTGGATCATTTGGTGGAAGAGTTGATTTCATCTCATTTCCTATATTTAAATAGACATATAATAGAAAGCCATCTAATTTAGTGTGTAAATCTTTAGGCCTTCTATCATCAATATCCATATGTTTGTCACCACGAATAATTGACAATTTTTCAGCCAATCTACTACAAGCTTCAATGAATTCATGAAAATTCATTTAATAATGTTTGGATGAGAAGAGTTCATCTTTTTAAGTAATCATAGATTATAAATAAACTAAACAACATTCCCTTTCATTTAGGTCATCACATATTAATTTACATTAATTTACCATATCCTTAAAATCTTGTATTGATACATATTCAAATTTGAATTATTAAGGTTTCTTACTTAATTTACAACAATATTTGTAAAGAGACTTTAACATAGCAATTCTATCATTTAATAAAATATCACATTTTTAATTCCATAATCTAGTTTTTCTCCACTATTATGCTTAATCAAATCTACTAAAGTATTCTTAACATTATTATTTGATAGCACTGATTGAATCTACCATTGAAGTAAATAATCCTGGACGTATATATTTATCATTGCATAATCTTATCATTATTTCAAGTAATTAACATCTAACTAAACCTTTTTCATAAGCTTAAGGAAATGATACATCTTTTGCTGCACTAGTTGATGTAAAACTTATATCAATATCATTAGTTTTCATTCCTTCCATTAATGATGTTTAAACTAGAAAATCAATATAATCATATATCAAAATACAAGGAATAGGTTGACCTTGTGAACCAGCAGCATGATATTTATATACATGAAATAAATTTCTATATAAATCTTTTAAACTTTCCTTTACTTCAACTATCTCTGTTTCCTTAACCAATCTTGTTACTTTTGAATTTTGAAAATCAAATTCAAAACATTAATCAATTAATTATGGAGTGTCTGGTTAAAAATTTCGAAAAATAGATGTATCAACTGACCAATTATGCTTTTTGATATTCAAATAAGGTGAAAAGTCAAATTTAGCTTAAGGTTCTCTAGGTTTACATTAAACTAAGGGCATATATTTATCAAATAATTATTATTTATTGTATGTTTAAAGAATATTTACTTAATCAAGTGCATTTCCATCTACTAAAATTTCATCATTATATAAAAAAGGTATAGAAGGTATTGGAGTGTCCAAGTATTTTATTTGTTAATCCATAGCAGGTTATTAAACACCCAATATTGGATTTGTAAAAAAATAATGTATTTCTTAATTGGGTGGACACATCTTTACAAAAAAGAATTCATTATTTAAATGAGTCATTAAAAAAGGTCGATATTCTTCAAAATCAAAATGAATAAATATAGGTTCATTATATAGACTACCAGATTTATAAGCATTCCATTCAAATCTAATTTCTTACCATCCTTCACAAATCCAACATGTATCTTATTTACTTAATTGATTAACTTTTTAAAAATTTGATTTTGTAGATCTAATCTTTCTCTATCTACTAAATGGCATTACTAATTCTTCATATTACTTAGGAGGTTGATAGGATTGTTATTTAGGAATTTCTAATAATTTGAAATATTAAGGTTATTTATAGAGTTAAATTAGTTTATCACTTAAAGCTTTTTTGAATTGAATATTATTAACCAAAAAACCATTTGGATTAACAACCAATTCACTTTAATTTCCTTCAAAATGAAAACCATAAATAGTTTCATTTTTGATTAAGGATTCTGCAATTAATTAAGCTTATGGATATGTAAATTTATTATAGGATAAATCTACATGAAGTAATTCATTATATGGTCTTGCAATAGCTTTAGCAATTGATACTGCACAATCCAAAGAAGCAATATTATTATGAGACAAATCTAATATTTTGACACTAGTATTTTTATACATTGCTTTCCAAATAACATTTCCAGCACTTGAATTCAAATTATTATATCCCAAATATAATTCTAATAATCTCTATGTTTATTTTAATAAATTAGATATGGCCATACTAGAACATTCAGTAATTTAATTGTTATTTAAGTTCAAATGTTAAAGTGTATTATTATTCATCAAATATTTCATAATAATTTTACATCCTTGATCACGTATATTATTTTTTTCTAGATTAATTTTTGCTATTTAATTTTTATTAATAAATGACATTAAAATGTCCATGTGTTAATAATGAAGTTTGCAATCAATTAATTCTAAATCTTTAAGTGCATTTGGAAAAGTTAATAAAACATCTCTTAATTATTATGGATCAAATATATTATGATTCATTTAAAGAGATGTAATAGTTTTACTTTATTAGGTTAACATTGCACATGAGAATGCTCTACAATCTTCTCTTGATCTTAAACATCTATTTGTATTTACAGCTTATAATTAAGAAGTATTTTATATTAATCCAAAAGTCTTGGGAACTCTTTTTGGCTGAGAAAGATTGAGACTCAAATAAATATTTTGAGGCTATTATTTATACACCTTAGCATATTCATTAAGTTTGGATGAATGTCGCACTGAAGAAAGAAAGTCTTGCGAACTCAAGTTAGGTAACAATTTACTTTTTCATATAAAATATATAATCTTACTTTCCTTGTCTCATTCTTTAAAAAAACACATATCGTTCATTTCCATCTTGCCAAATTCTACTTCTTTTAGTAGTTTCTTATGTTTTGGTTTTTGAAGCTAGTTCTTATTGTAATTCATCTTAGGAGTTAATTTGACGGATTGTTTCTTAATCCTTCTACATGAAATTTTACCAATCGCACACTTCATGTTTCAAAAGATCTTCAGCCATCTTTTTCTCTAAGCTTGAAGACGAATCAAGCTTTGCTTATTCAATTTCTTCATCAGGTTGACGTTTTTTAAAGAGTTTTCTTTCTGTACTTTTGACAGTTGAAAGTTGTTTATTTAATCTGGTAAATACAAAACCCATATCACTTTTGTGAGGTAAAAACAATCGTTTAAAAGATTCTGGTGATTGAGCTTGTGCTCTTTAAGCATCCTCAAGGAAAATCATCTTTTAATATATTTGTTATAATATTATTATCTAATGAATAATATTTAGGAATAATGAATAATTGATTTCACATGTGAGCTTTACAAAATAGAAATAGGTTTTTATCAGTAGCATAAGAAAAGATGAAAAAAATAATATTATCAATTACAAAGAATTTAATTAGAAATATATTAGAAATCTAATTATAAAACTATTACATCTTAAACTGTATTACTAAAAGATTAGAATAAACTTATTAATTAAAAGTAAGTGTATTTTCACAATTGAATAATAAATCTAAATTATTTTTATACTCAATTTTCATCAAAACCTGATAAATCTCCACATGTAATAAATTTATAATATTTGGACTATTCCTTTTCTATTTATTAATCAGTAACTTCTTATTTCTGTTTTTCTGCTTATTCAATTTCTTTCAAAAATGTGTATAAATGGAAATTTTATGTTTAAATTTTTGGAGTATATTGAAGACATCTACATTTATTAAAAAATATATTACATTATAAAATATTCAACACTTGATGCTCTACTTGATTTAGGTTTCATAAAATATACTTAATTGAAGAATAATTTAAATTATGAATACAACAATTTGATATCTGAACCTTTAAATATTTTTGCTACAAAAATTCCATTTTCTCTTAATGTCATCAAACAAATATTCAATGCAGCCACAATCAATTAAGATTAGATGTAATAATCAATATCATGAAAACCTGTTACATCAGGTGCTCCATCACAAACAATAATATCTGCCCTTTAATAATTGAATTTCTTCAATATCTCATCCACTGTTGTTTTTTTAGTTATATCTCCTTGAATTTAGGTTACATGATCTAATGGTGCCATCTCTTACAAATCCACAGATACTATTCTACAACTCTCAGATGGAAGGAAATTCTTTTCTGCCAACTTTTTAACCAAAACTTATGACCAACTACCAGGAGCTGCACATAAATCTATGGCTCTCTCAACTTGTCTAAAAATTTAGAAAGAATCATCTATTTATAATAGCTTATAAGCTGATCTAGCTCTAAATTAATCTTCTTTGGCTTTCCTATAATAAATATCCTAAATATAGTGAATAGTGATTTTATAGTGATAAGTTTATAGATAATAAGTATATTATAAAATACTTATTTAGAATATGATGAATTTCTTTATACTCGTTTATCTTTTGTGAATTTGCCCATATATATATAATTAATTATTTAATAATATAAAAATTTAACCTTACTATTAAGATAAACAACTTAAATATTATTTAGGTTTGACACTATATAATCTAAAGAATACTTAGAAAATAAATGATATTTAATAAAAATCTTATATTTTGTCTACTAATATTACAATTATTTATGTCAAAACGATAATTTATTAGAGACCTAATTATAAGCAAAAGAGATTTGCAATTTTAATTTATATATATTAATGAAAACCACATAGACTTTTCGTATCAAATCCAAAAAGACTACTACAAAAAATAATAATCAATACAAATCACTATAAATGAGTCTAACATGTTAATCTTTAACAAATAGAACCAAAAAATAATAAGAACATTTTTATCAGAGTTTCATTAAAATCCAACCAATGCAAGTGTTATAATAATAAAATAGTATCACTTGTAGATAATCTATATTGTCTGTTAGTGATAGTTAAGTTAGTGCAGATGAAGAATTTGAGATATGGGATGATAATTAAGATTTAAGAGTGAAGAAAATAATAATTGATGATAAACAGTCTTCTATTGGTTAGTTTTTGTAACTCTACAAAGCTAGATATGGGTAATATTCTATATATATTTAAGGGGATTTCCAGGATATAGATAACATATTGAAAATGAAGATGTTATAAAAACAGCCATTTCTTATGCATCGTCAAGTAAAAAACTCTTCAAAAAATATTTCCCAACTAAAAAAATTGTATTTGAAGATCAAAATGATTATTCTTAACCTTATAACATAGAGGATGACTAGCATTTTTAAAAATTCAATAGATTCTTTAGAAACAAGAAACTGTTAACCACTCTTAAGACATCTTAATATAGTATGAAGAATACTCTATATACCTGAAAATCCTTATTTTTATAAACTTTTTTTATCTAAATATATAAGTTGTAGTAGAATTCTTAATTGATCTCTTTGTTGTATTTTGTTTTTCTACAAAGAAACCATTATAAAAAATCAATTGATAAAAAATTCACTGATCTTAATAATTTAATTTATTAATGTTTTAATATTGATTTATTAAATATGAAATATCACTTGAGCAAATGATCTACTGCATTTCTCTCATCAACTAATTCTTTTATGGTTTTATCAAGAAGTCCTTAATAGAAGTGTGAAATTGGTAATCCCTAAACAATAGAATATTTTCCATTTTTGACAGCAACTGGAAATGAAAAAATTAAACCTTTAGGAACTCCATAGCTACCATCAGAAGGGATGGCCATAGATGTAAAATCACCTAACATTAAATATGGATTACCTTCAGCAGTTCCATTAACCCAAGTAGTAATATGATTCATAGCAGCATTTCCTGCTGAAGCTGCACTGGACAATTTTCTAGCTTTGATGATTTCAGCTCCTCTTTATTGAACAGTAGGAATAAATGTTTAGGATACCCATTATTAATCAACAGAAGCTTTATGATCTAATAAATATTAACTTTTATTAATTACTTTTTGCTGTCATTTAATCAATATAAGGTACCATAGTAGGAGAATGATTTCCAAATATGGCTATTCTTCTAATATCAGTAGTATGAACTCCTAATTTATCAGCTAATTAATGTTATGCTCTATTATGATCTAATCTTGTCATAGCTGTAAAGTTTTCTTTTGGAATATCTTTAATTTAATTTGCTAAAATTAAACAATTAGTATTGCAAGGATTACCAACAACTACAACTTTAATATCTCTACTTGCATGTTCCTATAATTTAATATTAAATATTCTACATTAATATACTTTCCAGTTTCTGTAAATATTTTACCATTGTCTTTTAATAAATCTCCTCTTTCCATTCCTGGACCTCTAGGTTTTGCACCAACAAGAAGAGCATAATCAACATTTTTGAATCCAATTGCTTAGTTATCTGTAGCTACAATTCCTTTGACAAGTGGAAAAGCACAATCTTAAATTTCCATTACCACTCCATTCAAAGCAGCCATAGCAAATGGTAAATCAATTAAATGTAAAATAACTGGTTGATTTGGTCCTAACATCTCTCCACTTGCAATTCTAAATATTAATGAATAACCAATTTATCCAGCTGCTCCTGTAATTGCAACTCTAACAGGAGGTTTTTTAGATGCATGTCCAGAATGACTAAAATAAGCTTATGAAGCTATATTTAATTATTTTGAAAAGGTGTTTAGGAGATATTTTTGCATAATTGATTTGTTATTTTTATTTTAGATATGATTGCTTCATATTTAAGTCAAATAGTACGTAATAAAATATACATATAAAATGAATTAAAACACTTAAGCAACAGAGTAATTAGTACATGCTGGAAAATGGTTACATTTTAAACTTCTTCTATTTAATATTAATGATAGATAAAAGATTTGGGAATACACAGAAAAACCACCTGGTTATAGAGGAGGAGTAAGAGTAATACCAATAGTAAGATACAAGAATAAACCGAGTAAAATAATCATAGTTGCTAATTTCAGACCACCAATTCGTAAATATTGTTTAGAATTTCCTGGAGGATTGATAGATAAAGAAGGAACCCCTTAAGAAAATGGAATTAGAGAATTAAAAGAAGAAACAGGATATATAGCTACATTAAATAATTACCAACATAAAGATGTTATTACTAGAACAGATCCTTGGAAATCAAATGAATATTGTTATAATTACATAGTTGATATTGATGGTGATTCAGAATTTAATTAAAAACCTTAATAAAGTTTAGATTTGGAAGAAAATATTTTAGTGTATGAATTATCACTGGGTAAGAGTCTGGCTGAAGAATTATAATAATTATAGAAAGACAAAGATTATGAAATATCTGGATAAGTTTGGCTATTCGCATTAGGGTAATAATTTACAAATATTTGATTAAAATATTAATATTATTAAAAATCAATTATAAAATATAATTTTTATCAATATATTTCATTAATCTCTATGATTATATAATTAATGATAATTACTAATTGTTTAAAATGGATTTAATGAATCAATATCAATAAACTTTTCTTAATTGATAGTAAATTATGCAAAATCAATAACAATTAAGTCTTATAGATTTATCAATCTTTAGGATTTAAAATGATTGAAATAATTAGACAAGTGAAATCAATAATTGGTTTTGATGGATTAAACATGAGGATTGGAATACATACAGTAATTATTTTATTATATATTTTAGGGTAAAGTTATTGGAGGAATCTTAGGCACAGAAATTGTAAGATATGATGTCTATGGAGCTGATGTTATGATTTCTAATAAAATGGAATCTAATGGAGAAAGAGGAAAAGTCTAAGTATCTGAAGATACTAAGTAATTACTAGAGCAATCATATCCAGATCAATTTTTATTTACATTCAATAAAGAAGTAGAATTCAAATCAATTAGTCGAAAAACTAAAGGATATTTTATAGACCCAATCAAAAATGATAGCAATGAAGATTTTGATGATATGAATCACTTTTAATTTGTTAAAGATTTAGAACACTATGAAAATAATGGATAAAAATGAGTATTTGATCTCCTATAATTTATTTAGATAAAATTAAATTATTATTTATTTATATCTGATAAGTCTATCTATTAATTTAATATCTATTTTTTTACTTTTTGTAAAAGATCAAAAATTATATAATTGAATAGTTCTTGATATTTATCCTAATAATTTTAACCTGATATTCATAGCCTAAAAATATTATCTATTGATACTAAAAAATAAAGACCACTCTTTTATATATTAATTCATCTTTTTCATAAGACTTTTATAATAATGTTTTAGAAAATTTCTATTTATTCAAAAATTAATGATATTTTACAAATTATTCTTAAATATAATTTTTATTAATAAAAATATAAAAAAATAATTTTTTTAGAATTGCTTTTAGATTCTAAATAACTAAAATATGATTATGTAATTTTTAAATTGACATACATTAAGATTCATTTACTTTTCTCACAATTTTTCCAATACTCTTGCTAAAACTTAAGCAAATTTAGTCTCTCTAATTTTTTTTTTTCTTACTCTGTCACAAAAACGTTATTAGTAAATAATAGATTAATTGCAGATAATTCCATATATACAATCAACAAAGGCGCCGAAAATATACTCCAAGAAAATGCTGTTTTAAATATACTTTCGTTTTTCCAATGCTTTATGCTTAATGAATCCCATATTATTTATTTTAGCCCAGCCGCTTTTAAAATTGTAGGAATTTTCCTAAAAGCAGTTTTAAGGAGCCTTAAATGATTTTTAAATTATTGAAAATCATCTTTTTAAAGGTATTAATTTTAATCATCCGATTCAGATATAATCTTATTAAAAGTATCCAATTATTCAATATACTACTAAATATCCTAAGTAATTATATTTTGTGGTATATCTGAGAGTTTATTTAATTATATGGAATAAATATCAAAAATTTGTTTAAATTTATCATTTATACTTTTGGTATCATCATAAAGCATTTTAGCAATTAAATCACTTTTTATAATGTTCAAGATATGTTTATAAAACTTTTTCCGATGAGGTAATAACTTTTTTAAACCATCTTACAATCCAGGAGTTAAATTGAATTCAAAATTTAAAGATTAACCATTTTTTTATCTTGCTTTCAATATTTTTTCACATTTCTTTAAAAGATCATCCTTAATCTGTTTTATATTTTATAAAAAATTCACTTGTTATAAATTGTTTAGCTCTTTTTCTTTTAAATTGATTTATTCATCTATAGCCTCGGCTTGCTTATATTCCTTTTCTCTATAAAATTTCAAAGCTTGATCTTTCAAAGTTTTAATTTCTGAATCCAATTATTCTTTCTGAAATTCAATTTCATAGTTTTCCGCAATATAAATTATAAAATAACTTCCTTCATCAATTGCTTTTTTAATTATGTTCAAAATCTTTAATTAAAATTGGTCTTTAATATCTTTCATTGTATCACTTTGCCATTTATTTTTAATTTTCTCCATAGTAGTATCATTTTTTATTTTAGTAAATACAGGAAGAATAAGATTTTGAAGACAATTATCATTATTTTATTTTCCTAACATCAAATTGATTGCTTCTATTGAATCTATTAAATCATTTTTATTTTTAATAAGTTCTTCCCCATCAATCATCAATAAAAAAATCTGTTATTTTGCTTTAATTACTTCAATGAAGGTTTTGTAATGATTTATAACTCTATTATTATTAGAAGTATCTCGTAACCCAGGAGAATCAACAAATATAAAATTATCAATCTCCTGATTTTACAACAAAAATGTTTCACTATTATTTGAATCAGATATCACAATATTATTATCTTTCACTTTTACATCAAAGTTCTTATTCTGATTAACTATAATATTCTCTGGATTTTTTAATATATTCAATAATGTACTTTTTCCAACTCTTGTCATACCTAATACAAAAACATGAGGTTTATCTTAATTTATATTCTAATTTTAAGAGATTATCATTCTCTTCAGGTAAGCCAAGCTTTATGGAAGATATAAGTTGAATTACTCGAACCAAAACTTTATATCAATTATAACCCTCATCAAAGTTGCATTTATAGAATCTTAATTATAATTATACTTTTTTAATTTTTGTAAAACTTCATTATCAGATCCAACTAATTCAAATTTAAATTGAAGTAATTAATTAAAAACATCATCAGGGGATTTATCTTTGTAAATTAATTTTAGGTATTTTTAAAATTCACTATTTTCGTTAACAATATCACTCAAATATTTTATCAATTAATTTCTATATTTATTTAAAACAATATGAATTTGTTTTACCTTTTCATCAAACTCATAAATATTTTTAAATATCATATAAATTTCACCCATAATAGTCTTCAAACTGTCCAAATATTTTTAAACATTTTTATTTTCATTTATTTCATTATTCAGATTCACTGGAAATTCAATCATTAAGGATATGTCTTTTTAAAGTTTTATAAGTTCTTCCTCGAATACTTTTAAAACTACATTTACATTATCTTGTACATAATTTTAACATTTATATCCTATTAAATTGGGATCATTCTTTTTAAATTAAAAGTAATTCAAAAATTAATCCAAAGTTTCAATAAATTTAGAGTCAAATTTACCATGTTATTTGCTTTTTTAAAAATTTATTTTTTTTTTTGATATCTTACAATAATTGATTATCTCGGAGTCCTACTAATTATACAAAAAAATGATATCATTTAGCACATCGAAAGATCCTTCAAGTATTTAATAAATACACTTTATTATATAATCTTCAAAATCTTTTTAATTAAGTTATTTTTGTCTAAAATGAAATACAAACTTTATCTAATAGTTTTTTTAAGTGGAAATGAAATCCTATAAAAATATTCTAAATCTAAAAAAATTCTATATATTTATTTGTTCATCTTATTGAATTAACTTATTAAAGTAATAGCAGAAAATAGATTATTTATTTTCTCTATTATTTATTTGAAACTCACTTAAAATTCCACCCTACCAATATCTGTGTATAAATATATTAGTTGATAGTTGAGCCAATGCCTTTGAATATGTTTCATCATTTGTGAGATCAATATAAAATAAAAATTTTTAGATCTCATTTTCTTTAGTAAGTTCTGATTTATTGATCGGTATATCAATACTGTAAATATGTTTAAACTCTTAAAAGAATTCCTCCTATTATTCCATTCAATCAATTAAATGCGAATATTTATTTTAATAAGGAAATCAAAGATTAATGGAATTCTATTATAAATTATCTATTTCTGATATTCCCTGATGATTTTATAAATATTCAGATTTTAAAGAGATAATGTAATAAATGAATAAAAAATATATTATTTGAGGTATCAAATAATTATAAAATTTATAATAAAAATGAAATAAGCTATTTAAAAAGCTTTAATGGAGATTGCAAATCCTAAAAAAGGAAAAGAAATTTCTGCTTATATGAAAAATGTTCTTCCTTTTAGAGGTCTATAATAACCAGAAATTGCAAAAGTTTTCAATCAATTCAAGAATGAAATAAAAGAAATGGAGGATGATTAAAAGTATGAGGTAGCTGATTTTTTGATGAGATAAGAATATGGAGAAGATAAGAAAATTGCATTAATGATTGCAGAAAAAATGAAATTTGATTTATAAAGAATAAAGTTAACAGAAAAATGGTTTATTGATGGTCATATAAAAGAATGGGCAACAGCAGATACTTATTGTGGAAGAGTATTAAAGAGTTTTGTAATAGATAAGGAAAATGCAAAATTAATGTTAGATTGGGCTAAACATGAAAATTTATGGATGAGAAGATCTAGTTGTGTAGGATTTGTAACTTTAGCAAGAAAGAAAGTATGTGATATGAATTTACTTTATGAAATATGTTAAGAGAACATAATTCATTAAGAACGATTTAATTAATTAGGAACAGGTTGGTTATTAAGAGAAATGTCATTAGTTGATTTAAAAGGAGTAATTGAATTTATAAAAAAAAACATAAAATATTTTAGTAGTGAAGGTTTAAGATATGCTTATGAGAAAATGAAAAAAAGTGATTAAAATTATTTGAAAGAATTATTAAGAATGAAAAATATATAAACTAATAATTCAGAAGATGAATAAGAAGTTTAGGATGAAATATAATAGAAATCAAATGATTAAGATGAAGAAAGTGAATAAGATTTTAAAATTAAGAAACCTAAAAGATAAAGTAGAACAATAAAAAGGAAACTTTGATTTATACATAAATAAAAAAATCATTCCCAATTACTTGGTGGGATTGTGTTTAATCTAATTTACAATTTGTCAATTTTTCCATATTTTAATTCTATATCATCTCTTGTTGCATTTGTAAGTGCAGTATTTAATAATTCTACTTCCAATTAATCTATTTTTGGTAAAGCCTATTCTAAAAGTACAAATATATCTTTGATTCCTTTATCAGTAATTTAATTTTAACTTACTCTTAAATCAACAACCTAAATATAATTAAATATATATATTTACTTTTGGTGATTTAGCATTTTTGACAGCTCTAGCTAATTCAAGTGCACCTCTATCAGATAATGAATTAAAGTTCATATTGACACTTAATTATTATAAATTTTTTTAATATTGAATTCCTTCAGCAATAAATGTTGCTCCTGCATCACCTATATAATTTTCAAGGAAATTAATTTTTAAAGATTTTAATCTATCATGTTTAAATAAAGCTTTTTTTAATAATTCTGCTCCTGGTGATCCACATTTATTAATTCCAATTATTAATTCTAAATTATTTAATGGTGGTAATTTTTCAATTGCACTAACAATTGCTTCATAACCATCCCAACCAAAATTCTTTGTGGCAGCATTTACAGATAAATCTTTAAGATTCTTTAATTTATTTAATGCATTTCCAACTTATATACCTCCTTCATTAGTTATGTAATTAAATTCTAAACCTAAATTTAATGATGTTAAGTTTTCCATAGAACCTACAACTCCCATTAAACTTTCTGTTCCATTTGCTGTAATATTATTAAAATATAGATCTATTCCAAATTCTTTTAATTATTTTTATTAAAATAATCCTCCACTTAAAGTAATTGCTCCATCTATTTATATTTTGTTTGCATATAGATTAATATTTAATTTGTTTAATTTTGGTAATTTATGCAAAATTGTTTACAAATGTTTCATTTCTTCTTCTTTCAATTTACTACCAACTAATAAAAGTTCTAAAGATTTCAAATTTCTTAATTCTATCAATGGATAAAGTGATTTCAATCCATCTCCAGATAAATCAGAATTTATGAGAGATACACGTAATTAAGTCAATCCAGAAATTTTACTTAATCCCTTTAAAATTATTTCTCTACTTTCATTATTGAAAATAGAATCAAGTCCTAAGCTTAAAGTGTGTAATTTTGTAAGTTTAGATAATGCTTGACTTAATGATTTAGCTTAATCTTATTCATTAACTAATGGATTATTTCCAAGTGAAAGTTATACTAAAATATATATTTCATTATTATTACATTCATTCAAGTTATTTAATTTCTCTAAACTAGCAAAGAAATCTCTAAAACTACTAAATTGATTAATTGACAATTATGCATTTAATTTAGTTGTCTATGGATTTTCAGAAAGTTTTTTTGAAAGGGTTTAAAGGTCAGAGTCTTTTAAATATAGGGCATCATTCTACATTGTGATTTCTAATTATAAATCTAAATATTACCATTTCCATTTATTTCAAAGTGAACAGAAGAACTTCTATTCAAATACAACTTAATATTGTAGGCCACTAGAACACCTACAATAATCCACAAAATTTTATTAAAGGTAGATGAAGATCCCTTTTGTTGTTAATTTTCTTATTATGGCATTAAAATTAATTTTTTATGAATTCATCCAATTTCATTTTAATGTCATTTTATAAACCTATGACATCACAGTATAATAAAATTTACTTAATATAAAAGTTTGTTCTAGAATTTATTTAATTAATAATTAATTTTTTTTAATTGAAATTTATAATTACATAATTTATATATTTAAAATTCTATTTATATATTAATTTTTAGTAATTTTAATTAATTATATTACTTCAAAATATTTGATTTATCCTATCCATAGATCCACATCATAACTTTGTTGTTACAACCTCTCACAATATTTATTGAAGGCAAATATTATAATTTATAATGTAATTAAATCATTTATGAGTGAGATCATTAATCATGGAATTAAAAATTTTTGAAAATATATTCAGAAACAATAATAAAGTAAAAAATGAAATTCATAGAAAAAAAGTATTTCAAAATAATTATTAGTTAAATTTAATCTATTTTAAATATACTATTCTTAACTATTAATTGAAGATTCCCAAAGGATCATATAATAAAAATATACATCAAAAAATTAGATCTTCTATTTCTTATTTCATCAATAGATTTGAAGATTCTTAAATAGCTTTTTATATCTTGATAAATGGCTAAATTTAATAGTATTAATACTGCAAATTTTGCTTTCAAATTATTATAACTATTGATTAATTTATCAAATAAAATATCTTTTTTTTATATTAGGGGTCCATTAATAAATATCATAATTACTACTTAATGTTGTTTATTAAGTAATTATATCCTATATTTATAAAATTTAATAAATTTTTACATTATTAAGCTCTTCTATCTTTTTTATAAAATTTGGATCTTTTATATTCTTTTCAAATTTATTAATAATATTTTATATCTATGGTTCTTTATGATTTTCATTAACGGCATTCAACATTATTGATGTTTATGCTTCCCAAAAATATGTTTAGTGATCCTTAAAATGTTAAAATGAAAGATATGCTTGAAGTAATTATAATTCTTGCAAATTTACAATTGCTTAAAAAGGAATCATCTTACAAATTATTATAATTGGAATTAATCTTTAAAAATTTTATGCCAATTTATAAAAATAATTTTGGAAATCCAATTATTTAGCTAATAAAGAAAAATGATGTAGAACAGATAAGGAATTTGAAATATGTTATTATAGTAAATTATCAAATAATATTGAAGCTAAAGAAGCAATTGCAATATATTAGATGTATTCCTAAGACAATAAATGAAAATCATCTTATTCTTTTTAACTTAAAAATCTTGATGGTCTTTTAAATTCAGTGAATTTATCCTTAAATTTATCGATTATTTAATTTTCAAACTTTTATAATTATTATTTTTACATTTTTATTGATTTATACACCAAAATATCCTGATTTATCTGGATTTACTTCCCTCAATGCTGAATCTATGATTACCCATTTTAATATATTTTCATAATTATCCTAACCAAATATAGCCATTTTGCTTTTAATAAAAATTGGAAAATTTAATGTAATCAATGGTTTAAATGTTTGTGATTGTACTGAGTTAGATATAATTCTATATTATTCATTAATAAATTCAAATCTTATTGAATAAGGCTCAATTAATTTATCTATTACTCTTAGAGATATTTATTGATTTATTTCATTTAAAAATAATTTATTCTCTTTAACTAATTATTCTTTTTACTTTTAATTAAGGTAACTACCATATATATCATTTAAATATTGATTTTCAGAACTTATTCTGTAAGTTCTCATCTATGACTATAATTCTTATTTCACAATATCTATTCTATTAAAGATTAATAGATATGCATTAATTCCATTTTACATTCCAAAAGCATCTTAAAATACTTTTTCTTTTGTCTCTACATTTACATTCATATCATTGAATTTAAACCATTTGTCAAGCCCAAAATCTTTTATGTAAGTATAAAAATGTCCAGAATCTAATAATAGAATATAAAAATATACTGGCTTATCCATCATGTATAAGAATGGATTATAGTAGATATTTATGTTTTTTTAAATCATTATAATTACTTTGAATTTGATTTTAAAGTTCATTGCTTTGTTTTTATAATGATTACTTTTTTAGTTATATTTGTTATGAGTATTTTTACAATTATTAAATAGTTTCTTATTCATCAGACAATCCAAAATTAGCTGAATTATCAATATTATGATTATTTTGCATTTATAAAAATTAAATTAAATCAACTATTACATCTTATAAATCTTTGCCATTATTAAATTTAGTTATTTATTATTAACTTAATTAAATCTTTTTTTATTTAATTTTTAATTCTTTATTTTGATTTCTTATGTTAAGATATTTCTCTCTATTTTCTATCAAAAATCTATCTAAATAGATTTCTTCATCAAAAGTAAACTCATCATTTTATTTAATTAACTCATCTAAATATTCTTTATAATATACTTTTTTATTTGCAATAAGTAACTCTCTAGATTTAAAATGATAATTTTTAAGGTGGAGATTATATCCAATTATATTTAACAGCCTAAACTATTTCATTAAAATCATTTTTGAAATCATCAATATTATTAACAACAAAGCTATCAAAACTATCATATAAATTTCCATCTTTTAAATCAAGTGGAATAAAATTAAAAAGTTCTGTGCTTTCTCTTATTTATTAATAACCTCCTTGTTCAAATTGAAATTAGTGAAATATTTTGCATAAAAACAATTATGAAACTATATCTTCTTCATTGATTATAGAAGACTTTTACTTAAAAATTGATGATGAAGTATAAATTAAACTATCATCAATATTTTTCCTTTTACGTTCTGTTTAGGCTAGACCTTCTCCAATCCTACTTAAGAAATAATGATTGAATTCACCTACATCTTACTGATCTCCAATAGGAAGAACATTTCCAAAATCATCACAAATACTTTTAACAACTTCAGATGGATCAACATATTTTAAATCACTCCCAATCATTTTTATAAAAAGATTTTATTGATTTAATACTAATTAGATTGATTTATTTTATTTGTCTTGTTATTGAGGTTAGAAGGTGATAATAGTCTTTACAAATTAACTGTTAAAAAAATAAGTCTACAATAAACTATTGAAATAACAAGTATTTCCAATATTTTTTAATCCACATGGTATTCTATCAACTCTCTTTTTTTATTCAGGTGAAACTAATTCTAATATTTGAGATCCTATCTATTAATTTGTTTGATATGAATCAACCAATGCTTAAGTTATTAAAACTTCTTCATCTTACTTCTATTCTAATGTTTTTAAAATCATACATCTTATTTAATCTATACCTTCTAATTTTAAATTGATAAAGTGAAGAGTGTATCCATCATTTCAGACTCCATATTAATTATTTCCCATGCCATATTAATTAACTCTACTGAGAATCCCATTTACACATATTGATCTAATAATTTCTGGTTAATTTAGGTTTTCATTTTATTAAAAATAAATATGTTAATTAACTATTGAGAATATTGAGAATCCATTATTAAATATATTCTATTTGCTTTTTAGTATTAAGGATATAATCATAATGAAACCAGACATGAGATACAAGTAATCGAGATTATGATTAATAAATAAGAAATAAATTTATTAATTGATTAATTTACATATATCTTAATATTAATTATTATAATATCAAGAAATTTTTTTGTATCATAAACTCATATATAAATTTTAGAGAGATCTGAGTCTTCATAATCATTTTAAATTGATTCTAAATATTTTGTTTAACAAGAAGGATATTCATAATATTTAGTTGTTGAAAGAAATGTTAATAGTAAAGTGACTTATTCCTTGTCTAGAAAATTGACAAATTTTAGTGTTTATGTTTGTTTTAATCTATTTTTTGTGTATAGAATACCCTCCATATCTTATTGAGTATATTCATTTGTAGATTCAAGATGATTATAATCTTATAAGTCAAGAAATCTTTATATTGCTTCTCAAATCTTTGAAGATTGTATTAGGATGAGATATTGGCAAGTATAACAAAACTAATACTTAAAATTGATATATCTTTTTCTATTCTAAATAAATAATTAGGAATATCAGATTGTAAGCCATTCTTGAAAATGTTATGGATGATTAAGTGCCAATTGAATAGTTAAAAGATCATATCCGATAACGAAACCATTATATATATATATATATCAAATCTATATAATAAGATAATCTTTTTATAGAGAAAAATATTATATTAGTTAGGTTGCTGATTCTTTATACAAAGCATTTAATGATGTTCAAAGCGATATTGGTTTGAAAACATAAAATCTGGCCACCTAATGTAAAAAACTAAAATAAAGCCTTGATAGAATTTATGTTTAATAAAATCACATTTACTAATTTTATTGAAGAACTTAAAAATCTAATTCTAAGTTGCTTTCTTCTTTGCATAGAGATCAAAGATATTTTGAAGAATAGGTTCTGCAACATTAAGCATCTACTCTATCTTATATATTTTATAAAAAATAAATTTGATAAATACTGAAGGAATAGCCAAAAAGATTTGAAATCTTTAAAATGCCCATCCATACAATATTTTTATTTCTTTTAGAATTTATTGATATGTGTGAAAAAACTAATTGCTTATAGAATTAGTATTTCTGATAGAATTACGTTTCTCAATATAAAAAGTACAATTTCTATCTCAAAAAAAAATAAATTAAAAAAATGGGCAATTCTGGAAGCTAAGATTAACGCTACATAAAGAGCAAGATAGATTAAATCATTAAAAGAGCTCATAGAATAAAGAGAAAGATTTAGAGCAGTGGCTCTTCTGGATGGGGTCCAATAAAACATGTAGGTATATTAGTTGAGACTGATGAAAATTAAACTTATATTATTCATCATTAAGGACCTGATGGAGATGTAGTGTCAGAGAGATGTGAAAATTATAGAAATTAAGGATGGGAATAAGTTGAGCAAATCCATGTTAATTCTCATCTTACAATAGGATAAGCAGAGAATATTGGAGGGAAAGGTAAAGGTTATTTGAGGAATCTAACTTGTATTGGAGTGGCTGATAAGATTTAATCAGCATTATAATCAGGATGAGGATTATAATATATATAGAAAGATATATAAAGAAATTATAAATTTAAAAAAAACTTTTATCAAATTAATAAAAAATCTAAAAAAAATAATAATTTAGAATGAAAATAAATAACTAAAATATCTTAGAGAACTTATAATGAGATTTATCAGAAAGGTTGAATGATTAATGTCTCTTAATATATGTATTTCAATAAAATAATTTGTATAGTATAATTATTAATAATTATATAAATGAATAGGATTAAGTAATACTATTGCTATAAATTACTTAATCACTACTAATAACTTCATTTTGGATGAATATGTTTGATTTTTATATTGTTTAACAAGGATGATTTTATTCATGTGATAAAATTGAAATGGAAATATGAGTTTTATAAATAAATAGTATTCCTTTAATGATATATCGTTATTTTAATTAAAATGGAAGAGCTCATTTGTCCGTAATGCCGTAATATATTCAATGAATTCGAGAATATTCCTTTAATGCTACCTGATTGTGGACATACTATCTGCTAAAAGTGTATTCAATAGATGTTGATGAGTGCTGATGGTTAGCAGATATGCTGTCCTGAGGATAAGTAATTTTGACAATGAGATATATAAAGTATTCTTGCTAAGGGGAAAACACATATTACAGAGTTTCCAAAGAATTGTTAACTTTTAAAAATGGTAGTGAAGTAAAGACCATCAATAGAGCAACCAGAATATTAATTACATTTAAATAACTTAGCTTAAGAGAAGATTGAATTATGTACAGAACATTTGGAGAAGCTGGAGATAGTATGTTTGACAGATAAGATTCGAATTTGTACTAAATGTGCTTTATTTGGTAATCACAGACATCATGAGGTTCGATCAGTTGATGATGTTGTGAGAGAAATAGCATCTAAAGCAGAGAATATTATGCAGACTTATTAGAAAATCTTAGATAAATAATAAGAGTTGACAGAGTCTAAATTTTATGAGCCATTGAATGAAAAGTATTAAATAATGTTGTAGGAGAGTCAAATGACAGTAAGAGAGAAATTTAAAGAATTACATTAGTAATTGGATTTAAAAGAGAATAAGTTATTGGATTAATTGAATGGATTAACATAAACTTTGGAATAATAAACTAAAAGATAGATAAAGGACTCAATTTAATAGAGTTTATAATAAGCAGAATTATGGAAGATAGGAGCTAAGGATAGGCTGCTTTATTTTTCAACAAAGACTGAAAGTGGTGAATTACCATTAGATTTACTTTATAATCAAGAATTTAAAGGCAATGCAATATTAGATGAAATGGATAGAACACTTAAAATGTTAGAATAGAGGATTAATAATGTAAAAATAAAAAAGATTAGAGTGGATTTAAAAAAACATGAAATAGAGAAATGTTTTGATACTATGTGTACATTAACATTGTAATTAAATCATAATGAAACTAATCATGTAGAAAATAGTTTCAGTAAATTTGATTAAGAAGAACCTCTACTTTTAAGAGATAATTCTGTAGCTGATTGGACAGATAATGATGAAAATTTAATTTCTTAGGTTACTCATGTAGTATCTAATTCAATGCATGAATTAAAATATACATCATAATCACAACTATAATAAACTAAAAGTCCTGTGAGAACAGAACCAGCTATTCATAGTATGTAATCCATAACCCCCTTGAAATAGTTAAAATAAAAAAGTCCTAGTAAAGATGTACATAATAATGCTACTTTGTAACCACCTCCTCCTGTATCTTTATTGAGATAAGGGATATCTCCTACTCCTAAGTTATAAGAAAAGAGAAAGAAGACTTTTAAAATTAATGATAAGTTTGAGCCCATCATGTAGGCATTTCGAAATGACAATTTAGAAATAGTGGATTTGTCTAATGCAGGTAAGATATATTTTTTATTCTTTAAGAATTGGGAGATGAGGGTTGCAATTTTGTTGCAGAATAATTGAAAAATTGTAAGAAAGTGAAATAGTTGAAATTAGCCAGGAATAAAATTAGTGATGATGGTGCCAGTATATTATTGTAGGCTTTGACTTAGAATGTAAATATTACATCTTTGCATTTATCATCCAATATGATTTCAGAGAGAACACTAGATGTGATTCTTAATCTAATTAAAACTGGATAACTACCCAAAAATATTTATTTGTCTTAAACTTTGATTAATGCAACTAAAGCAAAAAAAAAGATTGAAGAATTAAAGAAATTGGGATATGTAGTGAATATTTGATTATTATTGAATATAAATTATAATTAATCTCTTTAAAGTTTCCTACAAAAATAAGATATATTAACAATTTCATTTTATTCATCTATCAATTACTTTAATTATTATGATAAATAAAAAAAACATAAAGAGTATAAAATTGTAAACAATAATTAGTAGACATTTCTTATGGAATTCAAAGAATGAGTCTATATATATATTATGATATCATTTATGAATATTACCATTAGTGTTATTTATCTATTAGCTATCTTGATATATTGAATTTAGAAAATAAAACTCAAACATTTACCACATCATGAAATAATAATAAATTTTTGTAATTCATAACTTCTTACTTTTAATTTATTTTATGTATTTTATTTATATTTATATACTAATACTAATTTATGTATACTAAATGGCGTAGGACTAGTCAACAAAAATATCCAGATCTTTCTTAACATTTTAAAAGTTAAGTTATTACAAGGAGACGTTCTTGTTATTGTGATAATTGTGGTAGGCTAAGCCAATTTTAATAAATTCATCAAAATAATGAATGGGTTCCATTATAAATTTAGATTGATGAATCTAAAAAAGAATTAATATAGTAGAAAATTTAGAATGATGAAAAATAACAAATCAGTAAGAATTCAAGAACGATGTCTACATCTATGAGTTAAGCTCCTTCATTTTATAAATATTAAGATCAAAAACCTAGAAGGAATAGTTGTAATTGCTCTGAATGTGGATCAATGTCATAATTTCAAATTGAACATAAAGATGTTCCATATAATAAAAAGAAAAAATCCCAAAAGATTTTTGTTATTAAAAGAAAAAATCTTATACATAGCAGAACAATTCAACTTGAATAAATGCAAAGTAGAAGTAGGATTGATCCTAAATAATTGATTTAATAAAAAAAATAAATGATGAGTTTAAGACATATCGATATTTAACATAGAAGACTTAAAACTGAATGCATGAGTTTGAGTTAGATTGTTCTTCCTGCAATTAAAGACTTCTCATGCAGATAGATTAAAAAGTAATTGTGAAATCTATTCATTATATTATTAAACTATTTTAATTGTTAAGTCTGATCAATTAATATATCTTAAAAGTATAATAAATTAGTAAAAACATATCAACTAGTGTTCATCTATTGAATCCATACAAGATCATAAAGAATATAATAATAAGATAAAAGAGCTATTATTGCAAATCTATGATGATAATAAATAAACTTTTATTTAACAAAAAGTTTTAAGATAACTTAAAGATCAATAATAAAGAAAGACTAATTCAAGAAATTCATTATTAAAAAATTACTTGAAAGAATTTTAAAGATAATATCTGATCATAAAATAATCACTAATTATTAAATTCTTTAATGAATAATCAAATATTGTTGCAATCCTTTTTACTTATTAAAACATTAGATGTCAAGAAAGGGGAGAGCTATATAATTTTTTATGAATCAAAAGGGATATGCAATCAATATAAGTTATTTGTTAAAAAATAGAAAAGTCATCTTTAATGAAAATTTAATTGAAACTAGTAGTAAATAATCAATGGTTTTGAAGAGTTTGAATAGATTAATGTTCTTAGTAAGATTTAAATCAACTTTGAATTGATCATATTATATTAGTTTTATGAATTATTGTAATATTAAAACAACTAGAAGAAATAGCTTTAGTCTTAACTACCAATCGTTATAGTAAATCAAACATCAAAGAAGACAGAGTTGTTGTTGCAAGGAATGCGGAATTTAGAGTATGTTTTAAAAATTACATTCTGATATTTCATGTCCAATATAAGAACATTTAAGAATATAAAGAGATAGTACACATTCAAGTGCCAATTCAAATTCAGATGTTTCATTAGAATTAATTTAAACTGTTAAGAAGTTTCCCTTTCTCAGAGGATAACTCAAATTGATTAGTCTACCTCCAAATTATGATTAATAAATAGTGTAGATTAAGAAAAAGAAAAGAAGACATAGTTGCCATTGTAATGAATGTGGTAATCTAAGTAAGTTTTAAACAAAAACTCAGAATCTTTATGTCGAAAGGTATCAACAAATGAAGAAATAATTTCGAATAAAATAAATTAGAAGACACAATAAAAATAAAACATAGACTTTAATTGAAACTGACAATCCTGTTATTCTACATATAAATTCACCAATGATGAAATATTCAAAATATTCAAGAACTGCTAAATTGATTTTAGAATAAAATCAAATGAAGAATTTTCCAAGAATTTGTACAGAAAAGAATATTTGTAGTCCAAAAACTAAATTATTTTTGCCATCTTTACATATACCAAAGACTTTTCGTACTTAACTCTTTTGAATGGAAAGTTATTGATCATATTAGTATACTATTTTAATTTATTTATATAAATGTATGTATTTAAATAATTAATTATTTTTTTAATTAATGAAAGAAATATCAATTCAATGTTAGCAAAGGTACTCAAATTAACTATTATTTCATTAGTTATGAAATCTCACAACCATTAGCATTTACTTTTGATGAATTATCAAAAATACTATATGTAATAGATTAGGAATCCAATATTATTAAATATGAATATAATAATAAATCATTAAGTGTATTATATATGTTTAATATTAGATTTAAACAACTTACAAAGTTGGTTAACAAATTCAGAATACCTCTTAAATCCTTTCATTTCAATATTTAATGGAAAATGATCAATTAATTATTGTTTATAGAGATGGAGCAATAATTAAAGTGTAAAAAGATGATGCAGAAGTTGTTGGATAATTTGAATGTGGAGTATTGGGAGCAGCATGGAATCCAAATCAAGAATAACTAGTGGTTATTTGTGGTGATGGAAAATTAGTGAGTTTTGATGCTCAAATAGAACCAATTAAAGAAATTAATATAGATGGAATCCTTGATTAATTAGTCTCTATTTCTTTTAAAAATGATGGAAAAGTATTGACTTTTTTGTTAAATTTATTTAGTTTTTTTCATTAAATTATGCTATTAAGGATGGTAGGATATGTGAAACATATGATGTACAATTAGAGAAATTTAGAAGTCCAAGCAAGTCAGATCCTGAAGGAGGATTAGTATAAGCTATCTTTGAAAAACCAAGAAATCTTGTTAATACAGTTTCATGGTAACCTAATAGTTAATTTATTGCTGGTATTCAAGAGAAATAAGTTATATTTTGGGAAAAAAATGGATTGAGACATTTAGAATTTAATATATTTGAGGATTCAACAAATGTAAAATGGAGTCCAGATGGAGTTATTTTGGCTGTTTAATAAGGAAATAAAATAACAGTACATTTAAGATAAAATTATAAATGGTATGCAAAAAGAGCATTTAAATTTGAAAAAATAATTGATTATACATTTATTGAGAATAATACTTTAGTAGTGTTTAATCAAAATAATGTAAGTATTTTTTGGTTGAATTATCAATTTAATAATGCAACAATGGGTTTATCAACTGATTATGATACATTATTAGTAAGTGATTATAAAAAGGGAGTTATTCCACCACCTTTATGTCATTATTAATTAAAAGTTGATAGTCAAATAGATTTAGTTTATTTTGATTAATTGATTTATGTATATTCTTTTGATGGAACCCTGACAATATTTGATAATGCTAATTAATTGGGAAAAATTAAATTAGATATTGAATATGCACATAAATTAATTTGTTATTAAGATAAATAATAAGATGTCATTTTTTGTCATGCTGTTTTTGTTGTACATGAGGCTGAAAGTGACAAAATAGTTGATGTAGTGATTTCACCAGAATTTGAAATTATAAATATATGGAGAAAAGAGTTCTCTTAATCTACATAAGTTACTGCATTAACTAAAAAGGGAAATTAGATAATATTACATTCAAGATTTGGAGAAAAGTTTTTATATGATTAATCATAAGAAGAAAGTTTAAGTGAATTTGATTTGGCTAATAAGGAATAAAATGTTTATGATGTAAAAATATAACAGCATAATGAATGGCTTGCTTGTTTAAAATCTAATAGTAAATTAACATTGAACAATCAATTAGTGACTACTGAATGTACATCATTTGCCTTTTTTGATCATTTCTTAGCATTTACTATTAACACAACAGATTAATTTCATAATTTATATATACTAGATCTTAATAAACCAATTTAAATTGATAAGAAAAGTTTGAATATAAGTAATATTGAAAGAGGAGCTAAAATTTTAGCAATTGTTTCTTTGGATAGACTTATTGTATAAATACCAAGAGGAAATTTAGAAACAACAGCTCCAAGAGTTATGGCTTTACATTTATGCAAATAACTTTATGAAAATAAACAATATAAAATATGCTTTGAAATGATTAGAAAACATAAATTGGACATGAATTTAATGTTTGATTTTTCTGGTGAATTAGATGTTTAGATCATAGAATAATTATCAGAATAATATTTATAACTTTTTATACAATCACTAAATAATGAAATCAGTTTTGAACTTCCATATGTTTTGACAGCCTAAGAGTACAAACATTAAAAAGTGTTAATAGTAGATAAAACTTTGGGAACATCCAAAATTAATTATGTCTGTTAAAAGTTGATTGATAATATGAAAGAGTAATTTATATTTTAGAATTTAGGGAAACTCATATTTTAACTATAGTGACAGCAATGTTGAAAAAGGAACCTAGTGAAGTGGAAGAAGCACTTTTGAAGACTTTAAAACTAAAGCAAATAGAATAATAACATGAAGAAGTACCTCCTCATTTGAATCCAGATACCCATAAGCCTTATAAGTATTGAATTCATTATTATAATAATAGAAAGCATCATAAAATTAAGTCAGAATAAGTTTTGGAATATATTTGCTGGTTAGCAGATGCTAATAAAATGTTTGAAGTAGCTTTAGGGACATATGATTTTGATTTAGTCAAATAAGTTGCTTAATTTACTTAGAAGGATCCTAAAGAATATTTACCAATGTTGGAAAGATATTCACAAATAAAAGATCCAATTGATATGAAATCCACTATTCATATTGAATTAAAGAATTATGATAAGGCTATTAAAGTGTTGTCAGAAGGAAATGAAGAATAGAAATAAAAATCTATTGAATTAATAAGAAAATAAAACAGATTTAGAATTGCATTAGAAGTATATAGAAATGATTAAGGAATGATGAAAAAAGTAAAAGAAGCTTTGGGAGATTATTTAAATAATCAAAAGTAATATCATTAAGCTTCTTTGGCTTATGAAAGTGCTGGATTGTATGAAAAAGCAGTTTAAGCATCTTCTGAAATATTAGATACTAAAAGAATATTATCTTTTGATCCAAAAGAAGATTATTTGAAAAATTATAATTAGATTTTATTGGCAGCTGGAAGATGGAAAGATTGTGGATAAGTTTAAGAATATTTAAAGAATTATGAATAAGCTATTCATTATTATTGTAAAGCAGAAGAATGGGAATTTGTAGCTTAATGTTTAAGACATTAATAAATAAATATAGATGATCATTTATAATTAGCATTCTCATTAAAAGTAAATCATTTATTAAATTAACAACATTTATTCATTTAAAAATTAGAGAGATTAAGGATAGTCTAAGATTAGAAAAAAGAACATGGAATATTAGCACCATCTTAAGTTAATGCTGATTTTGATCAAATGAGTGATGTAAGTGGAAAATCAGGAATGTCAAAATCTTCTTATACAATGTCTGTGACAACAGGAGTTAGAAAGAGAAAGCCTAAGGAGAAATCTTTTTTGAATAGAAATATCAAGGAAGGTTCTCCAGTTGAAGAAGAGTATTTGATTGAATTTCTAAAAGATATACAAGCCAAAAGTGCAGATTTAATTAGTAAATAATATTATTTACATATTTAGATTCGATTAAAAAGTTTTAAAATTATCTAATTTTCTTTAATCAACCAAAATTGTCTTTAGAATTATCAGCTAAAACTAAAGAGTATTTAAACACAATTAAACCTGAAATTAAGAGTTTACTCTAATAATAATTTGAAGAATAGAATTAATAAGCTATTGATTTGTATCCATATAAATCTGTTGTGCCCAGTGAATTTAATCAAGCTTTAGATGATTTAATTAAATGATGATATTTATTTATCATTTTATAAAGGAAATAAGATTTTTATATTTATATAATTTGAGATAAAAGGGATGATTCTGTATTAAAAATCTAATTAATCATATTGTTTTATCTTAGTTCTATCACATCTCCTAAATTAATTTCTATTATTATTCATATTGAATATCATTCTTAACTACAAGTATTGATTTCTAATTCTTGACAGAGATTTTTCTAATAAATGACAATAGGTAAAGCAAAAATATAAAAAAACAGAATTATATTTGATTAGTAATAATGAGAGTTTTAAAATATATCTAATAAACTCTAATGTATATTTTAGGAGAATAAATCTGAAATTCAATATATTTTAAAAACCTAGTTATGAAGTACAGTTGACTCCTAAATTGAATATTTGGTTAAGGTATCAAACTTCCAAGGATTGAAGGATACTAAACAATTATTCAAATGAATATAATAAATGAGAGGATGCACTTGAATAACTTGAATTTAGATATAGGTTTTTTATCTAAAATCTTAAAAATTCATTAGTTTAAGAATCATAAACTCATTACATATTCGCTTTGGATATATTCTAACGATTGTCACATGTCACAAATTTACAAACTTCATGTGCTTCAAAGTGGTAAAATTTTTACTAATTGCCTTTTCATTTTCTCTTTGAATTATTTGATATGATCTAGTTGTTTTGTTATTTCAAATTCTCTAATCACATTCTTATAAGCACCTGTTTAGAGTTCAGTATTTCTTATTAAATACATGACTCTTCCTACTTTTAGTCAATGAGTCTCAACAGGTGTCTAACTTCATCAGTCATATTGAATGATGGTAAGATGAGATGCAAGATTGATCACTTTGCACTTAAGACATCTGATAGTATTATCATAAGTGTTTGTAGAGTGAAATATGACAAATTGTGTATTTGAATTTGTTGTATTCAGAAAAGGTCTGCAAACATGTGTAAATATAATGTATAAAGACTAATTTGGCTTAAAAATTCATAGAGAGTAGTAGTCTCATAAATTTATATAAGGATTTCGATAATATAAATAATTTTGATAAAAACTATTCCAAATGGGCATTTGCAAGAGTTAACCTGTAACAACTGAAGATCTACCTACAATGGATTCAAGTGGACATAAGCAAACAGAAATAGTCATCAAGGAGGATAGTACACCTAATTATGATGAGAATAAAATCGTCATCATATAAGCACTCTATAGAGGTCATAAAGTTCGTAAATCTCTTATGACAACTTTACAATCTCCAGAGACTTCAGCACCCACTTAGGTGGAGCAGTAGAAATTCTGCTTTGATCCTAACTAACTTTATGATAATGATTAATCTTCAATATTGATGAAGAATGGAGCTATCTATTAAGGAGAATGGAAGGATGGCAAAGCAAATGGAAAAGGTAAATATTAATTCCAAGATAGGTGGTAACTTTTATCTTTATTATTATTAGCTATGTCGAAGGGACTGTAATATTTTAATAATATTTTCATAGTGGGCTTCCAATGAACTTTAAGGGGAGGCTATATATGTAAATGGTACCGAAATGTATAAGGGACAATGGCTTGACAATATGTTCCATGGTGTTGGTGAATATATCTATTCAGATGGTCGCATTTATTAAGGTATTAGATTTAAAAATGTGTAGGTGAATGGAAAAAAGGATTATAACATGGAATGGGCAAAGAGATTTATAAAGACAAATCTAGCTATGAAGGTAAATTCAAGGAAGGAATGAAAAATGGACTTGGAATAATTCGATTAGCTGATGGTTGTGTTTATGAGGGAGAATTTGAAAATGATTAATTTCATGGATACGGAACATTTGTAATTTTTATTCTTAAATTTAGATTTGGCCAGATAGAAAGAAGGTTTTTGAAGGCTATTGGAAAAATGGAACTAAACATGGAAATGGTACTATGAAATGGGGTGATGGTATTTATCAATTATTAAATAATTTATTTTTCAGGTCGTATATATTCAGGTCAGTATTTGGAAGGATTTAAACATGGATATGGAGAAATGTAGTATAGTGATGGTCGTTGTTATAAAGGAAAATGGAAATATGGATTGTAAGATGGAATGGGAATATTTGTAGATAAGGAAGGAAATGAAAAGAAAGGATTTTGGCTTAAAGGTAAACTTAAGAAATGGTTTTGAACTTTTAAAAATTTTGATTTTAAATCTCTTCTATTTATTATATTATTATTAATAATTTATATTTAAATATATGTATATATAGAACGAGCAAACATAATAATCACCAATCAATATTGTCATTCATCATCACAGAAATTTTCAAAAGATTCTTCATTTTCATGATCCATCAAATCATCTGGTAAGATCTTTTATTAAAGTTATTATTATTATTATTATTATTGTTATTCTACTAATTCTTAATGTTTTAAACTTAATATTTAATATCAATTATTACGCAGCTTAAGCCAATTAGACATCCATCATGTTTATTTTCAACATCTCCTTTGAAATTGTATGAATTCCCTTTCCCTTATTTTATGTCTATGCAAATTATTCAGCATCATTAAAATAACAACTAATTTCACTGGCTTACTCTTTACCTAAATAACCAAAACTACTTTCCTCTGAATCATTCACTCCTACAAAAGATATTTATAAAATTATTTACTAGAATCATCTGCTAATAATGAATCATATAAATTTAATTGTTCTTTATAATTCTCTTCATATTAAGATAAAATCTTCTCAGGTAAACCCATTTATTCTTACATTACAGCTAATTTCTTTTAAGTAATCAACTTATTAGATGGTATAATATCTATATTTAAATTTCCTTCAGTATCATCCATATTTGTTTGCTCAGCATTTGAGATAAACTAATCGAACATCCTAAAAATATATCTTTAAATATACTCTAAAATTGAACTATCACCTACTCTTTTTAAAAATATTTTTGTCAACTATTCTCTTTATAATAATTTTTAGATAGCTTCGAATTGTCCTTAAACGAGATATTTTAATTCTAAAAATTCTATTTTTTATTAATAAAATTAATACCTTGTTCACTCTTTGTTTCTTTTTATTAGGTATTTATTTTAGATTATAATCCTTAAATTTATGATTTAAAATTCTTAATCACTTCCTCTTAAGATTTCTTTTATTCTATTAACTAATTGTACTCAATGAGTACATTTTCATGTTTTCTTTTAATTGAAGTGAGAATATTTTCTAGTTTTTTCTTTTCCATTTATTAAGTGAAAGATTATTGTAATATTGCAATTTATCTCTTAAAAAAATGATCTATTTAAAGACTCGAATTTGTCTCTTAAGTAGAAGTAGGTTATGTATTTGGTTATTCATAAAATATTATTGAAAGTAATTAATTTAATGATTAATTTAGTTTAATCATGAATGCTATCTCTTTTTAATCTTATTAACAATTACTATCTCTCTCTTATAATAGTTATTTTATATTATCTTTAATTTTTTACAGTTATGATTATTCATAAGATATACTGTTACTATTCTTTATTTTGACACTTGAATTAGGACGATGAAATGATGAATTCTTAGTTAATTATGGTGATTGTTAATCAATTTAGATCATTGATTAATTCTTACGTAATTTATGAGTGATCTTTACAGTATCCATTAATTCATTATTAAATAAACTCTATATTTTAGGTTTCGTCTGTTAGCCTGCCATAACATTTAAAATGCTACTCAATTTTTGTTGTGACACCTGAAGAGTTGGATTTATGAATGTTCTATTCACCTTCTATAAATTTTCATACGACTTTTAACGTCCCATTACAGGACTGTTGTTATTCGAGATATTTTATGATTGGCTCTCAAATTGCTATTTTGACAATACTTTAGTGAGTTTCTTTTCTTATATCTTTCCTTACAATTTCTACATCTAAGAAGTATATATTTATTAAGCAATCCTTTCATTCTCACTTTACTTTTTCATTATATTTTGTTTGTTGAGAATATTTTTTATAAAATAATAAATTTTACATCTTTTTGTATAAAAATTTGAAAAAAATAAACAAGTTTTATTAGAGTAAACCAATAGATTAATTATCTATATGGTTATTAATAATCCATTCTTCCTTATTTAACTAAATTTATAAAGATAGTCAATTTATTTTTCGAGAGGCAAATAGTTGTTTTAATTAATTTAAATTATCTTCCTACTTTGTTTGAATATCAATCATCTAATCCAATTTTCTTACCATCTAACTCCTTTCCTAAATTTATTATTTTTATAACATACTTATAATTATTGTTTTTTTTCTATGTTTAACTTCTTTACATTTTTGCTTAATTAATAATGTTAACTCTCTAATTATTCCTATTTTATTTGCATTTATTTTATTTAATTCGACAAAAGCTCTATCTTTACCTCCACTCCCTCCTTCACACATTCTTAATCCTCCATCATCCCTATTGGAGATGTTAGTAAACAATCAAATGTCTATTTTGCCTCCTTTTTTACAGTCTAAACACAAGTTTGACATCTTGTCTATGGACTCATGGAGTTTTATTTCCCCATTAAAGACTTGAAAGATCTTAAAATGTGTATTATTTATTCAGGTGTCTAAGCTTATTTTGATTTCATACTTTTAATAATTTTATTGTTAAATAATATTAAATGCGCAAGAAGAGTACTTACATCTTACCACCTTTAGAAAATAAAAAAATTATAGCTATAGAAAAATAAGTTCAAAAAGATATCTCAGAATAACATCTCGCTATGGAATATGTAAGATCAGAAATGAATTCAATTGTTTCACTCAAATATTAAGCTTAAATCAAATCTTTTTCTCATAGTCGCCATAATAGAATGCATGCCAGCCAATCCTTACATTAACCAATAGTTAATTATCCTCCAAAATTTGAATAATCTCAACCTTCATTTGAATTTCTATCTACAATAAGAAAAAGATTCTTGAAATCATCTATTGAACCTCAAAATATTGAATTGCTAAAGTGGTACCAAGAAGAAGAATATTTTGAATTAAAAGAATACTTTAAGAAGAACCCTGTTGATTAATTTATCTAAGGCTTAACATTGCTTTATAGAGCTGTCAAAGATGAAAATATCAAAATGATCTCATTCTTGTTATCTAAAGGAGCTAATATGCATTTAATCTAAGAAGTTATTTATTAATAACTAATTTGAAGAAATGGCCCTATCGATAGATGAGTCCTTATTTATTAGCAAAATAAATAAACAATTAAGAAATCAAAAATCTATTGCATATTTGAATTATTTTAGAAAATTAATGTTTCTCAAATATATATATTAATATCTTTTTGATTTTACTATCAAATACTAAGTTTAAGAGTATTCTCTTTTTTAATCAATAGTATACTTTAATTTGTTATGAATTATTTATTTTGAATACTAATATTAATTATTATTATACTAATTATAGTTATGCATCAAATCCTTTATATATATTAATATAATATTTAATAACTCTTGAAGAGATAGAATAGATATTATAGAATAATATTATTAATCCTAAAATTTGAGAAGACTTTATAAATATATAAAAGTTAATGTTGTAAGTCACTCTTAAGTATATAATTTAGTAATCTATTATAATTTTGAAAAATTAAAAGATTTCTAGAAAATGAGATCATAATGAAATTAACAAATTATAGCTTAAATTTCATATCATATTTTTAAATTCTTTAATCTATTGCAATAGTATATTGTTTATAAAGATTTAACTGATTTTTATATTTGATTTTTCATTAATAATATAATTATAATTAAGAGCCAGTTAATAGTCATTTATTCCATCTTAATTTCTTGTTTATTAAATAAAGTGAATCATGATTTATATTAGAAAAGAAATAAAGTTCTTTTATTTTTTATATTCTGTAAGTGATTATTTATGATAAGTTAAAACGTTAAGGATTAGGAAAGTTGAGAAAGACAATTATTTAAAAACAAAAGAGTATTTTATAAGGAATAATAATAAAATAAGTGAGTTTTTAATTAAAAATAAAAACGTATTAATGAGAGTATGGAAATAAATTAAAAAACGGGTAATATTTAATGTCTTGGAGAGTGATTATGATTTCATTTCATTAATATTAATAACATGAGAATAGTCCCTGTATTGACTCTTATCCTTGCAGTTGCAACTGCTAGAGTAGCAAAGACAGAAAGCCCAAAGGAAGTGTTGGCTTAAATTAATAAAGATTCATTTGGAAATTCAGTGTTGTCAGTCCTTCAACTCTAATTGGCCACAGGAGGACCTGTTGGTGAAATTCAAATTCTCTTAAACAATATTGCTTCCCAACTTAATGGAGATTAAAAGAAAGCTGATAAAGTTCATGAGAGTGATACAGTTGCTTTCGAAAAGGTAAGCATAATAATATTGTTTAGATCATTGCTGACTTAGAATAAGAAATTGCTTATCACTAAACCCAAATTGTTGCTCTTTCAAATTTGAGAGATTCAACAACAGAAGCTTTGGGTGAAGCTGAAGCTGAAGTCAGAGTTGTTACCTCAGATATTGCCAATAACGAGAAAAGCTTTGCTGATGAATCTGCTACAAGACAATCATAACATGAAACATGGGTTAGAAAAGATGCAGAACATGTTGATTAAATGGATGCCATTGATGAAGCTTCAAAGATTGTTTAACATTTATAAGCTGGTGTTGCCTTTGCTCAACTCAAAAGTAGATTCGAAAAAGTCTAAGCCAAATTATTGGAATCCAAACATGCTCTCTTCAAAGTATTAATATTTTCCTATATAAAATAGCCACTCATCAATGCATTGACATAATTAGCCTCCAAGGTTGATAACAAGAGCATCATCAAAATCTTAGAACTCTTAGCATAAATCAGACAATAATTAGTTGCCAGCAGAGCTTCACTTCTTGCTACAGAAGAAAGATAAGCTGCCAATTGGGAAGTTTAAAGTGGTCACTTATAAGAAGAACACAAGAGATTAGTTGAAAGAAAGGCATTCTTAGAAAATTCAATTGTCTAATTCAAAGTCACAATCTAAGAAGCTGTTGAAGACTTAGAAGATTAAACTGTATTAATTAAATCACTAATTTTAATAGTTATTCCTTGAAGATGCTGAAGATTCATTGGCCATTTAAGAAAGATGGGCTGCTGAATAAGAATCATAATATGAAGCTCAAACTTTTGAAAGAGAATAACAATTAGAAGTTGTTGAGAGATTATAAGAAGTTCTCACCTAAAAGTTGAGCGCTGCTTCAGAATTCCTCCAAATTAGAGAAGAGGTCTTTTGATAATGAAGTTCAATATATCAATATCCAAATCTTCATAAAATCATTTTACATTTTTTTTTGATTTCTTTTTAAAAAAATTGTATTAGATAGTCTTTTTCTTTTAAGATGTTTAAGTATATATTTTAGAATATTACATATCAATTAAATATTATATAAATTGTAAATCATCCATCTTTTAATATTAAATTATGAAAGAAATATTTTCAAAAATTATAAAAATCAATACATAATCAGTAATAATATATTACGTTTAAATGCAAGATAAAATAGAATTTCTTATTAAAGAAAGAAGAGCAATTCTTTTTACATAAGTACATACAAAAGATTAATTTCTAAATTCTAATATACAGGCTATTTATATATATATAAATTGCTGAAATTATAATTTTCTTAATGAAATAAATTGACAAATACTCTTATAATCCAAAAGACCTGCTTGGGATGGGATCTACTGGAACAGTAAAATATTTATTGTAGAATATAGGTTGTAAAAGCTATTGATGCTAAGAAGAATCAATATGCTTTAAGAATAATAAAAAAAAATAGTATAACAGACGATGAAGGTCTGTAATGTGCATTGTTAGATGAAATTAAATTAATGCAATAATTAAAACATCCAAAAATAGTTTAACTTGTTGAAGTAATACAAACAGATAATAATTATTATGTTGTTATGGAACTTTGTAAATAAGATCTACAAACTTATTTATAATAAGTTCATAAATTACCTGAATCTGAATGTATTAAACTTTTGATAGATATTCTGGAAGGATTCACAGAATTAATAAACCATGGAATAATTCATAGAGGATTAAAATTGACAAATATTATGTTAACAGATAAAGGTTATAAATTGGCAGGTAAAAATAATTAGTATATTGAGATTGTGGATTATCAAAATGTATGGAAAATTTCAAAACAGACTAATCACGTAAGGATGAAGATTTTAAGTTCCATTCTCCTTAAGTTTTGGCAAATAGTAAATATACTAGTAAATGTGATATTTGGTCAATTGGAATGATATTATACAATGTTTTATATGGATATACAGCATGGAGTGGTGCAAGGATAGAATAATTGTTGCATAATATAGAGCATAAATTGTTAGACTTTCCTGATGACTAAACATCAGTGAGTGATGATATGAAATAATTTATAGAAGGTTGTTTGACAATGGAAGAAGCAGAAAGAATGAATTGGGATGAAGTATTTAAACATAAATTGGTTAAAGATAATTTTAAGAATTATCAAGCACATATAAAGGAAGAATAAATCAAGTTTTTAATGAATGAATTAAGATAGAAAATTATAAAGTAAAGTTTGAATATTCGTACTTTATTTTAAGAATTTGATGAAAATGGTGATCAAACATTATAGTTTTCAGAATTAGTTCAATTATTGCATACAATTGATTAAACACTTAGTCGTTAAGATTGTTAAGTTATATTTAAGAAATTGGATTTAGATGGAGATCATTCTGTATCATTAGAGGAATTTGAAAAATGGATAACAGATAATAATACAAAAATGGCAGTAATTTCTAAAGTTAAAGGTCGTTAAAATCAAAGAGTTGTGAGTAATAAATAGATACCATCATTAAAAAACATTTAAAATAATCCTGGAAAACAAAAAGATATGGATCCTAGAAATTAATATATGACATAATAACCAATGTTAGGTTAATCTTAATCAACACCTCATATGAATTAAATGACAATTTAATCAAATATGTTTGATCCTGATATAACTATTTCAAAATTGTAATTAACAATTTAAAGATTTAATATAAATGTTCATGATTTATTCTAAAAATTTGATTAAGACCTTGATGGACTTCTCAATTTTTAAGAATTTGCATAATTATTGATGTAAATAAATTAAAAAATCATTTTAGAAAAATACAAAGAAATGCATAACCTTAAGAATTGCATACAATATTCAAAATATTTGATTTAAATGATGATAATTTTATCTCATTTATAGAATTTAGATAAATTTTGAATTTGTATCAAGAAAAAAATTAAAAACAAGAAGCCAAATTTTTCAATACTTATTAGGTTCCTTAATATAAAATTCAATAGGGTCCAATTTAGTAAATGGGAACTGTGGGTTAATTATACTAAACAAGAAATTAATTATATCCAGAAATGCTTTGATAATAATATATTATAAATAAACTGAAAATTAATATTAAGAGTTATTATTAATAGTCATTAAATTTCATGTATAATATCTAATTTTTCCATTTGTAATATCTATCTTATTCTAAGTAAACCTTATCCATTAGATTCCTTCTTTTTAATTATATTTATTTCTTTATTCATTTGATTTTGAATTTTTTTCAATTTGATTAAGGGAGACTATTGAATTTCTTCATCGAAATCTTGTTTTAATTAATTAAGGGGAGATTTAGAATTATTGTTTGGACTTGGTTCCTATTATAAAACTGGACTCTTAGTCATAGTATTACTTCTCATATGAAGATTCCTGCTATAATATGTATTCTTATCTCCACCTTAAGAAATATCACAAATATCATCACTAGTTTTATAATTAATTTTGTTGATAAGTTCAGTACTATTAGGTGATATTGGATCAATCTATTAAAAATAAAGCCAAGGATGCTGTAAAGCCACTATAATGTGAATCTCTATAATATACATTACGCGGATAATCTTTGAGTTGGATTAGGATCCAATAGTCGCTTAATCAAATCTCTAGCCAACAAGGAAATATTTTCATTGAGTTCAAAAGTACCTTTTAATATCTTTTCAATGGTTCCTAATACACTATCTTCAAAGAAAGGGAACTGACCAGTCAATATACGAAATAAGCAAACTCCTAGTGACCATAGATCTACTCTTTCATCATAACCTCCACCAGTCAAGATTTCAGGAGCAGCATAATAAACATTTCCAGTTCTTGTCCACATATTTACATCCACAAATTCTCTTCCATTATATTTCTTGAATCTTCTACTTACTCCAAAGTCTATGATTTTGATATCAAGTGACTTTTTGTTGATTAATACATTATCTGGTTTTAGATCTCTATGAGCTATCCCTCTTTCATGGATATGCTAAAGAGCTAATAGAATATGTCTAATTAAAATCTTAGCTTATTCTTCCCTAATTGAAGTATATACAATTACGTTAATCTCTTGTGTTTTTTAATTACATCTTCCAAACTACGTAAATTTGAGTATTCCATTACTAAATATAAAGTTTCAGATTGTTCATCTATGTAACATTCATAGACTTTTATAATGAATTCATGATCTAGTATTCTAGTATTTTTATATGCTTCAGTAAAAGTTTTAACAAGCTCAGGGTCTCCACTTCTTGAAATTTTGACTGCTACTTATTCACCAGTTTCAACTTTAATGGCTTTTCTCACTAATCCATGTGCTCCTTCCCCAATCATATTGCCTAATTGATACTTTGAATTAAAATTGATAGCAATAGTCTCTATATGTGGTAATGTTATTGATAGTTTATTTTCATCTTCTATCCTAATGGCTCTTAATTTAATTATAGAAATATTATATACCTTTTAGGTTATGTTTTAGGTTGTTCAATTTTCTTTTACATCTTAGGGAATAGCTATTATTGTAAGGCATTCCTTATTTTGGCTTAATTTTGCTTTTATTACATTCTTAATTTCTTTATATTATATGGGTTGTTGTATAACTAAATAAACTAAACATAAAAAGTATGCTAATGCAGGTTGTGATGAAAATCCAATTTAATAACCTGAAGAATCAAATTATTTTGAGGTTTGTTAAGAAGTTGTTATTCCTAAAGAATAAAAAATTGAGAAATAAGAATAAGAAAAATAGATCTCTTGGACAGAAGGGGAAATGATTGGATAAGGAGCATTTGGTAGAGTTATTTTAGGAATGAATAGAGTTAGTGGATAAATTATGGCTGTCAAATAAGTGTTTATTAAGAATGGTGATGAGAATGTAAATTCAAATGATTATTTTAGAAAGTATAATCTATCTAAAGAGAAATTGAAATTTTGAGTAAATTACAACATCCTCATATTGTACGTTATTATGGTTCAGAAACAAAAAATGACTAATTAAATATTTTCTTAGAATATGTTAGTGGTGGTTCTGTACTCACAATGATTAAAAGATTTGGCAAATTTAAGGAGTCTTTGATAAAAGTTTATTTGAAATAGATTCTATTAGGATTAAATTATCTACACACTAAAGGAGTTATTCATAGAGATATTAAAGGAGCCAATATATTAATTAATTAAAATGGATAAGTGAAATTAGCAGGTATTTATTATATTATTATTATTATTGTAAAGATTTTGGAAGTGGTAAATAATTATCTGAAATTAAACATGATATTATTGGTTCTTTATGTGGTACTCCAAATTATATGGCACCAGAAGTTATTAATTAATAACATTATGGAAAGTATACTTAATTTATTATATTTTAAAATAGAAAAGCTGATATTTGGAGTCTTGGTTGCACAATGATTGAAATGGCTACTGGAAATCCTCCATTTTATGAATTCAAGAATATTTATACAGTCATGGTTAAAATAAGTAAATTAACTGAAACCATTCCTATTCCTGAAGAATTAAAATCTGAATAAGCTAGAGACTTTCTTAAAAGATGTATCTAATTGAATCCAGAAGAGAGATGGGAAGCAGAAGATCTACTTTAACATCCATTTTTAGTTTCTAAAGAATAAAGATATAGTGGAATTAATTCAGCTTAAGAGAAAAAGAATGTTTATATTACTGATGATTTACTATTTTAATTACATTCAGAACTAATACCTAATAAAAATAAAAAACTATAGTTTTCATTTTAGTTAGATGATGAATCATAATCACAAAATGATAATTAAAATTAAGATTAAGATATACCTTAATATTAAGAATAATAAGGATAGGGTTCATAAAGAGAAGAACCTATTACAAATATTATTAAAATAACAAATAATAATAATTTGTAATCAGAATCTGATTAAGAACCTTATAAAGTTATTATTGAATAGAATTTTGATGATAGAATTGACTTATAAAAGTTTGATTCTAATTAATCATGTTAAAAAAACTCAAAACTTATTATAAATAGACAATGCTCATTAAATTAAGCATTAGATTAGGTTTTAAATAATGCCTATGAATCATAATAATCGAAATCACTTAATCCTCTAAAAAACTGATTTCAACTTTATTGATTTTTATATTTATGTTATAAAATTATCAATTCTAAAGATTTGATTAAACATACTTTATTAATTTAAATTTCTAAATTCCAGTCAGATATTTATTTGAATCAAATAAAAAGTTTTTTATTTCTTTATAAAAATTTTGATTATCAATTGATTAGATCACATTTCTTATCTTAATACAAGAAATAAAGTTACTAATTATATATTTAAAAAATTTACTTTCATTTCTTATAATATTTTTATAATTCTTGCTTTGTATTAAGTAAAATAATTAACTCTAGATCAATGAAGAGACTTTTTAATTTAACAATTGAGAGGATGAAGGTATGTTTTAAAACTTGTCTGGAAGTTATTTAATCCATTTTATTAAAATAAAATAAATGCAAGGCTTCTTAGTAGAATGTAAGGAAATTAGTAGAGATTATTCTTATGACTGGGTATAAGGTAATGCAGAATTAGTAGCAATCGAAAAAGGAATTTCAATTTTACACTTCAGTTAAGAATTATAAAAAAGAGATTTAGAGATGGAATTCAGAGTATTGTTTAGTTTCTATAAAGTTATTACGTAGATTAACAGAAACTTAATATCATAATGAAAATTTATTTGACTTTCATCCTGATATACAGAAACTAAATCGATATAATAACATTATACCATGTATATAAATTAATGATAAATTAGTCAAGCATTCAATAGTAAAATTAAGGAGTGAAGGAGATGAAGAAGAAAATTTAAAGGAATGCTATATTAATGCTAATTTTATAAATGTAATTGATAGGTTTGTTTAAATTAGTTAATAAATGGAAAAGAGAGAATGATTGTAGCTACATAGGGTCCTTTAATTTAAACATTTGGTCACTTTTGGAAGATGATTGTTTAGGAAAATATGAGTATGATAGTCATGTTGTGCAATTTGAGAGAGAACCAAAGAGTTAGTAAATTTATATTATTTAGGCATAATGCGAATAATATTGGCCTAGAAATGTTGGTGAAACAATGATATGTGGAAATATTTAAATATATCTATAAAGTTAAGAAGATCTTGGAAATAATATTACTAAAAGAGTTTTGAAAGTTACATAAGAAGGAGAAGAAAGGAATGTTATTTAAATTTAATGGAGTGGATGGCCAGATTAAGGAGTTCCTTCTCCAAGTGATTTTGATGTGATCAAAGAATTATTAAATATGATAATTGAAAAGTTGTTAGTAGATTAAAAAGTAGTTTTTCATTGCAGGTATTAAAGATTTAATTATTAATTTAGTGCTGGAGTTGGAAGAACTGGAACTTTGATAGCATTATCAAATTTAATGATATTACTTAAAGCATATAAATAATATATTGGTGATGATTATTAAAGTAATTATTCATCATTTATTTTAAGAATTGGAAGAAAATCCAGAACTTTATAGACTTTCTATATTTGGAATTGTGCGTAGATTGAGAGAACAAAGATGGGGCATGGTTCATACTTCAGAATAATATTCCTATATATATAAATTTATTGATGAAGCTATAAGATATTTGTTTAACAATTGATAATGATCATTAATAAATAGTATTATAAAATTAAAAATAATTTGTTTTGACAAATATTCATCAACTGAATATTTTAGTTCTAAATTTTGTTTCGCTTACTTTATGTATTTACTCATATTTTTTATCCAATTCAGCATGTTTTATATATGAATTTGGATGAACAATATTATCAGATAAGTATGAATAATTATTTGTTGTAGTAAAATTACTAATTCGACTCGAATATTTATTTTAATTTATTTGATGAGGTTTCATTATTTCGCTTTTTGAAGATAATTGCATTGTTGATTATGATTGAAATAAGGGAACTTTCAAATGTGCTTTAGCTGTATTATTATATTATGAGATGATATCACCTGCTGATGATTTATTTGATTCAAATAAATATTATCTGTTTTTCATATAAGAACTTTTATTTTAAGATGATGAGTTCTAATAATTACTTAAATATGAACTAGATGAAGTATTAATAAGAGGTTTGCTTACATTTTTGGGAGTAAGAGTCATAATTTAAGATACAGTAGCTGATATTTTTTAAGCGGATTCTCCTGTCAAAGCCTAGAGTTGTTAAGACCAGATATTTAGCAATCCAGCCTTTTTCCTTAGAAAAGCTATACAAGATAAGGCTAATATAGTTTAATCGTTTGAAAAATATACTTGATCATCTACTTATTTAATTGATTTTACCTCTAATCACAGAATAAGCAGCTTCTATATATTTGTTTTCAACTTCATTCACATAGTTATTGATTTATTTTTCATTTAAATCTCTAAGCTTAATATGAGTTATTTATTAATCTTTATTTTCCTTTTATTATGGTGGTTGGGAGAGACTGTCATCATCATCTATGACACCAAAAGAAAGCAAAGATTCTATTCTATCAAGAAGAGTAATTCTCTATAATTTCCAATTTAAAGATTCAATTAAAGCTTTTTCAGCATTACAAAATTCCTATGTTGTAAAGTTATTGATTTCAGGATGAGAAGTCATTGAAGAATATCGTTTAAGTTTACTAATGAAAGGGATTCTTTCATCAAGTTCTTATGCTTTAGCTGCCAACATCAGAGCAGCAGCAGCATATAAGAAAATCTAATTTTCATTCACATTAACTTTATTGAAAAAGTGGTCGATATATGTAATAGCCAAAAAAGCAGTATTAGTACTTAAGTTTAATCTTTCAGAAGCTTATTCCAAGAAATCTATTATTGGTAACCTAGCTATTTAGTGTTAAGCTATTGTCAGTGGAGCCAAGATGTTGGACAAAATCTTTAAGGGATTGAAGAAGGTGTTGTACTTCATTTTGATTGTTTTGTAGACTCTTGTGGTTGACTTTAATTTAAAACAACTAGATTACATTATTGATAAATATGCCACATTATTGACAAATCAATTTTTCTGAATGAATCTACCTTGTAGTATGATTGCAACCAAATATCTCCAAGTATTATGCATCATAATTATACTCTTGTTATTCTGTCTAACTCATATACGTTAGATTTTATTTTTAATTAAATGGATAATGTCAACTCAAATTCTCGTAGATTACCACCTTTAGAATAAGACAACCAAAACTTTAGGGCTATGTCATAATAAAGGAATACAATAAAATAATAGATGATAAGTAGTAACAACTTTGAACCGAAGACAAGTTTACAAAATAAAAAAACTGGTCCTGCACCTATTGAATAATTAGATAATTTTATCTGTTATTTTTGTGGAGGTCAAGATTGTAAAAAGGAATAAGCTATTTCAAATAAAAATAAAAATGCTATAGATGGATTGCATTCAGATTGGATAACTGATGACATATTGGCTATGTAAAGACTAAGTATGAGATTAATGCCAATAGTTATACCTTAATTCTAATAGTAAAGTGATTATCATATAAAGACATAACATCGGAGCAGTTATAAATTTGTAATAATAAGGAGAACATGCTTAATGTGGACCTGGTATAATACCTGGTATTGGATTTTCATATAATCCTGAATCATTATAATCAGGTATTTTAAATCTAATTAATAGCTAAGATCAATTTCTTCAATTATGGTTGGGAAGATATGACTGCTGATACTACATTTGAAAATCTCCTAAAAATATGTTCAGCATTTGATCTTATGTAAAAGAAAGGAAAGAAAGTTGCTGTACATTGTCATGCTGGTACAGGTAGAACAGGAGTGGCAATAGTGGCATGGCTAATTTATGGAGAAAGAATGTCAGCTGATGATGCTATAAGATTATTCTAATCTAGAAGAAGAGATTCTTTGGGTAAAGGTGCTTAAAAGGATTTATTGAAAGCATTTGAGAAATGTATATAAATATCATAAATGATAGTCTTATAGAATAGAAAATGGTATAATTATACAAAAATATCTGGATTAATCAATGATGATATTGTTTAATAATAAAACTAATATGTAGTTAATGAATTAAAGAACAAAACAAAGTTGATTCCTGCACCTCTTTATGTTATATTCAACCGATTTTTGTTATTATTGGAAGATTAATTACTAACATCAAAATAGATATTATAAGCATTTATTGGAGATCCATAAAATATACAACCTGTAAATAAAGAAGAATTGTAAAATCTATAAAAATAATTTGATGTCCACAATTTTCGAATAGGACATGTAACTGATATGAGGTTACTTGCTTAATTATTATTTGTTTATTTTGATTTTTTGCCTTGGCAATGTGTTTCAGATAAATTTGCATTAGAAATTAAGCAAAATTTAAATGTAAAGCAGATTTTAGAAATTTTAAAAGTGTGTTTTAAAGATTTAGAAATAGGATCATTCTATATATTAAAGACAGTAGTTTAATTTGCTGTTTAATTAAAAATTGCAGATCCTTAAATTGATTTAAAAATATTTTTCTATCGCTTTTCAATATCTTTATTATAAAAATAACGATATCTTGATGATCATTTTATTGGACATTCACTTGTGAGAACAAATAAAATAGAGATTGTATAAATTGTGTATTTATAATAATTTTTGTAAAAATGGCATGATGAAATATTAAATTTAAATGAAAAAATTGTAATAATTTTGTATGAATATATATAGTTTGAAGAGAATTAGTTATCAAAAGATTTTAGAGAATTAAAAGGTGTGTGAAAAAATTAATTTTATATGTTTATCATACAATTAATTCAGTTTCCTTAAGCAAAGGTTTCTTTTAACTTTTTATTGTAAATTTAAACTCACTTTCATTTGTCTCTGTGCTAGCAGCACTCTTTATTAATTTTAATTACTATTCTGCACTAGCCTTTCTTGATTAAATTCTATTTATTCCTTATCTTTCTAAATATCTTTCATAAGTTGTTTGTCCTTTAATTAAATTATAAATTTGTATTGTAAATAATAACCTAAATCAAATAATTTATTACATCACAGGCAAAATAAATAAGCAACCAAAAATCATAGTATAATAAAATGTAATCCATTAAAGCACATAACCTAATTCAATTTATTCCTACTCTTTTTACAAATTCAAAACTAATTTAATTTTACTTATTTTTACTTTAACATTAGACTACTATCTAAAAAACCATACTGATAATTAATGAAAATAGAAATGCTAAAAAGATATACTGATTCTTTTCTCCTATACAATTAGATAGCCAAGGACAATGATGGTCATATTTATAAACGCACTTCAAACATATTTCACAATGTCTTGATCTAGGTGGTTTTACATCTGAACAATCTGGGCAGATTTAATCTACTGAATAAACATCTAATAGATCCTTATAAATGTTAAATCACCCTACCATTAAGGTTTTATTTGAGTGTGGTACAAAGCCTGGATTTCTTTTAACAAGAACCCAAGTTAATAGAAGAGTTATACTACATGCAGTGATGTACAAAGCTTAAAAGGATTCTAAATCTTGTTATAATTATTAGATATATGATACTAGGTAAAGTAAATGAAATAGTCATAAGAAATGAACTGCAATATAGAGATAGATATATAGTCATAGATGTGTAGTTTTTTTCAACTTTTGAATCTGGCTATCTCAAACCACATCTTTCAGCTATACCCATTTTATTTTCCTATAATTTTGTTATAATAGTTTACTATCATTGTTTAAATAGATTTAAATTTAGATTCTATAGCTAAATCAAGTGCAGTTTTTCCATTCTTATCTTTAATTTTTCTATCTATTCCTTTGATTAATAATTTTCTCACAATTCTAGAATGTCCTTATTAGGTTGCTACATGTAAAGCAGTATGACCTTTATCTTTTGTCTGAGCATTCAATTTTGCACCCCAAGGAATTAGAAAATTAACCATTTATTAAGAACCTAAAAAGGAAGCACAAATCAAAGGAGTTTAATGATTATAATCTAATATATCAATTGGAATATTTTGATTAATCCAAAATAACTAAATATTAATAGATTATACACTAGCTTTCACATGATCTCCTTAAACAGACATATGTAGAACAGACAATCCAACAGTATTCTTAATATTTGAATTAGCTCCAATTTAAAGTAATAACTTTATGATTTCCTAAAGATATTCTCTTAATATATATACTAGATTTCCTTTAAAGGATGCCATATGTAAAGGAGTAAATCCATCCTTATTCTATAAATTAATGAATTCGATCATTTGAGTTTAATTTATTAGATTAGAATTTCTACAATAAGTCAATGTGAGTTCAATTAGTTTTATATTGTTGTGGAGACAAGCCAAATGTAAAACTTTTGGATTTCTTATCACTATATTACCAATTACCTGTAAATTATTTTTGGGTTTGAAATTTATGTATAGGTATGTTTAGATCAGCCTTAAGGACTTCTTCTATTTACTTATCATGATTATCATGATATAATTTAAGAATTTCTTTCTGTTTCTCCATTTTATTAACAAAGTTCAGAATAATTTAATTATTTATAGATTTTATTTACAATTAGTATTACTTCCAATTTAGCAGAAGCTTATTATCACTAATTGTAATTATATATTGAGATCTTAAGGTAATTAATAATTTAATATTCTATATTTATTGATAATGAATAATATTATAATCATGATAATTATTATGTAATTCGAACTAATAGTTTTTTTATATAATTTATTGATTGAATATTCATCATTAGATTTCATGTAATATTTCTATGAAGTTTTGATAAGTTATATCATTTTATTATAGTTTAGGATTTATTAGGGAATATTTTATTAATTCTAATTGTTTTATTTTGATACCATTGAGAAGTTTCCTATTTAAATTATTAATTGAAATCTAAATTATAAATAAATATATGAGGAAAATAATGAAAATACCCTTTGAAGGAATTATAGGTATAGTACTTATTCCTTTTTTTGGGTTTGAAATAAGAGAAATGATTATTCTGTTAAGCATAATGTGTACTATTTAGATGGCTGTACTCTTCTCTTTTAAATTAAATGAATAAAGGTATTTACAAATGAATTTGAGTTATACTATGGGTTTAGCAATATTTTTTGTGGAGTGTGCAGTGAAACTTTAAAATTTCAGCGTTTTTATTCTCCATTTTATATGTATTGAAATAGGACAAGAAAGAGTAAAAAAAGAATTGTAGTAAAAACTCACTATTTTAATTAATTTATATGCTTTAATAAGATTTTGCAGTTGGAATTCACATGATTTATATGTCTTTATTGGAGGTATTTCATTACTGTTAATTCTTCTTTATATTATATGGATTAATCACTAAAAATAAGATATAGAACCTTAGACATCATATTTAAAAGCTTATGAGAAATCAATTTTAAATATTGTACAAACTCCAGAATATAAAAAATAATAATTCCATTCATCAACAACAAGTTTATAATAAGAATTGTAAGAATGTTCACATTTCTTTAATTTAATACCTGATCCTTTGGTTTTGCTTATGGCATAAGATTTAGCCATTTATTTTTGTAATTCAGCAACTTTAGAATTATTTAAGATAAGTGAAACATCTAATTTTAAAACTTGTTTAGAATAATTATCTGAAGTTGTTTCTACATAGGCTAAACCAGATATTAGAGATCCAAGAGATTCATTTCCATCTTTTTAAAGTTTTTAATAAACTTTCCAGTAATGCAAAATATCCAATAACCGTTAATCTAAAGAAGAAATAGAATTAAATGTAATTGAATTCATTTATATTAGTAAATATTGAATGATTTAAGAAACATTAAATAAAATAAAAGATTTTTTTAGGTTTTAAAGAATAGTCCTAATAATACTTTATTTATTGGAAGTTATTTGGGTAATTGGTATGAAAATAATGGATGTGCAGATTTGGAGTAACCAAAAAAACGTTTATTAGAAATTAATGCACATGCTACTTTAGTTGATGATAAATTAATGATTTTATTATAAATAAGAGATGTTACTCATAGAGATTATATAAAATCAATGTAAAAATAATACTAAGTTAAATCAAGTATTATTTCATTTGTTAGTCATGAATATAGAACTCCACTTAATTCAATAATTTAGTTTATTTCAGCTTTATAAGATGAAAGAAATCCAAATATTTAAAGTAAGTACATCAAAATTTCATTATTAAATTGTAAATATTTACTTAACTTATCAAATGATTTATTAGATTTTGCATAATTAAAAGTAGGTAAATTTTCAATCAATCCTATATAAATGGATCTAAAAAAATTGATTGAAGAATGTATGGAATTATTTAATTTGGAAGCTAATTTAAAAAAAATTAATCTATCTTTAAATTATCGAAAAAGTATTCCAAGATTGGTGAATAATGATCCTAATAGAATTAGATAAATAATAATTAATCTTCTTGGAAATGCTTTTAAATATACTTTATAAGGATATATAGAAATTAATGTTTCAAATTATCATACTAGTTCTTTAAAAATAGAAATTCATGATACAGGATTAGGTATAAAGGAAGAACATAAAGAAAGACTCATATAGTCTTTTGCAAAAGTAGAAGATTAAGAAAGTAAAAAGTTGAATCCTTAAGGTGTAGGATTAGGATTAATTATTAGTAATATGATTGCTAGAAATTTAAATTTTAATGAAAAAGGATTATAATTTTAATCAGAATATTAAAATGGATCATCTTTTTGGTTTTATATATCTAAAAATATTTCAGAATCAGAAATTTAGGAAGAATCAGAAGATATTGATGAAGAAAGTCCAGAAAGAAGATAATCCTTATGGAGATACAATAATATTAAATCATAACATATAAATAAATGTCAATGTGCTAATATATTGATTGTTGATGACAATGCATTTAATATAGAAGTTCTTAAATTCTTAATTTTAAAAATAAATTCATCTCTTAAATTAGAATATTCTTTAGATGGTCATACTGCTATTTAAATGGTAAAATCTAATAGATGTAATAATTGTAATGGTTATGATTCAATATTTATGGACATAGATATGCCTACAATGAATGGCATCTAAGCTACCTCTATTATAAAAAAATAATATCCAAATATTCAAATTATAGGATGTTCAGCTTATGCCAAATAAGAAGAAGAAAATTTAGCAATTTAAAATGGAATGGATGGATATTTAGTTAAACCAGTATAAATTGAATAGCTTAAAAATTACTTAAAACTAGAACTTTGATTATTATTTATCTTAATTATTATTATATAAACTATGAATTATCTTATTCATTCTTATATTATTAATAAATTTAATAATAATTATTTGAAAAAAATATATTTATATCAAAATATAGGATTATTAGTTTCACAATTCATTCTTTTAATACTTTTGTTTACTATATCCTCTAATTTATTACGAAATTAATTATATTTGATAAGTTCTTAATCTTATGGTGAAAATTTAGTTATTCGATGTGTCATTATACTACATCTTTACTTTATCATCTTAGTACTTTTTTAGTCGATATCATTTAAACTTTATAAAACTGTTTCATTTGGTGATTATTATTATTTAAAACCTTTTACATAATGGCTATTATTATAATCTAATTTATAGGAGAATCTAATAGCCAAAATTATAAATATTAAGATACCTTTTTAATCTCTTCAGTAGGTTCTGTAATGGTAATATTACCAGTATATGCTCTAGTTAATTCTTTTAATAATTTAGATCTCTTTTCACAATTTAATTTATTATAAATTGGAGTTGCTTTTTCTATATACTTAGGTTTAATGTCAAAATATTCTTGTCTGACTAAAGGAATAGTATTATCAAAAACATTTAATTTTTATATAAGTGTATTAGGTGGTTTTTTCAATTGTAAAATATATTCAGCCATTTCATAATATAACATTTAATTTTTACCATCCTTCAATTAATATTATGGAACTCGACTTCTATATTATTGTTCAGTTGAAAGTGAACGTAATTTAGATAGAGTTTCTTATTAATCCATTTCATTAAATGAATATTTTACATCTAAATCAGTATAAAATTATTTTAATTATTCCATTTTTTATTGCTCTTCTTTATTTTAATCTTATATTTACCATTGTGTATCATCACTTAATTCTTCTCGCATAAATTATTTATAATTCAATCTTCCTATCATTTACCAACTACTCTTATTTATTTCATTTTTACCCATTTTATTGTTTAAATTTATCAATCTTTGTGTTGAATATTTTAAACCCAGGAGGTCCATGTTTTGTTTGAGTTGAATCAATTTTACAATGCTATGTTTTACAAAATTATAAAGCTTTATTTCTTTTCATACCCGCTTATCTTAGTCTGTCATATATGATAGCATCCTAAGTTGAGAATTCATCAGCTCTTTCTAAAGGAAGAAAACGAGAACATTATTTGTAATACCCAACTTCACCAATAATACATTAATTATTTGATGTCCTATTTGTTTTAAGCGATTTCATTATTTAATTTAATAAAAATCAAAAGTCATATCAATTAAATGAATTTTTCATTTCCTAAGCATAATTCCAAATCTCCTACTATTGACTAATGTAATAATCAGTAAATCCTTTTTATTAAATTCCAATATATCTTGATATTATACCATCCTTTTTATTACAAAATTAATCTTTAGCTTTACTTAAATATTTATTAATCTCATCTTTGATTGTTTAATGACTAATAAAATAAATAAATTTTTATACGTTTATTAATTAGGTGCAACCTAGGTTAATTATTCATTAAGATCTTCAATGTATTTTACTAATTGTTTAAAATATATATCAGCATAATCAATAAATTCAATTACATTCATTAATTACCAAATTTATTATTGATAATATTAATCCTAAATTAATATAAGAATATTAATTACAAACTTATCTTCTAAAGTATTAGTTTAAAAATCTAAATTTTTTGCATAATCTAATATGCAATCATGAAGTTTTGTCTCAATTAATAATTATGTTTTTTAACTATCTTATTATGCAATTATATCCTTTATTTTTTGTTACTTTTTTTATAATGCTTATATGTATGAAAGTAGTTTCTAATACTTGGCTTATTAATTTTATAATTTTAGTAATTCTAATTATATTTATTCCAATTCTTCACATTTCTTGTTTGAATTAGTACCATTCCACCAATTCTTTAATTATCCAATCGATTTTATACTTTTATCTATTACTGTTTATAGATTTTATGCCAATCCTCCTTTCATATTAAATTGACCTTATTTTCTTTTATTCTCAAATTCCTATTAATCCCCTTCTTCAAAAAACTAATAGATCAATTAGATATTACATTTCTGACTGAACTTGAAAGTATTAATTCTTAATGCATTGTTATAATATTTATAACATTCTATAATAATCTCTTTCTTTCTTCTACACTTCGATTGTTAAGTTTTCCCACTCCAATACCTATTGGTAAATAAGGTAATAAAAGTTAAGGGAATCTAATTGTTAATTCCCTTAACAAAAACTTGAAATCATTATATCTTCTCTTCACTTTTACTGTGTACCCTAATTAAGATGATTTGGTTTCTATCTAATAATAAATTACATTATTATTTATTTCTATATTGTTTATTTCAGCTCTTAAATTCTATACAATAGTAATAACATCAAATACCTTCTCTTATTCTAAAGTAGGAAATCTATACAGACTTATGTTCTAGAAGTTAATCGACATTAAAAATGGCTTTGGAGCATTTACTTCCTTTGCATTCTCTTCCCAAACACCTTCTTCATTTTCATCCTCAAATATTGTATTGTTATGTTGGCTATTTCTATTTGTGAAAGTAAATGTACTATTTAGAAAGTAAGAGATTTTAATTTTAAGTTTCTTAAATGGTCTTCTCAGGTTCTGAATCAGATTCATCAATTTATTCATCAGTTAAAATATTCATCTAAGTTGATTACTCAAAAATTGTTATGCTTGGTTTTTGCAATTCATAAGATTCGTATTTCTATAAATTTACATGACTTTGCATTTTTAATTAAATATAATAAATATATACAAAATACTTTATTACTAGAAACAAATATAAAATAATTGTCAAATACATATATATTAAAGTTAATTTAATAAATATTATTTTTTAAAAACCATATAATCATAAATATCTAAAGATTAATGTTAATATCTTTATTAATTATTGCATATCATAATTCTATCTTAAAATGATTCTAAATCTCATACCATTATTTAATTAATATATAATAATATAATATCAAACAAAAAAATAAAATTATAAATTAAACAAAAAAAAGTAAATAAATATTTAATTTTTATAGACCTATATTCAATTATAAATTAATTCTACTTATATTTATAAATCATGCTTAACATTTTAAATGGTTAGATTTACAAGTTTATTAAAAATAGTTATCATTAAAATTTAAATATTCTAATAACTTAAATAATTAACATTAATTGATACTCTAATAATTAATAAAAATGATTTAGATTCTAAAATTGAATTTATGAGTAATCATCATAAGAGTCAGATAAATTATAGTTATTGAAAAAAAGTTCTTTTAATATACTTATGAAGTATAAATAAGATATTAAGTGAAGTTTTGAATTATTTAGAAAATTATTATTGAAACTAAGTTTATTACTTTAAAAATGAGAATTAAGAAATATTAAATGAAAACATCATTATTGTAACAAATAATTATGATTAATATTTGAATCATAAATGAACTTTTGTTAATTTTAGAATATTAAACAATAATTTGAAAATAATGAAATCAAATTATATTAATTACTAGATTATTATGAATAATTTGTTTTTAAAAGCAGTCTTTAATTTTATTTTATAACTATATATATATAATCAGAGTCACCAGCAAATCATATTAATTAAATCATTTATATTTACTATTTATTTTTTTCATCTAATAGATCTAAGGTAATATAATTTTTATTTTGAATAGACATTACAGTATTAATTAACAAGAATATACCAATTTTTATATGTTTCTCATTATTTATAATGGAGATTTGATATTATATAGGGGTCAAATTGCATCAATAAATTCAATCATATTTAATTTTCTAAAATTTTAATTTGTTAATTTATTTGATTGTGTTAATACTTAATATTTCAAAATCACATTCATTAACAATCCAGTTTCATAATTATATAAATTTTGGATTAAATGTTGATTGTATTTCTCTTAATATTATAAAATGTAGATAATTACAATAACATTTTCATTTTAATAATTATCAATCNTCTTTATTAATTATTGCATATCATAATTCTATCTTAAAATGATTCTAAATCTCATACCATTATTTAATTAATATATAATAATATAATATCAAACAAAAAAATAAAATTATAAATTAAACAAAAAAAAGTAAATAAATATTTAATTTTTATAGACCTATATTCAATTATAAATTAATTCTACTTATATTTATAAATCATGCTTAACATTTTAAATGGTTAGATTTACAAGTTTATTAAAAATAGTTATCATTAAAATTTAAATATTCTAATAACTTAAATAATTAACATTAATTGATACTCTAATAATTAATAAAAATGATTTAGATTCTAAAATTGAATTTATGAGTAATCATCATAAGAGTCAGATAAATTATAGTTATTGAAAAAAAGTTCTTTTAATATACTTATGAAGTATAAATAAGATATTAAGTGAAGTTTTGAATTATTTAGAAAATTATTATTGAAACTAAGTTTATTACTTTAAAAATGAGAATTAAGAAATATTAAATGAAAACATCATTATTGTAACAAATAATTATGATTAATATTTGAATCATAAATGAACTTTTGTTAATTTTAGAATATTAAACAATAATTTGAAAATAATGAAATCAAATTATATTAATTACTAGATTATTATGAATAATTTGTTTTTAAAAGCAGTCTTTAATTTTATTTTATAACTATATATATATAATCAGAGTCACCAGCAAATCATATTAATTAAATCATTTATATTTACTATTTATTTTTTTCATCTAATAGATCTAAGGTAATATAATTTTTATTTTGAATAGACATTACAGTATTAATTAACAAGAATATACCAATTTTTATATGTTTCTCATTATTTATAATGGAGATTTGATATTATATAGGGGTCAAATTGCATCAATAAATTCAATCATATTTAATTTTCTAAAATTTTAATTTGTTAATTTATTTGATTGTGTTAATACTTAATATTTCAAAATCACATTCATTAACAATCCAGTTTCATAATTATATAAATTTTGGATTAAATGTTGATTGTATTTCTCTTAATATTATAAAATGTAGATAATTACAATAACATTTTCATTTTAATAATTATCAATCATTCAATTTTATTATATTGAAAATCTGTTAAAAAGGAAATAGATTAATTTAGTAAATTGTTGAATTCGAATTTTCATTTAGATCATTATTATACTATAAATTAATTACATCAATTATTTACTGAGAATGAAAGAAACAAAAATTAGTTGATTATTACTATTATATTGAAATTAACATAATATTTATTATATTTAAATGAATTAAAATTTAAAATAAATGATTATTTTTATTTAATTACGCAATGAAAAATTATTTAACAACCAACTCTTTCCCTTCACTCTTCAACGATTGTCACTTAACTATATACTAACAATAATAAAATCCTATACATGTCACTTTTTCTCAAGCTTCCTCCCTTAGTAAATTAATTAAGTTAGTTGGTGGAACAAAATCGTCATCAAAGGTTAGACTTTTTGATCATAAATGCTAAGAGATTTTTGAGGAAGATTTACAGTATTTGAAATATAATGGTAAGATATTCATTACTACTAATGGTAAAAAGCTTGATAGTAAATATATACTTTTTGAGCACATTCCTAAGACACTCATATGTAAAGGAGGTTAAGCAACAATTATGCTTATTCAACATAAAGTTACTAATGAAGAGAAAATAATTAAATTTATTAGTGAAGAATAAAAGAATTAATATTTATATATAGCAAGAGAAGCTGTGATTTTAGAATAATTAAAGCATAAAAATATTATAAATTTATATGGATATAAATTATTCCCTGAAAAATCAGAAGCAGTCTTAGAAATGGAATATTTAAAAGGAGGATCTTTATTAGATTTTGTTTTAGGTATTTGTTGTTATTTATAATAGAAAATGGTCCATTAAATGAAAAATTAGCCAGATATTTATTCAATTAGATTTTAGATGCATTATCTTATATGCATAAAAACAATGTAATCCATAGAGATCTTAAATTAGATAATATACTTTTTATTGATAATACTAAATTTTAAGTAATTATTTAAATATTTAAGGTAGATTAAAATTATAGATTTTGGTTTAGCATATTTATCAGGTACTGGTGTTCCATTTGATGAACCTTTGAATGTTGGAACAATACTATACATAGCACCTGAAATATTATCAGGTAAACTAAGAAAAATAAACTTTTGTTTGGACATTTGGGCATTAGGAGTTATTTTATATTATTTAATTTTTGGAGAGTATCCTTTTAATGGGAAAGATAATGCAGAGACATTCTTAATGATAAGTTAAGGGATAATCAAATTTCCTAGACAAGTGAGTTTTGAGTTAATAACTTTGATAAGAGAGTTATTAAATCCAAATCATGAGAGTAGAATAAAATTACAAGATATACAAAACAATAAATGGGTATTAGGGATGGTTTAAGATAATCTACAAATAACTATTCCATTTTCAGATTTAGAAACAACATCAAAGGAACAATACTATAATGAAATTTCATAAGGAGGAAGAAATAATTGTTAAAATTAATCAAAAAAAAGGGAAGAAAACTTGATTTTACCATTAATTTTTAAATAGAATGAAGAAAAAAATTGATTTAATGTATATATGTGTTATAAATTTACAAAATTAATTAGATTATTCTAATCTAAAATTTTAATAAAATAATTTTGTAATTTTGTATAGTCATTATAATTAATAGATAAATATAGTATAAAAGTTAAAAAAATAGAATAATTAATTTAATTGATTGATTATAAGAATTTTATAATATATGAATATATATATATATTGGCAATCAATTGGTTAAAGTATTATAAACTTGTTTTTAACCTGTTTAACTCTACATTATAATTTAAATGTAATACTTAATAGGAACCTTATTGTTACTATTATTAAGGCTAAAATGAATTGAGATTCATGTCATTTTCGATTTCTGCCATTTCTCTATCTAATTCACTTTCATCAATATCACATGAATAATTTCTATTCATCATTTCGTTCATGTAGTCTGTTTCAAACTTCATATCCTCCATATCATCCATGAGATCTATTGATATTAATTAAAAACTATACCATCCAATTTGTCCATATCAATTTCTTTGAATGCTTCTTTCTAAACAGCTACAACTTATTACATAGCTTGAGCCTTTCATAAAAATGAATAAAATACCATTTCTATTGTGTTTTAAATGTTCTCTTTAGTAAAAGCCACTTAATCTAAGGTCATTTAATTATTTAGCATTTATCCTAATTATTGTTCCAACCTAATCTTAAGTAAAGTAGATACATCTTCTTTCTCTTGAGAAGCATTACTGCTCTTGATTTAGCAGTAGTTTGTTATACTCCCTTAGAGGTTTTAGCTTTTTAATATTGTTCACATATCTATTTATCTAATTCTTAGATTTATTCAGTCAATTCTTTAACTTTAGCTTCAGACTTCATTAATAAGTGAATTTTACTCTTTTTTATTGTTCTGATAAGTCTATAACCTTAGGTTATTGGGGATTTTGAGGTTGTGGTTGTTATTATTTTGGTGGTTCTTATTTAGAAGTACCGAAAAGACGATTCATTATAGAATATTATTTAATTAAATGTTTAAAGAATGTGAAAATCACTTATTAATTAGTATTATATAGAATATAATACTAATTTAATGTAGTAAAATATATACTATTAATATTTTTATTTTTGAAATGGCTAGTCGTTTCATTTAAAATTCTTTTTAATAGCATGATTCGTAAGTCCCTAGTAAGGCTTTATCAGAACATTAACCAAGTAAAAGTGAAAAAAATGTTACAAAACTACATCATAAATCCCATTAATCAAATCATTATAATCCTTTAGCAATTCCTTGTGATTGGTAATTAGCTGAGAAACATGCAAAAGCAAGGAGAGTTGCTTAAGAATTGGAAGTTGAAGATCAAACAACATGTCCTTGTTGTGGATATTCAGTAGAAAGGATGGATTTATAATATGATTGTGATCCTATAGAGATGAAATTTTTAGGATCAGGATTTCCTTTGTTTTACATGTTCATAAAATATTGTATCTTTATTTTGGTTGAATTTTGGTTATTGAAAGGAATGTTTTGTTTAGCAACAGATTTAATGGGAGATTATTGTTATAATTAAGTAAAATTAGAAGGAACAAAAAATTCAAACAAATCACATCATTTCTAACATCTTGAAAATTCTAAATTAAATTTGGAACATCATTTACATAAGAAAGATAATTCAATTTGTGGAGGATCCATGTGGCATTTTGTTAGTTTAGCAAATGTATATGATAGACAGGATATTAGAGATTGGTAATCCAATTTATCATTAGTTGTAGTATTGGCAAACATGGTTTCATTTTTATTTTTTAGGAAAGCTTAAAGAAGTATTGATATTGAAGTAGATGAATCTTAATTGACACCATCTGATTATACAATTTGTGTAAAAAATATACCAAAATTGGATGAAGATTATCGAGAAGTACTCAAGAATATATTTTAAAATTATGCAGCAGATGGTAGAGAATTAAAAGTCATGAAAATAGTATTGGTTTATAATTTAGATGAAGTAATAGAATTAGAAGAATCACTTAAAGAATTAGTAAGGGAAAAATAAGAATATTTAGCTGAAAATGGTATGAATTTTGCAGATTTTAAAGTTAAATAATTAGATGAAAAATTAGAATCATTAGAACATAAAATTCATTAAGTTGAACATGAATTATTTGTAAATAGAGATAAATTTGCAGGTATTGCTTTCATAAGTTTTTAAACTGAAGAAATGAAATAAATGGTATTATAACATAATTCTCATACAACATGGGAAAGAATGAAAGCATTTTTTAATTAAGGAAAAACAGCTGATATTAAAGAAAAGGGTTTAATATTAAATGAACATAAATTATATGTTGAAGAAGCTCCAGAACCTAATGATGTAGATTGGGAATTTATACATATCTAAACAGGATAAAAAGTCAAAGCACGTATTATTGCTTGGTCTATTTCTATAAGTTTCATGACAGGTTGTTTCTTTTTAATCTGGTTTCTAAGTGAATTAGCTGAAAGAATGAATGAATAAGTTGAAGAATAAGAAAAGAAAGGAATTAAAGATTCTTTAACTTAAACTATAGCTTTCTTAACTAGTTAATCTATTTCATGGACTGTAGTATTTTTTAATAAATTTGTTATTGGAAAAGTCTATCATTTGATAGTTGATTTAGAAAAAATATCAAATAAAACTAAATTCAATATTAGTTTTGCAAGAAAATAATCAGTAGCATTATTTATAAATACTGCTTTGATATCATTAGTAATAGATTTTTATTTAACTGGTAATGTAATAGGTAAGGGTGGATTTATTTATAATGAATCTAATGTATTTTTATTAAATGCATTTATTCCACCAATTGTTTGGTTTGTTGATCCTTGGAGTATTTAAAAAGACTATTAAAGATAAAAATAATAAAAAAATGCTAAGAATTGTGTACTTACTTAATAAGAAGCAAATGAAATTATGGAAATGCCTGATTATTCTTAAGCTAAAAGATATGGTGACATTATGAAAACTATGTGGTTCACCTTCTTTTATGGAGATATCATTCCAGTTGGAATTTTATTCAGTATTATGGGATTGACATTATATTATTTTGTCGATAAATACAATGTACTTCGTAGAAGAACTATTAAAGAATCTCTATCTAAACATTTATCAATTGAAATGATTGAAATGTTAGAATTAATCATCATATTTACTGGTATTGGTAACACAGTAGTCTCTAGTATTATATTTGGAGAGGTCAAATGGTAAGATTTTATTATTATAATAATTGGAGTAGTTTATAATCTTCTCCCAATGGAAGAAATCTCGAATGTTCTATTTCCATTAGAATAGAAAGATGAGGTTCAAACTTATGATGAAGCTGAGGAGTATTTCAATACAGATTATGACAGAGAAAATCCTGTTACAAGACGGGAAGCTTTGGAAGAATTTGCAAAGAGAAAATGAATTACATTTTTATAAATTTAATTATTTATAGTAAATAAATATATAATCAAATGAAGAGAATGTTAGTCAGAGATTTTATATATGATCGTCTTTATCATCCAGTTGAGGGATATTTTGTAAAGAATATTTAACTTGGAGCACTCAAAAAACCAATTGAATTTAAATAATTGTTGGGTTATGAGGATTATACAAAAAAATTAGCAGAAAACTATCCTGAAAATTAATGGTTGACTCCATCTGAAGTATTTAGACCATATTATGGGATAACATTGGGGAATTATATAAATTAATAATTTCGATTTACACGCAAAGAAAAATTGAGAATTGTTGAAATTGGTGCTGGATATGGTGCAGCATGTGAAGGTGTATTATATTATATGAGAAATCACTAACCTCAAACATTTTCAAATATGGAATATCATTTAGTTGATATTTCTCCAGAAGCATGTTAATAAGCAGAAAAAAGATTGTCTCAAGATTTTAAATAATAAATCAAAAAAGGAACTTTAAAAATTTTTAATTAAGACTTTTTGAGTTACAAATAGAATTCGTAAAAAAATGAAATGTGGTTTTTTGTATTTCTTGAGGTTTTTGATAATCTAGCTCATGACAAAGTAATTGATGGAAAATAAGTTTATGTTGAAAACATGAAAGAATTTACAGAGACAATCACAGATCAATTGATTTAAGAAACATATATTATGTATTAGTAATTTAAACAGCAATAGAAAAATGAGGATTAAAATATTGAAGATCGATTTCTATTTAATACATTAAGAAAATTGATTAGTAAATATTATGGAAATTAGAAAGTAATATACAAAATAATTTAGAGTCTAATAGCATATTTTTACCTACTGGAGCATTATAAGTATTGAAACACATCAAATCTAATTTTTAAAATCCTTCTTTAGTAATAGCTGATTTCGATTTACTAAAAAATAATTTTACATAAGAATCTATTAATGCCCCCATAGTATCTAAGAAATTAGCTAAACCACATGAAAGAATAGATTATGAATCTTATTTAGTTGAAAGAGGAGCTGCAGATATCTTTTTTCCAACAGATTTCAATTTTGTTTAATATATGGTAAAATAAATTTTAGGGATGGATTCTTAAATATTTAAGGCATATTAATTTGCTGATTAGTTTTCTTAAAGTTCTTGGACGACAACTAAATCTGGTTATAATCCTTTGAAAGAAGATTTTGGTAATACAAGTTTCTTAGTTACTGATCATAGTTGAATTATTAATAACATAATATATAAAATTGATGTTAAATAGCATCTTAAATAAGAATTATTTGAATATTTTTCTGAATATATTTATTAAATTTGGAATGATATTGAATATTATAAAATATATTAACAGACATTATGGATGAGGAATTTATAAAAGTGATGCTTTCTATAGAGGAAGCATATTAAAATTTGAATAAACATTAAAAAATTAGAGTTGAAGCATGGACTAAGAAATTATGTTAAGTGACTACAAATGAAGTTTGGAAAAAGAATCGAAATTTATATGCACGCATCTTATTAAATTAAGTATTAAAGGGAACACTTTCAGAACCTTTTGACAAAAGACCTCCTGAAGGTCCATTGCCTAAATTAAATAGATATCTTGTTTTGAGTGATTAGAAAGAAAATGCACGTCCTCAAACTTCTAAAAAAGACACACCCTATTTTGAATAATAACAACCATAATAATAATCACCAGAATGTCCAAATTTATAAGAAAAAATGTTAAAATTACTTATAGATTGTAGATAATATTTAGAAAGAAGGACTGATCAAGAAGTATAATTCAAATTTAATTTTTAAATTAGGCAATATTGTTAAAAGAATAACAAGATTAATTCTTTGCCTATCTTCAAGAGCTTAATCAACCTTATATACTTGAATAGATAGATGAGAAAACAGAGGAAAATGAAGACTAACAAAAAGACACAATGCAATTTTTATAATATTTAGATAATTTTGAAAAGAAAACTGAAAAATTGAGAGTAGAAACAGAAAAATTGCTTCGCGGAAATAATATTTAATATAATGTTTGATTTTATTTTAATTATTTGGATATATCACCTACTTTATTAAGTTTATAATTATCCATTCCCAAAAGCTGATATAACAATACTACTATTATGGCCTCTTTATTATTTGATATCTTTATTACTTCATTTCTTTATTAGAAAGAAGATTATTTCATATCTAATTATGTTATTCCCTTTAATTATTAGTGCATTAATAAAAACAACTATAATAGAAGGAATATTTTCAACTTGCATAGCTTGTATTTTCAGGTAATGATTTTTTAATATATATTTAGCATGAAGATGTATTCATATATAATAAGCAATGAAAAACTAGACTTAATTCATTATAATGAATATCTATGGATACCATGTCTTATTTGTGAACCTAATAAAATAGTATTCAAAAAACATAGAAACTTTATTTAAATATTCAAATACATCATAAATTCCACATTAATAATATTATGGGACTTATATTATATTAAGTATGAAATAAGTCCTAACTATATACATGATGACTTAATTAAATTTATCACAAATTATTCATTTAGATTAGGTATTTTGATTGTTGTTAATCATTATTTAATTTTTGATTATCTTTTGGGTTTATTCAAAGAAATCACAAAAGTTGAAAATATTATTTTTTATGAAGATTGGTGGAATGCTGATGGTTTTGGATAATTAAATAGAAGATGGAATAAATAAGTTCATGAATTCCTTAAAATAAATATCTATTAAAGTTTGAGCAAAAATGGAAACAATAAAAAGGCTCTCATTTTAACATATTTGGTTACAGCTTTACTTCATGAATATTGCATAAACGTTTCTCTTAAAACATTAAGATTTTACTTTTTATTCTTTAGTTGCTTTTAATTTATTTTTATTCCTTATTAAAAATACATTCCATTTCCTAGATATGTACTTTTTATTTAAATCTTATTTGGAAATAGCTTAATGATATATTTATATACATATTATTGAATAAATTAATATTATAAAAATTAAAATTATCCATTTTGAATATTATTATTTTATTAAAAATATCAATTATATACATATAATTTAATAAAAATCAAAAATAACAATATTTCAATTGATAGTTTATTAACACAAAGGACAATTATTATGATTAGCTAACCATTTTGACATACAATAATAATGAAAAACATGAGAAGCATGACATTTTAATTTATGAACTCTTTAACCTTTTGAAATCTTTTCTAAACAAAAACAACATTCTCCATATTCTTCTTATGCATTTTCTACTAAATTTTCTATGATTTGTTATTATTATATTCTTCCAAATTCATCTGATTATCCTTAAATTTCAATAGGAAGGATTATATTTTACTATAATTAATTAAATTAAATACTCTATGATCTTCAAATTAATATGCAAGATATCTTCTCTTAACTTAATGAATAACTCTAGCAAACTACTCAATGAATTACCAAAACATTAAAGCCACTAATATAGCTGTATCACAATATAAATAAGATTCAAGACTGTACATTTTATATATTGTAACATCATATATCTAATAAAAAGGAAATTTAATTAATCCATAAATAGTTTAGATATACAATAAAACAAACGTTAAATTTCTCCAAAATCTGAATTTCTTACAAAATACTAATGATCTAACTAAAATGAACCATCCTGTAAAACATGGGATATTTATACTATAGATTATCATATCTTAAGTATCTGGTATTTGTTTATAAATGATTTTAAGTTATTTATATATTCTGGAACATAATATTATACAACTAACATTTAGGATAGAAACAATAATTGAAAATACTTTAGTATTAGTTTCTTCACTATTCTTAGTTATCATTATATATAAAACTAATTTTAATGTATAATAAGCAATTGAAACAAGTACAAAGATTATTGCCATAAATGTAATTGCTCTTTTATATATTTTCTCCTCCTAAAGTGATTCTTTTATGTGAAAACTAAAGACTATTTCCTTAGCATACTCTTTAAAATCAGCCAACATTGTTATCAACTATATTACAAAGTGTATTTAAACTATGAAACCAAATATAAAGCTGATAACAAAAAGTACAATAGAAATAGACATATCTAATTTAATTATTAAATACTTTAATCGAACTCAAAAGCAACATTACTATATTTCAATCTTGTTATGAAACTAAGAGTACTATGAAAAATAATAACTATTAGGCATTTTAATAGATATTTTGAAAACCATAAATCTGAATTATTTAAAATAGATTTGTGTAGTACTTTCCATGAAGAGAAGCAATTGAAATTATTGATTTCTGCATTGATCAGATTAATAGTATGTAATTGGTAGAATATATATAAGTTAATTTACATAAATATTAATGCAGCTATTGTATAAAGAGTTCCATAAATTTTTACTTCTTAATCATCCACTTAAGCAGCTAATATACAAGCTATAACAGCAACTGTTCCTGAAAGTATAATTAGGATACAACTATAAATTTTTGTTTTGAGAATTACTTTGCGCATTATATTATTATAATTATTAAACTTATCACTATAAATAGGATACTATTTAAATAAACATGGTTAACAGAATAATAATTATAATTAAACAATAATATGAGATTAGTACTATTTTGGAAATTTAGAATTTATTTAGAAATTATTTAAATTATCTTGCATTTAATTTTTCTGTTTGAAGAATATTTCTAACAGAAGAAAATAAAAATTATCAAATAAAATATTAATATGATCAATATAAATTATTATATAAAACTCATTAGAGTAATATAATATTGATTTATTATTATTTTTTTTGATATTATTTTTTAAAATAAATAAATAAATACTACTTTCTTTGATAGTTTATAACAATGAAATTAGAGATTAATTTATATATTATTTAGATTCATTATTTTCAATAAATTTCATAATATTAAAATAGTTGATATTCAACATTTTTATATGATATAAGAATGTCATTTAGATATCCAAAAATTTAATTAATTAAACTGTGAGATGAACAAAATATAATAATAAATATCAAGACATAAAATTACTGCCAGAGTATCTCATCATTTACCGCTATTGACTAGAGGAAACTTATTTGTTAATTAATATTTACTTAATTTATTTTATAACCCTGGTGTTACAAGTGAAATTGAATCAATACGACCTCTATCATTTTTTGTTGAATTGTTTTTAACAATAAATCTAGTTACTGATTATGATGATGATTTATATATATTTCTTGTTGGTGTACAACTTTAATATTCTTACTATTTCTTCATCTTTCCCATTTATATAAGCCATTATCTATACATCCAATCATCAGTTTATACTGATTTGTCAACCATAAGTGGAGGATCAGGTATTTTAGTTTATTCAATCTACTTTAATCTTTATGGTGCTTATATTCTATATTAAGTATTCTTAGGTTTCTAACTACTCATAGGAGGTTTTTAGTCTGAATTCTTAGAAGGTGACTCTTGTAAAATAGAAGTTTTTTAAGTGTTTATTGTTGGTTTTGGATTAACAGGTTAAGGTTTCTTTTTGTTGTTAAATTCTTATTATTTTAAGAAATTTTTTTGTTTGGTTGAATAAGTCTTGGGTTAAAATAATTGAACTAATTCATCATCTGATAATTCAGCTTCAGATTAACTAGAATCTGATCCATTATCTTAATCATCAGTTTATGGCATCTTACCTAATTCTTCAAGTATTTACTATTAAATATCAGGAACATTAGCTTAATTAGTGAATTCTTTTGATGTATCTTTAACAATTTATGATAGAGCATTACATATACTTATACCACAATTAAGATAATCTTTAATCTAATAATGTTTTTGTTATTATCCATAAAAACTACATTCATAAGTATAAACCCAATTAATTTTTAATTCTCTCCAAAGTTAAATTCTAGCTGTTTTATCTTTTGCATTCTCTATTCTAAATGTACATGAAGGATAATCCATAAATGGATTTAATTTAGCCATTAACAAAGCAAATACTCTTTCAATTGTTTTAACTTAAGAAGAATAAGCACATCCATAAACAAAAGAAGATTATCTTTAATTTTAATAGATATTTAATATTACTTTCTTGAATGACCATGTAAATCAATAACAAGTATGATTTATCTCTCTTTACTAAATCCTTTGACATATTTTTTAGCATAGTAGACACTAGGATGTAAATATTTATTTGGTTTTTTCCATCTTCTATTTAAATCGCTACCTTCTAATCCACATCTATAGTTTCCATTTACAACTCCATCTGGATTCATCATAGGAAATAATTTAAAGATGCAATTCTATCTCAAATATTCAGCCTATGGATTATTAGAAGTAAGAAAATCAATAATTCCTTGCATTACAAAAGAACCCTAAGGTTCACCAGGATGTTGTCTGGCAAGAAAGACAACACCTTTTCTATAAGCTCTACGTTATAGTGAATTTGAAGTGATAGTCAATACTTCACAAGTATTACCACCAAGAGTAGTACATAGTACTTTTCGTGATAAATGTCTTTATTAAAATAATATAGATTACTAATTTCTTTCTTGATCATCTAACTATGTATTTAAGAATTCTAATAAATTTGTATAAGTGTATGGATAAGAGTGAGCAAAGTATACCTTATCATCATTGTGTTTGAATGTATAATGAAATCTTAACTGATAGTATTTCTTTTTTAAAGTAAGTGGATATTCCTTTATAAATGGACTTTTAAAATAACTAATATTGAATCCATCTCTACACCATTCAGTACCATTTATTTAATTATCTTTAATAGAATAGACAGCTGGTTGCAATCCCTCATTAAATAGACTACCATTTTTCAACTATATTATTATGATAAATGATTTTATACATGATTTAGCAAATTAAATTATATAGTCTATCCTGCCTTAGCTCCAGTTACACTAAAAAAGAACCATTAAGTATTTCCTCTTGTATTAATATCATTTTAAATGATCAAATCAAATACGTTTTCTGATTTCTTAAAGGCACAAAAGAGATTGCCTGATTCAAAATTTGAATCAAATTGAATTTAATCAGATGTATAAGATGTTAATTTCTAATCAAAAAGTGCTTCTCCTCTAAAAAAGACTCTTGGATGTGCTCTTTCTTTAACAATATGAATACTTTTTAAAATTAGCAATTAGAGTGGCAAAGTAAGTTCTGTCATTGGTTGTCCTTTTTCCTAAATCCAACTGATCAAATCGTTTATATACAAGATTTTGTTTATTTTCATCATAATAATCAAGTAAAGTTCTATTTTCATCATTAATAGCAGTTTCTGTTATTGCACAATGACGATGTGTTGATTCTTCTAAAAAAGGGACATAAGTTTTATAAAATTATGGAAGAGGTCTAAATGTATTAATATTATGATTCACTTAAGTGGGTATAATGATTTTACATCAATATCTATAGTCAATTTTCTTGGAAGCAATTCATTTGCTGGAAGTAATTTAGTTAATGTTTCATACACATTTATGTCATCCTCACTTGAACTGTCATTGTTATTATTATTGTTGAAATTCATTAATTATAATATTTAATAGTTATATTCTAAGGATTAAGAATTATAGTAATTCCTATTCCTTTCATCAACAATTCATATATATATATATATATACTAAACTAAACTAAAATATTAAATGAATAATTAATAATTCCTATCTCAACTATGTTAAATAATATATGTAAAAAATAAATAGATTGTTGATAATACAGTGAATGTTGAACATAGATACCTTAATTAAAATTAGCTCAAGCTTTGTAATTTCCAGCATCTTTATTTTTAAAAGGGATTCAAATGTTGATAAGTATAATAAATGTTATCTATATATATATTCTCTATAAAAATGAATGAAATAGAATAGAATAGAAAATAGAGTATATTCATTTATAAATAATATCTTTTGTTTATGAAATTAATCAGGTATGATATTAATTATAGAATGAAAAAAGAATTACTTATATTAAAGTGGTTCTATTAATTTAATGATTAATTATAAATTCTATATATTAGACAATTAGCTATATAATTGATTAAATAACTAATAATTTATAAAGATCAAAAAGAATTATCAATTAATAAAGTATATCATTGGAATTCTTTTGTATTTTTATAGGATTTCCACTTAGAGGTAGATAATGTGCCAAATGACATGGTTGGTTTATGTAATATTTATCTCTAAGACTTGCTATGAGTAAATTAAGGAGAATCTAATTGTTTACAAGAATTAATTATAGAATATTAACTTTAAACTTATTTTGTCTATTCTAAGTCTCTTGTTGAGATACGATTTAATACTAATTTGTTAATATCCTATGTTCTTCTAATTTAATCAAATTATTTAATTTAGAATGATTTCTAACTTTGAGGAGAAGAAATGATTGATTTTTATACTATTATTTTTTTTTAACTTAATTGGAATTATTTAGATGTTCCTTTGATCTATTTATGATACTTCCTGATTAGAAATTATTTCATTTTTTTATCTCTTTTAGGTAGAGATAAGTCTTCATGTTTTCTTTAAAATTAAGTTAGATTTCCACATTCTGAGCATTCACAACTTCTTCTTTTTAATTTAGTATTTGTTTCAAGACTATATTAATCAAAGTTCATAGATCTTTTAAAATATTTGTTGACAATGGAAATCGAACGATTTGAGTTTCTAAAAAGTCTTCCATTTTCACTATCCATAAGACTTAATTCACTTGGAATTTCAGTCCTAATCTCATCACATAAACTTTATTTTCTTAAATTTTCTACTTAATTCTAAAAATCAATTTCTTTAAGTGTCGGTAAATTAGCATGTTGTTACTAGAAGTGACTATTTTTACCACATTGATTGCAATAACAGGATTTTCTTCTTGTTGGATGTTCAAAAAAGGAGAATGTGTTTCTTATATAGAAACTTTTACTTCTAGAATCAAAGTTGTTTACTGGAAGTTAAGAATTCATAAAGTCTTATCAAAATACAATTAATTATTTTTGTACTTTTATTTAAAATTCCAATTTAATATATAAATAATGATTATACCTCTTAGCCTGTGGATTTAAATACAATTTATCTTTGAATCACATAAATAATATTAATTGAAAGACCTTTTATTTAAAATAATGTTGTAATCATTGATGACATTAATAATGATTTTGAATTATATGATTATAAAAATATAGATATATAAATGACATATTAAATAATTTTATTGATTTATTTATGATTATCCAATTCGTCAATATATTAGAAGAGTAATTGCAAAAGATCAATTTCATCAATTTTGAGATTGACCTTTTCGTAATTCTTCTCTATATGGTAATAAATTACAATAATTTTAGATAATTTGTACTCCATTAGGATTTGTGTTCCATTACATAAAGAGTCCAACTGGAAGACTTTATTTCAATCTTTTCTTGGGGATATTCTTTTCAGTGATTGTTTGCAAAGAATGGTTTCCTTTAATGTTAGGATGGACAATAGCTATTTATTATATAGCATAAATCTTTAAAAAATGTGCATTACCTGTGTCCATAGTTGCATTTGGAATTCTATCCTTTGTTCATATATATAGACTCATCTATTAGTACTTGAGTTGGAGAATGGATTATAATGCAATTCAAATGATGTTAACAGCAAGATACATATTTTATGCTTGTGATAAATAAGATGGAAAAACATAAGGTAAAACATCTTTAATGATGTATTTATCATACATATTTATGTTCCCTAATTTAGTTGTGGCACCAATTCCATTTTATGCGTTTGTCAGTTTGATAGAAAGAAAAACTGATTATTCACATTATACTCCTAAATTTGCCATCATTTCATTTTTAAAGGCTTTAGCAGTCAGTATGGCAGAATTACTTATAAGACCTCATTTTGATTCAGATTGGTATTTTTCAGATGAATGGAGAAATCAATATAGTTTATGGTTTAAATTTGCTATGATATTTATTATTACTCCCTGTGCAAGATTCACATATATAGCTGCCTTCTATTTTACATAAGCAGGAATGGATGCTATGGGATTGACCTATAATGAAAAGACAAGTAAAAAATCTTAATCTATGATATATAGAAAAAAATGATTTATGGGTTGTATTTGATTATTCTTTTGAATTTGAAAAGAATGTAGTCATAAAAACATAGAAATGGAATTGTAATATTTAAAATTGGTTGAAATATTGTTTCTATGATCGTCTTTAAAAGAGATTTGGTAGTTTAACATTCTATCTTGTCTTTATGATTAGCAGTCTTTGGTAAATATGATTATTTATGTTAATAGGCATGGTTTTTATTTTACATATTATTTATTCTTTATTTTTTGGGCTATCACAGGATAAGTATATAAATACTTTTACAAAGCTTAAAGAAGATTTTATTTGTAAATTATGTTTACTATTTTTTTAAGTATCCCACAACCTATTAGACATTTCTTGGCTTGGGTATTTGGTATATTGACATTTGATCATTTTGCCACAGCTGTCCGTGTATTATAATGGGAAAAGGCTGTAGAATTACATAATAGTGTATATTGGATTCCTCATATTGTAATTTTGGTAATTTTCTTATTCTTCAACATCACATAATTTGGACAGAGGGATGGAAGAGCAAAGGATGGGAAGTCAAAGAAGTAGGAATGAATTTTGTTTTATAGTAAGTACATATTAAACAAATATATAATCAAATTTTCGGTTTTCTCAAAATTTCTTATATTAAATACAATAATGAGAGAACGACCATTATTGTTTAAATAATTAAATACGATTTGGGCACAAAACTAAACTATGAAATTAATCTAACTGCTACCATCATTAAATTTATACTAATTTTAAAGGATTTATTGCTAGTAATTTTATGTGTTGAATTAGTATTCATTTTCTATTCAATTGTAAATTATTCTATTGTATGACCATCTAAATAAAGTTGAACATCTGATAATAAATAGGAATCACTTGAAATAATCTCCAAACTTATTGGAGGATCAAGTTACTCTTTCACTGTAAATTATCCTCCCTTCTAAGGAAAAACAACTACTTCCTAAGAATCCTATTATAACACTATTGATGGTATCAGTAAAATCAAAAAAAATAGACCTTATTTTAGAAATTAAATGATACTTGTCAGAGTGAAACCATAAATTCTTTTTTGACTTCGTTTGAAATACTAGTCTATACTAGTTGTAAAAGCATCTTATTGTATGTCCCTCTCATTTATAAGGTATTTCTGTCTAATAAAACTAATCACTGGTCTTGGTTCCATTAATTATTTTATTAAAAATTATGGATCAAATAATTGATCAAATTACAATTAAAGATTTAGATTAAGGATCAATCATTTATGATATCGACTCTTCTATTATTAAACTCAATAAATTACAACATTGGGATCTTTATTGGCAGCATCTATATGAAACTCATAAATTACTTTGTAGGGCTGCATAAGAAAATGATTTAAATTAGTTAAAAATTCTATTGTCACCAAAATATCATTTACCTATTGATATCAATATGAAATTAGAAGAGTAATGGTCTTGTTTACATTATGCAGCTATGGAAGGACATATTGAATCATGTAGATTATTACTACAGCATCAAGCCTAACCAGACATTACTAATGTTTAATAAAGGACTCCATTACACATAGCAGCTATTAAAGGATATTTAGAAATTTGTCAATTGCTTATATAATATAGAACATCTATAAACTTATTTGATTATTAATACAATTCTCCTTTGCATCTTGCATCTCAAAATGGTAATAAAGAAATAATAGAATTATTATTGGATCATGGAGCTGATTATAATATTAGGAATCATTTTAATTTAAATGCTTATGATATTAGTATTGATTAACAAACCTAAGAAATATTTGATAAGAGAGGACTCTATCAAGATTATCAGAAAAGATCCTTCAGAGGAGTACACAATAGAAATGATCACATAAAGAATTTATTAAAATTATCAGATCGATTAAGTACTCAAATAAGTTAGACTAAAATTAGTAAGATTGAAATTTAATAAGTTGGACCTCAAGATTTTGCAGTATTAACTTAATTGGGTAAGGGATCTTTTGGATAAGTATATTTAGTATAAAAGAAAGGGAATACTAATTATTATGCAATGAAAATTTTAATAAAAAGAAAATTATAAGCAGCAGGAATAGTTAAATATATTTAAACTGAGAGAAAAATCTTGACTTATGTTACCTCTCCATTTATAGTAAAATTACACTATGCTTTTTAAACAGAAAATAAACTCTATATGATTTTAGATTATTGTCCAGGAGGTGATTTAGAATAATTAATGAATGAGAGAGGGAAATTACCAGAAAAAGCAACTAAGGCTTATGCTTGTGAAATATTATTAGCTTTAGAAACATTACATTAAAATTGTATAGTGTATAGAGATTTGAAACCATCAAATGTTGTAATTGATAAAGATGGTCATGCTTTATTGACAGACTTTGGATTATCAAAAGAATTGAATGCATAAAGAGCTACAAGTTTTTGTGGTAGTTATGCTTATTTAGCACCTGAAATGTTAGATAAAAGTGGTCATGGATATCCATTAGATTGGTATTTATTTGGAGTATTTATTTATGAATTAGTTCATGGTAATCCTCCATTTTATGAACGAGATAAAAATAAAATGTTCAACAATATCAAGACCAATGAACCACCAAGACCAGATAATATAAGTGATGAATTATGGGATCTTTTAAAGAGACTATTAGAGAAGAATTAATCAAAAAGATTAGGATCAAAGGAGGATGCTGAAGAATTAAAAAAGCATCCTTGGTTTATAAATGTTAATTGGCAATAAGTTATATAAAGAAAATAACCAGTTCCTAAAGCAACTTTAAGAAGTGAAAATTGTGATTTAGATTTGAAAGTAACATTCTCAGAATAAGCATAAAAATCTGAGAGATCAAATTTTATTCATGATTGGGATTATTGATACTAAAACTATATTAATTTATAATGCAATAAACATTTTAATATCAAATTAATGATTGGAAAATTGAAATTAGTCTTTCACTTACTATTTTTGCATTGATACCCATATCATAAGAGAGTTCTTTTATAATTGGACTATTTTCCTATAAATGCATTCTTATATAATAACATGAATAGTAATTACTTATTGATAGTAGGTTTTTCAGAATTTTGTAATACTAAACATAATGCATCACATAATCTTTCTAATTTTTAAGCTCCTTGTCCTTGAAATTCTTCTGGCAAGAATGTATTCCAAGCATTAGAGATTGAAAGTAGTTCTTTTAATTGTACATTTGGACCTAAATTAGTATAATAATAATTGAATTACCTTTACATTCTTTACCTCCTGTTAACCATTAATGTTACAATAATTATTCAGTAAAGAGTCTTTATCTAGGATCAATTTTAAGAGTAGAACATAAAAATTGAATGAATTCAACACTAAATTTATCAGATGGTAATAAATCTAATATAGTTATTTTAGTTGGTTCATTTATTATTTTAGAATTCTATTCAACAAATTGTATAACTTTAATTTCACTATGTAATAAACAACAAGTATCTTTTAATTGATCAATATATTTAGTTATTTCTTCTAATATAATTCGTGAACCTTCATATATTTGTTAAGCCTTAGGATGGAATTCCATAGTACCAATTGCACAATTCAATAATAACCATCCTAATTTCCAAATATCATTTGCACGTTCCAAAACAAAATCATCTTATATAGGAAAGTGATATTTTTCACTTGGTGCTTTGCTCCATAAAGAAGGTGTTTCAAGTATCGATGGATCATATAAACTAATTTATAGATATTTAGTACCTTTATACATCTTTAACTCTTCCAAGAATATATTAATTGATAACTGAATTTCCTTAGATTTAAACTCTGTATTATAATCCTTGACTAAGTTTAACTGTCCCATCTCTTAGAAATAAGATTTGTGAAGGTCCTAGTGCTCCATGACATTAAGCACCTGATTAATGGATTCTTTGCAATCCATACAATATTGGTTAGACTAATTATTTTATACTTCTTTCTGGTAAAACACCCATACTCTCTAATAAATTCTAATAATGAACACAGAACTGACCTATAATGATCCACCATTCATATATTCCATCACAATTGATACATAGCCTTCAGGTGTACTCCAAAAAGTAGAGTAAATTTAAACATGTTAAATTGAATTTGAACATTTACTCTACCAAAATGAAATCCAATCTTTTAAATTCTTACGAATTTCTTTATTATGTAATGGTTCCTTATATTTAATTAGAATATATACTTCTTTGACTACATATAGTTTCATAGTAGGAGCATGCAACATTTTTTTAACTGGACTGGAATCTGCATATGCTATAAGAATAGAAATAGAAATTTTACAACGCAAGGTTCCTGTTGTGATCATATCTTCTATCCTTATTTAACTTTAAACCAAAGTACTTATACTCAAGGATAATTCCTCATGAATTTTCTTTTGGTCCTTCATAAACTAACGAAAGTGTGGGAATGGATTCTTCAAATGATTGTTGTTCTCACGCTAGAATTTGATGAATAATTAATGCCTTCAGGGGACTTAGCATCTGGCTCACCTATTTGTACTCTTGCATAGCCTCAATGTTCTGGATATTTTGTTACACTTATTGTTTTTGTTCTTTTTTTATTATCAAAGGCTCTATTTACTTTCTCTAAGAGTTATTTAATAAAATTATATTACTTTATTTTAATTGGCAAAAGCTGGAGGCAAACGACTAATATTAATTTTTGGTTGTCCTCTTTTTTGTGTAGTTTGTAGATTCTATTCTTCACTTACATCATTCTTCTTTGCTTCTTCATTTCTTATATAATTAAAAGAGTGAGAATTCTTTATTTTAGCCTCATTCAATTCGTTCATTGAATTAAAATAACAATTTCAAATAAATTAATATTATAAACTTCATCTAATTTCAATTAATCATATAATACACAACTATAATAATTCTCTTAGAAATATAAGTTTATATTCTTATTCATATTATTAATCTCTTATATTTCAATAAAAATTAAGTTTCTATTATGAAACTAATTATTGTCCGTTATCTAATATTCAACCTTCTCAAATTGATTAAGATTTCACTATCAAAAATAATTTTTTTAGGATCAAGTTTTGTGATTAATTCTTTATTTTTAAATCATCAAAATAGAACTAATTATACATTAATAATTGAGAGAATTAAAAATGTGATCTATTTCAATAAAGTGTGCATCAAGAGAAAATTAATTATATAGATAATTAATCATATTTTTTTAATTTTCTTGTTTATTGATGTTTTTTATTTTTTATTTTGGCAATTACTACATTGGCAGTGGGAACTGCATTTTTTGTCTCTGATAAAACATTCACAATATCCTTTAATGCACTTTGTTTTTTTGCATTTACATCCCCAAACCTATCTTGTATCAAAAGAATCAAGATCATGATGTGATGCCCTTTATTCCTTTATTTTTATCTATTCTATAGCCTTAAGAACTTCATCTGAATGTTATCCATCATTAAAACAATCAGAACATTTGCATTCTTAAGTACACTATCTCCTATTATGAAAACAAGAGCAATATAATTATAAACAATTTGTTTTAGAACAATGACAAGGCTTATTATCTGAGTCAATAGTAGGAGAGTCATCCACCTTGGGTTAAAAATAAAATCAAAATTAGTACATTATAATTGGCTTTGCTTGCTTTCCTTCTTGTTCTTGAATTCACTATAGGCTCTTCTTGTATTGAAGTTTGTTCTAACTTAATATCGAATGATTAAGTGCTTTTAAGTTCATTTCCTGTTCTTAATAATTTAGAGGGGCTGAGAATTTCAGATTATATTATCTATTGTTGTTCTTCATCATGAATTGAGTTTTGAGAGTGACTGATATAGTTTTAAACTTTACTATTATTGTATGAACTTTATGGGTGGATCATCAATTAAGCATCTACTCTCAAATTTTGAATTGGTATCATCTTACATTTATTTTTCTTGTGGTTCAAATTCATGTCTATCAGCTTATTTCTTCTTAGACCAAGGATACTCTGGAGATGAAATATACCCAGCACTATTATTTTAGCTTTGAATATTCATTAAAAATAAATCATCATTAATCATATTACTTATATATTATATCAACTATGTCGTCCAGATAATTCTTAATATTATAGCATTGATTCCTTACTTAATACTTCACTGAAATCAATCATCTCAACTAATGACTTTATCTTCTTATCAATTTCATTATCAACTGCCATATAGTTTTTTAAATTCTTTTATATCTTAAAATATGACATTTATATTTCCATCATTTAATATATAATTTTCATGAATTTATATGATTCAAACATCAAGAATAGATTAAATTAAACCTACTATTTTTCATATTGTTAAATTTTGTAATTTTTAACTTATAGTTTTTATTAAATAGAAGATATCTTGAAGCTAAAACAGTATTTCATAGTAATCCTGAACTATTAAAATATGAAAAATGGATCAAAATAATAAAGTTATCTTTTTTAGTATAAGATCAGATCTTTTGTAATCTTCTAAGTCTTAAAATTTACAATTTTATATTAAGTTATGATTATAATGAAGATTCTTAAATTTATAAGATTATCATAAATGAAATTAAAAAAATTTAAATCTAGTGCCAATATTAGGATGAAATTATCAACTTTGATATTTAATAATGATGTATTAATTTTTTTAGTCATATAAAAATACTATCTTTTAATTTGATTGTTTATATTTATAATGAAAAAAACATAAAACTATTAGTTGATTAATTTATAATATAAATTGTGAGTCAGTATGTAATTGATATTAATACAAATTTGGATGGTAATTTGATAATAGTATATTGGATTTCTTAGTTTAATAGAATTAGGAGGGGGTTTTCAGAATTTTAGCGGGTTTTTTTATAAATAAAAGGATTTAAATATTTTATTCAATTATGTTAGTCTTTTAAATTATAGAAAAGTAGTCAATTAAATGGCCTGATTTAATTAAGTATTTGATTGGTCTAGTAAAACATGATAAAAATTTATTTGTATGAATTAAATTAATTAAATAATGGATAAAAAGATCATAGCAGACGTATTTCAAAGACATTTGGAATAATTGGTGAGTAGACTCAATGATGTATATGAATTTATATATTAAATAGGACATTCCAGCAATTTGTATATTATCTGGTAAGGAGGACGGATCAATCAAACCAAAAACAAAAGCACTTTTTGTTTGGCTTTTTGGATATGATATGATTGAGACAGTGTTTTTAGCCACAAAGAAATAGATTTTTTACTTGGCAAGTGATAAGAAACGTAAGATTATTAAGTGAGTTTCTAGTTCAGATGATGGAAGAGACAAAACAAAAACTAAGTGGTAAATTTGAGGTTCATTTTTACAAGAAAATGAATGACAATCGAGAATCATTTGAGAAGATTCGATAAAAAATAGGAAATGTTAAATTGGGAATGCCCACTACTGAAAAATAAGCAGGAAGTTTAGCAGCCGAATGGTATGAGTATAAGGGATGGTAATAAATAGTGGATGCCACTTAATTAATTGGTGATGTGTTAGCAGTTAAAGATGATTAAGAGTAGGGTTTTATATAACAATCTTCATAATTGACTACCCGCCTATTTAAGAAATTGATCAAATAAATAGAAGATTCAATAGATGTTGGTACACGTATCACACATCAAGACTTGGCCAAGAAAGTTGAATAATCTTTAGAAAATGATAAACAAAAAGTAATGAAAGAGATTGGATTGTAAGATGGTCTTTATGATTTTGCCTATACTCCAATAATTTAGAGTGGAGGCAATTACTAATAAGTAGAAGGACCCAATAAAGATTATCTTTCATCAGATGTAATCATAATCTAACTTGGTACCTAAGTCAATGAATATAATACCAATTGTATCCGTACACTCTTTATAAATCCCACTGAAATTTAGAAGAAACTTTATAATGCAATTTTAGAAGTCCAAAATAAAATCATAACATCAATGACTATTGGTACATCTCTAAATGTTGTATTCAAAGATTCCCATCAATTATTATAATAAAAGTTGTAGGAGCTTAATTTATAAAATTTATAATTACCTACATCATTTGGATATGGAATAGGACTTGAATTAAAGGAATCTAATTTGGTTATAAATGAAAAATCTACACATGTAGTAGCCAAAGGTGAAGTATATTTTGTTAATTTGGTATTGGAGAATGTTCCTAACGGATAAAAAAATATAACTTACACAATTTAAGTTGGAGATGTGATTGTAATCACTAATGGTGCTGCTACAATTACCACTACACAAATTCCAAAGGCTTATAAATAAATATCTTATTAATTGTAAGAGGAAGATGAACCTGAAAGGAAACCAGCTCCAGTATAAACAGATAAAGATAAACCCATAAGAGCTAGACCTCGTAATTAATAAATATAGATTCAAAGATAGAATGAAAAATAGAGATAGATTCATTAAGAGAAATTAGCTAAAGATAAATAGACTGAATTAGAATAAAGATTAGAATAAGATTAATTTGTTTAAAATTAATAAGAAGTTAAAGCTTTAGAATTGGATAAATTATCATGTTACTAAAAACCAGAACAATATCCAAAAGAACTCTAGAAAGGATAGATTTATATTGATAATTATAAATGTGCTCTTTTGGTACCATTATTGGGAACTCATATTCCATTTCATGTATCTTGTATAAAGAATGTGAGTAAAATTGATGAAGGCAAGATGGGATCATCTATAAGAATAAATTTTTTCACATCAGAAACAACAGCTGGATAGATTTAATTTCCAAAGGTTGATGGTGAAACAATCTTCATAAAGGAATTATAATATAGATCTAAGAAATCAGATCGTCCATAGAATTTAATACTTTAAATTAAATCATTACAAAAGAAAGTAAAGACTGAGTAATAAGTGGAGAGAGAGAAATAAAATGTTGGAGATATGGAACCATTAATAGTAAATAAAGGAGGTCGAAAACCAATATTTAAGGATTTGAAAGTGAGACCTACATTTGGATCTGGAAAGGCAGCAGGAGTTTTAGAAGTTCATACTAATGGATTTCGTTATATCCATTCTAATAAAGAATAATTGGATATTGTATTCAAAAACATTAAACATTATATATATTAAAGTCCAGAATAGGATATTATAGCTGCTTTACATTTTCATTTACATTCTCCAATTGTATTGGGTAAACGTAAAACACATGATGTTCAATTTTATTGTGAAGTTGGTGGTGCAGTAGAACATTTAGAAGGTAGAAAGAAAACAAATAGAAATGATGAGGATGAAATTGAAGAAGAAGAAAGATTAAGAATGCATAGAAAAAAGATGGCAAAAGAATTTGAAGTGTTTATTAAGACTATTGAAGAATTGGGAGCAGAATATAAAATATCATTTGAAAAACCATTCCGTGATTTAGGATTTGAAGGTAATTGGAATAGAGCAAGATTATTCTTATAACCTACACGTGATACATTGATGAATGTTGTTGAAAGTCCATTCTTTATTTTAACTTTGAATGAAGTAGAAATATGTTGTTTTGAACGTATAATACCAGGCATTAAATCTTTTGATTTAGTATTTGTATTCAAAAACTATGATAAACCAGTACTAAGAATTGAGAGTATTGATATCAAAGATTTAGAAGGAGTCAAGAATTGGTTAGATAGAGTATATTATTATTATAATAGTAGATGAATCTTCTCTTTTTTGAAGTGGGTTAGAATTTGGTTTGGAAGAATGTTCTTGCATAAATTTAGAAAGATATTCCAGGATTTGTTTAAGATGGAGGATGGACTAATATTTTAGCAGAAAGTGAAGAAGAAGGAGATGAAGAAGATGATCCAGAAGCAGGTGATAGTGAATTCTCACCTGGTGAATCAGTAATGATATTTATTTAAATTATTTAGGGTGATGATGGTGAAGATGATTCTGATTTCACAGAAGATGATGAAGATGGTGATGAGGATGCTGATGCTGATGAAGATGATGATGATGATGAAGATTTATCTGATGTTCTTGATCTTAATAACATAAGTGAATAGGATGATGATGATGATGCTGAAGATTCAGATTCTGGTATTTATTATCTTCTAATCATATAGATAAACATAGAAGAAAAGGTTAAGCAAAAGGTCATTCAAAGCCATAGCCTAAAACATAGAATAAACCATAACCAAAACCATAACCAAAACCATCTGGGCCACCTCCTCGTTCCACTTAGCCTCAAAAACGTTAACCACCTAGAAAATGAGTATTATTAAATTTTATTGATTATGTGTAATACTGATAAAAAAAAATACTAATTTGTTTAATTATATATTTTTAATGGATTATTTTCCTTGTGCTATTCATAATGGACATATGCTTTCAATTATATGCACTGATAAATCTTGCAATAATAATATATTAATTTGTCGTAATTCAAATTAATTAAATTCAAAGCTCTATGTGAACATTCAGATCATTAGAATCATTAAACATTGCCTCTAAAAATCATTTTGTAATTAATTGAGTCTACAAGTAATAACACTAATGAATAAAGTACTTAGAGCATCTAAGATGTGTCTTTCTTTCTAGATAGATCATATAATGAATGTTTGAGAATTGTATAATATACTTAATTTTAAACAACTAGGTCTAAAAATTCAATGAGACTTTAGAAAATACTTCTAAATAGTTAATTAAAAAAGTTGATACATATTATTTGGATCTCAAAAATTAACTTAAAACATATGCAAATTCAAAGATCCCTATTCATTATTTATTAGACTCAATCAACAATTAAACTGATTTTCAATAATACAAGAAGAATATTCAGTAATCATAATTAGTTATATAGATAAATACTGGAATAATTTGCATTTAGTAATGGAATTGCAAGTAGACAAAGTATTGATTCTGCAATTATGAATGTATGCAAAACTCATATTGGATAATTAAATGATTAATTGATAGATTTATAAAATGAAATTGATGGAAAAGTTGAGAATTTAGGTAATTTACTTAGAGCATAACCAATTGCTTCAGTTGATTTAGTTCAAACAATTTCATTTTAATTTTCTTCTTAATATAAGGGTGCAAATATTAAAATTTCAGGACTAAAATTGTTTGCAGAATAAAAGGCATCTGAATCAAATGGACAGAGATTTATTATCTGTGAACCATGCATTCCCAAGAATGGAATCTACAAATTTGGTTTTAAAGTATATAAATATGCTGGTTGGATTGGAATTGGTGTTTGTCATAGAGAATTAATTGTGAATGCTAATTTTAAGTTCAATTATACTAATATCGGTCATGGGTAATTATGATATTTATATTATAGATCCTATCTCATATCAAATAATGCATATTCATGGTCACATTTATAGAAAGATTTGAATTCAGCCCATAAATCATTTGATTTTGGAGTTGGAGACATAATCATAATAGAAGTAGATATTCCAAAAAAAAAAATCACTTGGTCAAAGATGAAAACATAGCTTAAAATTGTAATTTTTTATTGTTAAACATAGACAATGAATTTAGATACTAGTTAAGATTTATACCCATGTGCTAATTTATGTAGTCCAGGAGATACTGTAGAAATTATAAACAAGATTGAAGATTGATATTTATATATATATATATGTGTTAAATTACAATGAAAATTAATTATATCTACAAAAATTTAATTAAAGTAATATATTAGTATGTATTATTTAAGTACTAAGATATCTATGATTTTTATTAATTAGTTTAATATATAGTTTTTTTTCTTAAGATTTATTAATAGGAGTTGTTTATTATTGGAAGAGTATATTTTGATTAATTATATGTATTTTGTAATAAATGAATTAATATAATCTTACAAAGGGCAAATAATAAAAGTAGTTTCATTTGATCCTCACTCCTCTTAAACTTGAACATTCATTTCGAAATAAGAATCATTATTTAGAGAATTCATCTTATTATTAACATACATCTCCTAGGACTATTTTACCATAATTTACACCTTAAAAGAAAAAAGCATAAATAAGTTTTTAAGAATCAATGAATTCTCCATAAAGTTCATTGGTTACATCATTTAAAATAAGACCAAGAAATACTCATTAAGAGAAAGTGTAATTATAAAGTAATTTAGGTATTTCTTTTATTTAGAATTAGTTAAGATCCAATCAAGATTGATTCCTGATGAGAATTTTATATTCAAAGTTAAATATGCTGCTAGATCTAGAAAAGGAGTATAATTAGGGAATGCTTCTAAAGTGAATTAGGATGCATATATATGTTGTGCAAAGATAGAAAATAATGAATGTATACATCTATTTGCAATTTGTGATGGACATGGTGAACATGGACATTAAGTTAGTGGATTCATAAAAAATTAACTTCCATAATTAGTATAGAAGAATAAAATGATACTAGAAAGAAAGTAGACAATTATAATAATAATATATTTAGTTCCTCATAAGGGTTGATGATCATTATTTAAGGACTTTCTGATATGTTACAATAGAGTCTTATTGATATATCTTATTCAGGATCGACTCTAGTTATAGTGTATGTTAAAAATAATAAAGTTATTGTATTATTAACAAAGTTAGCTTTATTGTGCAAATTTGGGAGATTCAAGAGCCGTTCTTTTGAATCGAGATGAGAGATGGAGAATGAAACCATTATCTAGAGATCATAAACCAAGTTGTAAAGATGAAGCTGATAGAATACTGGCAAATGGAGGCAGAATAGATCCTATGATGAATGGTTTAGGTCTTTTTGTAGGTCCATTAAGAGTATGGACAAAGTAGAATGTTCCTGGTTTAGCTATGACAAGATCACTTGGAGATGAAATAGCACATTCAGTAGGTGTGAGTGATAAACCTGAAATAATGTAATTTGATTTGGAAAGGAGTGATAAAGTAATAATATTGGGGAGTGATGGATTATTTGAATTTTTGAGTGATGAACAAATAATAAATTGTATCTCTCCATATTATGATACATCTAATATAGAAGGAGCATGTAATTAATTAATGTTGACTGCATGTAATAGTTGGATGTAGAAATGTAATAATTTAATTGATGATATTACTTTCATAGTATTATTTTTAACTTATTGATGTTCATTTTATTTATTGATTCAGTATTAGTTATTTTAGTAAAATACATTTACAAAATTATTAAAAAAGAAAATAAATATTATAATTAAAAGCACCATTTCAATATTTAATCTAAGTGATTGATATCTCATACACTAAGTTTAGAGATTTAAATGGAAGATATAGAATCACAATAGAAATGGCTTATTTTATTTAATCTTTCTTATATCTATTTATTCAATGTTAATTTAATGGGTGTCTCAAAAATCAACTAATTTATGATATATGCATTCAATATATAAATCATAACAGTCATTATTCATCTTCCTCCCATATTTAAGGTTTTCTATTTATTAACATATATCATTTTACTTTAATGCTAACTTAATTAGTTCAGCTTCACTTAAATTATTGACTTTCTTTGGAAAATGAACTTTATAATACAATAATCATATACTTTCATTTTGTTCTTGAATTATTTATGTATCTTGAACCTCAGGAATTGTGATGATCTTCACACTACTATCTATATGAACATGTAAATCTTCTTATATATTATTCTAATGTTATTGATGCTACTTCTCTTTCTCTTCCATGTAATTAGGATTATCAAAAGTTGATTATCGTTTTAGAATACTTTAATGTGTATGTCTAATTTCTTAATCCATATTTATGATAATTAATATATTATATTCATTATTTCAACAAAAATATTCTTTAATCTCAAGAAATGTAGTTGAATTAAGAATTTATATCGTTTTCTTTTTTTATTTAAATTACCCATATTATTTTAAATCATACTAAAAAGCATTTCACTTATACAATTAATCATCATTTAAATATACAATAATTATTGTTAAAATTATTATGTTATTTGAAAGTTCTATTCGAACAGGAGATCCTCGTCTTTCAACAAGAAATAAATAAGCATAAACTACAGAAGTAGTTAATACTTATGATTAATCTTTTAATGGCAGAGTCATTTATGCAAGAAACCTATTTTCCAAATTATTCTTGTAGATGATTATTATCTGTAAATATTTTAATTATAACTTTATTTATAGGTATCTATGTATGGATTGTCCATTCTATACCTGCTTTAGATAAATTCCTAGAATAAACTAGATGGATATTTTGGTTAAGTCTAGGCATCTGTGTAGGAACAGCCACCTTAGCTTTAATTTATCGTAACCATATTACATTATCTCCAACTAATTGGTTGGTATTTATTGTATTTACATTATCATTTGCTTCTGTTTGTGGTTGTTTAGTTGCATTTGGTAATTCCTAAATTGGATTATTACTCTTTGTTAATTTTGCAAGTAAGTTAAAATAAATTAATAGGCTTAATATTCTTTTTATTTTTATACTCATCAACTGTCAGAAGAAAAATAACTTATTCTGGGGCTGTATTATTTGTATCAGCAAGTATATTGATAGTGTTTGAACTATTTACAATATTCACTAAGATATCATTGTTTTGGATTATGGTTATATCTTTATCATCCTTTTTATTTGCATTTCTATTGTTATATGATACATATACTAATTTAAAGTAATATTAATTTAATATTAAGTTGTGGAGATTCATATGATATCAATAAGGCAGATGATGTGAGTGGAAGTGTAACCATTTATTGGGACATTATTCTATTATTCTTAAAGATGGCAGACCTTATCAAAGATAATCTATCTAATAGATAGAATTGATTGATAACATCTATATATATATATATTAATTTTACATCAAATTAATTTCATTTCTATCAATAATATCTAAAATGTATATTAACAATAATACTCATCTATAAAACCCATACATACAATTTCTCATCACAATCTTTTCATTAAATATTTTATTACTATAACTAAAATAATCTTAACATAAAACTACTACATCCTTACCACTATTACTATTACCTTATTTATAAATTATAATGTTAAAAAATTTATAAATTATTTAGTGCTCTTATTATTATAATCATATAATCTAAGTTCTCTAATTTTATTATTGCAACCATTCCAATCTATTAAATTATCATTTAATCTTAATCTATTATTCCAAATAGCTTTAGTATCAAACATTTTCAGAAAAATAGACTATAATATTGAAGATATAGATTCTATCATTATTTCTAAGTCTTTTTAATGAAATATAGCAATTTCATTTAAAAAATATACAATTAGAATTAAAATTTTTCAGAAGTGAAAGTCTTGTTATTATTATCATTATATTAAATGGAGGTGATATTGAGCAAAGTTATTTCTTATATCTGAGTTTCAAAATTATTTAAGTATAATTTAAATAAACAAAATTAACATAAATTCCTACAATCATATTCTAACTAATATTCTCTATTAAAGGCTCTAAATATTCTATAGAACATATTAATAATTAGATTAAATTAGTAAAGGTTTAATATTATATCAAATAAAAAAACTCATTAATTTTCTTCTTTGAAAGTAGAAAATCAATGACTTTTTAAATTCCTTAATTTTTAAAGACATAGGGGTTGTAATGGTCAAATATGAAATATATATGTTTAGCAAAAATCTTACTTTAATCATATATTTGAATCATAAATAGAAAATAAGAATTTGATTATTATTCAAGAATAGTCTATCGCCATCTAAGTTTTCAATTCAGTAACTCATTAGAAAATTTCATATATTTATATAACGCATTTGATATATTAAACTCACTTTTTAGAACCCATAATAAGATATTTAATGGTATTTAATTAAGACTAGCCTAATGAAATTTCTATAAGCCAAATTTGATTTTAAATTATTATTTATTAATATATTATTTAATTATTAATTAATATTTATTTAACTTGATAAGTACTTTACCTTTCAAGCTTCTTCTGATTTTTTCAAGATGCCTTAAATTCTTTTTTGATTTTGTTTGGTTTAATTATTACAATTAAATTACTGTATTATATTTAAAGAAAATTAATAAATTACTTATATCTCCATAATTTAAATAACGTTTCTCTTCATTATTAATATTATGAAAAGTAAATCCTTTAATATGTATGATTTTAATTAAGTTATCTTAATTGTATAAAAAATTGATTGCATTAAAATTTTGTATTTCATACTTTTTATTCATAAAATAAGAAATAGTATTGAAGATTATGGATCTATTTTCTACCTTGATTTTGTTTATCTAAGTCATAGGAATTAATTACTCATTTTTAATGTTTAATTTGAATGTAATTTTCATATTGTACTTCTTTTTGAAATTATATAATATCTTTATGCAAAAAACAATAGAATTCATAAACAAAGAGTTATTCATTTCAACTTTCTATCTCAACTACATTAATACTGGAATATCGCATATCATTTCTTTCATCATGATTGTTTATTATTTAAATTGTCTATTTGTTTGGGTTATCTAATTCAATTATTGAAATTGATTTAGAATCATTTTCATCTTGTACATCAATGAATCTCCATGGATCAAGAACTTCAATTGAAACTTAATCTATACAGCTTACATAAATCAAAGAGAGAATTAGAATCAATAAAATAGCGAGCACTGTTGTACCTGCTAATATTACGGGTTCGAATCTTCCATTCTATAATTTATTATATTCGAATCTTACAACAATCTAATAAATCAATGCAATAATGGTTCCTATGATTCCAAGAGACACGATTATTTCAGTTGTCCAACAACATAATCTAGCTCTTGGTGCTCTTCGTATCATTCTCAGTTACTTTTAATCAGAAAATTTTGTTTCCATTAAAAACCTTGAATGACAAACTTCACAATCTATCTATTGATATAACAATGATCTTACATTATTTTTATACACCTTCTCTATCCCTTACTTTTCTAAAATCCATAATTTAAGGCAATTTTCATGAATAAATTATAGAGATCCTTTGCATTTACAAGGTCTTATTAGTTCAGAATTGCCATCATCACATAAACAAATCCTGCAGAACTCTTTAAATTACATAGTGAGAATTTCTTACTAGTCTCATCGTGTATATTTGAATCTTATTATCTGATATGATTAATCTTCATTTCTAGCCAAACATGTTTGTTTCTTAACTTATCCTAATTTATTTTAATATATCAAACCTTCATTAGATATACCTTTCTCATTTTAAGCTCTGGTACAATTTTTATTGATTTCGACAATTATTGGATTTCGAATGGATTAATATGTTGTTGCGATTATTCAATAGTTTGAAACTAATGTTGAGGAGATTAATGAATAGTAAGTGTTTCAGGAATAAACATATAGAATTTGCCACTTATCTAAAATACTCTTAATTAATAACTTGCATAAATAAAAAATTAGCATCTAATTAAGATTTCTCAATAATATCATTAAACAATGACATCATTAATCTAGATAATATTTTTTAGCTTACTTTGAATCAATAATATATATATATATACAAAAAAATTAAAATAATTTTTATTCTCTTTATAAAAGAAATTATTTGATTTATAAATCATTACATTGTTCTTTTGGTTGATTCCAATATTAACTTTAGATTACCCTTTTATTCATCTACCTACAATTTCATATACACTATCTTCAAAGTTCCATCAATATTTTTTAATTTGTGTACATAATGTCCATTCAATATCCATTCATCTCCTTCCTCTACATTTGCTATAAAATGATAAGCATTCACTGATGAATTCACTACAATCAAGTCATTCTCCTACTCAATTGAAATCACTTTCACAGTATGTAAAGTTTTATCAAATCCACTTAAAACGATTTTCCAATTATTACATAAATTTTCAATTGGATCTTATGTAACTGATGGGGCTCCTAAAGATGTATAATCTATTTCAACAATAGAGTGAAATTTAGACTTTGCTTAATCAAACTGTCTTTCATCCCACTTTTGAGCCACAAAACTAATAATATCTTGAATTTAATCTTATGTGTATTCCATAATAATAATAATAATGTTAATTAAGAATCATTCATTTTTTTTTAATTAAAAAATTCTTGTCTTTCTTAGTACTCCCTAATTAAGTTGAATCTTGAATTTATCTGAAAGAATCAATTCGATCCAATGAAAACCCTTATTCAGAATGAGGAGTCATTGGATAGGGTTCAACTGATTTTGAAGCAGAAAGAGTTTTTTCAAATTAATTTGGCTTCAATAAAATTCTGCTTTCTTCTTTTTAACAAAAATCCATATCTAACTTTGTAGTAAAATAATCAGATATTTTTCTTTTAACATTTTATGTATATTTATTCAAATTGGCATTGAAGCTATTACTAATATCTAATTTACGAGCTGATGATGAAACTAATTATTATTAATTTATATATTTTTACGTTTATATATTTTGTGTAATAGATCAACTTGTTTAATAATTTTAGTTTTAGTGTTGGATGTTTCATGTGAAGGAGTCTTAGATTTTTAAATATTAGCTGTTTAAGGTTTTTATTTCTTTTTACTAAGAATACCTTTTAAATTTCTTCTTTCTTAATTAAAATAATCCATATCAGATGAAATCTAGTCAGATTATTAATAATTCTCATTTAATTCCTTTTATCTCATAATATCAATATCTTAAAGAGCTTTAGTAACTAAATGATCTTGTAGAGCAGGAAATTATTTTTTAATTTTTGAACTTTAATGAATGAAATATTCATGATATTTTCTATCATCTGAAGTATTAATTGCTTTATTAGAGTTCATTTTAAAATTAGATTCATTATCATCAAGATGAGTACTATTTACCTATTCTTACAATCTCTTTAATTATTATTATTTAATTTATAATAAAAAAGGAGAAGTAACTTCATTGTTGAACTTTTATTTTAATGTTTAAGATTTTTAATTAAAATTTTGATTATTTTTGTATATATGTCTCATAATTTCTCTATAATATGAAAATTGTAATTCGAAATGTTTTTTAATATCAGCTTCTTTAATAAGTTTAGAATATTAATCATATAATTGACAAATAATTTCATGATTACTTAATGTGACATCAATATCATCAAAACTAATATCTAATTATAAAGTTTAAGTAATGAAGTCATTCTTTATAAGATCATTCCATTAATTGATAATAAATTCATAATCTTTATGCATTTTAAACTTAGCTAATTATTCATTAGGAAATCTTGTCATAGATTCAATTTTTTATTCACTAGGAATTTCTTCACTTGTAATACTACCATTCCTTTTTCCAATACAAACATACTATCCAATATGTTTATAATTTGTAGATTTATTAACAGGTATACTCTAAGTAGCTAATGGAACATATAAATTAAAATCAGTCTTTGTAAAATTTTTAAGATATTGCATGCATTTATTATCCAAAGATTTTGGAATAGATTTTGTTGTTTCTGATAACCAAATTACATTATTACATAATCTTTGAATCATGTCAATCAATTTCTAGTATATAGTAATTAAACATAATTGATAACCATGTAAATGATAATTCAATTAATAATTTTCATGAATTATCTATGGTCCTTCAATAATTGTGTTATTATATGAACCAAAATTAATTTAATCATCTATTGATGATATATTGCATATATTCTTTAATTGAGATAATTCATGATTTAATTACAAGATTTGTTATTATCTTAATGTTTTTTCTTCAGTATAAAAATTGTATTCATTTGTTTGCATATTTTAATGTTCAAGTAGATAATGATAAGTGCTGATAATTTATTTGGTCAATTCACCAATATCTTATGTTTTGTAGAACTCATCTACTTGATTTAAGATTTCATCTCTTGTTAATACTTTATCATTTTATTATTATAATGATTAACCTAACTCTTATAATTAATTTTGATTTCCTTATATTTAATCAACAACCTTTAATTTAGCATCCATAAAAAATTCTATATATTCACTAATTTTAAAACACTCTTATAATTTATATTTCTTTTATTCTTCTTATTCTGTTAAAATATGAATTTAATGTAATAATTCTTAATTTTTTTATCTACATTTTTTAATCTTTAATTAGATTTCTTTGATCTATAATTCACTATTATCTATATCTCTAGAATACTTTTCCTGATTCATCTCAGATTAACTCCTAAACTTATCCATTTCCTTTTAAAATTGATTAGTAAAATGTTAAGTTTTCTTTAACATCATTTTAACTTTATCATCTAATTCTCTTTGAACATGATCAGGTTAAGTTTTGATATGACGTATATTATCTTTGTAGTTATTGATTTTTCTATCTGTCAATAACTTTGCCTTCAAGATTTCCTCTAACTTTGTCTTCAAGTATTATTAATAAATCAAAACTTCATCTGTCTATTCCTGTATAAAATCTAATTGTTGTTATGTATAATTAGAAATTTCCTCAGTTATTTATTTTCGATTATAAGAAGACAATTCATTTTTCTTCCTTTTATTCAAATCAATAGCTTAATTCAATATATCTTTGAACTATTTAAAACCATCATAATACTTTGGATAGATGTTTTGGCTCAACTACACTTTATTAAATTTCAAATTGCCTTCTAAAATTAAACTCTTGATCATCATCATCTAATTTTATTTTTTACATTATTAATAATCAATTATTCACATTAGTTAAAATACTCATAGAGAATTAACATTATAATCAAGAATTAAACTACAAGTATTTTATAATTTACATTATTGTTTTAATTAGAATATATTATTAAAAAAAGCCCAGATTATATATGACTCTATTATTGATAAAATAATATATGAAAAAAAATATCAATTCCATTAATACAGAGTTTTATTTTGATATAAAAATCATATTACAATTAAAGGATTTAATCTTATTACTATTTAAGATTTTCAAATAGATATTTCTAATATAGTTTTTCCCTTATTTATTATTGACATTATTTTGATGAATACTGTAACAAAATTTAATTCATATATGATATTCTTTATCTAATAAATTTTTTATTGAAATGAATCCTGATTATTTTGGATGTACTCTAATTCATAAATCTAATTTTCCTGATAAAGGTAATCTTTATGTTGGAGGAATCAAATCACTTGATTCAATTTAGAAATATAAATTTGGTGCTATTATTTCTGTAATCGATGAATTAGATTATAAAATACCTAAATAAATCTATCATTTAAGAATAGTTGCACCTGATGAACCTAATTTTAAAATATCTGATCACTTTGAAAAAACCTGTAAATTTATCAAAGTGTATTTAAAATAAACTAATGTCCTTGTACATTGTTAAGTAGGTATTTCAAGATCAGTTTCAGTTATGATGGCTTATTTTATCAAAGAAATGAATATGAAACCAGATGATGCATTTTTATACATTTAAGACAAAAGAGAATTTGTTCATCCTAATGAAGGATTTAGACTTCAACTCTAGAAATTCTATGAAGAATGTACAAAACCAAAAGAAAAACCTAATCCAAAATCAAAACTTTAATAAGTTTAGCAACAAAAATAAAAATGACAAGTTGCCTTATGTATAAATTTTCTATTTAAGAAATTTTAAATATAAATGAATTAATATACACAATTTAATAAAATCAATTCTTAAACACTTCAACAAATTCTTTAGTTCTCAAATGTAAATCCTCAATTTAATGTTTGACTGTTTCATCTGTAACATCTTCAAGTACATACTTAATAATATATATTAAATTCTTACATCTCTATCCCCATCATCTGTAAAGTCTGTGTATTTAATTTATCCATCATCTTCAAGTGCATATGTGATTTTCAAATGATAACCCATTCTTATTTTACCTCTACTCAAATAAAGATGAGCTTCCCCATCTACTGATTCTACTGCAGAAATTTTGGTTTAACCAATTTTCATCTATAAATAATCATTACTAATAATTCTTACTCCTACTATATTTTCTAAAGATTTTTTAATTTCATTCATAGGCACTTTTTTCTCTTCCCATGTTCCTGATACATTCCATTAAGATCCTATTGTTTGCACTTGTTATACTTAAGTAGGGTCTTCAACTTTCTTTGGTTAGCAATCTATTTTAGGATGATTTGGATCATTTTTAACCCAATATGTGTATGAATGTTCCTTCTTAACACTATCCATATTTAATTCCAGAATATTAAATAATTAATGATTAAAATAGCATCAGAAATTTGTAATAATATTCTAAAATTAGAGTTTTAATATTGTTCTAAACATATTCTTATTTTTAATTCATTTAAAACCAAATCTAAACAATATTCATATATATAAATATTATAATCGAATATAATTGTCTTTAAATAATTTGAAATATTACAACAATAAACATAATTACTTATTAAATAGTATAGAATACCATTTAATACAAGAGTAATAAATGATTATAATCTTTAATTTTAATTAACACCTTATTTAGAGTAATTTATATTAAATATAGTTTATATTAGAAATGTTGGAATATATATAAATAAAGAGTTAATTATATACAATATGTACTTTATTTTGATCAAGAATATTTTCAGCTTTTGATTACAATTAATAATAAAATTTATTATCATGTAATGATTCTAGATGAAATCAATATTATAATTAAAGTTCAAAAAGACTTCCAATAGTTTTTATAAATGTTCAAATAGAACACTTAGAAAAGGTGCAGTATTTTTTAACAAGATTGAAAATTTAATCAATATAAATCTTTTAGTGAAATTAATTAATTATAAGTATTGTAATACTTGTTCTGATAAAAACAGATTTATTATATTTAATGTTAATTATCATATATTTATTTCACAAAATCTTGAACTTTTAAGATGAATTTTTTAATTGATTAATTTAAAATACATTATTAGTCAATACAAATTATCTTAAATGTTTTGAGACTAAATTAGATACTTTTAATTAGTCTATTTAAACACAGGATTGTAAAATGCAACAAGGATTAGCACAACTTTATATCTTTAACTATAAAGATGTTCTTTATTCAATATTATTACAAAAATTGGATATAAAAGGGAAAGAAAGTTGAGAAGGTTTCATAATTATTGATAATTATAAATCTATTAATTAATTCATATATTTATTTTTTAATTTATTACATACATACATGCATTTAAATATAATATTATCAAAAAATTAATTTTATTTATTTTTTACATTAATTTTGAGAAAATTTGACAATTCAAATTGAAGAACATTATTCTTTTTACCTATTGATCGTTTAGTTATAATAAAGGAAATTATCCATTCAACAAAAGAATAAAACTGCTGTTATCTATTATCTAATAAAATATATATCATGTTTTAGTATGCATTTTCAATTTGAATTGTGAATGATAGTTATAATAATTTATATAATATTTAAGATCTAATTGAATCTTTGCAAATAGTGTTAGTTAATTTTAACTTTATATTAAGGTTAAGAAGAGTGTATAAGTCATTATATTCTAATGTTCGTAATATAGCACATTAAAAATTCCATTCATCATGAAGTTTCTTGTAAATTTCATAAGGTATTATCACTTTAATAATTTAGTAATTTTTATTAAGCTTTCTCTTATTAAAAAATACACTTGAATACTACAAGTAGTTTTGATACTAATCTGAAAATGTAGTAAATTTGATTAATATTTATATACATGTAAATAATTGAACAATACATATATGTAAAACTTTAATAACTAAAATTATATTAATGAAATGTTTTGAACATAATGCACCCTACAATTTAATTTGTTAAGTTAAAGATTGCAGCTAAAAATTGCTGTGCAATCAATGTATGACTAAGCATAATGCTCAACACTACCCAATGATTTAGAGTTTTTCTGATATGGATTATCAAATAAAATAAGTTCCTTAGTTGCTAGAGAAAGATTTGGATGTTCTAAAAGCTAAATTATATTCAATTTAAAATCATATGACAATAGAGAAGGATTAGCTTAAGAAATAATTGATAAAATTGTGTGATGTTCTAAAATCTCGAATAAATGCTGAAGTTGATGACTTTTGTTCTTCTGCTTTAGAATATACAAATTCTTATTATAAATAGTATGAAACTGATATAGGTAGTTTGCTTGGAGTAATATCTGAGCATTTGAATATGGTAGCCCCATATACAACAAGAGTAAGACCAATAAATGAAAATTAATTTGGAATGTTGATGGATTTTCAAGAAAAGATGCTTGGAAATATATTACCAAGTCTAACAAAGAGAGCTGAAGTAATTTCGAAATAAGTTCTAGAGAATCAGTTATATATGAAGATTGATCATTTTTATGCAATTGTAAAAACATCACTTGGTAAAGCACTGTAGTCTTATAATTTATTCAAGAACAATGAATTCTAAATTGAATAAAAGAGATCCATGCATTTACAAACAGAATATGAGTCAGAATTAGTAAAGTCATCATTTTATCCAATGAGTGATTTTAAAAGAAATGCTTTAGAGTTATTTAGAGAAAATTAACCATAAGAAAGAAAGTCTGCTAGAATTTATAGACCAGAAGAAGGATTTAATATACCTAAAAATAGAAGTTCAGCTGAGTTTAGTGGATCTCGTTTTATATATGCAAAAGCAATAAATACAGTGTTAAGTGGTCATACAGATATAGTAACATGTATTTGTATATTTTCTTAATCTTCTTTAATATCTGCAGGAGGTGGAGGAATTATAAAAATATGGGATATTGATGGAGGTTTAGCATTAGGATAGATGAATGAACATGCAGGAGATGTTTGGGCATTAGCTAAAATAAATGAAAGTAATTTTGGTAGTGCTAGTGCAGATTAAACAGTGAGAATTTGGAATTATTAAAGAATGGTATGTGAAAGTGTATTAGTTGGACATTTGTAACCAGTTAAAGCTTTAATATATCTAAAAGATTTAGAATATTTAGCATCTGGTAGTTTAGATAGTACAATAAAAATATGGACAATTAATAGACCAAAGTTAAAATTAACAATGTAAAATAATTAAAGGGTTAGAGCATTATGTTATGTTTAAACAAAGGGACTAATAGTAAGTGGAGGTGAGAATAATTTAAGTGTTTTTAATATATTGAATGGTTATTGTAAAGATTAATTAGAAGGACATCATGGAGAAATATTATGTTTGAAATATTTACAAGAATCATTGATGGGTGAATTTATGTCAGTAATTGCATCAGGAGGAGCAGATAAAAAAATTATAATATGGAATTTAGATAGAGCTATAAAATTACATATATTTGTTGGACATTAAGAAGCAGTAACTTGTCTAACATTTGATATTGAAAATAGATAATTATGGTCAGGAGGAGCAGATAGAACTATTAGATGTTGGGATATTGCAACAGGAAAGTCTATTTTAACTGCAAAAAGACATTCTGAATAAATTAGTACTCTAGAATATATGCCTGGTAGAGAATTAATTATTAGTGGAAGTTGGGATCATAGAATAAGAGTAACATAAAAATCAATTTTAATGAATTGATTATTTGTATATTTTTAATTCTTAAATAAATTCTATATATAAACTATTTTATTTTAATATTTAATGTATTTTTATTGTTAGAAATGTTATTTTCTTATAAATTTATTTTCTAAATTAGAATCAACTATTTTTCTTTATTTATTGAGGTTTCATATATGATTATTAAAGACTTATATTTATTTATTAATCATATAGGTAATTAATTATCAAAATTATAAATATTGATATTAATTTTCTAATTTGTGTTCCTATGATGAAAAAATAATAAATACGAAAACCTCCATCATATGATCCTTTTACTTTATTAACGAATGATTATGTACGGATCATCCTTACATACTTGAATGTGGTATTGTATTAATTTAAACTAGTTTGATTTAGTGAGATCAGCTAGAGTTTGCAGAAGATGGAGAGAAATCATTGAAAAGGATCCTTTAATGTTTGAACATGCTAATTTAGAAAATATTGACTCTTCTAAACCATTGTTTCCTATACTTAAAATATTTTCAAGAGATAAAACAATAATCTCTATGAAATTGCCTCCACATGCAACATAAACTGATACAGCCTATATGTTCATGTAATTACCATAGAGTATACAATATTTGAAATTTACAAATATCAATATGGAATTCTCAAAGATTTTTACTCGTAAGTTTCCTAATTTCAAGAGTTTAACTTTGGTTAATACAAAGAATAGAAAGAAACCATTTGATGAAATTGAAATGAAATCATTTCTTACATTGAAGAGTGCATAAGAATTACATTTCTATTCATTACCTTGGGAAGACAGTTTTATAAGCATTTTCTCTGAATTTAATCTTCAAGTACTCTGCATTTATGATTGTCCTCATTTAACTAATGATTCTCTATATCTCATATCAAAACATTGTAAATTATTATAAAAATTACTTGTTGGAGGGAGTGAACAAGTATATAATGCATAAATATCTAAAAGTGGGTTTCAAATTGATCTAATGAATTTAAAGTCTTTAGAGATTAGATATTGTTCTAGAATTGGAGATTAATCATTAGATATTATAGCTAATTCATTTCCAACATTAACAGAATTTGCTTTAGTAAGAAATAACTTTGAAAAATGTGCTAAAATTAGTGATTAAGCATTTAAAAATATGCAAGATCTTTAATTATAAAGATTGTCTATCATATATACTAGAAAACTAAGAGATCAAGCACATATTAATATAGCTAAATTTCATTAGTTAAGATATCTATGTTTAAGGAACTGTCCATTATAATATGATGTTTCAATATGGAATGAAAATTGTCCATTATTAGAAGAATTAGATGTATCTGGAGATTCTTGGGTTTCACAATCTTTTGTCTTAGGAATAGCATAACATTAAAATCTTAAAATATTTTGGTTAGGTCATTTTGAGCATGGAGACTTAGATTGTGATACAAAATTATAATAATATCCTCCTGAAGGATTATTCTTGGAAAGCATATTTAAGAAAGAAACTAGTTTTCCAAAATTACATACATTACATTTAGAACATGATTGCAATTTAACTTATTGGTTATATGCAAGAATATCAAAATTAAGACCCAAATTATTTTTTAGATGATTCAATACTAATTCAATTGTTATTTGATATTTTCTATATTTAACAAACACTCTGGATCTTTATTATATATTTTAAGATATTATGCTAGTTTTATTAGATTTTTTGCATCTTCACTTCTACAACAAACAAAATAATCTCTTAAATTTTCATCCCATGGTGAAGCTCTACAAGCAAGTAATAATCTAATCATCTCTAAATTATCTGTTAATAAAGCAAAATAAAGAGGTTTTTATAAAAAGAAGTCTTCTGAATTAACATTAGCTCTATAATATAACAATAATTTGACCATTTCAATAGATTAAATCATTACTCCTATATGAATACCATACTAACTTTATTCATTAAAAGAACCTATAAATTAATTATTCTAATCTAACATTTATTTAACTGCTTATATATTATTTTACTAAACAAATCTTAAAAATGCAATTGAACCTGGCATTTAGTATGGTATTGTTATATCATTCAATATATATATATAAATATCTAATTACAATACAAATTATTAAAATTTTTAGAGTAACTAATCATATATATATATATAAATTAAATACATCTAAAACAAATGTTTTTTATTTAATAGCTTTTTTAGATAAAATTTTCATTTTATGAATAATTCTTCTTTTTTTTACCCTCTTTTCATAATAAATAGGATAGAATTCAATTAATTCTTCATCATCTCTTTTTTTATCTATATCAAAAACAGTTTAAGAATAAGATGATATTAATTCTGAAATTTCATTCTTTTTTATTTTTGTTATCTTTTTTGTATATCTATATGGTTTATAAATAATTGATTATGGTATTTCACTATTAAAATCTTATCTTATTTATTATTTTTCTTTCAATTTTTATATACTTTATTCATTCTATGTAGATTCATTATATTATTAGAGATAATTATCAAATTAATCATCTTTTCTCATTGATTTTTATTCAATAACAAATTATAACCATTTATTACTTAAAAATCTATCTAAACCTACTCTTGGATCTGTACTTTTTCCTAATCCCATTTTAGTAAAATTATCAAATGTAGGACTAGGTTGTTTTAATTATCTGATAGATCTTTAAGATTTGAGTTTTAATTGGGCTTTCATAGATAATGTATTAATATTTTTAGTTTAAGTAATGAAACATTTAAGAGATTCAGATAGTTTAATTAGATTAGTTGGTGATGGGTCTAATTAATCATCTAAATCTTTTAGAATCTTTTAAGAGACAGATATTTATGATTTTTGAAGTTTTCTTCCATAATTTTTAAATGAAGTTTTACTATTTGATCCTACCAATTCTTAAACTTTCTTAATATCCTTACTTTTAACATTATTATAATTATTATTCTCATTTTTAAGGTTACTTGTTACAATTTATCTCATTTACATAGAATTTCTTGATCTTGCAGGTCCATGAGGTGAAAAGAGATGAGAAATCTAATTAAAAGATTTTGGTGTTAATTTTGATTTTTAAGGTGTTGGTGTTGTAATAGGAACACTAGGTTAAGAGACAATTTATTTTTGATCCTCTGTAACTTAAGTTTCTAATTCTAGGGATTATTTTTTAAGGAAGTTATTATCTGTAATAGTATTTATAGTGAATAATTTATCAATAGATTATTATCGCCTTTATTCAAAGAATTCTTTAAGTTTTCTATTTAGAAAATCCCAATTCATAAAATAATAATTTGCATAATTCTAATTAGAATATTATCAATAATCTACTAAATATAGGTTCATCAAATATCTATAGAATAATTTCAAGTAGAATGTAATGATTAAAATGGATTATATATAGTTATTAAATTCAATTAGAAATCATAAAAATATGTTCTAAAAAATGATATTTCTATGATTTCTATAATCAAAAACAATAAACAAATTATTTTTAGTAACATTATTAAAAGTTGAATTTGAATAGAGAACATGATTAAATCCAATAGAAAGTCTTAATAATATAAGTTTACTTTTATTTGTTGATATTAAATAACATAGATTAGGGTATAAACATTTTGATAAAAAACAAGATACATTAATCTGTAATTTATAGATTTAACAACTTAAGAAGAGAGTTTAAAAAAAGTAAGGTATAGGAATTATCAAAATTGTCTATGAGGTTTCTAATTTTGGGTTTATTATGATTGCAATTGATATATTTAATAAATCATGAATTAATTGGCTCTCGATAAAGTGAAACAATTCGAAAGTAACTCTGGTCTGAATTCTCCTTTAAGTATGACTTTCAGATTGTCAACTACTTTAAGATATCATGGTCGATAAATGAAAAGATAAAAATCAAGAAGTTAATAAAAGCCTTTTGTTTTACATTAGAAAACAATAAAAGGTCCATTTAGAAGGAAAAGCTGTTATTGTGATGAATGTGGATAATTGGGAACATTTTAATATAAATGCATGAACATAAAGGGGCCTAGGCCATATCGAAAAGCAATTCTTACAAGAAGAGCATCTAACTAACATATGTATATTTGTTATATTAGATTGATTAGATAATCAGCTTAACCAAAATCAGTTTAACGAATAAAGCAAGCATTAAAAAAAATGAAGACTTATGATGAAAGTAAAATAAATGCAATGCAGGATAGTAATAAAAATCCATAGACTTTATAAGTTATATAAGAATAAATGACAAAATTGCATTCATATTTCTCAAGACAATAATAATAACAAATAAAAGTATATTAATTAGCATAATATACTCCAAATTGTTCTCCAAAACATTCAAAAACGCCTAGAAATTTACCTTACTTATCGCCTTATGTAACACTGAGGAAAATAGATTCATAATTGCTAAAACCATTAAAGCCAGCTTAATTAATTTAATAGAGATCATAACTATTGACTATGCATAGAACAAAATATCATTAGAAAACATTGTCAACTGTTAGTCCACTTTGAAACTATTAATTTCTTTTTTTGATATAATAGTTAGTATTTCATTTACATAGTTTTGAATCAGTATGTAGTAGTTTTTGACATGAAAATAAACATTAAATTTAATATAATGATCATCTCTAATATGATATAAAATATATCTCGTGTATCAGATAAGATGTAGACAGAAACTAATTCAATAATCTACTCTTTAAATAAGTTTAAGAGAAGTAGTTTAAAGAATAGAAATTACAAACAATATCAAGAAGATTTCATCAATACAAATGAAATTTAATTAAGAAGAAAGAGTTGCTATTGTAGTGAATGTGGTCAACTAAGTTAATTTCAATATAAGCATATAAATAATTATGTTTAGATAAAAAAATGCATAACTCTCTAAAAAAATTAGATGATGAGCAAATCAATGAAAATTATGTAAAATTCATTAACATTATCACATAATAGTCCTACTTCAAATAGATCATCTATTCTAATTTAGAGACATTAATTTAGAATGAATACTTGCAGAGAAATCTAATAATCTCACATTTATAATATATCACCTGCAAGATTAACTTCAATGAAAGAAAATGCAATTGTCAATATCAATAAAAATAAAGAATATTATTATAATGAATTATTGGAATAAATTAAGAAAAAGAATCGATTACATTTTCGTTAACTTAGTGTACCTTAAACAAAAAAAGAGTAAGAACCTTAATTGATTAAAAAACATACTTAAACATCTTCAATCCATAGAAAATAGAAACCAGATATTAGACCATATTTTAGTCATTTAAAATTGAAACCAATAAATTAAAAATTCTAAACTTCTCACTTTGAAATCTGAATTCGAAATATAAATTTATGTCATTTACTATGATTACCTACTATTCTTAATATTGATTCTTATATCTCTTATAATTACTAAGGATGTGATTCTTAGATATTTTATTTTAATGTTTGCCAATGTGTATTGGAATTCATATTCAAATCTTGACTATTATTTAATGTAAATAATAGACCAAAAAGTGATTAAACTAATGGTTTTAATTCTATTCACAATGAAATCATAAGATAAATAATTACAATTATCATTCTCTAAAAATTAAAACTTTTACATTAGTAATGAATTTAATTATGAATTTATTTTTTCCTTTGAAATAAGAAATAACATATATATACATCTTATTATTTATGAATGATCTACTTTATTTCAAGATTTTTCTTCTCTTCTTCAGGTTCAACATTATTCTAATCTAATTCTCTCTCCATATAAGCCAATGGCATACTCAATACCTTATCTAGATTATTATTCACCTATTACAAAGCTTTAAATATATTAATAAATTTTATTTACAATAACCACTTAATCCTCTCATTCTAAACTTAGTCATAACATGTTTAGAAGCAGAATCAAAATTCTTTATTTATTACAATGACCATTAATAAAGTGCTTTAAATTCTTAATCTTCTATAAGATTTGGTTCATTTTATAATCTCTAACTTAATTACTTTAAATGTCCAACCAAAGCATATTTTCTGAAATGCTAAATTATGATACCTCTATAAAATTCTAATCATAAATGCTGCAGCATAATGATCTAATTCTTATACAATACTAGAAATCAAAGTATTTTTGTTTTCATTCTATGTATTAAAACTTAATTATTATTGCATATCAAATCGATCATCACTCATTTATTTACTAATAAACTTCTCTTCTCTTATGATAATAAATAATTCATATATACAATTATATATTTTAATCTGATATCTTGTGAATTCCTAATTCTGGTTATGAAAATTTAATAGTTATACTAGGTAAATTAGTAGATAAGATAGATCCAACATGAACATGTTTGCATATAGGATGAATAGCATATACTGTTTAACCAACATTAAATGGTGCCAATCTAACAATATCATGTATAAGATCTAGATTTCTTATATCTCTATGAATAGGATAATTCTAATCAAATAAGTAGTTTCTAATAACAGATCGATATTTAGTCAATTTACTCATTTCTTATTAAAGAAAATAAAATGAAAATCTTCTAGGTTATCCTACAGCCTAATAAATTTTAAATGAAATTCTACCATTTTTATAATTCTCCATTCTGCTATAGATTTTGATCCCAAAGGAATACTTGCTTTACTTAACATCTATTAAAATTCATTTAGACTAAAATAAGTATAATCTAAATGTGAATAAAAATATTCATGTTAAATCCATTTACAAAACTTGAATTTAAAATTATGTATAAATACATTCTGACTAATATTTTTGTTATCATAAACAATTTCATTATTGAAACATTATGTTTTACTGAAATAATATGTCATATCCTTTGCATTCTCATCCATATCGAATTTTTAAGGAATACTCTTACGATCTTGTGTTTATGCGATAATCTATACAATTTTAATTTTTCTTAATCTTCTTAATAGGTCGTATATCACAAGGTTCATTTTATTCATAATGATCTCTTAATATCAGATACAAGTCATGGGCGGTACAATTTTGATTTGATTCCAAGAAGTTTTTATTCTTCATCCATAATTAATCTTACCTTCTTATATACAGATAATAAATTTGTTGTTGTTCTTTGATATCCTAATTGTCTCAAAGTCTCTTACATTCTGCCAACCCCTGCCAATTATTATTACCTAAAGACTAAAATCAATTTATTCATTCATTCATACTCTTTAAAAACACTTCCAATTCTATTTCATTCCATTATTGTCCTAAATCTATTCTAAGTTTTGAAATATCTATTTATTCAGGAAATTCGTTCATATAAAAATTAATATATGTATTAAAACATCATTTATTAAATACAATAACTAATCTATGTCTTTCTAAATGTTCCAAAACTTCTTAAATATCCACTATTCTATTTAAATGAATCTTAAATTTATCAAATTATTAATTTAGATTTTGATGAACCTCAATTAAATCTCTAAATACATCAAATTAAATATTCTACCTTTCAATACATTATTGAATCCCATCAATTATATATTATTCTACTCAAATCTGTATTTAGAAATTATTACTTAATAAATTATCAAAACAAAACCTTATAGTAAAATGATTAACTAAACTTAAATTTCAATTTAATACTCTATATATAAATTCTTATATTTGTTTACTCCTTTTATATTATTATTTACATATATATATAATTATATAGATTAATTTTATAAATTTAATCCATTATCATAGCTTCCTATTTTCTTTTATGAGATATTTAGATTAAAATTAATATTTCTTATCTGTTAAATATCACCTTAGAAATATATTGATTTAATTATTGTGTATAAGGAATCGAATAAATTGGGAATAATTAATTATAAATTATAAAAATGGATGATTTTGCAATTGCTGTAAGTAGATATAGAAGAAGAAAATACGATTAGTCAATTCAATTATGTGATAAGATTCTTTAAGCAAATAATTTAGATTAATCTGCTTGGGTTTTGAAGGCTAGCAGTTTAATAAGAAAACTGTTTTTAGATGATATTGAAATAGATGAATAAGGAATTGGTGATTAATTAATGAATGATGATTCAATAAATACAGTTGCTAGACCTGGTACAAGCTTACAAAGACCTGGAAGCTAAGCTGGATAAGTATTAAGAATATATTATTTTTGGGTATTCGACCAATGAGTAAGATGGGGAGATTATAATCTGGATTTGCTAGACCAATCACAAATCGATAGGATACATAAGAAAATGCAGTAAAGACTGCAAGAGTTGGTACAAGATTGGGCACTGCAAGACCTATGACATAAGGAGGAAGATATATAAGATTAGGCACAGCTTCATTATAATAGATTGGAGATTAATTCATTATGGTTGATAAATTAGATCTGAAAAAAATGGCTAGTAAACCTGTCATATCAAGAATTTTATGTGATTATTTAATATATGTTGAGCATAACCCAAGAAAAGTAAATAATTAAAATTAATTTAGGCATTATAATTGGCTGCAGAAGCAACTTAAGTAAATAATTTTAAGGATTGGTGGTGGAAGGAACGTTTAGGAAAAGCATATTTTATGTTAGGACTCTATAGAGAAGCAGAAAAACAATTTGAAAGTTCTTTAAAATCGCAAGAGATGATTAAAACTTAGTTGCAATTAGCAAAGTATTAGAAATTTAAATCTATTAGAGTTTATTTAAGAATAGATTAGCCAATAACTGCAATAGAATTATATAAAAAAAATGGTGAACGATATCCTCATGAGATTTCATATTTGATAGGAATTGCTAGAGTTTATGATTAATTAAATTAACCTGAAAAAGCCTTACCTTTTTATTAAAATGCATTAATTAAAGATAATTGTAATATTGAGAGTGTGGCTAGTTTGGGTGCTTAACATTTTTATCTAGATTAACCTGAAACTGCCTTACAATTTTATAAAAGATTAGTAATAATATTAAATATTAATTATAGTTATAATTGGGACTTTATACAGCAGAAATTTGGAACAATATAGGATTATGCTGTTTTTATAGTGGATAATATGATTTATTCTATTCATGTTTTGAAAGAGCATTAAGTGTTGCTGATGATTAATAAAGAGCAGAAATATGGTATAACTTATCACATGTAATAAATAAATTAAATTTAGATATTTATTAATTTAGGTGATAGTGGAACTGCATATTAATGTCTTAAAATATCATTATGTTATGATCCTCATCATGGAGAAGCATATAACAATTTAGCAGTATGAGATAATAAAATATATTTAGGTGGTTCAATCTAAAAGGAAAGAATTTGACAAAGCAAAACTTAACTTTTAAAAAGCCATAGAAAGTAATGAATTCATTTATGAACCTATCTATAATTTAAGTGTATTGCATTTCAACCAACAAGATTATTCTCAATGTTATTTATTGGTTCAAAAAACACTTAAGTTATTTCCTGATCATTCTGATTCATTGGAATTAAATGAGAAAGTATTACAAGTATTATAATAAATATGATTTATATAAATTTAATATAACTCATTCGAAAAATATATAAATTGAATTTTTACTATCTTTAAGATGTATATTATAAGGATATTATATAATAATTAATTTAAAAAAGAGAATTGTTTTACTCTCATATAAAATATAAATGGTTGTAGAATAATAAAGAGGACAAATTTATAATGACTTAATAAAATCATTAATATTGATTGTTTAACTTTAAATTTATATATTTATCTATAATAATAAGTTAAATAAGAAAGTAAATTAGACTTTTCCATTTATATATATCTTTTTAGGAATTATAAAATTAACTTCGTTTAATATCACAGATATTGAGTGTATGAGAATTAATTTATAATAAATTCAATCTATTTTAATATAATTATTATATGGAATATATAAACATAATTTTAATATATAATAATTATGTATTCTCTAATAATTAGAATTTATATAAAAATGGAAATAGAAAATGATAATTTGAATAGTAATATAGAGTAAATAAAGAAATATTAATATAGAGATGTGAAATATGAAAAATGTTTAATTTTTTGATTCAATAAACAAATATATATAAATATTTACATCACTAAATTTATAACAATTATTATGAATAAGAGCAAGAGGAGGTTTACATTGATTATTATTTCTTATGTTTAAAAGTTTAAATATCTTCAATCCATATTGCTATAATTATAGACAAGATCAAAAATCCAATAAATAGTTTTGTGATGATGGGATATAATTTGATTGAATAATTAAATGTTAAAACTTCAAGGATATTGTTATCAAATAACAAAAGTAAATAGATTTCTAAGCTTAGTATTACTGCAATGAAAATGATTGATATTACCTTAATGATAGTACTGCATTTTAGAGTACAGAAGTAGTATATTTTGCAAATAAAAATACACAATAATAATATAAATTCAGCCAAGGATAATGGCCAAATGAGGTGTAAAAATTAACAGTCTTCACAATCTACAGTGAAAGTATCATATTAGCCATCATAATTTAAACATCTTTCTTAACCAGTGAATGAGATTGTACATATTTGAGGTGAATATATCTCATATAAATTTGTGAAAAAGAGTGTAAACTCAAATATTGTGGCAATACCCAACATTATCAGTTATGAAATAAGTGATATTTTTACACTGTATGGAATATTTTCTTTCGTCATTAAACTATATTCTTTATTCATTTTAATACACTATAATTATTTATATTAATTCATTGATCATGTATAAGAATTAGATGTATATGAATAAAGTCAATTACTTAATAATAATATGAATACAAATTTAATAATTAAAATAAAATATGTATAGCAATCTCATCAGCTCTAGTCAAATGACTCTAAAAAGGGAGTCTAGTATTAATTTGATAGAGTAGAATGATATGGTACTAATTATAGAGCCTAAAACATTATTCTAATGTTTATCAACATTACTATTTTAAACAGACATATATCAATAATAAATACAAACCTTATGTTTATAATAATTTAAATAACATCATAAAACATTGAATAATGTAAGTTCATTGGCTGAATACATAATAAATTAATAATCTGAGCAGTTTGAATATGTAAATAATTTGTCAATGATAATAGCTCAATTTAGAGCTGATCTCTTAGATTTTTAAGGTGAAGATTGAATTGTACTTTATTGATGATGGTCTTTTGTCTATGATAATAAATCATGGATATGTTAGAACAATAAGAATATTCAAAGAGGATTATAATTATTATGAATTATAGACAAATTCTTATAGAAAGAAGTTTAAGTTTATAAAGAAGATAATAGATTAAACAATTAATTCATTCTTATAAATTAACAATACAGTCTAATATAAAAGACCTTTATCAGAAGAAGGAAGTTAGAAACTGCATCCATCATTGAATGTAGTGCTTTCAATGAATGATTTAGGACATATTGGATTGAGTGTTTAAAGTGCAAAAACTCAAAAGATTGATAAATAGTATCAAACTTCAACACTTACACCATAAATATAAAAAATTATGAATGTTAACTAATAATATTCAGCTAAATTACCTAATGCTCCAATAACTCCAATAACTTCATAAAAAGCAAAGAAAGTCTTTAATTTTCGAGATTTTCAAGAACATTAAGTTGCTTAAATAATAGAGGAATAAGAGGATACAAAATTTTTATAAGAGATTGTTACGTATAGAAAATAATTTAATTATTTAGAAAAACCTAATAGAATCCATAATAAACTCAATAGTAAATAATTGCAAGTTAACCTGAAAGAGTGATAGGATATTTAAAATTCTATAATGAAAGTAAATAATATGGATTTTTTTTGGATGATAAAAATAAGAAAGACATATTTGTTCATTAAGATGATTTTAAAAAGTCTTGTGTAGATCCAGAGTGTTATGAAAAAAAGAGGAAAGGATTAGTTCCTTATTTTAGTTATCAAGTTATCATTTATTAGGGAAAGAAGTAATAAAATGTAAAAGCTATTGATATTAAATTTGAAAGATATGATTAATAAAAATGAAAAATATAAATCTTAATATAATATATTGAAAAAGGTATGAAAAATAATAAATAAAATAAGAAAAAATGCATTAAAATAATGCTGATCTAATTAGACCTGGATGTAGAGGAGGACATGATTAATTCAATTGGGAATCTTTAAGAACAATGAAATATCATGATCGTGAATAATATTTGGGATAAACAACAATAATTGGTTATTTAGATAAAGGTGGAAAATGGAGAAAGAAAGATTGGTATATTAAATCTGAAGATCGTAATGGTTTAGATTTAAATAGTATATTAATAAAATCATATTGTATTATAGAATTAGATGATGAATTTAAAAATGCAAAAGAAGAGGATGAAAGAAGAATAAGAATAGCTTTGGGAATAGAATAACCAGATGATTAAAAATAGATGTAAGTAAAGTTAACTAAAGAAGAAATTGTATAATTAACAAAAAAATCAAAAATTGATTTTGATGATGAATTAAATAATGAAAAGAAAGGATTAGGAAATGGTCCTATGTAAAAATAAACTAAAAATACAGAAGCATAATATTTATTAGAAGCATATGGTCATTAAGATTAATATTAAGTTTAAGTAAAGAAAGAGGAAGATGGATGTATTGAAAAGAAGATCAAAAAAGATAAAAAAAAGAAAGAAAAAAAAGAGAAGAAAAATAAGGAAAATAAAAATAAAGAAGAAAAGAAACATAAAAAACATAAAGATAGTGAAGAAAAAAAAGAAAGAAAAAAAAAGAAATGATAATAATTTTACACTAAAAATATTTTAAATAGACAGTTAGTCGTTTGAATATATGTGATCAAAATCATGAATTGATAAAGAACTTCATCGATATCCAATTTAGATAAACAATGAAAAATACGACTACTGAAAGTAATGGTATAGTAAATCCAACAACTGAATCTTGAATTAGAGATAAGGTCATGACAAGTATCATTAATATGACAGCTATAATGAGAATCCATCCAATGACTTCATTAATTTTCTGATTCGAGAAATTGACAGAGTTGAATCTTTATTCATAGATGTTAATCGGTCCAGAAGGGAATTCCTTTTTTTAAAGTTAATAAGTATTTTTGGCTTTTTCCTTTTATAATATCAGTTAGTATTGATTCACATTGATCTGTACATTGAGGGTAGCCATGATTGGTATTAAATAATTTTATTTATTTATTTTAAAACTGTTTTGAATTCCTTATCCAAATTTTGCATTTGAATTTCTTTTTTTATATAATTAATATGATATTTCTAATATTATTACACATCCAAATACTATTTGCATTTAGGAAACTCAATATTACTCATCCTCATAGTACCCTTTATAAAAATTACATAATATTCAATCAAGACAATGATATTGCTTATTCCTATCTTTAAAATCCAAATCACTATTCAATTATATCTGAAAACATGACAGAATTTTGTCTCCAAAATCATTTTCTTGCTGTATGGTATTATTCATAGAAACTAATTTAGGAATCAAGATCTAATTATCGTATATTCCCTTTATGAAAAATAAAATGAAACCACTATTAGTATAACATAATCATTTAATATTACTAATGATAATTTCACTAACATAACTATCACATCCTCCTACTTTGTTGCTTAATATTAAAACTAGTCTTTATATGTCAAGAATATATTAACTCAAAATACCAAAATACTTAATTTTACATTAGTAAAACCAAAAAATAATTCTCATACATCGATTTAAGTTTATAATTATGATACAAACTTAACATTTACATATTTAAATACAGATCATTAATTTCATATAATTTATCTTAATGAAAACATTCATCAACTTGATGAGAAAGTTTGGTTTAGTACTCAGAATGGTGTATTTTCAACATAATATTGGAATAATGGAACTGCAGTATTTATGAATTCTCAATAAATTAATTATACTGTACCAACTAAAGTATTATTTTGGTATCATGAAGATTCAAAAATAAAAATAAAATATCTATTTTCAATTTAAGATGCTTATGTATTTGCTATATTCACAAATAAAGGAATTTGTTATTAATATTATAGTAAGAGTCTATAAATAAATTATTAAAATATTCTTTGTATGAAAATAGAAGAAGAATATTATTAAATTTAAGATGTAAATTTTAAATATAGACTCTAAATTTTACTTAAACATAATTAAACAAATGAATTGGCAATAGATTATTATAATTAATGTTTATTATTTTCAACAGTTCCAGTTGAGAATTCATGTTCTTCATGTTTATTTGAAAATTGTTTGAATGAATGTCACACAATTAAATCATATTAATGTAATGATAGTTACAGAATTAGAGCTAGTTTACCTTTTGTTCTTATATGTCTTTGCTTTATTTGTATAATTGTTTCATTTTTAATTCAAATGCTTAAAATTTTAACAGTTTTCTTATAATTTTTATACTTATTTATTAGTTAGCTTTGTTGTAGATTACCAAAATATATAATACTTAAAATTAAAAGAATATCAATAAAATTACGTAAAAGAATGACTCCTTTACCATTAACTAATATTTAAACATGTCCAATTTGTTTAGGAGATGTAATAGATGCAAAGATGTTTCCTTGTAATAGACATGCAGCTTGTTTTGACTGTTTTTCATAATATGAAGCTACTTTTGTAAATTAATAGATAAAATGTCCATATAGAGATGAATGATTAAAAGGTCCAAAAATTTAATGATCTTATAACAACATATTTTATTTCTGATAATTCTTATCATTTTAATATCTAGAAAGTATTTAAAAGATATGATATTGGTATTATTTTATGATAATTAATATTTCACCAAGATAAAATATTATTTTATTATTAATGGGATCATAGTGTTGTGTGTAAGAGCGAAGTATCAATAGAGCATCTATTGCATCTAAGGCCATTCAAGATGAGTTAGAATATATGAAGGAATTAACCTTTGGTCAGTAAAGAAGACATATCTTGTTATATGAAGACAAACCTATATGTTATTTCTTGAGTAAAATTGAGTTATCTAATGAAACAATTACAACTGCTTATTCTTTGAATGAAAGAGGAACTATAAATGAATTTGAATAATATGAACAAATTTAGGGAGAGATTATAAAACAAATACAAGAGAAATGTGATTATAGTAACAATCAAAATGATGATTGGATTATCTTATGTGATAATGTTAATACCAAAAGTTCGTTGAAATTATTTATTAAATAAATTGAAGTTGATAATTAAACAAAAGTAAATGCAACTAGATGTGAATTTATTGTTCCTGGATAACCTCAAAATTTTATTGATTTTATGAGCAATTTTCAAAAATAAAAAGAATTAGATCCTCGTATTGATGCTTTTTATCCTATTAAAAAGAATGAGGAATCTAAAGAATCAGTTATATACTTAAGTTATAAACCAATATTAATGACTTCTGCAAGAGAATTCATTTATTATAAAAAAACAAAAGAAATTGATACAAATGTTTTATATTTAATATTTATTAAAATAGGTTTGGTGTGACGTTAGTAAATCTATTACAGATTCTTAATATCCAATTAAGAGTAAAGTGAGAGGTGAAATTTTATTGAGTGGTTACATAATTCAACCACTTTAAAATTTAATAAATAACGATTACATTAATAATAGGTATTTATTTGTTAAGAAAATGAAGATTCAAAGATAAAAACTTTAATGATTATTCTTATGTAAGAATGTACTCTTTATGTGATTTTAAAATGTCTATTCCTCTTTATATGGCTAAAGGACAAATAAAATAAGAAATGATAAGATATATTGATTTAGTCTACCAGAAATTATAATGAAAAATTATTAAGATTTCCAAATCTATCAAAATAGATAGTAATTTATTCATTTATTATGATGATCATTTCTTCTCATCATAAAAATCTAATCTTTCTAAATCTGTTGTTAACATATTATGAAATTTATTGAATTCTGCTTATATGTATCCCATTTATTTACTAGTTTAATGAATTTATATTCTCTCATCTTATTTTACATGTGCTTAATAATTTGATGCAACTGAACATATTTCTTTAATCTCCTATAAATATTACGAATTATGATTCGGTTTGAGATGGAAAGTTCTATTCTTTGGAGGAGAAAATGAATTTTATTATGAATTATTACAAGAATGCTAACTTTTTTCTTTTCTTTTTTAAGGTGCTATTGGAGTTGACATTAATTATTTGAACTTCATTTATACAGGATTATCAGCTACAATCCCTATTTTTTGATAATACTTTTTGAATCGATCATAATTAGGATCTACAAGTTGAGTATTAGTATTTATTTTTATTGGAGATACAGATGAATGATTACTAGGAGCAGTAGCAATTTCACGAAGTCGAAATTCTATTGATTATCTTCGAGTAAGAAACTAAAATTTATGATGTTCTTTTGTTCCTTAAGGAGGTTAAAAGATTTGACTATGTTTTGAGATACTTTATCTCGATTTTTCAATTAATGATTTATAGTTGTTGGACATTATAGTCCATTTTTCTTCATTTATTTCATCTAATTTTATTATTGGGTCAATAACAACTTTTTAGAATGTTTTAAAAAGCAATAATTTCTTTTTCTTTGGCTCTTGATTAAATTCAACATCATGTAAAGGTGTTTAGACCTCTTCTGCACTTTTTCTTCTTACCATATACTTAATTACACTTTTACTTTAATCAGCTTTTATATTCTCCATTTTCTTTTGGATTTATTACAGCTTTTTAAACTAAATGATAACCATATTACTTACATATTCTTAATTAACTTTTGTATTCTACTCCATTAAATTTTATTAAATGGAATAAATTCTAATTCCTATATAACCAGTATGAATTACTTTTTAACTTGATCAAAAACTCATCTTTTCTGTTAATTTTCGATATAAATTAAAACAATTAGAACAAAAATCAAAGAAGTGAAAGATAAACTTAAATTTTATTATACTAATTGAATTATAAATAACTAATCTCTTTAAATGAAGAAATTTGAAAATCTATATAAATGAGTACTCAATTTTTTATTTATTGTTATAGAACAATTTAGAATTGAATGATAATACCTATGTAATCAAAATAATGATAAATTATATAAAGTATAATATAATATATAGAAAATATCATTTTTATTTATGATTGGATAACTTAATTATATAATCATTAATAAAAAGTACAAGTTTAATTTCAGTAAGATGAGATTTATAATTTCAATTAATTGATATAAATGTTTAATCTTTTTTATTTTCCTCATTTCAAAAATAATAAATATTATTTTAAATGAAATGAATAGAATGCTTTCTATTGTTATCTTTAGATTTAAATATTTATTGATTAGATAATATATAATAGTTAATTAATGTTAAAAAATTAATATAATTAACTAATTTTATTAATTAAATTATATAGTTAAAATAGATTGTATTTTTATTTCCTTCTTTTAATACTAATATTATTAACAAAATTACTCAACTTAAAACTATGTTTTAAAATAAGTGGATTTGTCAATATAATAAATAAAATATAAAAAATATTTATGAATTATTTAACTAATTAATTAGTTGATTGTTTCTCTTCATAAATTGATGATTTTAATATCAATGATGTATTTGACTATTACTTAAATAGAAATGTATTTAATAGATTATTATATTTATAATATACACTTAATAAATCAATCAATTCCCTCCCATTCTTATAAAAATTGATCTAAATAATTCACCATAATTTAATGTCTTTTTTCAGCAATTTTTTTACCAGTTTCTGTGTTCATTCTATCTTTTAATAATAATAGTTTTTCATAAAAATGATTAATAGTAGTTGATTCATTTTTTTTGTAATCTTAGAAGTTTTCATGAAATTCAGGTTTCTAATCTGGATTAAATAATTATCTATTTTTGTATCCACCATAAGTGAAACATCTGGCTATACCAATCGCTCCAATAGCATCTAATCTATCAGCATCCTAAACTATTTGTCCTTCAAAGGTTGACATCTGATCTTTCACTTTGGCGCCTTTGAAGGATATTTCTTTAATGATATCTTCTACTTATTTAATTAATTCTTCATTAGCTTCTCCATCTTTTTCTAAGAATTATCTTGCTACTTTAGGTCCAATAGTATCATCTCCTCCATGGAATTTATGATCTGCAATATCATGTAATAAAGCTCCCAATTAAACCAAATTCATATTAACATTTTTGATCTTACTCTCTTCATTTGCTATACGTGTGGCCATCTTCATAACTCTTTCAATATGAAAGTAATCATGACCACTTTCAGCATGACATAAAGTTTCTTTCACAAATTAAATTGTTCGATTAATCATAATTTAAAAATTAATATCATTTATAAATTACATTTCAATTTGCATTAGTACTATAAAATGTATTTGTTACAAATATATATAAAAATTCACAAATATTATTAATTTAAATACTCTATGTAAGAATTTGACCCTAATTTTTATATAATTTCCAATTTCAATCTTTCTAAAGCAAATACTTATTCTCTTATTTTATCATAAGCTATACCAAAATTTTTTGTTGCTCTCTTATTTAAATAAATAAATACAATTCTAAATCTATTGTTCCTTATTTAAAATAATCTCTATAATTTAAACATGGATTATGTTCAAGTATAGGTTAAATGAACATATCAGTTCCTTTTTTGGCTGATTCCATCAATTTTTTAACTTCAATAGGTATTGTAGTCTCAATTAATAGATTTATTAATTCAGTGCAAACAATCCATCTTCTTTGAGATGTTGCACCAAAATTATCATGCAATAATTTAATTGAGTGTAAATCATTTAATTATGTAATTGATCTATGATAGTCTTCAATGAAATTCTCAAGCTAAATTAAAAAATACTATATAATTAATTACTTAAATATTTTTAATTTTGTTTTATTAAACTACATATTCTAATTATTGTAATTGTTCTGTTAATTCTTATACTTTATTTTCTAATAATTCTATATAGATTTTTTTCCTCTTCCTAGAATTTCTTGCAGATTCTCTATTTTTAACCAATCTATTCTTTCCATCTGATGAGTCACTATCAACAATCACTTTTTAACGACTATAAAAATAATCAATATTTACGTTTGTTTTTGTTTGCCAACTAGAGTGGGTTTATCTATTAATTATTGAATTTTATTGAGATATAAGCTTTTAGATTAATTTGTTTGAAAAACTTCTTTATTTTTTTTTAAGAGCTCTTCATCTTTATTTTTTTTAAATTTCTGTAATAATTCTCCTCCAACCAATGCCTTTGATCGTTCTGGCATTATAGGTGCTTATTACAATACCTATTCTTCCATAATATTACAATCGTTTTCAAACATCCAATCTTATTCGGCTCTATAATCTTCATCCATATATACTACAGAGTAATTATTTTGGTTTATTATATTCAAAAAAGTATCTGATGGAACAATCTAAAATGGGTTACTCATATATTTATTAATAAAATATAATATTCCCTTTCATATTAGATTATTTCAAAATAGTTTTTTATTCATTCTAAACTTAAAATAAATTTAAATCAAATCAAAAGATTAAATAAGTTTCTAAAAACTCAGATGATTAATCATCCTTTAAATATTATAATTAGCTTCATAAATATATTTCTATTTTATTTCAAAATTTATAAATGATTGCTGATTTCTTTTAGATTTATTTATCAAAAGTTTTCATTATTAAAATTACAATACTCTCTTAATTTCTAATTAAATACACAAAATTTTCTATAAAAAGATTTTAAAAGTATCTACTAAATTAAAATTTTAAATCTTAAACCTATAATATTTATAAAATTGTTAATTTTTTAATTAGAAATAATGTAAATCTAGATAAGTTATAATTGAATTAAGAATAATAATTCTACAGTAAATTTGCAAATAGAAAAATTATAAAATAGAAATTATAATGAATTTACAAATTACAAAATATAAACTATGAATTATTTTAAATGCATGGATATTCATTATTAATAATCATAGTTGAAATGCCAAATCTACATTTTTAATACCATCTCCAAAATAGGCATATCCAAAAATTCTTGTTCCTGCTCTATGATAACCTAAGAAGCCTGGCCATTAAAGATTACGTATTGTAACCTAAATATAGATGAATATGATTACTTGATATTTAGAGGAATCTGTTTATAAACTCCATTATCCAACTGGATGGTCATCTAATTAATCAAAGAAATCATAATGAAATAGAGCATCATCTTAAGCAATCAATGCTTTTTTATTGGGACTCTAAGGTGCTCTGAAATGCTAATAATTAGATATTTTAGATGCTTCTTAAAGTGAGAGTCCTTCGAATGAATCATTATATCTAAAAATAATGTTAAGTAAATTTGAATTACCTTAATTCATGAGTAGGAGTCAATCTAACTGCACCAACAGGAAGAAGTGCACATTCGAATTCAATTGCATTAACCACATAAGCTAATCTATCCACTTCCAAAAAATTTTTGGGAGGTGGCTTAATTTCTACATCTGAGTCATCATCATTTTTTACAACTTGTTATGGTTCATCTGGGTTTGGTTAATCAGCAGGTGGTTAATCTCCATCTTCACCTGTAATATTAATAAGTATTTTTTCAGGTTATCCAGAAAATAATTGTCTGAAAGTTTCAACTTATTCTTTGTATTCTGGATTGAGTGGTGGTAAATTTTAGAATTCCTTTAAATTTGCAGTGTAGAAGAATGTTTTGTGAGGGAATTCAAAATTATTTTTGAAATTCAATCCAATAGCAATATAATAATTGGCAACTGTTCCTTCAATTCTTCCCCAAAAAAGTAATTAATCAAATGTCTAAGTTTGACTAAGCTTTATCAAAGCAATTTCTAACTTGATCCTTCATTACATTAATCAATACTTCTCTTCTGCACTCAAAGTTTAACCAATCTGATTAACAAATCTTAAGTCTTCAGGAATACGATAAATTTCCATTTATTTAAATATATATATATATATATATAATTCTAATTTTTATATTTATTTTGTTTATCTAAATAACTTATATGTATATAAATTATATATTGTAAAATTAAGAAAATAAATTTAATAATAAAATGTCCGATAATTAGTAATCGTCTGAAATTCAAGAATAAAATGTCTTAGACTCTGTTGTATAATAAGAATAACCTCAAGAATCTAAAGTTCTCAATACTTGGGCTAGATCATCAAAAGATCTAATTGATAAATATAAAAATAAGTTTGATGCATTCAAAGCCATGGCTGTTCAAGCAGGCTATGAAAATGTAACTTAATAATCAATAAAAATTGAAAATACTAATATAAACAATATAGAAGTTAATAGTATTAAATAAAAAATAAATCCATAAGAAAATTAGTATGGATTAACAAAAGTAGAAATTAAACCTATGGAAATATAATAAAGCATTAAATAATAATTAATATCACAAGAAATCTCTGATTAATAGAATGAATAAATTGAATAGGATGTTAAAAAAGAAGTAGAATATCCAAAATAATTAATGTAGCCAAATGAAACCTTTTTTAAATAAGAACCAATAAATTAATCAATTGATTCTGTTAAACATGATTTTTGTTTGAAATTAACTGATACTTTTAACATAGATTAATTCTCTGAAAAATAAGAAATATAATCCCAAAAAAAATTAGATGATTTATTTAATTTAGAATTTGGAAAGAAAAACTCTGATATGGATATATAAAAAGAAGTTGTCATTCCAGATACTCCAGCTGTAGCAAATAATTACATAGAATTATTAGATTAATTTAAGAGTGCTACTACATTAGAGGATCTAACTGATTTATTCAATAGAAGAACTCCTTTCAAAGAAAGAAATAATCAGTAAGAACTTCCATTAAATCCAATAAATAATAGTATCAATGTTAATATAAAAAATGATTAAAACCAAAAACAAAAAGTTAAAACTTTTGATAATTTATTATAACAATTTAATACTCCAAATAGATTAAATTAAGAAGTATTAATAGAAAATGGGAGTGGTAAGAATGGTGGAACTTATCTAAATTCTTAAGTTCCATAAGTTAACATTAAATTGTCTAATGGTAAATCTCCAAATGCAAGATTTGGTTTTATATAAGCAAGTCCATCTTCATAATATATTGGTATGTCAGGACAAAAAACAAAAAAAGAAAATACTTATCTAAATGCTAAAGTTTAATAAACAATGAATTTTACAATTGATGTTAAAGATAATCTAAAACCTTATAAAAGAAAAGATGAATTATCAAATTTCATGGGGAAATTAGGTTTAGGTAAATATGAAGCACCCAAGGTAACAATTAATTTGGATTAATAGAATGGATAAAGTAATAATTATTAATATTTTATAGATGCATTTGATAGATTGAAACATTATGTTAATAATATTGGGAATACTAGTGCAAAAAGAGCACCAAGTTCAGGATTAGATGAATTAGTGAATGATAAATCATTTAATACTTGCACTTTTAAACAATAAATGAAAGCATATAAAAAGGATAAAGGAGAAAGAGGAGAATCAACTTAAAAATAAGTTGTATCAGTTGAAAATCCAATGTTGCAAGATTAATCATTTAAAAATCTACATCTTAAATTATTACATCATTAAAGAGCAAATTCTTAAGTTGGAAAAGCTGTAAGGATTTGAGATATACTTTTATATAATTTATCAATTATCTGCTATATTTATATACTTCATGTACAAAAGACAATATTAGTAATTAATTTGCATAATTTAATTTATATTCATTGAGTTTCTTATCTATGTTAGTATTTTGATCCTGAAATAAAGATATATTGTTTAGTTAGGATATATATGTTTTGATTAATTTGTGTTATTTTATATAGATATTCAAGAAGAGCTATCTAATATTATAATACTATATATATATATGATAAAAATAAAAAGAGATAGTAAATCAAAAATTCATTTGAGTCGAAGTTAAAAATAGACTTGTTTGATAAATGATTTCACTAAATCTAAATTTTCATATGGTTTATTTCTTAATTTAAACTAGTGTTAATAATTAATTATACATCTAATTTTCTTAATTTTTTATGATCCACCAAACAACATAATCTAATTTCTTCTATCTTTTAAGGATATTATAGGTTTTCAATTTTTTAACATTATTCTGTTTTATTAAATGAGAATCTCTCAAATAATTTATTAAAATGTTAACAAGATCTATAAAGTTCTAAAATCTAAACACTTAATAAGGATTATAAAATCTTATTCAAATTTTTGTTTTAGTACTTTTTCTTTTAGATTTAATTCATGGCTGCATTTATGATTAATTCTATTGGATAAAATAAATAAGTAGTCATAAAGTAAATTAAAAAACAAAGGAATACAAATAGACAACCTTATTCAATTAATGAATTCGAAAATGTACTACTTAAATTTTAGTTCAAATTAGAATTGAAATCATCTGAAAACTTATTAAATTCTGAACTGCTAATCAACCTAATATATTATATGATAATTTACACAATAACAGACATATTAAATTAATGTAATACTTGTTAACTAACGAACATATCTTAATTATAAAATGAATTATATAGGCATTTAAAATTCATAGTTGTTGTTTAATTTTGGCAATTTGAATTAAATGAAGGATCAAATAAGCCTTTCCAATCTTATAAACTAAACCCAGTTATAGATTGATTATAAAAATAAAGTGGTATTTTATCAGAGGTGATATTGAAAGGATGCATAATCAATATACCATCTAAAGATGCAAGAAAAATAGATGTAAAATCATTCCCAAATTATTAAGTAACTTAATTTAATAAACTGGACGGAATCAAATCAAAAGCACCAGTTCCAATAAAGGAGAGATTTTAATCAACAAATGGGATTGCCATAGATAATCCAACACTTGTAGATTTGAATACTAAATTAATATGAAATTATAATTACGTATGTAAGGATAAGTTATGGAAAAATTGTATTTATCATATGATTTATGTGCTAAAAAATTTCTTTTAGCTTCAATATACCAAGATCTATTTTCAGGAATATAATTAGCAATATCATGTCTTTATAAGCAAGGATAAGTCATTAAAATGTTATCCCTTTTGACATAGCCATAGAGAAATGATTACAATGTTGTTCTACCTTAAAAAATAATCATTCCAAAACTCTGCATGGATTCTTAAGTTTTAATATTAATCATTTCTTATTAAGTATAAGGTGAATGAAATTTAGTCTTATTAGTGTAACAAAGACAAGAGAGTGTAGTGTTGTAAATACCTAATTTTGTTGTTTAAATTGACTTGGGAATTTTTGCATTAACACCTCCATAATTCATATTAAACTTAGGATTTAGAGGATTAAGTTGTGATGTTGTTTTATTTCTAAGATATGTGTAAAGTTAGAAGAATGATATCAATGTTTATCCATCTAATTATATATATATATATATTTACTAGTATGAAACAATGAAGTGAAGTATGAATTATATTCATTTAATTAAATTCTGAGCATTGAATTCGAGGTCTTGAGATAAATCTTTTGAGAGGATTCTGTAAAAAATAGTTAAATAAATGTTGTATGTATGTAATTGCTACAGACTAGAAATGTCATGATGAAAATAATTTAAAAACTAATTAAAACAAGTAATTGATTCTTTAGTCTCATATTTTTAAGATATGTGAAATTATGCTTGATATTTTTTTGATTGATGACTTGCATTCCAAAATTGCCTCTGTTTATAATTATATTATATCTAATAATTAAATTCAACGTAAATGTTAATTAATTATTAACCAAAAGTAATTGATTTTACAAATATTAATAACAATTATAATTTTAATAATTATTTTTACTAAATATTAATTGATTAATATTTGTATTCGCTCTTACTAAAAAATAAATATATAATTAATTATTAAATGGCAGGTGGATTAGAAAGAGTGTATGGAACAGAAGAAGACAAAGTATTATTTAATATCAATAATATTAGGTTAATTGCTCATTTTATATCAAAATTGGAGCTTGTCGTTATGAAAATAAATGTTAAAGAATTCATAGTATCCCTCCAATCTCTTAAACCATTTTATTTAAAGTAAGAATTATGATATAATGAAACAGCATATGTATTAAAATTCTCCTATGGAAGTAGCAATTGCTTCAGGAAATGCAGTGTCTTAAGCGGGTATTGAAGAGGCATTAGAAAAATTCGAAAACTTTTATGAAGATGTATTTTTAAAAGTAATAATGCATATTATGATAAGTTAGCAGAATTTGGTGAGATTGAGGATTTGATTGTATGTGAAAACATTGGAGATCATTTAGTAGGAAATGTATATGTGAAATATACATCAGAATTATATGCAGAATCATGCTTCAATGCTCTTTAGAATTTATCATATGAAAATAGACCATTGTCAATGGAATATTCTCCAGTATTAGACTTTAGTAGTGCTAAATGCAAATAATATATAGATGGAACATGTTAAAGGTATTAATTTAGAAATGAATGATTTAAGAGGTGGAGCATGCAATTATTTACATCTTAAAAAGATATCAACTAAATTTAAAAAGAGTTTATTCAATTAAATGTATGAAGAACATCCAGAATATAGAGAAAAAAAAGAGAAAGAAGTTAATGAGTAAGACAATTAATTGATATCGTATATAGAAAGAGTCCCAAAAAACATAAAAAGAAGGAAAAGAAAAGCAAAAAGAAGAAAACTAGTAGTAGTAGAGAATCTAGTCGTAGAAATTCTATTGAAAGATAAAAAATGATTAATGATTGGAATGAAACAGGTATACAAAATGTAAATTATTATTTTTATTATCTCATTTATAAAGGTATCCTAAGCATAAAAAATGATGTATGGAAATAATATGCCTGCTCCAGTTTATACTCCTAAAGTATCTATGAGAACAAGTCCTGAATTATTATAATTATAACTATAATTGGCTGCTTTAAAAGAACAATTAGCTGCAATTAAGATGAGTTGAATAGTCTATTATATATATAATTATATATATATATATATTAATTATGAGAAGGAAGAATTGGAGACCAGAAGTATATTATTTAAACCCTATTCAATAAGGAGGATAAGGCTTTACTTGAAATATGCAAGACTTAAAATTATAATTGGAGGAGAGTTTCAAAATTAATGATCTCAATGGGATATAGAAGATCAGGCAAATCATGCAAAGAGAGATTCCATAATTAATTAAATCCTGTTGTTAATAAAGATCAATGGACTTAAAAGGAAGTTGACAAACTTTTTGAATTGCAAAGCAAATATGGTAATAGATGGGTAATAATCTTATTTATACTTAAATAGAGAAGTATAGCTAAAGAATTACCATAAAGAACAGATGGTTTGATTAAAAATTATTTTTATTCATTAGTTCGAAAAGTTCTTAGGCGTCTTTCCAAAACGGTTAATGGTAACAAAAATGGTATATCATATCAATTTACTATATTTAGGATCCCAAATGACTAAGACTCTTAAACCTTCTGTTATTTCCTAAATATTTTGTGTTAATTAAAATCAAATAAATGATAGTGTTATCAAAGTAGAATTTGCATAACTCTTTCGAAATATTATTCTTAAATACAAAAATTTTAGCATATCCTAGCAAATTGATATTGAAGATATTGATAAAATTAAATCGATTTTTTAAACATTACAACAATTAAAGTATATTGATTATCTATATTAGTGAATCTTATAATCATGATTTAGAGAAAAAAAATATGTCCAAAAGTAGATCCAAAAGCAACAAACTGAAAACTAAATTAACTAAACTGAATATTGACCATGTATTTCAAATTTTTTATATTCAATAGATCATCCTTCAAAAAATATAGCTTAAACTTCCGATTTTTACAATGAAATCATTTCCTTTGCAAAAACTATATTAGAAATTTCTATTTCATAATAATACATATCATCCTACACAATTAATGTATTAATCAATATCATCTTTCACATCCTAAAATATAGACTAAAATAACGGTTATGGTGCCATCTTATTTAAACCTGAGTAATTATTATTTTTTCAACCACTTCCTTAACCATATTATGTATTTTTTTGTATACAATTTAATAGCCCATCAATATAAGTACCTTAATCTAACAATAATCAAGTATGCATACCTATTACAGCTCCTTCTTCCACCAACCCTCTGAAATTAAAGAAGAACAAGAAACATGATTATATCGATTAACTTTCAAATTTATGTGATTACATTAAACTTCATCAATTTGCATCCAAATCATTTCCACCATCCTTATTCTTAACATAATATGGGACCCATGTCTCTTATTCCATAGAGTCTCTTTTTTGCTTATGACTTTCGACTTTGAAACCTAAAAACAAAAATATATAATTAATTAAATTAGGGGTTATAAATTTATATTTTTAGTATTATTTTTATTATAATTAAAAATAATAAAAGACAATATAAATTATAATATAATATTATCAAATATGAATTTCATAATATAAATGACTATTAATCACTAAAAATCATAATTTAATAATAACTATTAATCATTACTCTTATTTAGGTACTTTTTTAATTAAGAAACTTTAATCTAATCTGCCGCAACCCTAAGCAGCCTTTTCATTTTTTATTTCTGATGCATTTTTCTTAATTTACAAAGACTTAGATTTTTATTTATTTTGGATTTCTTGTTTTTCTTTTTCTTCTTATTTTTTATTTGTAATTTGTTATTAATCAAAATTAACTGTTGATACCTAATTAGTTACATCAATCTTCTTTGTGGCTTTATACTCAGTAAATAATTAATCACCAATATATTATTAAAATAGATTACAACTCTATAACTCAGAATCTAATTTTATAATTAATTATGTACCATCTTATTTTTTTTAATTGCAATCATTTACAAAATAGGCACTTTATTATGAATATTGCCTAATGCTATTGTATTTAATATCTAAAAATTAGAATAGTTTTCCTTTATCTAATTTTACATATAAGTCATCATTAAATTATTTTGTAAAACTTATACAATCAATATTCTCTTTTATTTATTTGTGTTTGCTTAAATAAATTTCAAAAGAATCTTCACCATTAAAAATGTTCTCAAATTCAATAGAATTCACTTATTTTTCATTTGCTAATTTATTTCTTAGTACTCTAATAGCAACAAATATTGGATCAACTTTATTAATGACAATAATAGATGAATCTAATCATCATATGAATAATCATAATACCAGACATACAATAATTTCCAATTAAACTAACATAAGGATTCTGAATTTTGGAGGGTTAAAAGATAGGAGCTTTAACATCATTTAAATCGACTAAAAATTAAATATCACCTAGTGAAAATGATGAATATGATTCATTATTTTCTAAGAAGTACTCGTCTGCCATCAAATATTGATATTATTATCCCTCCATTTATAAAATTTAGTAATTTTAAAGATAATTAAAAAAAAATCATTTAGCAATAATTTGAGTTGAAATAATATACATTACAAAATAAGTTCTTGAGTCTTGAGTTGTTTAGATTAACATTTTAGGTTTACTCATTATTTCTTGATTTATTTATATTATCAAATATATGTCTAGAAATATAGGAGACTTTACTTTCAATTCTAACGAATATATTGGATAAGGTACTTTAGGGAAAGTAAGATTAATTTATTGAAAATTAGTTACATCAAGGCATAAATAAAAAAAATGGCCAAGAAGTTGTTTTAAGATTATTATAAAAATCATTACTGAAAGATGATAATATAATGTCAGCAGCTTTGGCAGAGGAGATGGCTCTTATGCAAAAACTAAAACACCCAAAAATTAATCCTATAATAGATGTTATTGAATCTTAAACATTTTTTTATGTAGTCTGTCCTTATCGATAATCTAATTTGCAAACGTAATGTTCCAGTTTAGTATTAGGATTCTTTAAAAGTAAATTAAATTGTCTGAAGCAGAAACAATAAAACTCATCAATGATCTTATTGATGGCTTTTCAGAATTAATTAAACAAGGTATAATCCATAGAGATTTAAGACCGAGCAACATCCTTTATGAAAATGGATCCTATATTATTTCAGGTATGCTTTAATGATTTATCAATATAGATCCTGGTTTTATATAGACGATAGAAAGTTTCAAGAGAGACAATAAGACCAAACCCCAACAATTTTATTATTCATCTCCATAAGTACTTGAGAATAAGGCTAACTATTCAAATAAATGCGATGTTTGGTCATTAGGTGTGATTATATATGAATGTCTTACTGGAGTATTACCTTTTCAAACTTCAAGTGTGGAAGAGTATTTAAAAGTTTGTCGATCAAAAAAGATTGAATTTCAATAGGGTTCGATGACTGGGGGCATGAAGTCATTTATTGAAGGTTGCTTAGTATATTAAGAAGGTACTTGATATTTGAAATAAATCATAGAGAAAAGAATGGATTGGACAAAATTATTGAGGGATCCAATTATAAGTGCTAAGTTGCAAAACAAAAATGAAGAAATTGGCAAGGATAATAAAAAATATTTAATGACTCAAATAAGATAGAAGATAATCAAAAAGAACCTAGATTTGTAGGAAGTTTATGAGAGGATAGACGAAAATCATAATGGTTTATTAGATTTTGATGAATTTACTGCATTTATAAGTATGATTGACAAAAAAGTGACAAGGGAAGATTGTTACTATATATTCTAATAAATAGATAAGGATGGAAGTAATAGTATCTCATTTGACGAATTTAAAGTATGGATTAGTAGTAATAATAATAGAATGGCATTTTTTAAGATTAATAAACCAGATAATGTACAAAATAATAAATTAAATAATAACCCAATTTAATAACCTAAAAATAGTAAATTAAATCAACCATAAGAATAATATCAATAAAATCAGGTTAATTAATAGATTCCATACTAATAACCATTAAATTATTAATAGTAATAATAACAGTAATAATAATAATAATACTAATAATAATAATAATAATAATAATAATAATAATAATAATAATAATAATAATAATAATAATAATAATAATAATAATAATAATAATAATAATAATAATAATAATAATAATAATAATAATAATAATAATAATAATAATAATAATAATAATAATAATAATAATAATAATAATAATAATAATAATAATAATAATAATAATAATAATAATAATAATAATAATAATAATAATAATAATAATAATAATAATAATAATAATAATAATAATAATAATAATAATAATAATAATAATAATAATAATAATAATAATAATAATAATAATAATAATAATAATAATAATAATAATAATAATAATAATAATAATAATAATAATAATAATAATAATAATAATAATAATAATAATAATAATAATAATAATAATAATAATAATAATAATAATAATAATAATAATAATAATAATAATAATAATAATAATAATAATAATAATAATAATAATAATAATAATAATAATAATAATAATAATAATAATAATAATAATAATAATAATAATAATAATAATAATAATAATAATAATAATAATAATAATAATAATAATAATAATAATAATAATAATAATAATAATAATAATAATAATAATAATAATAATAGTAATAATAATAGTAATAATAATAGTAATAATAATAATAATAATAGCTAATAAGCTAATAATAATTATTGAATTAATATCCAATCAATTCACCAAAATAAAAATAATTATATACCTAAGTTTAACCTTAAATGTTTCCTTAATCTCAAATATCAAGTTCCGGGTCTTTTCCAGCTGGTGCAGGTTTTGGTAGAAGTGATAAATTAGAAAGAGCAATTTTAATAATAAGAAATTCTATTAAATTAAAGTAAATAGATATTTTAAGTTTATTCTAATAATCCGATTACGATAAAGACAACTTCTTAAATTTCTTAGAATTTAGTCAATTAATTTGGAGTTTAAATAATTAATTAACAGTTGAAGAAATTTCTGACTTATTTAAGGTGTTTAATTTGAATAGTGATGAATATATATCATTTGTGGAATTCCGTTTAGTTATCAATTTGGCAAATGAAAAGAAATAAATTCCATCTTAATAAATTCCAATGAACTAACCTTTTTAATAAAATAATAATAATTATAACACTTCAATTTAGCAACCAAATATTTAATTTAGAGGAAATATTCAATAGCCAAACCAAAACAATTATTTGTTTTAAAACGATTAATTTAATCCACCCCAAAACTATTAAAATCACTAGTATGTTCCTAACTAAGGGATTAACAATAATAAAATTTAAAAGAAATAAAATGATGCTTTATTATTGGAAATGTTGAATTAAAAATAAGCAAAAAAAGATTAGAAGAAGAAAGAAAGAGAAAGGGAGGAAGCTAAAAAACGACAATAAAATCAATTCTTACCTAAAGAAGATAATCATCAATTACAATAGGTTTAAATATTAAGAACTTCTAAATTAAAATAACAGGATAAATAAAAATCAATTTTAGAAACACCAAAATATCCTAAAGAAAATATAAGCTCATAAAATAAAATACCTTCATCTCGCCCTTCTCCTCAAAATGATAAAAGAAAGGCTGAGCAACCATTAATTACTTATTCTTAACCTAAAAATTAAGAGGAGAATTAGAATCAACAAAAGTCTTCTACTTAGAATGTGAATTAATAAAGATATTTGACAGATTAATATTATAATACAATAGGTTCTAAATTGGATCAAGAATTAGCTGAGAGTACCAATATAATTCAGACATCTTCAATTCCAAATTTTAATAATAAACCCTACAGGAAAGTGTTAGATGAAAAAATAGATAAGTTTTATTATTCAAGTAGATGATCTAATATGAGTTTTTTATAATATTTATATAATTATAATATGTTAAAGTTTGATATATCAAATGTTAAGGGTAGTGAAAAGACTCTTTTAAAAATGATAATTGAAAAATAAAATTGGATTGATTGTGGAGAATAACATTCAAAAGCTAAAATAGTTTGGAATTAAAGAAAATAAGATAAATGCTCTAAATTTTCAATGGACAGACCAAGATTATAAATCTGTAATAAGATTAAAGGAGTTGGTATTATAAGTTAAAAAGCATAAACAAAGTAGTGTCTATCTACTTTTGGAATGTTTTACCCTGAGATTAATTAAATTTACCCTGAAACCTACATTTATCCTTTAGACAGAAATCTTTTGTATTCAAAGAATCTCAATTAATTTATTGCCAAACCTTCAAATGGATCTGAAGGTAAAGGGATATTCTTTCCTAATAGTATGAATGATTTAATAAAAAAAGCAGGTTTAGAACAAATGGTTATTTAGAAATATATAGATAACCCTATGCTTTTAGATAATAAAAAATTTGATCTTAGATTTTATATTCTCATTTAAAAGTTAAATCCTTATGTTTGTTATTTGAATAATGAAGGGTTGGTAAGAATATGTGTTGATTCCTATGAAAAAAATAATAAAAATCAATTTGCTCACTTAACGAATTATGCAATCAATTGTGAAAATACTAATTATATACCTTGTTCAAATGATTTTATGAATGATAATCAATCAAACAAATAAAGTTTTTAAGTATTTAGATAAACCCTAAAAAAACAAGGATAAGATGATTAAGTGATATTTCAAAATATCGAAAATTTAATAGCTCAATTTATGAAAGCCATTTATCCATTCTTACTTTATCATTCAAAAAGCGATAAATCAGAATAATCTCAAAATTTTTGTATTATTGGTTTAGATATCATATTAAACAATCAAGGTTAACCATTCATTTTAGAAATGAATTCATCACCAAGTTTATAAATAACTTAATTCAAGAATAATAAAGAAGAAATATCTCCTTTTGATTTTTATGTAAAAGAATTAGTTGTCACTGACGCAATTTTGATTGCATCTCAATAAAAAGAATGGAAGGATACATCTTATAAATTATTAAGTGATGCATATTAATTAGTTAATAATTCTGTTCTTGAATTATTAAATTTATTTTGGTATTGTGGAAAAGGTATGAAAACCTTGTCTTGTTCTTAGTTTTGTAAAATTAGCAATTTTTCTGGTATGCTTAATGAAAATCTTTAAAGAGTAGAATATCAAATTTTGTTTTGTAAGTTTTAAGTTCAAAGAATTGATTTCTATCAGTTTCTTGAATTAATAATTGCTGTTCAGAAAAGAATGAACATCTAATTGTATAATCTATTAGAAATGATTCGTATTTGATTTTTTATTTTAATATTAAAAATGAATTACTTAAGAGAGAAGGTCTCTGGAAAAAAGAAACGTTTAATATAAGAAGGATATAATCTTGATCTTACCTATGTGACTAAAAGGATAATTGCAATGAGTTATCCTGGGGAAGGATTAGAAGGTTTATATCGAAATCCAATTGATTAGGTGGGTGATAACTTTATTATAATTAGGTTGCTGCTTATTTAAATACACAACATAATGCAGATTATATGGTTTTCAATTTAAGTGGTCGAAAATATGATTTTTAAAAATTTAAAGGAGTTGTACAAGATTGTTGGATATGGAAAGATCATCATTCACCTCCATTAGATCTTCTATTTGAAATTTGCGATCTCATTCATGGTTATTTGAAAGGTGAGATTTATGCTAAGAATTAGGGGACAAAATTAATGTAGTAGTAATTCATTGTCTTGCTGGCAAAGGCAGAACAGGAACAATTATTTGTTGTTATTTACTTTACACAGGAAAATTTAAGAGTGTGAAAGATGTGTTATATTATTATGGGAAGAAGAGATTTGAAGAAGAGGGTTTAGGAGTCAATTAGCCTTGTTAAGTGAAATATGTTGAATACTTCTATAAACTTTTGTCTATGGGTTACGTAATCTATCCTACTGTTGTTACTCTCAAACGAATCACATTTTAGGGAAAGTAAGATTATTATTTGAATTAAAAGAGCTCCTGCTTTTAATATGAATGGCAGTTGTAAACCATATATGTAAGTAATTTAAGTGAAAAATGATAAGGAACTATATTCCACATAAAAAGAAGCAAAAAAATATAAAGGGGTCTCTCATGATGTATTATATCTATGTAAATTTAAGTTAAAATTGGACAAATTAATGCCTATTTATGGAGATATTTTAATAAAAGTATTTAACGAAGGAATATTAAAAAAAGAAAAAATGTTTAGATTAGCATTCAATACAGCATTTATTGATGAAACAGCATAAAAGTAATTTTTTAATCTTAGTATTTAAGTTCATTAGAATTTTCATTACATGATTTGGATCCTAGTTAAATAATAAAGGATGAAAGATTTGATAAAAATTTTAAAGTTATTGTATATTATTCTTTAAATTAGATTTATAGATCACAATAGAACCATGCACAAAGTGTAACAATAGAACTGATTTTTAGATGCTTTGTGAAATATGTAAAGCACGTTTGAAAGAAGAAGAGAAATAATGGGTTAAAATAAATGGATTAATAAGTTAATATAAAGTGCCTGATGATGATTTAGCTACAGAATTGTTATTTATAAAAAAAGAATATGATGATGTTGATGATGCTATGTAATTAAAAAGGACAGAAAATTCAAATGATAGTGATCCAAAAGATAGAGAGAAATTCGAAAAAAGAGTAAGAGCAAAAACAATCAAATTTTTATAAGAATAACCATAATAATAATAATAATAATAATAATAATAATAATAATAAATAATATAATAAGAAGGATAAATTTTATAAGAAAATGATATTCAAAATTAATGAATATTTATTAATGTTTTTAACCCTTAATTTTTAATCTATTAAAAAATGTTAATGCATCATATTGCTTAAATTGTTTTTATAGAAAATGGTTTTATTTTTTCTTCTCTTATTTATGTTTATTCGAATTTATTAAAAATCAAACTCTTTGTTGGACTTGAATTTTTAGATTTCACAGGAGATTTAGGAGGCTTAATAAAATATTTATTGGATGGTGATATTTATTATAATTTAATTTGTTTTGTAGGAGAGATTCCTTATTTTTCTATAGTTAAATTATTTTTTTAAGGAGTAAAACTTTAAAAATTTTGAGAGTATTAATTTCTTTAACATTTGATCTTTGATAATTAAGGTAATCTGAAAAGCTATATTCTTTCAAATTGATCTTGCTAAATAGTTAATAAATTTGATTCTGCTCTTGGTTTTCTAGTCGGTATAGATTTATAATCTTATTTTTTGACTTTCTATTTATTCCTATTCCAAAATTCTAAAAGTCTTATGAAATCTAAACGATCATTAGGATTAAATTAAATCATTTAATCTAGAAGTTTTGAAATATCATCTTCATTCTAATTTATTTTATCTTTTATTTCTTAACTAATTATTTCAGCTTTTAGTGATTCTCTATCTGTTTAATTCATTCTATAATCCCTAAAAACATTTAAAAACACCAATCCTAAAGAAAAAACATCAGACAAGTAATAGTTTTAAACATTGTTGTTTAACATTTCTGGAGACATATATTAATTAGTCTAAAATATACTATGCATTACCCCAATCTAAAAAAACTTTTTTTTAGTTTATTTCTTGGACCTTTTAGATCCTACTTATCCTATTTATCTTTTGCATTCTTCTGATCTTTCTGTTAGTTCTGATTCTTCAATCTTGCTGGATGCAAAATCACATATTTTATATACAACAGGGTTTGTTTACATAACTAGAATATTTTATGGCTTAATATCGCAATGTGCTATTTTTTATTACTATAAATAAGCTAATGCACTCAATATCTAATCTATTAACTCTTTACCAATAGGTAGGTTTTTTTGTTTATAAGTACATAAATCGTAAATACCTAACTCCATACATATGTAGCCATTCCATTCTGAATGATATTAATTGGTTGAATGGAATAAATTACATGAATCAATATATTAGACTATATTTGGATGATTGAGTTATTCTAATATTTATATTTCTTTTATCATCGCCTCTTCATTGTAATGCTAGAATGACAAATTATTTATACTTCTTTCATAGCTACTTTATTCCCAAGATTATCTACTCCAACATATGCTCTATTTTATCCATAGCCTAACAAAGTTGATAACTAGCATTAATAAGTAAGATTAAATCCCTAGATGACTTTGTTACCTCTTAGTTGTATGACTTACAATATGTCATTTTGATCACTCATTTTATAAAAAATATATAATCTTCACAATAAATCACAAATCTTATAATCTCATAATTTCTTTTAGATCTTCTATTTATTCTATGTTTAATAAATCAATAAATTATTAAAAATATTAATTTAAGAAACATTTATATATCATATTTTTTATGAAATCTATTTAAATCTAAAATAGGGCTACTTAATAATAAATAATATTCCATCTATCTCAAGATTTTCTTATTGAATAGAATATCCATACATCATTCATATATTTGATAATATTTCAATATGAGATATTATACTTTTATTAATGTTTAAAGCAACCAAAATCAAATTACCTTTTTTGAATTAATCAAAAATTAATACAAATTCATTTACAATAATATGTAAAAGCTTTTGAAAATCATTTAAATTCTTTGAAAATTTATTGCATCTTATTAAATGTGATATCATTAGGAATATAGTTGATCTTACTGTTACATAAAACAACATGAAATTCTTTTATTGAATCATTATTCAATAAAATAAGCTAAATAACTATTAAAACAAACAATATAGGTCTTGATTCTGTTTATATAATTGTAATTAACATTATTTTTTATCATAATTTTACATTTATCATAATGAAATAAAATATTAAATGACTTCAAAAAAATTTGAAAAGCAATTTAATATTTTGTTAATAGTTATAAATAGATTCAATATAATCTTAATTCCTATCTTAAAAGTTATTTAATAATTAATTTTATACTCAATAGTAGTAGTTTTTAATATATTAAATAACGTTTAGATTTATATTATAATTATATAAAAAAAGAATTTGAGAAAAATTTTAATTTCTTTTAAATCAAGATTAAAAGATCTATTTATTGTTTTGGTTAATAAATAAATTCCAGTGTATTTAATTTGGTTAAGAACTAATAGATGATCTTTTATAGGAATAATCATTTTTAGTATTGATTCCTTGTTTAATAAGAATAATCCTCTTTAAAAAAAATTCTAAATTTATTAATTAAAATATTTATTATAAAAATTATTTAGATTAAATAAATTTAAATATGGAGAACTTCTTTTTTTAATTATATTTTATAACTAGATTTAAGAAATGGAGATTGTTGAATAAAATATTCACTAATTTTATTTTTATTTAATACGAAATATGACTAATTAAATGTTAATGTTACCTTATGAAGATATATTTATATAAATATTTATCATATATTTCTATCTGATAAAATATGCAGAGAGACTAAAGGTTTTAATAGTAAAATAGGTATTTATAAATTTCTCTTAAGTATTTCAAGAAATCAAGATTAATAGGAAAATACATAAAGAATTCAAAATTAATCATCACTTTAATATACTCAAGGACTTTGTTTTATCTCAGCTTTGCTTTATGGTGTAATGATTTTGATACTTGTTACTTTAATTCTATCAATTATTGCAATTAGCTAAAATATTGAATAATAATAGGTAGTTTATTTATGTATTTTACTAATCCTTTTGTTAACAGCACTATTTGGATGTACTGTGTATATAAAATTATAATTCTCTGAAGCTGAAAAAAATTAAATTAAAATGCACAATGAAGTTCAGATGAATATTTGGGTTTATTCAACCCATTACTTTTTTTTTTAATATACAAACTAGTCTAAATTCATTCTAATCAGATTAACCTATTTGTATTGTGTATTCTCTATTTACTTTTTGGCATAAAATATAATATATAAGACTTATTATGAATGTTATGATGAGAAAAATGATCACCATTATTAAACTGATTCTTTAGATGAAAATTAAGATTATGATGATTGTATAAGAAATGAAATTCCAGCTAAGTTTTAAGGGCCTATGCTAATTCCATTAGGAACAATATGCCTAATAGTATCATTTACATTTTTTGTATATGAAATCATAAAAATCTGTTAATAGATTTATTTGATTTATAAATTCTGTATATACCCTTTTTATTAATATGATATGACAAACATAAGTAAAGATAACTCTCTTATTCAATAGATATTCCATAAGTAATAATTTAAACTAAAGTATTTTTTACTATCTTTTTTATTAATAATTTAGGGAAATTTATATCTTTATTGGTAATAATACTTTTGACTCCGAATAATTCTTCATATATTTTAATTTCATCGAATTTATTTTACTATTTTGTAATGATGATATTTATTCTATCATTTTTTTTTTAAATTGCTAAATGTAATTATATATTTTTAATATTAGTGGATAATAATTATCAATAAAATAATAACTTAGAGTTTGTTGATTATTAATTATTAATAGATTCATTATTAAGAAGGAGTAACAACTAAAATATAATATTTAAACTCTTTATAACAATATGTTTGATTTTTACAATTGTTGGAATATCATTGTTTGAAAATTAGATGGACAGATCTTATGTAATAATAAATTATGATATATTTATTGAATATGATAGTGGAATAGTTTAATTAATATTTCTAGGACTGATGTTTATAAAATATTTGATTATTCCACTTTCATCTAATCAAAATATTAGGAACTTGACTTAAATTAATTAATAAGTGTACGTGCAAAATTAAGAACACTAATAAATCATTTAACAATAGTAATAACCTTAACAAGGAGTAAATTAAATTCAAATTAATAATAATATTTAAATAAATTTACCTTAAAAAAGGTTGGTACCTATTTCAAATATAAATAAAAATTTTATTTACCAAGTAATACTTAAAGATAAAACAGATTGTACAATTTGTTTGCAATAACTTATTTAAAATTCATAAGAGAATCCTATTGTATAATTAAAATGTCACATTTCTCATATTTTTCACTAAAAATGTATTTAGGATTGGTTGACCCAAATAAAAAAATGCCCAATTTGTAACATAGAATTTTCATGATGATTATTAAACTTAAGTTATTAAGGACTTTTAAATAAAATAAAAAAAAATCTTAGAATAATTAAAAATTAAAGTATTTTTGTTTTAATTAAAATAAAAACAAAATATAATAAAATATTTTTTATTTTAACATATTTCATTTAGCTTTATTAATAGCTGTTTATAGTTCATCAGAAAAAGCTTAAGTCATTAAAACATCTAAAGCCTTTTCTATAAAACCAATTTCTCCACTTATGGCTGCTACTAGATCATCATGAATCTTTTGATTTTAAGAGAAATTATTGTTTTCAGTAGTCAATCTATCTTAATAACCTTATAATTCTTTTCCTCTTGTATCTAATAATCTATTTGTATCTTCAATTTATACTAAATAAATAAAATAAATATATTACATGATCTTTATTCTCTTTCAGCATAAGCATCACTATATTATTTTTCAAATACTTATTTTTCATTTTCTAATTGATTCATTCTATTTTCATGTAATAATTTCTATTAATCTTCATCATTATATGCTGCTTATAAAGTTTCCACAAAATAACCTCTTAATGATTATAATAGATCAACCAATTACTTTTAAACCTCTCTATCAGCAAAGTTCTACTTTTCACTAATTTACATTAATGCTTAAATTATGGATCCAACATAATCAGTAGATTTAGATGATTTCTTTTATAGAAATAGAAGATGATCATTAATTTTATCAACTTCAATAAATGAACCCTAACTGCATCTTTTAATATATTCTAAAGTATCATCAGTTGCTTTAATGGCTTCAGTAATTTCATTTGCTTATTATTAGAATTATGCATTCTATTCAGCTCTTAATGCTTCTGCATTTTTTTTAGCAACTTCATTTTTGCCCATATTCGTTTTCAAAGTTGTTAAAATTTCATTTAATTCTTCTTTTCTAGGTTCATATTCTTAAGTTAATTTTTTTCTATCTCTATTAATAGCTAATCCACCTTCAGTTACCAATGACTCATACTAAATTCTACGTGCATTATGATCTCCTAGTCTATTTTACCACTATATTAAATAGTCATTATTACAATAGTATTTTCTTCATTCAATCTATCCTCTTATTGACGACCAAAAGCTTTGAGAACTTCAATCAAGATGTCTACAGCACCAGAAGCCTCTAATTTTTGATAAAGCTTATTACGTGCATCTCTAATTGAGCAAACTCAAGCATCATCTTACCTAATGGGCCAGATTGAAGAAATTCTCTAACAGCAGTTTGAGATTCCGTTGTAATTGTGGCTTGCTCATTCACTTATAGAGCTAATGCAGTTGTAATAAATAAGGCAACTATCATTAATTCGTTTTTATAAAATAATGTTATAATAATTTATAATAAAAATATTGCTTGTTCTTATTAAACTCTATTTTTATAATATGAAATGTATTGATTCTAAGTTACTTGAATATTCACTTTAACATCACTACTATTCATATCCTTATGAAAAATATATATTTAAACAATAAATTAATTAAATTAATGATAATAACCTTATTTAGTATTTCTTAATCTTTTCTATAAAAGTTTAATCTTTAATTCTAAGAGAGCAAAAAATGTAATAAAAGATAAACTAATAAAAATGATTTTATAATTATTTTTTTAGTCAATTAAAATGAAATTTTGTATTTTTGTTACAGTAATGTTAAACTTATGGATGAAATCCAAAATGGCTTGTATATTAATTTAATATATTTTTACAATATTTATTTAAATATCAGTAAATTTGATTCACTTCTATTTAAATTGCACATTTTCTATAAAATAAAGAATTAAACTTCTGCATCTGAGTTTATATTTAGGAGACTGCAAGAATTGAATATTCAAATTTATATTAATATTTGATTTTCTAGTAATGTAGATAAAATGAAAATTGTAATAATACGACAAAGTGTAGATTAATATCTAAATTAAAAAAATCATATTTATTGATTTCATTTATTAATTAGATTTGCATTAGGTAGAGACTTTAAAACTTAACTAATTTCAATTGAATAATTATATAGATAGAATAAAGAAGTAATGCAATAGAATGTTCTAGATTTATATGATTTATCATTATTATTATTACTATTATTTTGGTTTTCTAACTCTTTTCTTTTTTTCTTTAGGAGGGTCATAACCAGGAGGATAATTATTGTTAGATTGTTTTCCAAAGGTTTCATCAACTTGTAATACTCTTGCACCTTCTCCTGCTTTCATAGCTCTCATTTATTATGCAAGTGGATTATCAGCAAAAGCAATGAATTATTTTTTAGGTGGTTCCTATTAAACTTATTTAGTAGGAGTAGGTGGTCTTTCTTCAAATTTAATATTTGAAGGTCTAAATTAAACATCATATAATTCCAAGAATTTTCTATTGATTATTTCTTTACCATGATAATCAAAGAGTGAATATTAATTATCTACATTCATTCTAGGTGTTACTTTTGCACAAACATAATATCTACTACATGGTGACCAGTAACATAAACTGGCAGATTTGTATTTATTATTACTTACTTATTTAAGTGTTTTAGTATCCCATATATGAATAGAACCATCCAAATTACCAAATCCACAGATCATAACAAATCTACCATTACCCCATATAATTTTATTCTTATGGTCTTTTCCAAATTCAAAGAGTGGTTTACAAGTATTGTCATACATTACAGCTCCAGATGGCATGAAACCAGATAATAAAATAAATTCTTTAGAGGAAGGTGACCATTAAACATGATGTATAGGTCCTTCATAAGTTGGTAATTCCCTAAGAGCATTTTTTGGGAAATCATAAAATAAAACTTAATTTTATCCGAAATAACTTTAGTTTGTATTGTCTTCATGAAATCCTTTATTGATTAATAAGGATTATCCATTTGGTGACCAAATTACTTCCAAATCACTAGTTTAATGTAATTTTTTTTCATATTTGATTTTACCATTAATATCAACTATCTTTAAAAATGATTCTTTAATATTAAAATCCATTAAACTATAACAAACAATCAAAGGTTTTTATGTATTAGGTTATACACTAAAATATTCGCAATTTCCAATATCAGTTTAAAAAAGACATTTATTATCAGCATAACAATGCAACTTTTAATTTTGAATAATATAAAAGTATTAATCTTCTGATGAAAATTTTAAGATTGGCCAAGCTTCTCTTTTAAAATTTTTAATATTGAAATTGATACCCTTTGATTCTAATGAAGGAAATTTTAAAATTTGCAATTAAAATGATTATTAATCTAATTTATCCATAATAATAAGATTTTATTTAGATTCTGTAAGATGAATATTCTATAAGTTTGTAAATTCCAGTTCCTTTACTGGTTATTTATAATCATGTAGCTTGATTGACTTCTTATTAAACATGAGTATATATTCCTCCAAAACTATCAATTAGGCATTTCCATCCTAATTAATCAATTACATTTCCTCATCTGATTTTGCCAACATATTGGAAAGATAAACTCCATTTTTATTCCGTATTACTAATTGATGAGGAATGTTTTGCTCCATAATTAATTTATAATTAAATAATTTATTATATCTAATCATTTGTAATCGGCTACTCCTTCCAAAGTTTTCATCACTCTCTTAAATTATCCTCCTTTCTATTCCATAGCCTCCAATAGTAAACCAACAGTATTCAATTATTCTTCCCTAATGTCAATCAATAATTTACAGTTATCTTTTTTCAATTTTATAAGCTGATTCCTAATCATTACACATTTCAATCTTTGTTTATAATAAGTCTTTGTTATTATTAATAGAAAATCTAGTTAAATCTTCACTCTATTCCAATGAACTCAATTACTAACTTAAAGCAGCAGATTCATTCCCTAATTATCCTATTTCAACATCAGCCTATTATTTTTATTTATTTATCAATTTTAATGTTTAAATAATAACATCTCCTTTGCTATCATCAGCCTTCTCCTCTCTTCTCTTCACTTAAGCAATCCAATCTAAAACACTAGAAGTGATATCAATCACTTAACTAGCCAATTTATTTAAAGTTTCTTCTGAATCATCATACATAATATTTCCTTCTTTGATATCATGCATCTATTAACATAAATCCTCAATTCCTTAAACTAATTAAGTAACTCCATTCTGAATATAAATTTATATTCATACCATTTCTAATCCAGTCTTGACTCTTTGAATAGCAACAATGATTTAAATGAATGCATATTTCTCATTATGTTATCTTTCTTCTTCTTCTTCATCATAATCATCATCATCATTAAATGGAGTTTCATCATCATCCCAATATTAATTATCTCTAACAGCAGCCTTTCTCTATCTATTCTATCTTTATGACAAATAAGCAATAAATTTATTCCTGATTTCTACAATGACTACCATAGCTTTATCTAATTAATCTTGATTATAATTGAAAAACGATTATTCTGCCTCTCTTAATTCAATATATCTAGTTTCTTAGTGATCAAGTTCTTGTCTCATCTTATTTTTCTAATGAAATCGATGTATTATTAGATCATAACGAGGTTATTTACGTGCCCTTGTTATTTAAATGTCTCTCTATATATATTATATTTTATTCGATTACTAATTTACGATTCAATTCCTCATCATTTGTCTTTAATTCTTTTATTTCTTAATTGCATTTCTCTTATGCTTGTTTGAATTATTGTACTCCTTCTTCCAATCTTCTATCTACACTATTATAAAAGTTAGCTATGTCTCTAATTATCTTCTCAACTGGATCATTCATTTATATTTTCTCTAAGAAAGATTTACCAAATTCAGTTTATCTCATCTACATATTGTTGAATTGTTACTTGTTTTAATGTACTTTCTAAATCAGATCCCATTACACATATCGATAGCAACATAAATATGAATTGCTTCATTATTATTATTATAAAAACGATTAAATATGAATGTTCAAGTTGGCAAATTTTAATTTAATTCTCGTTTTTGTTTAGGAGAGGGTGCTTATGGAAAAGTGTTTCTAGGATAAGATACTGAAAATAATGAACAAGTAGCTATCAAATAAATAGATACCAAATTCATTGAATAATAAGACAAGTATATTAAATAACAGATTATTAATGAAATCGAAATTCTCAAAAAATGCAATCATCCCAACATTGTTAGATTTATAGATTTAATTGATACTCCTAAATATATCTACATTATTATTGAATATTGTAAAGATGGAGATCTAAAGGAATTATTGAATTAAAAAAGATTAAGTGAAGTTGAATCATTTGATGTACTTAGACAAATTGTAGAAGGATTCAAAGAATTACAAAAACATAGTATAATTCATAGAGATTTAAAACCAGCTAATATTTTAATAAATAATGGAATTTTCAAAATTGCAGATTTTGGTTTTGCAAAAATTGTTAATAATTATTCAAGTACAAATATGCTTAAATCTTTGGTTGGATCACCTTATTATATGGCACCTTAATTACTTGGTTATTAATAATATTGTTTCAAATGTGATATTTGGTCATTGGCAGTCATTTATTTTGAAATGATTTTTGGAAATCTCCCTTGGTTAGCAAATGATCCATAATCTTTATTAAAAAAGATTTTAAGTTAACCAATAATAGAAAAATTGAAATAAGGAAAAATTAGTTAATTTAGTATGTACTTTTTAGAAAAAACATTAACAATTGATGAATTTAGAAGACCCAATTGGTAAGAGGTTGTTTAGATGATCAATGCATCACCTTTAATGAAAGCAGATAAAAATTCAATATCATAACAATAATCTTAAAGTAAAACCAATATTTTAGATGTAAGTGCTTCATGTGATACTAAATCAAATATCAATTCAATATAACCAGAATAATAAAAGAAAAGATAAGAAATAATATTTAAACATTATTTATGTTAAGAAATATTGATAAATAAATCAGAAATTTTGTAATTTTGTGAAGGCAATAATGTATTATTAAAGTTGTCATTTTGTTTATCAAAGTGGGTTTTAATATTAAGTTAATAATTATTAAAAGAGTTACCAGAATTAAAAAGGGAACATGAATTTTATGTATAGTTTATGCATGATTTAGAAGAATTAAGATTATCTTATGAATTTAATATTGACAGAGTTTCTTAGATTTGTTAAGATTATTGTATAGAATATTTAACAATAGCATAAAGAAATTTATAAAATATGAGTGAAACATACTTATTAGTGTTAACTGAGTATTTGATTAATTTTGCAAGGATTTTAAGAGATGGAAAAGATTCACCTATTGATTATGAAGAATTGGCTTAAAGTAAATTGAATGACTACGATTTTTAATTATATCATGATATTCTAAGG